ATCGAAAGCTGCTCACTCGGCGATGCTACGACCAGAAGCTCTGCGTCGGATTCTTCGAGGGTCATGCAGCCTGGCCGAATCGTTGCTCGCAACAGTCTCGTCACGAGACACAAGTCACGATCTTCACGAGTCTGATTTTGCTTGCCGGCAGGCTCTTCCAGCAGCAGTCAGCTCGCAATCTGAGGCAGCTACGCGTTTTGCGGCTGCCAGAGCCAGACGCGGACGGGCAGGATATCTGCTTTAGATGATTGTTTTGAGATCAGCCGTTTTCAGTTGATCAGTCAGAGTCAGCGGAATGTGACACAGCAGTCGGCGAGGCGCTCGCATCAGGATTCTCTCCGTCGTAAGTATGAAGAAGCTGCTGCGCATAAACGACATTGTCAGTCGTAGAAAGGNTGGAGGCTAAGCTATGTAGAGTCATGCGAAGNNATCTGCCTNCATATGCATNGTACTGCTCAGAAAAAGATTGGCAAGGGGGTCGCTGGCCGCTAGTTTGACTAGCAATCGCGCTTTGCTATTTTACCTGACAACGATGACGTGTCAGTCTATATGGCAATCGACACGTGTCAGCAATAAATGCCGGCAGTGCTCTATATTTTGTGCGTGAATTGTCGCGTGCTTGCCCAGAGAAATACGCCGAGCGTGATGCGTGCACTCGTTCTTGAGAAGAGCAAGGACGAAAAGATCGTCCCAGGAGCAGTGTGGCATCCTATCTCGGTCAGAGATGTCGAACAGCCGACGCCAGAGGAGGGCGAAGTCCTCATCCGCATATTGGCGGTAGCGTACAATCACAGAGACCTGTTCATCAGGCGGAGTCAGTATCCTGGCATCACCTTTCCCTCCATCCTCGGCGCAGACGGTGTAGGCATTCTGGAATCGCCCCAATCTCATTCCCTCAAGGGTAAACTCGTTCTCATTGCTCCTCATGAGAATTGGCTCGACTCTCCACTCGGTCCAGAGCAAGTCAACGGCAAGCGCTTTGGCATACTCGGCGGTACAAGAGATACTGCCGCTCGTGGAACGTTTGCAGACTTCATCTGCGTACAAGAGTCCCACGTTGTCTCTGCGCCGGCTCATTTGGCTAACGAGCCATCACGAGAGACGCTGGCCCAGCTCGCAGCCATCCCGCTTGGTGGTCTGACTGCCTACCGTGCTCTCTTTACCAAGGGCAACGTTCGAGCCGGCACAAATGTTCTGATCACAGGCATCGGCGGCGGTGTGGCCTTACAAGCGCTGCAGTACGCCGTTGCGATAAAGGCAAATGTATACGTCACCTCTGGTAGCCAAGCGAAGCTAGACAAAGCCATCGAGCTCGGTGCACAGGGTGGGGTGAGCTACAGAGATGACAGTTGGCCGAAAGCGCTTGGCAAGCTTTTGCCCAAAGATCATCCAGAGATTGATGTCGTCATCGACTCTGCTGGCGGCGAGATTGTCAATCAGCTTGCTCGAATTCTTACCATGGGCGCAACAGTCGTCTGCTATGGTCAGACGACGGGCGAGGCTATTCAGCTCAGCATGGCCGCTGTCTTGAAGAACATCGACGTCAAGGGCTCGACTATGGGCTCTCTTCGCGAATTCAAAGAAGCCGTCGCGTTTATTGAGAAGCACAAGATTGTTCCGATAGTGCACAAGATATTGGACGGCCTTGACGCTGCAGAAGAGGGCTTTGAGATAATGGACAAAGGCTCACAGTTTGGCAAGATTTGCCTCATCACAGACAAGACAGCGCTCAGAAGCAAGTTATGACTGCATGTATATCTTACGCTGCGATCGCGACTACAAGTCCAGCTTGAGTGTGATGACCTGAAAGACGCCGATGATGAGCTTGATGCGTGATAAGCCGTTGACCATCGAGACGGCAGGGGCCTTTTTGCCGTTTGGCCGCTCCAGAATATCGACAAACGTAGCGGACTTGAACGCGACATTACTACATAGCGGGTCAGTGGAGACTCAAAGGAGAGTTCATCTGTAGCTTACGTATGGACTTCGAAGCGACGTGTGCCGCCGAGGGCTTCATAGAATCTCAGAATGACCGAGCGCCCGCCAGCTGCAGTCTTGCTCTCGTAATCATCGCTTTCGCCTCGCTTGATCGTGTCGAGCACGACGTTGTTGCCTGCACCATGTAGTACGAAGCTCGGCAGGACTTCAAGGGGCTTGCGTGGAATTTGTATCCGATGATACTGGGTGTCATTGAATTTGGCAGCGACTCGCACTACATCGCTCTGCAGGAAGTCGCAGGCGTGCAGGTAGACGGCAAACCTAAAGGTATGAGTGCCTTGGTCTTGTTGCGGATCGGGATAAGTCGAGGCGCGCAACAGCGACAGTCGCATCGTGCTGCCTTCGACTGCGTAGCCGTACTGGAGAACTTATGTGAGCATGATCACGCTGAGCATGGTCAGGATGTTACCTTGCAGTCGGTGAGAAGCGCGATTCCGTAAGTTGCCTCAGACAGGTCCGCGAAGCGATGTCCGCATACTTCAAATTTGGCTGCATCCCAAGTAGTGTTACGATGCGTCGGTCGAGAGATAAAGCCGAACTGCGTCTCGAAGCGGGCGCTGTCTGCGCGAAGAGTCGTCGGCAGCTCAAATTTGAGGAAGACGTGTCGCTCTTTCCAATCTGCTTTCGCCGCAAACTCTAGCGAGTCGTTGCCGAGTTTGCAATTGAGTTCGATTCGCGATTGGCCCAGCATGTAAGTGAGTGAGACGGATTGCTCGTCTTCCGACAGCATGACTTCGTGAGCCTCTAGATGCGTTGGCGTCTCAAGGTGAAAGACATCGACGTCCCATGCATCCCAATTGAGGGGCCTGTCTTGAAAGAGAACGAGCCCCCCAGAGCGACCTGCCAGAATGAGCTCGCGGGCCTGCTTGATGTCACGTAGGCTGACAAGTCTGCCCTTGCTCGAAAATGTAGCACGAAGCTTCTGATCAGACAAGACATACTCGCCCTTTGCATTCTGATAGGCGGGCGAGTGTAGATAGTCGTCACCGAGCGCTGCCGAACTTCGCCTCGCGTGATCAACATCGCTGTTGCCTTCAGTCGCTTGATAGGTATGTGTCGCCTTGGTACTGTCACGCGTCGGTGAGCTGCCTGGCAAGAGTGCTTCGAAAGCCAGCTCTAGTAGCTTCTTGCCGCGAACAGCAGCCTTAGCATAGCTGGTCATCGCATCGTCATAGACCATGCCTATCGCGCTTCCCGGCAAGACGTCGTGAAACTGATTAGTCAGAACGGTCTCCCAGACTTTGTCAAGCGCTGCCTTCGGATAGCGATACGAATCGTTTGCCAAAGAGGCGAGCGTAGCGAAATACTCAATGTCGTGCAGAAGTCGCTCTAGCTTGCGGTTATAGCGCTTGATGGGCGCATGCGAAGTGAGCGTGCCACGATGCAGCTCGAGGTACAGCTCGCCTTGCCAAGTTGCAAGCCGCCTGCCCGCGTTCGTCTGCTCCACAATGTCCTTGTAGAATTCATCGACGGTCTTGTTCATTGTGACTTTTGGCACATCTGGAGAGTTGTCGGCATTGTTGGCTACTGCTCTTATGCGGCGCAGACCCTCGAGCATCTGCGCAAGCGGGCCACCTCCACCATCGCCGTTACCAAACGCAAGCAGACCAGTATCTGTGCTCTGAAGATCCTTGTGACGCTTGACGGCATTGTTAACATCGTCAACGCTTGCTTGGGCAGTGTATGTGTTCACAGGCGTCATGTGCGTAACAATTTGGGTGCCATCGAGTCCAACCCAGTTGAACGATGTGCGAGGAAAGTCGTTGAACTGCGACCACGACAGCTTTTGTGTGAAGAAAAAGGGCATGCCAGCCGATCGCGCGAGCTGAGGCAGCTGAGTGGAATAACCGAATGAATCCGGCAGCCAGAACGTCTCGCAGTATTTGCCAAAGCGTGACTTGAAGTAGGATTGGCCAAAGAGGAATTGACGACACAAGGCTTCGCCCGAGGGCATGTTCGTATCCATCTCGACCCAGGTGCCTCCGATAGTCCGGAAGGAGCCTTTGTCGACGAAGCCTCTGATGACCTCAAAGAGCTGCGGATACAGGGTCTCACAATATTTGTACTGCTGCGCCTGACTGGCGACAAATTTGTACTCTGGGTAGCGTCGCATCAGGTCGCACTGGGTCGACCAGGATCTGGCAACCTTCTGCTGCGTACAGCTAACTGGCCAGAGCCAAGCATTGTCGATGTGACAGTTGCCCATACCGATCACCTGAGGCTTAAAGACCGCAGTGTCCTCGTCGTAAACTTTGGAACCAAGAGCTTGCCACCCTTTGCCCAAGACCTTCTCTGCGATTGTGCGACAGGTCTCGATACTTTCATGACGCTGGCTGTCAAAGGTGTTGGCAATCTCGACCGCCACCATCATCGCTTTGTTACCTAGGCTCGAATTGCTTGGCAGCGTTGACGCGAGGTCCCGAAGGACGCGAAAGTCCCAGAGAAGGTGCCAAGCTGACATCCGAGGAATGACAATGTCGGCAGATTTGAGCTCAAAATCTTCGTTCGGGCTGTCGACGCCAAACATGCCATTGCAAGAGACCTCGATATAGAAATGATGTACAGACGTGCGAGCTCTGTGACTGAGAATATACTCCACTCTACGGTCGACGCCAAAGCCGCCTGTAATCCCTTGTAAGGGCAGCCCTTCGGTCGAATAGATCATAGCCTCGCAAGATGGGTCAAATTCGAACTGGACGCGCTCAGCCTTGCTATAGAGTGGCGTGTCGGGCACACGCAGGGTCACCTTGACCCAGTGGTTCGTCCAACTCGGTCCAAGCTTGTCGCCTTTGTGAAACGGCACGTAGCCTTTCGCACGAACAGCCTGCTCAAAGGTGGGCTTGACACGCGGCTTGCCATTCTCTGGCGTCCAGACTTGCATGCTCACCACGTCATTGCCAGACTGACGATCCTCAAACAAGACAGACGACAGGTTCAGCGAGCCGTAATTGCCGCCTTCCATCTGACGCAAGCGGCCGAGGGTGACATCGCGAAATTCTGGGGCCAAGGGCGTCCAGTTCTTGGCTGGGTAGCCATGCGGACCAGACGAGCTCGCGCTCGGCCTGGCTGCTGGCTGCGGCATGTAGCGTGAGCCAGATGAGTTGCTGGCCTGAGCGCTACTGCCACCTCCGAGCATCTCAGTCTTGCGCGCAGCTGTGCACTTGGCCGGCCCGATGCTGGCGTGCGATCAACAGAGATGGACGATGATAGTCAGGTGGTTGAGAGGCTCAGATAGGCAGACAAGCTGCTGCTACTGCTGCCGGACAGCTGAGCGCTGAGCATGCAGCGATCGGCGCTCCGTCGCACCGGCGGGTCGTACAGCGGGGAATGCCCCCAAGCCATTTTTGGGCTTGGCCGCCGATCCCGCGTGCTCGCTGCTTGCCCGCAACGAGGCTTGTCTCGCAGGTCAGCAGGGCAGGCTCTCATTCTGGTGATACAGACGGTCGACTACGCCTCTGAGAGCATAGACAGACGTCTATCAGTCTCTTGCACACATTAGCAACCCGTGACCTACCCCACCTTGTACTGTCGCCGCCAGCATGACGGTCATCCACTCACCATACCCAGACATCATCATACCGGAGCTCTCCCTGCCTCAGTTCCTGACTGCCGGCACTGATCTCTTCCCAGAGGACAAGAAATTGTTCTTCAACGACGATATCTCTGCTAGCTTGTCAGACATCAAGGATGGCTCGCACCGTCTTGCGCTTGGCCTGAGAGCCCAAGGATACAAGAAAGGAGATGTCATCGCTTTCTTTGCACCCAACCAGGTCAGTCTGGCCCTGCTTCGTGTTGCCAGCTTCAAAGCTGATAGGCGCGCTGCCACTAGGTTGATATGCCTACAGTCTCGCTTGGACTGCTTGCCTGCCCGGTCACCATCACGCCGGCTAATCCTACATACCCCGTCGAGGATCTTGCGCATCAGCTCGAAGTGTCGGGCGCAAAGGCTATGTTCACGGTCAACGCTCTGCTCGGGCCAGCCCGAGAAGCCGCGACTAAAGCCGGCATGGACACTAGCAAGATCTTTGTCTTTGATCGCAAAGGGGAAGACGGAGCGCAAAGCTGGGCAGAGCTGCAAGCTCCGGAGTCCGAACTTGCCAGCTTTGACTATGGCAAAGTAGACCCAAAGAATGACGTGGCATTTATTTGCTTCAGCTCGGGCACAAGCGGCAAGCCGAAAGGTGTCATGCTCAGTCACTACAATGTGAGCTAGTGAGTTCAGATCGGTCGAACATAGCTCATTTCGTCACAGATCGTTTCCAATGTCATGCAGACAGAAGTCCTCACCGCAGAATCATTCACACAGGCAGATAGTCACATCGGTCTCTTGCCCCAATATCACTGCTATGCTATTCTCATCACCTACCTCAGCTTGCACAAGGGCGTCGCGCAGTATGTCATGGCCAAATTTGACCTAACAAAGTTCCTTTCCATCCTCGAAGAGCACAAGATGACCTTTACGTTCATCGCACCACCTGTGGGTAAGCCGGCCCGTGCTCATCTAGCTTCTTGAGCTTATGGTGCGTGCAGTACTTGCAATTGCAAAGTCACCAGAAACAAAGAAGAGGGATCTGTCTTGCCTTCGTCGACTGAGCTCGGGCGCTGCACCTTTGTCGGAAGGCCTCAGGCGGACGCTGCTCTCCGTCCTACCTCATGTCGTTCTCACAGATGGATATGGCCAGACAGAAATGTCGCCTCTCATAGCGGTACAACAGATCGCAGATACGGCTCACTCGCTCAAGAGCTGTGGTCCCCTCGCGCCCAATCATCTCGCGAAGATCGTTGATGATCACGGCAAGGCACTCGGTCGAAATGAAGATGGCGAGCTGCTCATCAAGGGGCCCAACATGATGCTGGGGTACCTGGGAGGCAACAACGACGGCGTCTGGGACGGAGAAGGCTTCCTCAGAACGGGCGATATTGGTCACTTCGACGACCGAGATCGATTGATCCTGACGGACCGTAAGAAGTCCCTCATCAAGTACAAAGGCTTCCAAGTCTCTGCGGCCGAGCTCGAAGACTACCTCGTCTCGCTGCCCGAAGTCTCGGATGCCGCCGTGGTGGGTGTCTATTCAGAAGCTCAGGCGACCGAACTGCCGTGCGGCTTCGTCGTCCCTGCACCTGGCGTAGATCGCACAGAAGAAAACAAGAAGAAGATCATCGATACTGTCGGAGGTAGAGTCGCATACTACAAGAAGCTGCGCGCAGGCATCGTCTGGGTTGACGCTATACCCAAGAATCCATCTGGCAAGATTCTTCACAGGATGCTTCGTCCTCAGTGTCCTCAGGTCGAGTAGTAGACACTGCGCCGGACCGGCGAATACACTGCTTGTAAGAACTAGGCAAACATTGAATTACTACAAGCATGTTACATTGCCGTGCAAAAGCTTAGCGAGTGTGAATGTTCTGTTGTGAGTGAGTACTTTTGCCTAGGAGAAATATGCGGTGGGGAAGTATCTAACGTCTGCGCTGATGCAACGATTGTTCAGACAGCGTGACGGGCCGACGAGCGTCATGAGCAGCCTGCCAACGTTCGAGCTGCCCGTCAACAAGACAGCATCGGCCTCTTCGCGGAAGAAGGTGAGATCGCGCAGCATCTCTTGCGTATTGCCAACGCGCATCGCGAGTGGCAAGTCATTGAACTTTTGCCCGGGAAAGCCGCCCTTGAACGCATTATTGGCTTGCGGAAGTGCCGTGCTGGTGCTCACGATATTGACCGAGGCGTCCGTGACATGAGCCTCGAGTGCAGACATGACATGCGGATCGTCACTCATCAGCACGAGCTTCGGCTTCGAAGAGGTTGGAGCAGTCCTGTTGACTTGTACGGTCGCCACAGCAACCTCTGTAGCTTGCAGGAATATTGTCGCCTTTTCGTCGTCTAAGCCGCCGCCTTTGCGAAGCTCGGCGCAGATCGTCTTTGCCTTTTCGAGCTTGTATTGTGCGAGTACGCTAGGCTTTGCGAACCTCAGAGGACTAAGTTTAGTGTCGCCCAGCTCATTGCATTTGTCGCCCAATCTGCGCCAGCATGAGCATAAGCATGCTTGCAGCCTAGGCTCGCGTACCTAATATGTGCGCCCACGATTGTGGGTCTCGGCGCCGGAACAGGTGGGATGAGGGCAGCTCGTAAGTTGTCGATCATGCCTCTGATGACGGCATTTGGCTTCCATATCCTATCGTTGGCCTGGCTAATTGCTGCAAAGACGGCCTCGAAGTACGGTGGAAGTGTATCCGTCCCGGACAGAGGTAACGCGGGTGGATAGTTGAGCAAGTCAAAGTGGTGTATGCGTGTCATGCGTGAGGCATTCGTAAACATGTCAAGAATGAGATCATCAAGATAATGCAAGTCTCTGCGCATAGTCATGAGCTCAAGTCTTGGTGGTTTTGTACAGCCACATACATATGCGATGCGGAGATATGGCGCGAGCGCGTCCAATGAGGACGAGCGAGCGTGTCCCTGACATTTGAGTCTGTGCCAGCGTACTTTTCGATCTGTGCTCGGCGCCTCTCGCGCACAAAAGGCGGGCGACAACCGTATTCGATAGGCTCGAAGTAATCTGACCATTGGCCGTAGTTCCACAGGTGGTCATCGAAGACAAGCACGTATCCGAACCGATCTGCGAGCAGCTGTAGCCTGTTGATCGTGTTCCACTCTGATGCAAATCCATGTCGTGCTACGTAGGGTCTTGTCAGCTCAGCCACTAGTATTTGCGGCAGACATACGCGACAAGGTAAAGAGCATTGTTCGCCGACATCTGGGCAATCGCGCTGGCCGTGACAACGCTGTGGCATTCGAGACCGACAGCAGGCTCGCCTGGGGCGAGTCTAGCTCTGGCGTGGGCTGTGGGCTGTCTACGTCTTCCGATGGTTGCTCTGATTCGTCAGTCCTACTTGTCGCCGAGGGACGCGGGGGAGCAGTCAGAGCCAGCTCGACTTCTTCCTCGCGCTCTGGCTCGATATCCGGCTCTGGGTTGACATTCGATGATAGACGCGAGAATGACATCGAGGCTGAGCGCAAAAGCGCTTCGCTGATCTCTTGCCACCTCGACCTGCCGGTTCCATCGGTCCCATTGAAATCTGGCATAGTCGACGGCTCTGCTTGACTGTCAGACTGAGCTCGCAAAGGCGCACTCATGCTGCTTGGAGTCTGGAAAGTGTTCTGACGGATAGCGAGATCATAGATGAATTTGAGCACGACGATGATTGCGAGCACAAGGACCCGCTTGAGCCACCGCCTGCTGTGTTGACGAGTTGGAGCGGATTGACGTCGACCTAGCAGAGGACTGTTCAGGCTGGTCGAACTCATCTGCGAGCCCGCAGAGCTGAGCGCGGCTGACCAGAGCCCTGAGCTGTCACATCCAGGCTCCGGCCCACTTTGCGAGTGGGTGAGCTTCCAGGGTAAAACGGGAGGACGCCTCGGCTGCGTCTGTACTTCCTCCATATTGGCTGATGAGCCCGTCATTGCCGAGAAGCTTGAGCTGACTGCTGCAACTGCGTAGCTTAAGTGGAGCAAAGGCGCAGTCCAGTCGGGCTTGAGGCCCAAAAGACGCTTGCCCTTGATTGAGAGAACGGCCGAAAACATGCGGCCACCGCGGACGCGTTGATTTCTTGACACGTGACAGCGTGCCACGTATAGCTGACGCAATGTCAAATTGTCTATAAAGCAGGGACAGTGGCAGCAGCGTATTCAGCTGTGGGTGGGCCCCCGTCCTGCTCGGCGTCCGCTCTCTTGTTCCCATCGATGGGGAAATCGTCGGGTCTGCCGATACGGCTCGTGCATGCGCATGACGAGCTAAAAGATCTCCTCTGCAAGACATGTGCTCATACAGGCTATCGTCCCGGCCATGCACCAGAACTGATGCTCGAGCGTCTCTCGCGCTGTGGCGAGATGGGTCGCTATCATCTGTCGAAAGCTTGTCTGCCCAGCGACCGGATCGTACAGGAGCTTGAGCAATTCGATGGCACGCTTCCTGGACAGGATGAGCTCTCAACACGCCAGCTGGTCATCTACAAACTCTATCTCGGTCTCCTATCTGGACCGTCTCATTCGTTCGAATATGCGCTCGATGATTCGCAGCGGCAATACGCATGCGAAACCTGCCACAAGCCTTTGGATTTCGGCAAATCGCTTGTCGGTGTGGCGAGCTCGACCGGCCAGCAGAGGTATTTCTGCAGAATAGAATGTACTCCAGCAGAGTTGCAGCGTCCTAGGGGCACAAGCGATGCTGCCACGCCGGCGTTGCAGCCCGTCCTGCGAGCACCCGCAGTCACGCGATCGAAGCCGCCACTATCCGAAGCACGTCGCGCGATAGCCGAGCCAGCTTTGCTGGACTTGCTCATGCCTGCTATCAGTCTGGCGCGCGTTCATTTGGAGCAAATATCCCAGACAAAGCTCGAATGGCTTCGTGAAGCAGGTGATGCGCGGCTGCTCCTTGATCGAGATCTCTCTGGCCTGATAGCCAAAGCTGCTTCGTCCAGTAGCGACTCTCTATCCGCACCAGAGGAGCTATCGAGCGACAGTGATGACTTTTCGTCAGATCCAGACGACGTGCCTGCTGTCTCTCCTCGCCATCTGCGCACGAGGTCACGCTTCGATCCATCTACGTCTACGTCTGAGGGCGAAGGCGCGACGGACCAAGACACACCCAAGCTTTCCCGATTGAGCAAAAAGCAGCGTCAAGCCCTGGCAAAGGCTGCACGGATTCAGCAAGCTACGGAATTGACGCCCGGGCAAACGAAAAGTGTACCGACAACCTCGTCATCCCGGAGCGTTCGCTTCGAGTCGACGTCTCTGCTGGAGCCATCGCTGCTCGGCAAGAGCCTGACCAGGAGTGGCGCAGCCACAGTTCTCACAGAGGTCGAAAAGGCACGATCTGTCAGCCGTAAACTGAGCACGCTCTTCCCAGATGAAGACATGTCCGAGCTCTATGGCGCTTCGAGTGGAGATGCTCTCCTATCCGCTTCACCTGGGTCTCTGGCGCGCGACTACACCTGGGCTGATGCAAAGCGTAGCTCGGGCATGCATGGCTTCTTTGCTGCCGATCCTGCGCCCGCTGAACTCTTCTCGACAACTCTAGCTCCACGGCGATCTGCAGTCAAAGGCGGACCCGTCTTCATCTTTGTAGACCATTCTAACATTCTCTATTCGTGGCTGGAATGGCTCAAGAATACTAAAACCTACCCTCATCCTTGGCCGAAGATGAAGAGACCCCGAATTGACTATACCACGCTGTTCGCCATTCTTGAGCGAGGCCGCAACATCGCCAAAAGAATGCTTGTAGCCAGCAGTCCGCTACACCAGAGTCTCGAGCCAGTTGTGCAAGCTCAGTATGACGTTGCGGTGCTCCAAGTGAGTTCAAATGACTAAGCGCGCGGATCGCACTGACCACCTTCACGTCATCGCAGCGTGTGCCACAACAGATCAGCTCGAGCATGGTCAATCAGCTCTGGAGTAGCAGTCACTCCAAGGTGCCTGGAGTACATCGAGGAACGGGTGGCTTTGTGACTGATTCAGGAGAGGACTCGGACTACTACGGCGAGCGTTCGAGCGTGCGAAAGACGCAAAAGGAGCAGGCCGTCGACGAAGTTCTCAATCTCTCCATACTGGAAACTTTGCTCGACTTTGAAGTCGCGACTGATGAGATGCCGACGATCGTCCTCGCGTCGGGCGATGGCGCGTCCTCAGAGTTCACTTCGGGCGGGTTTCACAAGACGGCGGAGCGAGCGTTACAGCGAGGCTACAATGTTGAAATTGTCAGCTTCAGCGCCGGCATGAGTTCGAGCTGGAAACGATCTGCCAAGCTACATGATGCCAGATCAAGCGCCCGGCTAACCATTGTCACACTAGATCAATTTGGCAGGGAGTTGCTACAAGATTGAAACAAAATTCTACGGATGCAAATGCTTCATGCCGCGTCTTTGCGGCGCTTCTTCTTGCGTTCTTTCTCATCACCAGCCGTCGTCGGTCGGCCTGACTTTTTCATGATGATCCGACTGAGTGCGCGTTTTGTTTCACCCTCTGGGAAGCTCGCTACGTTATAGTACGCCGGCGCGAACTCGAGAAGCCTGAGCCAAGGTCATGAGCACACGGACATCACGAAGAGGGACAAGCGTACCATTCGGCGCGGATGTCTGTGCAAGTCCGGATATAATTGCGCTTCGTAAAGGCAAATTCATTGTAGAGCACCCATTCTGGGCTATTGTCAAGCCCCGAAGATCTGCGAGAGCTCTTGAGATTGCTGCTCCCTGGCAGAGTGCAAGAGACCTACGGATGCAGCGAGACGACCTGATTGTCCTTGATGGTGAGATACGAGCCTTTGTCGCCCTCTCGGTGGGCGACCTGCATAAAGAAGCCACACGCAAGGGCTTTGCGAATATTGACATAGTAGTTCTTGTCGCCCCATTGCGTCGAGATCAGGTCTCTGCAGACACTGTCAGCGGCCTACATGGGGATCGTCTAGAGGTACGCACAGGTCGTGCTTCTCCATCGTCCTCTTGAGCTGTGTGCGGACGTTGTCGGCTTGAAGCAGCGCACGATGCGATAGGTAATTTTGCCAGCACCATTGCGCATCCGGATCTGTCAATTGCTGATGAGTAGATATCTCGGTGCAGAGACCCAAAGGCACTGACTTGTCTTGTACGCATGGTAGACATTGAGCAGCGTAAGGTGATCGCCCTCGGGATGGGTGAAGTTAGCCTTGGCTGCATCTGCTTCCGCACGTTGACTGTTCGGTCGCAGGAAAGGATTCGGAACTACAGCAAGCGTGTCAGTCGTATGCACTTCATCATTTGCAGTCGAAACGTACTAGAGAGCATCGCAGCAATGGACAGGATCTCGTTCGAGCAGGCGAATTCGGGCGACACGATAAGCATCTTGGATAATTGTGGCTCGAGCGGGAAGTCGGCCATAATGGCGCCCAAAGGCGTCAGATTGCCTTCGTCGTCGATAGCCTTGAGATAGTTGAGCAGCTCGAGTGCCCGCATGACAGTCTCTGGGGCGGGTGCGTCCATGTAGTCAAAGTGCACCAAGTCGTCTACGCCGAGCTTCTTGAGTTCGAGGACGACGTTGGCAAGATTGCAACGCAGGATCTCGGGATACGTCGTTTCCTCGAGCTAGTGATCCCCAGTAGGTCAGCGAAATGACCTATGCATCGTGATGAAGCAGAGACTGACATCTTTGACAAAGGCAGCTTCTGTGTATAAGCGATAACATTGCCCTGCGCGAGTACGGCCGGCACGACCGGCACGCTGGTTGGCAGAGGCTCTGGAGATGGGGGCAACGAGGAGAGATTCGACACGGATGCGAGGATTGTAGACTTTCTGCTTGGAGAAGCCAGGATCGACAACGTAGACGATGCCATCGATAGTAAGCGAGGTCTCTGCGATATTGGTCGAGACGACGACTTTACGACCGGGCGGTCCGTTCGGTCTCGTAGGACCTGGCGCAGGATCGAATATTCGCTGTTGTTGTTGAGGCGGCAATGAGGAGTAGAGTGGCGTGGCGACGAGAGGTCCAAAGAGGTTGGAGCTCTGTTGTAATTGTTCGGCCTCGATGGTGATCTTGCGACAGGCATCTTCGATTTCCTCCTCTCCCGTCAAGAAGAGCAGGATATCGCCTGGATCTTCGGCTTGGTGGATCATGAGTACTGTCCTGATGGCGGATTCGAGATAGTCTGCCTCTGGCTCAGGCGTACTGCAAAGATCTCATCAGCGTGAGAGAGATAGATCAGTGGATGGTCTGACGCACTAAAAGGTAGAGACGTCGAACGTCCTGCCCGGTACTTTGAGCAAGGGCGCGTCGAGAAAATAGGCCTGGAACTTCTTTGCGTCGAGGGTAGCGCTCATGACGACAATCTTGAGATCGGGGCGGCGTTTGGCGATATCTTTGAGCAGGCCCATGAGGATGTCGGTGGCCAGAGTACGTTCGTGAGCCTCGTCGAGGATGACGGTCGAATATCTAGAGAGCATATTGTCGTTCATTGCTTCCCGGAGGAGCATGCCGTCTGTCATGTACTTGAGGAACGTGCGGGGCGAAGTGGCATCTTCGAACCGGATGGAGTAGCCCACTTCCTCGCCCAGCTGGACATCCATCTCGTCTGCGACGCGCTTGGCGACTGACATGGCTGCCACCCGTCTCGGCTGGGTACAGGCAATCATCTTCTTGCGCATGTGCGGCAGATCTGCATACACTGCATACTGGGGTATCCTGGGCCGAGCCACGACCAGCGTCAGCTCTAGCAGTCAGGACGGAGTGGCCTCGCGTTGACTGACTGAGTCGTCTTTCCTGAGCCCGTCTCGCCCTCCATGACGACGAATTGGCTCCGTTGGAACATGTCCAGGAAGCCCTCCATCTGTTGGAAGACGGGCAGCTTCTTCCTCCTGTCGAGGATGTCCTTGTACTTGCTCGAGAACGGCCGCTTCGTGAACGGGTTGACATTGCCATCGAGCGCCTTTCTGACCTGGGCGCCTGTCACCTTTCGCTGGATGAAGCCATTCAGAGGATCAGACGACGCGCTGCCGTTCGTCTGCGCTCCGTTCAGATGGGCCAGGTAAGGATTGCTCTCCATTTTCTTTGGCAGATGCGCAGGATTTCGTGCGAATTCTGCTAAGTCGATGCGAGTTGTGGCGATTACTGTAAAGCGTTGACATCGATTGGCAGAACATCCTCGCCGGGACAGATCTCTCTGCCATGGCCGTCTCCATCGCTCGTGCGTGCTTGTGGCGACAGCGCCATCCTACCCGGCTGATGGTCTTGTGTCTCCAGCGAGTATGCAGCGGGTCACCAAGCTAGCTCGATCGAGCATAGCAATGGCGCCTCCAGGTCCGCATCGATCAGCCTATCGGCAATCTCAAGCTCATCTTGGATCTTCTGCGACAGTCATGAGTGCCAGCCGGCAGACGCGTACCATCAGCTCGAGCTCGTCGGCCAAGGCAGGCACAGAGGGTGCAGTAGGCGCTCCCCTCGCTTTCGATCTCGCCAAAAAGGGATCGAATCAGCTCAGGCAAGTCGATCAGAGCAGTCAGCAGTGTCATCTCAGCATCGTCTGACTCTTGCCATCTCCCCCCACAGCCTCGAGACCCCTCGCAATGGGGCAGAATACGTGCTCAGTACGGCAGACAAGATCGTCAATTGGGCGCGACAAGGCAGCATGTGGCCAATGACGTTCGGACTAGCATGGTCAGTGACATCCGATGCATATCAGACAACAGCTCGCTGATCGTCTCTGGTCTTTCGACAGTTGCGCCGTCGAGAGTGAGCTACACACGCGCTCGTTGCCACTCGAGCCCAATCTCGATGACATCGCGCCTTCACATCCTGAGCGGACTCACGCTGACCTACACCCTCGCAGTGATGCACATGGCAGCAGCGAGATACGATCAGGACAGACTCGGCGTCGTCTTCCGCGCGTCGCCCCGTCAATCGGACATCATGATCGTCGCCGGCACACTCACCAACAAGATGGCGCCTGCCCTTCGCAAGGTCTACGATCAGATGCCAGAGCCGAGATGGGTCATCTCCATGGGCTCATGCGCCAACGGGGGCGGCTACTACCACTACTCCTACTCTGTCGTCAGAGGCTGCGACCGCATCGTGCCTGTGGATCTCTATGTGCCTGGCTGTCCACCGACGGCAGAGGCGCTCCTCTATGCTATGTTGCAGCTTCAGCGGAGGATGCGGTCAGTTCGAGCTACCCTCACAGACCTCTTCAAGCTGACAAAATCGATACAGACGCGGCAGACGTGCAGTTGCTTGGTACAGGAAGTAGATCATCAGTGTTCCAATGTACGACGAGCTTGCATTTCTCCTTCGCAGTCACACTTGCACAAAGGTTTTGCTTCTGTTATGGGATGATGCACACGCTTCGCATCGTCAGCTGGGCTGGGTCGGATGCGGGAAGACCAATGACAAAGAGCGTCTCATCTCGATCTGCGTTGAGATAGACTGGGCAATCGTAGCATGTGGCGTATGTCTTGACATCGTCAGCACGCAACCACGCCAGCGTGGTCACATCCAGCAAACTCGCTTCTCCGTCATTTGCGACGAGATGGGCAGGAGTCCAATCGGCTCCGTGCAATTGCAGATGGCTGACCTGCAAGCCTGATCCGGTAGCTCGGCCGAGTTGCATCGACATCGAGAGGCTTTCGAGCGAGACTCGCAATGAGCGAGCGGTTTCCTGACGGAGCGCAACCAAGAGACCGTTCGGGTTCGTGAGCAAACCCAACTGTACTGCCATCTTCTGACTCGGATCGCTCGCCGTCATGTGGTGTGTGATCCGGGCAGCGAGATCGTCGATCCAGCTTTGCACCGTCATTGCCTTGACCGAGCGATAGCGCGCCCATCGCGGTGGGATGACGTCTAGGCACTTCCTGTCAGTAGGATTCTGATGAGAGACTCGCAGAACGCACCTTTGCTAAGCTCTGAGGCTAGTTGGCGAGTGACATTGTTTTGCTTCGATTGTCCGCGGCAGATCGACAGAAGCTGACCCAGATCTGATCTGACAGTATCGAGGAGAGTAACGAGGAGCTGCTGCTCCTGCTGCCAAAACCTTGCAAGTGGACCGCGAAGACTATCGTTCGAGCGCCCCTCCACAGACTGTTGCATGACAGCGCATCATCAGCGGCGCAGCATCGCGTACGCAGGCAGCTTACAGCTGGCAGACTGTTCAGGAAGCGAGTGACAAGGCGCTCTATCGACGTCATCCATGCTGGCTTGAGTGCGTCCGGCGTCTGCGCAGTCGTTTCGAGCGAGCTGTCGTCGTCGTCGTTGTCGTCATCCTCATGCGCTGCGACTCGCCGAAGGCTTGCGACAAGCCGGTTGCCTGTGTCATACGATCAGCTCTATCCGTCGCTTTCCGCAAACGGTGCTGACCTTGGTCAATTGCAACGAGCTTCTGAGCAGAATCGGCCAGGCCGAGCCAGGAAGGGGGCTCGCGCTCCGGCAAAGCTTCAGCCCAGGCGATGTAATCAGTGAGCTTGAGGCCATCCGGAGCCCTGAGCTGGGTTTGCCCTTGCACGAGCGCGTAAGACTCTTCAAAGCAAGCTGCTGAGAAGCAACCGTCGACAATAGTATCAAGCAGCGCTTGATCCTGACGAGTGTCGATGCGACCTCCATAAGTGGCTTGCTTGAAGAGCGTACGAATGGCCTGGAATGGCATCTGAGCAGGGTCGATATTCGAACGATTTTGCGCTACTCGTCTTATCCATTCGTGAATCGCAAAGAGTGACGCTTCGAAATCCGAATCGTTATACTCGAAGCCCTTTGTCCACCCGAGGGGACAATATCGCACTCGTTCGACAATGACGGCATGAGCCCACGCAAGCTGGAAGATGATTCGCGCCTCTTCTGCTGGGCCACCGAGATACTTGGAAGGTATGCTGCTCAACGTATCGAGCAAGCTAGCGCGAATGCCAGGGGGTGCTTCGTACATCAGTACTCGACTCTGGCTGAGCAGATTGATCGGGATAGTCGTCGTGATCTCCATCGAGAGGAAGAGTCTGAATGACGCGGTTGGCTGCATGACTAATAACTTTGCGGTGATACCTGATAGCCAAGCTGGACATAGGTGAGTATTTCTTAGCAAGACCCAATTGCCCTGCCGCGCCGCATTGGACATCGCAGCTTCGGCTCGAGCAAAGCTGCAGGTCGTTCAAACATAAGCGACAGCTATTTCGAGAGAAATTCGCTTACCCGTCTTGCGAGCCCATCGCAATACTGACGCATTGTATGCCTTCACTCTCGGCGAGTGCATCGATGCGGAAGGTCGCGTCGTAGCCGACGACGGAGACAATGCAGATCGGAATGATGGCAGCTTGCTCTGAGACCAAAGATGCCAGCCTTGCCCCGTGATCTGACAGCAAACCTGAGCCGAACACAGCAGCCGCCAACGAAAATGCGGCCGGTAGCGTACGGTCGGGCCGCAGTGCACGCATCAGCAGAAGGCTGCGAGCCGCTTCTGCCGCTGCGACGATCTATCAGCCAGCACGATGCGCAGTAGCGCGCAATGACTGACCTTCAGTCGTCTGATGCATCACTTTAGGGACAAGCTGCGTCCACGCTCGCTCCGGATCTGACCCCGAGAGAACACTCTGCCACTCAGCGGAATGCTTGCTGAATGAGTCGCGCACGTCTTGCCACGATGGTTGCGCGAGAAGCTCCGCAAACGCAGCTTGCTGCTGATGTGAAAGCCAAGCGACCTCGAGCTCGCCTGCCACCGTCTTGACAGGCGAGTTGACATCAGCCGGATGAAGCAAGACATCGATGCTGACAGTCACGTCGCTCTGCCGCTGCGTGCGCAGCTTGATCGATGCGAGGTGCAGCGCAAGCACGAGGCGGTCTGCATCAAGGACTGAGCGAGAGGCCTGCGCGAACACCTCGCTGAAGAGAGTGTCCGCGATGATTCGCAGTCTTTCTTCTGGTATTTGAGAAGCGCCGGTCGTTGCCACGCTGGCCAGCACTCGCTCAAATATGGCCAAGAAGAATGTGAGAGAGAAGCGATAGAAGTGGTTTAGCTGCGAGAGACGTTCGAGCATGAAAAATATCGAGCTGCATGCTTGCGCAAGAGGCAGATATTCGGCTGTGATTGAGTTGACCTCTTGCAGAACCGCATCCGCGTCTGCGACCTTCATAGCTACATCGGCAGCCTCGCGCTTCAGGGTTTCCAAGGTTGCGAGCACTTTGTCATCGTCGAGAATGTTGCCTTGTGAGTCATTGAGTGCCTTCAGAAGAGCTCGTTCCAAGCTTCGGAGACGAAGGACATATTCGCCTTGCAGCTTTATCAAATCTCGTCTCTTGCTATCCGTGTCGGGACGCTCTGCGAGCATGACGCGACTAAGAGACTGACTCTGCAAACTTTCACGAGTCATGGTGAAGTTGATAAAGGTGACCCGGCTTTGGATGTCGGGCGCATACTCGACAGAAGAATCGCGAGTCGTCAAGAATAAACTAAAGGCAGGGCTGAAGTCAATGTCTTGGCCGCCGACACGGATCAATACACGGCCACCAGCTCGACGCAGCTCTTTGTTGAGTACTGTGTTGACTATGGGGTCTAAGCGTTCTACATCTTGGATCAGCAAAGCTGTGCCAAAGCGCAAAGCCGTTTCGAGGCTCTTCGTGAAGGACGCATCGAGGAAACTGGTGATAGTCAAACGCTTTGATGCGTATTGCTGACGAAGGAAGGAGGCGGCCTGACCCGTGGGATCGATTACAAGGGGATAGCGACGCGCGCGACTGATGATCACAGCATTTTCGATACACAAATCGTCAGACGGGAGACCATTTGCTTGCCATTGCAATCTTTCGTCCGCAGTTGAAAGGAATTCTGTGAGGGAAAGATCCTGCTTGAACGCGATAGCAGAGTCCTCTAGTTGACGCGCCCAGATTCGCCAAAGACTCTGTCGATGCGACTGGTCAAAGTAGCCAGCGTAAGCCAGGAATGCCGCTGATAGCAGCGTATCGCCCGCCATCGTATGCATCTGAGCGTCAAAGGTTGCGCTGCTATGCTCCCAACGCTGTCGTTCCGACTCAAGACTGCCGAGCAAACCGATGCTCCTCCCGACTTTGCTTTCAACCCGATCCATCTCGGTCTTGAGAGCTTGTGTCTCGCTTATCAGAACCGCATATTCCTCCTTGTACCGCGTAATACTTGCTTCTAGGGCCGCGACAGTGCCGAGAATGGACACCGCTTGAGCCTCTGTCTGAATGGCCTGCTCTTCAAGGGCATCAACTTCCTCGCGCAATGGTCCGACCCTGTCGAGGATGGAGGAATAGGCAACTTGGGCGATGAGCCATTTGACGAGCGGCCCACAAGCCTTGCTAGCTCGGTCTACGAGCTCAAATGTATAGCCAGGACGTGACAGGTACTCTCTCTCGAGCTGCAATCGAAGCGATGCGGTCATTCTCTTATCAGTGTCGAAGTCGATGATGCTCTTGATGAAATCATCGCGACGAATGAAGCTCTGCACAGTCTTCCAACTGTCGGCTTTGCTGCCTAAGGCCATGCACACACTTTCCATAGCCATCTTGACTGCTTCCGGCGGGTTTGTCATTGAGCGGACCTCTGTCAGTTGCTGTTTCTTGATGTTACTGACAGCCAATTGAGCTTCTTCGACAGCAGGTTCGGCTTCAGCAAGCTCGGACATGACTGCACCCTTGCGACTAGCAATGTCGATATTTTGACGCTCCAACTGGCCTTGTAAGGTTATCGAGGCGGCTTTCTGTTGCTCTGCTTCACGCTGATCGGCAATCATCGTCTGCAGCTTGGCATTGGCTTCCTCGTTTTTCGCCTTCAATTCTGCGCGCGTAATGGCGAGCAATTCGCGCATCTCTGCGACTTGTGTGAGTGTTGAGCGTAGTTTGTCGAGACCAACATTGAGATGCTGCTGTTGATCGGCGAGGTTATCGCGCTTTTCTGAATAAAGGTTCACGTAATGATTGACAAAGTCCAAGTAGTGGCGTGGTGTGATATACACCGAAACGCCTTGACGTCGCTGCACCTTGTGTGCGAGTGCATGCATCGATTGATGGATCGCCACCATAGCATTGACCAAGGCAGCTCGATGAGTCGGTGGGATCTCGAGATCTTTGTAAGCGATGGGCAGATCAGGCGGCGGAGCATAGGTCGGCTTGTCGAGATCAAGAGAATTGCTGAAGTCAAAACCAACCTGGTACAATGCTTGTGTTGACCAGTCACCGAGCCAATCGAGCACACATCGATTGAACAACGCTGGCGAAGTGGCAGCTCGGGAAGCGAGACCTCCAGCCGGCGGGTTCATCGTAAAGACGACGTGCAAGTTCTGCGCAATCTGCTGCGTGAACCAGCGGTACAGTTCATCATTGGAGTCAAGGATGAGCCCGTCCCGTTGTGCAGCTTCCTTGCACGCAGTCATCAGTGCAGCGTATTCGTCACCCTCGAACAAACCTGGCACCTCGGCATTGGCAAGAAGGGTGTTCATCCGCTCTAGAAAGCCGGGATCGAGGACATTAGATTCGTCCATGATGAAGCAGATCTTCTCGCTACGACATCCGGACCGACGAAGGACGTGGCGCAGGTCATTGTCAAAGTCTTCACTCGTGTAGCGGTTATGCACGCTGACTTGGAAAACGCTGAGGCCGTTCATCCACGCGACGAACCGGGACAACGTCGTCTGCAGTCACCATAAGCGTCTGTACGACGCCGGTAAAAATTGTGACGCACTTTTCCACTTCCACTGATGCCTATGAGAAGCACATGCCCTTGAGTCTGTCGGAAGACCCGATCGATGCGCAGTACGTGATCAAGTACATCGTTGAAGAGCACGAGCGGAACGTCAAGTTCTTCTTCGTAAAAGACACGCAAACGAGCCTTTGTAAACTCGCGAAGCTCGTTCCGTTCCACGGGTATGTAATTTCGGGATGTCCAGTTCGAGTAAAGTATTGGTCGCATGAGTGCAGATGAGTCTCGAATGCCGGGAAAGTGCTTCTCTGCGACATCGTCAATGAGCTCATCGGTCCAGATTCGCTCCGGCTCGTCAACGAGTCTATCCTGGAAGAGTCTGAGCGCTTCGTGCGCCCAAAGACGCACGAGACCGTCGAGATTCAGCGTCTCGAGTGGCCGTATAGCTTCATAGATGCCACGCATCCATCGGGTCATCTCGCGAGGGCTGTAGATGTAGTGTGCTTGCACGTCACTAGTGAATCTGGCCTGCGATTTGAGATAGACTTCGACCATTGCAGCCGTCAGTGGCTCAGCGTAGCCGCGTAATGTGGGCATCGTTTTGAGAGACGCGCGATTGAAAGTACCATAAATTTGCTTGAGCGAGATCTCTCCTGGGTAATCGACCATCACAAGTGGTGCATGTCGAAGGAAACGCTGCGACATTGTCACACGACCTGGATCTGTCGGCGGATTGCATGCGCCTACAAATTGAATGCGCTCCAAACTTATCCAGGTCTTGTCCGAGGTACGCCAGAATCCGTTGGCTTCGACGAGCTGACGCATAAAGGAGATGACGCGCTGTGTGCCATACTTGTCGAGCGCGGGCAGATTGATCTCGTCGCAGAAGATAACAAGCCACCGGCCAAGTTGGACGGGGGATAGAATGGTGCCTTTAGGCGTCTTGCGATATTCGCAATATTGTTCAAACGTTTTCAAAATGAGCTCCGGGCTTGTTGCGCTCGAGAAGTTGAGGCCAGCGACTTCGAGCTCGGGCAGCTTGCGCAGTGCACTGAAGAGTGTCATCGTCTTTCCCGAGCCAGGAGGCCCACACAGCATCAGCGGTTTGTGCTCAGAAAGCCATGAATACATGACATCTTCGTGGCGAACCGTGTCGATAGTGGGAATTACGACATCCGGGCGTAAAACCGCATGTGTCTCGATCTCGATGACTGGGACCTGAGACTGCCAGCGAGTCCACTGCCCGCTGTTCATGTCGACATCAAAATCGAGCAGGGCTTCTCCGGAAAGCATGTCTGGCATATCTGACGATGCCTCTGTTGAAAGGAAAGCGCTCATTGCCGCGCGAGAGATCAACGACGAATCACCAGAGAAGGACCAGACCAGAGCAGTGAGAAGGCGACGGCGCAGATAGGCTGCAATTTGCGCAGCGGTCAACGGAAAGTCTGAATGGCTCGCATTATAGTTGTGGACGTTGCGAACTGATTTATTGAGTAGTGAGAACAATGTTGATAAGCCTCGACTTGAAGTGAATTCCATGATATGCGCGATTTCCTTCGCTTTTTGAAGAGCAGACAAGACGATACCACTGGCGCCAAAGAATGGCGATAGAACGGCAGCGATGGATGTCTGAACCTGCAGAACAGTCGAATCTCGCAAGCGAGCCGCCGCCTCAGTACTCGGTGCATCGTCCTCATCTGCAACAGCAAGCGAATGCTTTGCCAAGCCAGCGAGGTAGCTGTTGAGCAGCATCGCAGGACTGACAATGCCCTCGGTGAACCAGATCATACCGCATCGACTGACCGTTGCTAGCGTCGCGTACCTGAGCGATTCGACCTCGAAGATGATCCTTACGTTTCCAGGAAGATTCAGTCGTTCACCGTTGGGCAGGGTTAGTAGCTTGTTATCATCAAGCACGCTGCAAGGAGTCAGCTTGATACGCTCATCTTGGGCTTGTACTGACCTGTTGAGATTCTCGACCCATTCAGGATCAACATCTCCGTCAAATACAATCCAATGTCGCCTGGTATCTTCGCCCCGGACGTTATCAATGATGCGACGAAGAATGTGTGTGAACAAGCCGTCAGTCCATTCGCGCGTCGTCGGGTCGAGAGTGCCGTACAGGGCTTCCTTGGAGATGGCTTTGGGATCTATCACATAAGATACGCCCTCCATGCCTTCAGTCTGCTCTAAAGCTCGCAGCAAGACTTGCCAGACTTTGCTTTTACCAGTAGCAGCAGCACCTACGAGCATGATGCCGTGTGAGATCTGCGATATCTGATAAAGCTGTATCGCTTTCTCGAGCCATTGTTCCGTTATCATAAGGTTGTCGGCCGAGCAGATTGCCCTTATCGCCTCGGTCAGCTCGCTCAGATCGGCAGGCAATGACTGGCTGCCGGGAAAGACATCGGCAAGTAGCCTGTGCGCAAGTCAGCAGCGTCTACGAGACGAATGAAAGATCGCATACTGCCTGAGTAGATCTACATCCTCGGCCACCAGCTTTGGCATAATTGTCTCGGTGACGCTCTGGATGAGGATGGACTCTTCTGCTGAGTTAGTCGTGCTGACATCGCCCGCGCGGACAGCGGCCCGTTTAACGCGACCGGCGCTGACGAGTACATACTTGAGCGCACGCAGCCCAAAATCGTAGTGCGGCTGAGTCGAGAGCTGCTCAGAACACAGTACAAAGAATGGCACAATTTTTGAAGCCAGCGCTTCGGCAGTCCTGAACCCCTGAGAGAAGAGCATGACTTGCGCTATGCGTTCGCGGTCGGGATGTGTCATCGCAATACTTCTGAATAACTTCTTCAAATTGGCAGGAAGGTTTGACCGTCCTGCGTAGCCAGGATTAGTTGTGATGAAGACGGCAGTCTCCGGCTTTAGCGTGAGTCTGCGCCCGAGTAGCTCTATCGCAGCAGGTTTGGCTTGAATACTGCCTCGTAAACCTGTCTGAATACTTTGAATCTGCTGAGATACCGCACTGAGTATGCGCTCCTCCAATCGGTTCATCTCGTCTAAGCAGGCCCAAGCACCAACTTGACAGAGTCCAAGGAAGATGCGCCCCATCGCTTGGAAGTCGAAGGTCTCGTCGCAACAGAAGACGAGAACGAAACGGCCGAGCTGGGCTCCAAGTGCCTTGACGGACTCAGTTTTGCCAGTGCCTGCCGGGCCAAAGGGTGCGCCTCCGAGCTTCTGGCTGAGGGCCTGTGTAAGCGTCAAATAGCAGCGATCAGTCAGCGGCGTCTGGACCAATTTGTCGGCAATTCCGAGGTATTCGTAGCCATATGTGAACTCAGCACTGGACATTCGCACAATTAAGCGATCTAGCGGCTCGCTCACATTTGCGTCGTAATAAAAGCGTAGATGATATTGCCAAGCAAAGTCCAGTATAGAGTGTACGCGTTGCGCGATGAGTTGTCGGACGACGTCCCTTTGGTGTACCATTTCCGTAATAAGGTGCTCGCACTTCGTCCGCAGATGGGGCTGAAGATCAAGCAGGACAGCGTCGGCAAGGACGTCGAGTGTATGCAAGATTTGATCCAGACAGCCCTGCAGAGGAGCTCCTGCCCGAAGAACATCCTCGACTCCACGCGTCCACTGTATCTGGACAGCGACGGTAACAAGCTGGGCTGGCGTGGCATCAGCCCATTGCAGCAGCTGCTCGCGATTCAGTCCATCCGGTGAGTTGAAAAACATGCTCAGAGCGTGGTGTGCAGTCAGAAGCTGCTCCGCGAGAGAGACTCTCATCGTCGATTCGAGCTTCGCCAGCCAATCATTGATCTTAGGAAAGTCTTTGAAGACGATATGCGATGTGAACGGTATTGTTTCTCCTTCCCTGGACACCATCGCTTCGATTCTCGATTCTGCTCGGTCAAGAACAATGCTCGCTATGCCCGCAAACATCTTCCTGAGGTGCTTCATGATTCGAGGGACGTCCTTGGAATTGCCGATGATTTCCAAGAGATCCTCATCGCCGACGAAGTAGTAACGAGGGAAAGCGGATCTCTCGCGCTCAAGATATTCGCCGAGAGCCTTCTGGATTTTGCTGAGCAGATCTGCCAGGCGCTCCATCGATTTTTGCACAGACGGAATCGCCAAGACGTCAGTCACCAGAGGCGACTTCGCGACCTTTTTCATGATAGTCAAAAATTCGGTGTTGATCATATTAAAGCGAGAGCTCTCGACCGGCAGCAAGTGCTTGATATCCGCGCTACCGGTGAAGATGCCTTCCAAGTAGACCCATTGACGCTGAACGTCGATCCAGATATCGAAGAGCAGATGAATCCGGTTGAGCTTATCTTCCCAGGCGCCAGCGTCGTCTTCGAAAACCTTATGGTAAGGTGAAAGCTTCATAGCCGACAACGAATTGAGATGCTCGCTACACTTTGCAAATAAATCATCCCAGCCTCGGATGAGCCGAGTCTTCGTCTGATACTGCACCAGATCAAGTGTGTAGCTATTCCATGTCTCGCGAACCTGCAAAGAGCATAAGTTTGACCGTCTGCATCAGTGCGGAAGCACATGCCTGTCGGAGGAACTCTTCCAGCGCCATCTCGCCTTGAGCTTGCGCAATGATCTCCTTGATCAGGGTCTCATTACGTCGAAGATTGAGACCCCATACTGTCGCCAGTGTCATGCCTGTCAAGTCGAGCGTTGCACCGGTGTTGAGGCGACCATGTAGTTGACGCCAATGTCGCTCTCGCATGGCCTCTGATCGTAGCTCGGTCACGAGCGTGTTGATCTTGATCAATTGACGTATGTGATCCTGGACGTGCTCGTAAGCAGCATACTGTCGCATTCGACTCGGCATTTCGCGCGCAGATGCTAATAGAGCATCGAGACGCTGCCGCAGCTTTCTAGGTTGTAAGGAGGTCCAGCTAGTTTCTGCGAGCTCCGAGAGCTGCGCCCAGATGCCAGAAAGTGCGGTCCAGACAGTCTTCAAATCGCGCAACTCCTCCGCGACAGGCTTGAGCCGCACGTCCTCGACAGCATGTACGTCGAGCGCACGCTTAGCACGTGCGATGAGATCGAGCTCATCTTGTGCACTGCCAAGCCGGGCTTCGAAGGCTTGCAAGTATGTCATAGCTGCTTCTGGCTGCGCATTGCCTTGGACAGGCTTCTCTTGCTCCCAATCAGCCATCAGCGCAGCCACTCGATTCGCCAGAGCAGCGTCCTCGGCCGCAACTTTGAGTCTCAGTCCGCCTGTTAAGGCGATCAGCTGGAAAAGAGCAGAAGAGAAAGTGACGAACCAATCTGACCCACAATCTGTGCATTCTTCCGCTCCAGCAAGTCGTTCAGCGCATTCCAGTCAGCCTCGACTTGATCGATGAACAACCAGTCTGGAGGAAACGTGAAGCGCTGGCGCTCCAGGGTCCGTTGAGCATTGCCAAAACCATCCACAGACGCTCGCCAGCTCTGCGCGCTCTGTCGCAGATCCTGTACCGATGTGATGAATGCTACTGCACTTGCAGTCGAGGAGCCATCAAGCTCCTTCGTCTCGATAGACTTTCGTGCTTGCAGGATCTCATTGTGTGTGGCGCGCATGTTACTACCAAGCTTTAGACCGAACTTTGCAAGGATGTCGCGCTGCCATGTGTCGTACTTGAGACTCACTTTACTCTGCACCTGATCGTAGACGATGCTCAGCGGCCCGAAAGCTCTGGACGTATTAGTAGTATCGAATGTCGCGCGCGTCCTGCGAATCTCCGCAAGCATCTGCTGCCAGGCATCGATAGAGTCGCCCAGCTCCGCATACACGTGTTCGCTTTCCAAGTCCCAGAGCGCTTGGAAGCTCAGCCATTTGCCGACGTACGCTTTCATCTCGGTCATACGGGTCTCGATGAGAGCGAATGCCCGCAGGATGCCAGCTTTGGGCAGCTGAGACATTAGCGCGGTGTAGCGCAACGTTTGCGGCGTGTGATCGTCAAGCTGGGAGCCCATGTCGTATCGGGAAGTGGTTACACGATTCAAAGCGCACACGACCGCCATTTGCTCCTGTAGATGAGCGTAACAGTGAACACGGGCAGCAGCCAGTGGCGGCTCGAGGAAGATGACCTGGTTTTGAATTCGCAGCTCGTGCTGAAAGGTCGGAAGTGCTTCTCCTTTCCCATGAACCGAGACGCCGTTGCCGAGGGGTTGGTAGCCATCGATGTTCTCCTTCGCGAAGTCCTCTGTCCAATGCTCGAGCACATTCTGCAAGCGATCCTGTAATTTTCGCTCGATGTGCGCGTCGAGCTGAGCAACGTATGCGTCGAGGTTGACAAAGCCTTCTAGGTTCAGTCGATCTACGAGCTGCTGCAGCTTGACCAGAATGGACTGGAAAGCTTCGAAAGCATAGTCGCATGACGTCAATTGGCTCAAAGCTGCATCGACTTGCTCCTGCAGTCTGACGAGCGATTCTGTGCGTTCTTGCAAAAGCGAGACGGCCCTCGAGAATTCTCTTACGAATGCAGCATGGCGAGATTCTCTTGCTTCGGCATTGTTAGCGACGTAGCTGTTGACAAAATTCTCCCATCGAAGACTGAGACCCTTTGTGATCAACATCTGAACCTTGTTGCGCTGCTCGGCAAGTAAGACAGCGACAGCCGGGTTGGCATGGATGAGCTCATTCGTCTGCGCGAGCGTGCGTATATTCTCCGTTAGGCTGACAGCAAACGGGTAGACGCGATGCGCATCTTTCGCAGTGTTGCTGATCTGATGGGGAACCGAGTAACCAAGCCAGAGCAAGTTGCGAACTTCTTTGAAGAGTGAGATGATGTGCGCATCGAAGCTGACGGCTAAAGCCAGGCTCGAGCTGTCCTGCGTTCGTAACCTGACGACTTCGAAGAGTCGTCCGGAGATCTGAAGATCGCGCCTGTTGATCTCGTGCAACCAAGCTTCATACAAAGGCCTCGCATCAAGCTTACGCCTGAAGCTAAGACTTTCGGTCTGCAGTTTCTGACCCTCGGCATAAAGCTCCCAGCCTTTGCCGAGTACGTCTTCAACACGAGTCATATACGCGTTGAGCTGGCGCTCAATCTGACGCGCCCATAAGATTGCACCTCCGATGGGTGGCAAGTCGCGTAGCTGAGCGAGTGCCTGAACCTCAGACTGACGATAAGACGTCTTGAACTTCTCCTGCAGCCGTCTGAGATCGTCTTTGACCGAATCGAGCAGCTGGGCTTGGTGATCTTGGATGGCTCCTCTGATCTTAGGCCGTACAAACAATGTGTTGAAAGACTTGAAGATCCTGAACATCTGATTAGCATTGCGTGTCTGACCCAGTCTGTCGCGCAGCTTGGCGATGATGGAGTTCTCGACCCTCGAGACTTGCTCATTGTAGGCTGCTTCGGCACTGATCCAGATATCTGTGCCTTCGGGCGAGATGTCGAGCACATCGACATTCTTGACGGCGTCATAAGCCGATCGAACTTCGTCTTCCATATCAATGTCAGAGCTACCATTGAGTCGTTCTGCCGGTCTGCCGGTCAATCGTCTGACTTCGTTCGAGGCCGAGAAGTTTCGTGTCATGGCGATAAGCTCTGTGTGTTCCTTTCTGAATTGGCGCAGATACGCAATTCGCTCCTGGAATTTGGTATGGACAGAGACGATCTTGATAGGAATGAATTTTTCACTACGCTTGCGAGTGACCTCTCTCGCAACATTTGTAAATTCTTTGAGTAAGTCGTCCCAGGTATTGAAAACAGCAGTAGCGGCCCGCATCTGACGATCGAAAGCGTCGTAATCCAATTGCATCAAGCGCTGATTACCCAGTACGCGAATGAGCTGATCTTGCAGATCTTGCGAGATGGCCTCAACCAGGGGCAGAGCTCGTCTGATTGGATAAGGCGATACTCTCAGCTTCTTGTTGATGTGCCCAAAGATAAGCTTGAGCGCTTCTTCGATCCGCGGCAAATCGATAGCAGACAGCAGCTCATCGAGTGGAAAGTCTTTCATAAGTAGATTGTACTTGATGACGAGATCTGTTGCCTCCTTGAGACCCGTATCGGCGATGAAGGAGACAGTAGCATGAAAGCGCTTTGCATGCTTTAGAATGTCAAGGGTCAGCGTGACCGGATCGCTCTTGAGCTGGTTCTCGATATCCTCGAGTGCACGCTCCATACTGAGCCAGAAGTTGATCTCTTGACTCGCAGAGCCTGATGTCACATCCCGGTTGAGACGGGTGACGTTCTGTATCTCTTTGATCCACGCGTTCACGTCACTCTGAATGCGATTGAGAAAGCCACTGTCTTGGAGAAGCGTGGGACTGAGGGCGTCCGATGATACAGCAACACCTTTTGTACGACATGACTCGACTGCTGACCGCACAACGGGATTGACGACGAGGTGGATCTCTGGGATCTCGACATTTTGCTGCAGATGCAAAAGTGATAGCTCGAGTTCTGCGAATTTCTTGCGCGTCATGGGAATGCCCATCTTGGCCTCTGCATCTTTCGCTTTGCCCGATGTTGGCGCCTGCTTCGCTGGATCGGCGCGCGAAGAGACATAGGCATCGAAGTAGGGCGCGACAGCGAGATGAACGAGGTTGTGTAAGCTCTCGTAGGGGTTCAGTAGGGCTGTGGCCGCTACCGACACGCCTGCATCGCCATTGCTGGACACAACAGTCTCTGCGGCTGAGGCTGAAGCTGAGGCGGGTCCGAACAGGTTGACAAAGTGAAGCTGGGCCTCCAGCGGCTGAGCAGTATCGATGCTGGGCACGCGCTTGATGCAAGCCAAAGTCGCTACATGATTGACACTGTAGGCCATCGTATCGCTCACCGTGTACTGATAGATCAATCGGCCATCTGTCAGGAGAACGGCGGTCAGGCTAGGCCATCTCTAGGTCGTGAGCAGAACTAACCTTGCGCAGCCTCTGAAGCTTCCCTGAGCCAGGTCTTGTTGAGGTAGACGACCAATCTAGCGGGCTCTGAGCCAAAATGACGCAGCTGGTCGGTTGCTTCTTGCGCTCGAAAGAGGTGCTCGAGCTCATCAGCCTGACTGCCGAGCAGCAAAGGCAAGACTTTGCCAAGATATTGTACAAAGATGGCGACATCGAACAGGTCGCTTCGAGCCGAGACGGCCTGCGTCGAGCTCGGACCATCGTCCAGAGCAGCCTCTGCCATCGCGGCAGCCATCCACTGCGAGCTATGGTGAGGCGCACCTGGGGGACAATTCAACTCCGCCAAACGGCGCGACCGTGTCATCTACCGCGGCCGATGTGGGGGGGCGACGACTCGCTGCGTGCGCACCAATCGACGCAGGGTTTGCTTGTGATAGCATGTCTGTGCGAGCTGCAAGAGCCTTGCGAGGAGTGTCACCCCGCTTGACGGTCGCTTCGACATCTAGCCTGCCGCCTGTCCGACCTCAATGCGGCGATCGGCGAGGCTATGCTGAGGAAAAGGGAGCGCCTCCGCCGCAGCCTTCAGGTGAGCACAAGCCGACTCCTCTCGACAGGCGGCTCAGACTGCGCCGTCATATACAGCTGCGCCATTTGAGGAACCTGCCGGCATAAATGCTGCCGATCACTTCAAGGACCTACAACAGCCTCTGCACGAGTTTGGCAGCTATCTGACCGGATGTCTGCGTCAGTCGCATTGCCGTCTGCACGCCTGACCGCGCTTACTTGATCGGAGACAGCCAAATTTATACAGCAATTCTCGGTGTACAAGGACGAGTTGACGCTTTACGTCGCGCCCGACTCGGTCGTGCAAGTCCTCACCTTTCTACGAGATCATTCCAACACACAGTACAAGTCTGCCGTTGATGTCTGCGGTGTCGATTACCCGACCCGGCCGAAGCGATTCGAGGTCGTCTATAACTTGCTCAGCGTGAAGCACAACTCCCGAATCCGCGTCAAGACCTACGCCGATGAGGTCTCACCTGTGCCGTCGTCTGTGGGCGTCTTCAGGGGCGCAGACTGGTGCGCATGACTTGAATTTCCCACTCGCATCTGCTAACGTTGGCCTTTGCCGCGCAGGTACGAGCGTGAGATTTATGATCTTTTCGGCGTCTTCTTCACTGGTCATCCCGATCTCAGGCGAATCCTGACCGACTATGGCTTCGAAGGTCACCCGTTGCGCAAAGGTACGTCCGTGTGGCTGATGATGTTCGCTCGCTAACGCTCAGTGGATGTGCCAGACTTCCCCCTCACAGGAACGACAGAAGTGCGCTACGACGAAGAGAAGAAGCGAGTCGTCTCCGAACCGCTCCAGCTCGCTCAAGCCTTCCGCAACTTCGAAGGCGCAGCGTCACCCTGGGAGCAAGTCGGCGAGGGAGTGTCTGCCCGTCCAGAGACATTCACGATCAAGCCGCCTGAGCCAGAACCGAAAGAAGGCGAGAAGAAGTAGATATCTGTAACGCATCTGCAATTACGTGTGACAACAACACATCTACACCTTTGCTGACTTTAGTCGAGATAGCGAGGACGCGAGGTGGGGCCATTTCGATCGTCTTGCGCACCGCGCTTCTGCCCTCTGGTTTGATCTTGCTGAGGCAGCGGCTGGGCAAAGCCAGCTGCAACTGCCATTGCCTGAAACTGCTGTAGCTGGAAGCCCGCTTGCATGCGCATCGGCGGCGGCAGTGCTGGGTTATTCATCATCATGAGACACTGCATCATCTGAGTCTGGATCCACATTGGATCCATCATGCCCGAAAGCCCATTGACAGCTGGCGCAGCGGCTTCTGCCGGCGCAATGCCTGCTTCCGCTTCGTTTGAAGGCGATTCCACCTTTGGTTTCTGGTCTTCGCTCGTGCAGTCTTCAGGCTGCTGACTGCGATGAGCCCTGCGCCACCTAGGCCTAGAATGGCTTACCTTTGCCTCCTCCGCCAACTGGTCTTCAGCCTTGACTTCCCCTTCTTCCTCTTTGCCATCTTCCGTCTTGGCCCCAGGCGCGTTGTCGTCGCGAGATTGCTCGACCATCTCTGCAATATATTCCTTCACGCGCGTCCGACGATCTTCATCAGGTTTGAGCGCATCGAGACCTTTGACCTTGCTCTCGCATTCTGGACAGATCATGCTGTTCTTCTCGAGATAGGGTCGTATGCAAGTCTCGCAGAAAGACGTAGAGCAACAAGGTACGATGACCGCATCTTTGAGGAGCTTTGCGCAGATCGGACAGCTCAAGTCCGGGTCAGTCGGTTCGAGGTTTTGCACATCGGCTGGCGTTAGATTCTTGCGACCGGTCTTGCGTTGCGCCCACGATGCACTGGTCCAATGTGAGCGATCTTCCTTCGAGACGAGCTAGTTGATACTTACGCATCAGGACGGGCAATCACAAAGCCACCATCAGCAGTGACCATGACACCTGCCGCAGCCCCTTCCGTGGGCGCCTCGACTGTCTGTAAGAAGCTGCGAGGGATACCAGTCGTTCGCCTAAGTTTGGGTTTGTTCTCAAAATTTGGATCACTGTTCGTCGCACAGTCTTGTATCCAATGACCTATGTCATCCGTCAGCTACGACAAAGCGCTCGTCGTGATCAAACATACCCCGCTGACCGCATCGATGACACGTATAGTCGCCCGGTGGCGGTCCACGCTGAATGCCATGAACAAAGCCGGGCCGCGGAGGTGCAGCTCCCGGCTTGCTGCCGATAGGCGCAAAAGGTCGTGGACCCCTCATGCTGTTCAGCACATCAGCTTGATGCAAAAGTTCGAGACGTCTGGAGCGTACTTTGAGAGTTGGGAGGACTGCTGCTCCCATTGCTGGCCGGATTGAGCAAACATGGCGGCAAGCCGAGACTCCTCATCGTCACCTGCAGGCACAGTGGCTGCAGCGTTGTCGAATCTCATTGACATTGGACCTTTGGCTTGGAAGGGCAAGGAAGGAGCCGAGACGGTCGTCGCAGCCGCGTGAAGTGTAGACTCATCGACGATATACTTTTGTGCATTGCCTTGGCCGCGTCGCGAGGCGGGAGTCCGTCTGGCGAGCACGGTTGTCGCGCGAGGTACGATGGTCGAGTCATGTCGATACTCTGAAAGGCACAGCAACGCGCAAAAAGGCAGGATCGCAAACGTCAGCGCATGTCATTTGAGTCTCCACGCGCGCCAACATGATCCATTGCTGAGGCATGTAGCTACTTGCAGAGCAGACAAGAGAAGTCCTCACCTTCGTCCGTCTCTGGATTGAAGATGGCAAAGTCAAAATCGCTTGCCTTGCCGCCCATCTTGTTGGCAGCGATGATGTCCTTCTTGATGTCGAAGACCGAGATGCCCGTGCCATCGAATGTGATCGTGGAGGCATCCTTTTGTGAGCGAAACTTGTAGTAGATCGAGCTTGTCATCTTGGAGGCAGGAAGAGGTGCGGAAGGTCAGATCAGTCAGCAAACAATGCCAGCGCCAGCGCCAACGCCGCAGCAGTAGCCCTCAATACTGGCGATAGTCGTCAGGCAGCAGCCCGATCGTGGACCTCTGTTCCGACTGTGCGGCCAGACAAGCAACGATGCACTCGATAGGACTCTATGTATCGAACAGTATCTGGACCAAGTTGGGCGTGAGCGGGAAGATGAGATGCGCGGCGTAGAGCAACGCGTGACCAATCAAAATCGAGTACGTGCCATATCAACAGGCTGTGCTTCCCCGTGGCATTGCGCCGTCGCCGCGACGACAAGTTGCCGTCGGTCGCTCTTTTCCTCTTCTTCTTCTTCCTCTCGGCCACATTCGACCGAGCAAGAGCAACCATGTTCAGCAAGGTCATCGTCGCAAGCGTACTGCTCGCAAGCGCATACGGACGTGCGCTGTCTGAGCATTCCTCTCGCGAGCTCGCCCTTTCCAAGTATGATGAGCTCATCGCCCGCAGTCGCGTGGCATCCGTCAATCATGCCAACGAGGACTTTGTCAAGCGTGGCTATCAAGGCATCATCCTGACCGTCTACGTGCCACCCATCACGAAGCCTCTGGCCGGTGTGACGTGGTACTCTGGCTCGAAACAGCGCGTCGAATGGTCAGTAGCATGCCAACACAAGTGATGAGCTGAAGCAACTCCTTTGCTCTAGGTCAACTGCCAAACTCCCCGAAGATGGCAAAAAGCAGAATGGCACGCTCGTTCTCGGCTATCTCGCTGACGATTCTGAGCATCTCATGCTAGGTAAAGTCATTGCCCTAAGCTATGGCTACGCCTTTGAAGAGCAAACACAGACACGCCCCTTGCCAAGGACTTCAAGCTCGGCCGCGGTCATACGTACATCACAGTGCCCGACGTACCCGAACGTGATGATTACATTCGTCCGTCACGTATAGTCATGCTTCACCGAGCTGACGCACGCTAGTCAGTCTGTCTCTTCGGCGACTCGGGCAATATCTCGGCTCTCTTCACGATCAAACCTCAGCCGCCTGCCAAGCGTGATCTCAACATCAACCTGGACTCGCAAGACACAGAGGTGCTCAAGCGTGCCCTTGATGAGATCCACGACGAGCTCGACAAACGCGAACGCCAGCTCTTCCATGAGACGCTCGACCGCCGTCAGGTCCACGACGATCAGTTTCACGGTGTCAGCGTCTGAGTTCTCAATGCAGTCAATTGGAATTTCGTCATTTCTTTGTTTCAACATGTCTAGTCTGCGAATGTCTATCGTGTCTCTAGATCGTAGGCGCGCTTGCAGGAAGGCCAGGCGGCTTCTTGAAACCACAGATCTGCTGACTTTGACTGCCCCCATTGTTGAGAGGCGAAGCGTACTGATTGCCGTTCGGGTTGCTCGAGTTCGTTGCAATCGAGGGCTCACTGATGTCGCAACCGAACAATGGCTTCGCACTTGGGCCAAACAGTGACTTTGACACGTACGTGGAGATGTCAGAGATCGACTGTGCTGTGGCACCGACTGCCGTTGGAATGCCGGAGAAGATACCCTGATAGACCGCGCAAGTGATCTCTGATGTCTGGGCGTTGTTCTGTAGCAAGGCACCGAGCGGATTGGGCAGAGGCAAGTTCTTTCCGGCTGCCAGGTAGGTAGGCACAAGACCCTCAACAAGCTGTGCCACGCCGTAAGGTGTCGTACGGCGGTACCAGTTGTCTGGGAAGCGCTCAGGCTGATAGCATATCTGCTGAGTCGCATTGTCGATTGTGTAGCCCATCAAGGGCGCCAGGCTCTCGAAATTGCTATCACCGCCGGCGCCGTATGTTCCGTTTGAGAAGAAGTTCGGCAAGAAGGGATACTCGCCAAGAACGACGACGATAGTGTATGCTTGGAAATACAGACGAGGATTGTAGGCAATCGATTCCTTCGAGTTGATGCCAAAGAGCTGATTTGCGGCAGGGACGTTGAACTGGCCGCCGTTGGCTTTAGCAGTCTCGATGAAGCGTGCAAAGCGGCGAGGTGAGCCGTTGTGATCGTCCCCGTTATTGAGATAGTAATCCTCTCGGGTAGCTCTGTTGAAGTGCGTTAGCTTCCGCTTGTACCATACTGCTAGCTCAACTGACGAGATATCACCCTCGCAACGACTGTGAGCGTCGAGCCCGTACTGTCTACCGGCTGCTTTGGATCCAATGCCAGTTGCGCTGTAGGTGCGGTCATCCTCGCCACCCAATGAAAAGACTTCGGTCTCGATATTGCCACCGAAGGCAACGGCAATCGTGACGAGAAGAGCAGCTGTTCATTGGGTCAGCATAGCTTGCGAGCGATGCAGCGTTGTGAACCTACACAGATCCGGACCCATGTTGAAGCCACGCTCGGTGGCTGTGATGACATCGCCCGCTCTGACAATGCCTGATCGATTGAGATAACCATGATTAGCCAGAGTGTTCAGGCCTGCTTGTCATTCAGCGTTGCAAAGTCTCGGCATTGAGAGTACTCACCCGGACAGGGACCTCTCTGGTCGGTCGGTCCAGGCGCGATAAAGTTATAGCCTGGCTCCGGACGCTTCTGGTTTGGGTCGACAACGGCCGCAACACCTCCAAGGATACCATCCAGCAGATTGGCAGGAGCGCCAAGTATTTGTGGCAGGCCACGTTTCTTCAGCGCTTCGTGACCGACATCGCCTGGGATATCTCTGCTGTCGAGGGCTGCCAACATGGCTCAGCGGTGGCGGCGAAGTCGGTCACAGGTACTCACAGATGCCATGCGACTCGAGGTATGGGCAGGCAATGGGCGAGCACAGGCTGACTGCAACGAGCGAGAGCGTCGTCAACACTGCAAACGTGCGCATGATGCTCGTAAGTAAGCAGGCTGAGAGGGACAGTGCCCGAGAGGCTTTATAAGATGTATCAATAGCAACGCATGAAACTGAGTCGGATCCGATCAAGCCAATGACGTGAGAGCAAAACGAGGAGCGAGCGACATTGCAGAGCCGGAGACACGCTCATCAGTGCTAGGAGAGCATGGCTCGGAGGTGCCGAAAGTGGGTTTTAGAGCGTCTGTCGATCTCATGAAGATCCAAATGATCGACAGCGACGTCACGAACGATCAAGGACAGCTGTCGTGAAATTTGTGAAAGCCGCCCACGGCCATATCGCTGAGGCGCGCCGAACGTTTAGTGCAAAGCTGCGCGTGTGCGACGCCACCGGTCCATGCCCGCCCGAAGGTCCCTCAAAGTCAGACGCTTTTCACGTTACAGTCTTTGCTGCAAGCATGACATCAAAGAGGCAAGTGGGCTTGCCGATCGCACTGCAATCGATACATCATCATGAGGGAGAGTGCCTAGCACGTGTCTGAGCCCAGGTCGAGCATGCTGTCTATCTCTTCCATCTCGTGATCTTGGCTTTCGGCAGCACGATTGCCGTGACGTTCTGGCGATAGAGACTCATGATATCGATGGCCGAGATAAGGATCGTCACTCGACGGTGACCATTGCATTCGGAGATCTTTGTTCTCTTCTTGCGTGTATGTTGCCAATGCAGACCAAAGTGAGCATGCCTCATGAATTGCACCCGCTTGCACTCGATCGTCTCGACCGTAGCATTCACTCATCGCCGGTGAAGAAGCGAGGTGGAATTGACCCGGTGAGCCGACGTTCCATTGGTCAATGAGCGCGACGCGCTGCTTCCTGATCGTGCCAGGTATCTCGAGCAGGCCAGGAATCTCGATCGCTTTCTCGACATCTTGCTCTTCTCTTCTCAGTGGATCACTCCGCTGCGCAGCAACATGAACGGAAGACGGATATGGCAGGAATGGCGATAGTTTGCCGAGCGATTTGCGTGAACCTTTCGAGGTTGCAGCTTCCTCGATCGCTTCGTCAGTCGACTGAGACACGAGTGGATTGCAGCCAGGACAGGAGAGCACAAATTCCTTGATGAGCTGGCGCGGTAGGAGAACATAGTCTTTGCTTGCACGGACTAGCGTCTTGTTGGCCGAGAGATGCTGAGTGCCTTGAACGTGAGCGGATGCGATCAGATCGTAGTACTAGCTCGAAGTAGAATCAGCCGTTTGCCAGGGATACGGAGATAGGAGAGACCTCGTCTTGGATCGCGACGACCTTACCGAGTCGCATGAGGAATTGCTGGCCTTGAAGAATGAGCGTTTTGAAATTTTGCTTGCGGACGTGTTGAAGTGCGGCCTGACCGTGTAGCTTGATGAGCGGATTAGGTGACCCGTTGACTGCTTTGCAGATGGCCGTGTGGGTGGCTCTCGTGATAATTCGTCGCCATCGATTGCCTTGACCGATCTCGCTCGCATAATTGTCCAAAGCGACTTTGAAGTCATGCGGCGATGTCAGTCGCACCTCATCTCCTCGGTCTGTGGCTGACATGCTGGCGAAGAATGGATAGAACCGGAGCGCTGCAGATGCCAAAGAGCAATCAGGGGAGGTAGCAACGGGTCTATCGCCCTCGACGCGTCTCGGAGCTGTCAAAGCTAGAAGCAGATGAGAGCGTGCATACAGGGTGCGGATACATTACACTGATGTCAAATGGACCATCGAGGCTAGTGTGCCTGCGAGTCTATAGCTCGTCCTTCTTGGCATGCGTTGAGCCAGCAGAAAAGACTTGCTTGTATTCGATAGGAACGCCGATCAGCTTTGGTACTGTTCTTGCATTCGCCTTTGTATGCATGCAGGTCAGTCACAGCTTGTCAAGCAGCCGACTGACTCACTCGTCGAAGGAACATCGCAATCTTGTTCGTCGGGCAGGGCTTGCCGCCCCACCGATCTTCGAAATGAGTGATCTTTTCGGAACTGTCCAGCTCCATCCTCACGAGCGAGTCCATCACTTTTGTCGCCTTGATGGGCAGCGTGTACTTTTGCTTCTGCGTGCTGCTCGTGCGCCTGATGAGCTCCGTCGGGTGTACAAAAGCCAGGAGGCGCACTATTCGATGAGGTTGGGCTCGTTCGTGACGACCTTCCACTCGAGTGTCTCGCTGATCGGGAAGGCTTTGGGCATACCCAGCCATTGTGGGTAGTACTCTGCCGATCCTTTGCAATACGCTATCGGGTCTTCAAAGATTGCGCCCTCTGTCCAGGATCGCTTGAAGATCTCCGGGCTTGGCTTCGAGCCAAAGAGGGCCATGGCATCTTGTACGAGTTGGAGGCGCTTTCCTTCGAGCGGGATGCCGTGATCAGTGGAGGCTGAAGAGGCGGCAGTGGACATCGTCGCGAGACCGAGCGAAAGTGCTGGCAGGAGGGAGCGTGATCGATGGCAGCTGATAGAACTGACGAGCAAAGCTATTGACATGCACGAGAGTCTCATACAACGATGCCGTGTCAGCTGCAATTCTATCGGCGATCGTTGCTGCGATAGTCCGACGCGTCGTCGTCGCCTTGGCCTTCACTCGCGCGGCCACGCTGTGAGCCGAGGAGCTGACGAGATGCCACGACTTGGCGATTCGTACAAGAAATGGGACGACTTGGAACTCAGCGATGACAGCGATATCGAGGTACGGCGGACTGACGCAGCCAAGATGCAGCCAGCTCATAGTCATCCAGACTCATCCCAATATCGACACAAAGTCGATGATCAGGCAAGCTAGCATGACTCTATGCATTTATGAATGTGCTGATGCAGAGACTGCAGATGGCGACAACGACAGGCAGGCCCGCCCACTGCCGAATCATCTTGTGCTCACCTTGTTGCAGATCCACGAGAAGCGAGAGGAGCGCAAGCAGAACATTGCCAAGCTGACAGCAGAGATCAAACTCAACGATACCCTCAAAGACCGTCTCGAAGCCATTCGCAGCGAGGCGACGACATTTGATGCCTTCAGACACGCGATGCAAGCGCTCGACGCAAAAGTACCAAAACCTATGACGGACCCCAAGAAAGCTACTCCGAGCCACGACGAGATGATCATGACTCTCTTGATGACTGTTGCCGGTCAAGCTGCAATCTCGCCCGAGAGCGACAGAGACGAAGCTGTAAAATCTCAACTAGCTTACCATCTTGGCGAGTTAGACAAGCGAACGGAGCAAGCCAAGATCGAGCTGGCAGCCGAAGAGAAGGAGAGCAAGAAGCACATCACCTCTGAAGACCTGCATGAAGGTTTCGCTGCGGGAGTACGCCGGGCTTAAGCTGTGAATGAATAATGCTGACGTGTCGTTCAGTCTGTGAACAAGACGCCAAGCGCTCAACCCATAGACCCTCCCAAGCCAAGCGTAAACAAAGGCAAGAGCAAGGAAATAGAGGTCATCAACTCGCCTGCAGTAGCACAGGCACAAGCAGCCCAAGAAGCCGACGACACCGATCTGGAAGAGCTATCGAGCACAGCCAGGGCATTCAGTCAGATCAAGATGGGCGACTGGACATCATCGTACCGGGCTATCTCTCAAGCGGGGTCCGAGCTACTCAAAGATTCGGTCGTCGACGCCATGTTGCTCGAAGCGTTCCAATTGGGCATGGCAGGTAAGAAGCAGGCCTGCATGAATTGCACCAATCAAGCCCTGATGATACAATACTGCGGCAAACTCGGTCGTGATGGTGTCAGCCTCTTCTTCAAGAAGTAAGCCTTTGGGCCCTCATCGTCGATAGGATGCTGACTCTTACAACCAGAATGCGCGAGAATGTGCAAAAAGCTCAGTCTGTCTTTCTGGCGGACGTGAAGGAAACTTTTGAGCGGTTATGGGCGAGATCGCAAGTCGTTGCAGAGGAGCAAAGGACAGGTGGCGAAGAAGTGATCCAGCTCGTTGCAGAGAATCCAGACACGGTCATCTCGTTCGATGTCCCGCAAGGTCCGCCACCCGAAAAGCTCGTCCTGGAAGGCGAAGGAACAGAAGACCTCGATGTCGAGGATGTGAGGAAGTATCTCCAGCGAAAGTGGGACATCTGGCAGACCTTGGCGCCCGCGCTGCAAGAAGCTCTCAAGACTGGCTCGCTCGATCAAGTCAACGTCGTGCTGGGCAAAATGCCCGTGCCTGAGGCAGAACGCGCCGTACAAGTACTCGACGAAGGAAATATTCTCAACTTTCGCTCGTCAGAGATTCTCGATCAGACTATGGAAAGCAACTAGGTCGATGCATTGCCTGCTTGTGCTGCATCGTCGATGCCCAATGCAAAAGAAAGCGCAACGCGTTCCGCGAAGCGCCGCCGGCTCTCTTCGTCTGGCATGGCGCTTGCTTCTTGCTTCAGCAAAGTGAGACGTGTCATGAGTGCCGCTAGATCCCCTTCTTCTTCGCCTTCTCCGTCTGAACTCATCATGGAGCTCTTGCCACCAAAGATTCGCCGCTGCATCTCCTCGAGTTCCGCTGAGGAGGGCATGTCATTATCGCCTTTTGGCTCCGCAGAGACAAAGTCGCTAAAGTCATCGTCGAAGCCTGTGGGAGCCGTCGCTCCGACGCGAGGCCACAGGTGGGTCTGTAGCGTACTAGCCAGATAAGCATAGCTCGTCACTGCATGTTTTGTAAGCTACCATGACCGACTATGTCACAGTCGAGCGCACTATCACGGCCATCGTCGCCTGTCTCGGGCGCGTGCTCGAGATCGACGAGCTCGAAGCCCTGCTCAACAGCGACATCCAGCCATTCTGCTTCGACAGCATCCCCGTCCCTGTTCGTGTGACCTTTGACGAGAGCGAGAATGGCAATGTCTGGCATCTGATACGCCGCTATACTAGATAACAGTCTCGAGATGATGAGCGGTTTGGCATCGTAATCGGACAAGACGATGAGAGCAGGCACGCCCTGGAGCTGTCCCAGAGCTGTCGATAGATCATATGCTGTCGCTATGCTGACTTTGGCCTCGTAGTAGCGGTTCTTGAGGCGCCAGACGTGAGAGGGCTCATTGCTCAAAGGGGCAGCATCTTGCTTCCTCAATTCTGCGCAGATGCTGAGCGTCTGCTTCAGTCTGCACTGCCTCGCGCACCGGCAACAAAGCTAGCTGTGATGTGTTCGCTGACGAGTGAGAGCACGAGCAGGGTACTCTCTGGGCTTGACATGGCCTGCCTCGATAAATTGTTGACATCGCGTGGCTTTGCCATCCTTTGATCTGGTTTGATCTTGCCCGCTTGCTCCCTTGATGTCGACGGCCTACGTCAAACAGAAGCTCAAGTCTGCCCGCGATCTGATCGGCAAGAAGGACTACGAGGCCGCCTTGCAAGCAGCGAGCGATGTCGTCGATTTTGAACCCCAAAATTACAACGCAAGAGTGTTCATTGCTCTGTGCCAATCTCATCTCGATCGAGCGACCGACAGCGAGGCAACGTACCGCAGAGCCATCGAGCTTGCACCTCATCAGTCTTTAGCCTGGCAGGCACGCCTTACGTTCTCAGCGGAGTCACAGCTATTCACGCCTGCTGCTTGCAGGGCCTCGCGACCCTCTTCAAAGATCAGAAGCAATGGGACAAATATACCGACACGCTGCTGTCAATGCTCGACATGTATGTCGAAAGGTACTTGGGTGATGGACTTGATGGATGGATGATCATGTCTGATTGTTGCGTGCAGCGCCGACGCTTCAAAATGCGCCGAGACAATCGAAAAGCTGCTCGAACAGCGACGAGAGAGAGGCACAACCGAGCAGGTACGCGCGACGAAACAGAACCTAGCCTCTCCTCACGAGTCTACAGATCGTCGAAACGCTCGCATGGCTTCTGCCCGGGTCGAGATTTTACTCATTGCTGGCACGGTTGCCGCCTCCGGACGCGACGATGCCCGAAAGTACGGCCACATACTATACCCAGACTGCGATCCACGACAGCATGCCTGTCCTCGAGGAAATCATCCGCATCCTAGAAAAGGCCGAGCGCAACAGAATAGAAGCCGAAGTCATGCAAAGGCGGCAAAGGTTGGCCGGTCCCGTCACCTCAGCCGAGCAGACTCGCAGAGCCGTCGATAGAGAGATCCTTGCTGTCTCCGATCTACCTCGCTACTATGCTACGCTGCTCGATCAGCACTCGGCTACGGACGAATCGCGAAGGCAGACCGAATCAAAGCTGCTTCGGCATAAGCATGCCCTGCTCATTGCTCTGCCCGCGACAGCAACCGTGCCAACGCCAGATCTGCCTTTATCCAAGCTCAAGAGATGGATCGCGCTCAAAGCCCAATTACGACACGAGGTGCTCGACTTGACGCGAGACATGGTTCTGTTAAAGCTGCCTGATGTGCTCGCCTGGCATATTCAGCTTGACTGCAGAGATTATTCAGACATCACAGCATACGATAGGACAGTCCTATCGAATTTTGCTGACCTTTTCGAGGATGACCCGCTCACTGACATCATCCGAGCGTATGAAACCAGCTCGCGGCCGCACGCCAATGGCGACGAAAGGCACGATGAGCCGTCCCTATCGAGCGACGCCATCTCAGATCTCTACGCACGAAGCATAGAACGCTGTCAGCCTTCAGCAATCTGTGCAAAAGCACTGACGATCAATTACTATGCCGCACAAAAGGAGCACGCCACTGTCATCGAGATTGGCGAAGCAGCCTTGCAAGGCATACAAGCTATTGTCGAGGACTACGGACAGTCAATGCCTGCCATCACTGCAATGTTTGAGCGACAGATGGCACTGGCGTATGTTGAATACGACGCGCCAAAGCATCACGTCCGCGCACTGCGGCTGCTGGATCCATTGCTATTGACTCGACCTGATGATGCCGAATGTCTCTTTGCGCGTGCGACGATCAGAGCCGCATCGGAAGAGTGGAAAGACGCAGAGAAGAGCTTCACGGCTGTGCTTGCTTCGAGCAGCGCATCAAATTCTCTCCAGGCACAAGCCAAGGAAGAGCAAGCCTGGTGCCGAGTTAACCAGAGCGATTTTACTACAGGCCTGCAAGGTCTCGAGACAGCGCTAAGCGGAATCTTTGATTCGGTGGACACGGCCCATGAAAGGCTGGCGCGGTTGCACTGGCGTATAGGAAGCTGCTACTGGCGCATGGCAGGCGACGATCGCCCTGCCAAGCAACTTGCGTACTCTTCTTTCATCTCGTCCATCAAGGCAGACTCGCTCTTCGCGCCTGCATTTACCTCCCTTGGCCTGTACTACCTCGAAGCGCTCGAGCCAGCCGATCATTTGAGAGCTTCACAATGCTTCCAGAAAGCGTTCGAGCTCGATGCCACGCAGGACAAAGCAGCGATGCTGCTTGCCCAAGAGTTCGCGTCGGCTTCGCAATGGGATCTCGTCGAAGTCGTCGCTCGTCGCGTCGTCGGATCGAGCGTCACCTCAGATCAATCGACAAGACTTCCGGTCGGCTCAGCGCTCGCAAAGCGAAGTGCTTGGGCATGGAAGGCTATCGGAGCTGCAGATTTGGTACGCGCACTTTCACAGGCCATCGTGATAAATGCTTACGCTCGCCGAATAGGATGGCAAGCGATATGACAGTGCAATTACATCGTTTCAGTCGGCACTACGGGGCTCCCCTCGCGACGTGTCCACCTGGATGCGACTTGGCATGTCATATAGGGGATCTGGCAAATACGTTGCAGCACTGAAGACATTCGCGCAAGTCCTGAAGCTTGCGCCTGATTTTTGGCAAGCCAAATATTGCATCGGCGAAGTGCAGCGCGCCATCGGACTCACTCGAGCGGCTATTGATACATTTTCGGAACTGACGGCAACGCGATCCAGCGACGATAGCTTGACAGTTGTGCTTGCCGAAACGCGCGTGCTGCATTCGCGCACGCTGTTCAGTACCGGCTACAACGATCGAGCAAAGGAGCAGCTTCTACTTTCCATCAAGGCCACTCTCGCCATTTGCGAACACGATGCGCTGGCTCAGCAATGCACTAAAATTCTCGCCGATGCCTTGGAAGCCTTCAGCTCGTGCGATCTTGACGACGTCAAGGACACTGTTCGCGAGCAAGTTGCTACTGTACTGGCGCACGTCGGAATGAAGGATGCTTCCGATAAGGCCAAAGTCCACGCTGTCGATGTGCTTACCACTGACACGATCACTCATCAAGCGGGAAGACTTCCACTTAGTTCACTCTGTGCAGCCGTCTCGGTGCTGTGCTATCAGTGGCGCGTCACTGCCTGTCAGAAGGAGTACGAGCGTCTCGGATCGGCATGGTACGATCTTGCTTTATCGGTCTACGCGCTTCGGAAGCATAACACGCTTGTCCCGACACCCGAGCTTGCCAAAAAGTGCACCGAGCAAAGCATAATGTGTCTGCGCTTAGCATTGCAGCTTGAACCACGTAATGCTCTCTTCTGGAACGCCTTAGGCATCACAACGATTGACACGAGCGCTAAACTCAGTCAGCACGCTTTCATTCGATCTGTCGAGCTCAACGGACGCAGCGCGACAGCATGGACAAATCTTGGTCTGTTCTATCTACTTAAGGACGATCCTGAGCTGGCCAACAAGGCTCTTTTGCGCGCTCAAGTGTTGGATCCAGAGTACGCACGGGCGTGGATGGGTCAATCGGAGTTGGCCCGCGCAAATGGCGACCTTTCTGCCGCTTTCGTCCTCGTCGAGCACGCTTGGGCTTTGCCGGGCTACGTGTCTTCGATCGATTTGACCTATGCCGAACAGACACTCGGCTCGGCGGATAGTCTCACTGGGTCTGATGAGCAAGTGTCGAGACTCTCGTCTGGACTGTATGCCATGTCTCGACATCTAGCACACCAGCCGGAAGATGCCACTGCTCTGCACCTTCATGCCCTACTGAGCGAGCGACTCAATTTGCTTGATCAGGCACAATCGAGTCTTGAGCAAGCTGCCACTGTGCTGGAAGGTCTATACGAGACTTCAGAGTCAGAAGAGACGGAGCGCCGGTTCGTCATTGCACACGCCAATCTAGGCAGAGTCAGTCTGGCGAATGGCAATCTCGATGGGGCTCTGACTGCCTTTGACGCCGCTCTGAGCTTGCTCGAAGATCTTCCGGAGGATGACGAGCAAGGAAGCGCGCTGAAGCTGCAAGCCATGCTCGGACAAGGTCTCGCTCTGCATGCTCAAGGCGATTCCGCGGCGAGCTATGAAGTACTGCAGCAGGCCAGAGCTGAAGCGCCTGATCAGTCTTCGGTATCGCTCAAGCTTGATTTAGCGCTCTCGAAAGTCTTGTGCGAGCGCGAAGATGGTGCAAGCGTATCGGAAGCCACGGAAATCCTACAAGGACGCCTGAACGTCATGGATACTGGCACTCGAGGCGTTGTCGGTGTCGTGACTGCGCTTCTGGAGCTGGCCTTAGCGCAGAAGAACAACAAATTGTTTGCCGACACGCTCAAGTATGCCTCGGCTTACGACGCAGAAACGACAGATGGGCTAGATCCTACAGGTCAGATCGCACAGCTGGCTGCTACCTTTCGATTGCGTCAAGGGGATACGCAGGGTGCAACAGAGATCTTGGCTGCGCGAGTGCATCGTCGACCTTACGACGCAGCAGGTCGATACCGGCTTGTGGAGAACATGATGGACGCGCAAGTTGGATCTGCCGATGAGATGGCCACTCTTCTGGGCGAGGGCGAGAGAAACTCGGGAAATCTAGAGACATACCTGCTCCTGCAGTCGCGACTTGCTACACTCAGAGGCGACACTGATAGCGCTATCGAGTGCGCACAGAGAGCAGTCCACGAAAAGCCTGGATGTGCGGCAAGCAGAGCAGCCTTGCAAGTAGCAATGGACGCGCAAAGATAGCACCAATTGCATGTTGCCCGTACATACAATATCATCATCACTGCTGTTGCTGCTTCTGCATCATCTCTGCATTATGCTCTGCGAACCGTAGCCCGACTCTGTACATCTGATTGATGAGCTCGTGAGCTGCCGCGTGCAAAGAGAGACTCGCCTGTTTGAATGAGCAAGGAACTTGTCTGAGCAGTTCTTGATGCACTCGTCCTGCGTGACTCGTGATGAGCCATGGCGGGAAGCAAAGCATGACGAAGCAGACTTGCCTCTTTGGATGTGACGGCTTTGGTCGTAAAGTCATTGCAGCAAGTATTGAAGCATCGCTCGACCAAGCCGCTGTAGAGCTTGAAAAAGTCGTGCATCTGCCTCTTTGCGATCGTCGCCTCGAGCATCTGCTGCTCTTGCGGCGTATAGTTTGAGCCGTCCATGATTGCAGCGCCTGACTCGGACCTGCTGTGACTCCGAGGCCGGCTCAGAGAGGTCAAAGTCGATCGATGACTCGCAGACGGGCGCGATATAAATTTTGGCAGCGCTCGCCTCTGTCGATTGTAAGGCGCTCGAGATGGCAGTCAGAGTGAGATACGAGTCCGGCAGTGAAGTGGGAGTCTTCTCAAAGGTGTGCACACCTGACTGGCCCATCATCTGCCGCCTGCTCACCAGCAGGGCGGATTAGCTCACCAATTCGTACTGTCTGGCGTCGATGGCCACTGGAGCGAACAACTTTATCTCTACCTTTGAAGCCGAGCTGGGAGATGTGATTCCCGTGATTCAGACGAGTATAGCCGGCACACGCATCATCGGTCGACTGACAGCCGGCAACCGACACGGATTGCTCGTTCCCTCTACGACGACAGATCAAGAGCTGCAACATCTGAGGAACTCCTTACCGGACTCGGTAGCCCTGCAAAGAGTGGAAGAGCGACTGTCTGCTCTGGGCAACGTCATCGCTTGCAATGACTATGTCGCGCTCGTTCATCCCGACATCGACAGAGAGACCGAGGAGATCGTGGCAGACGTACTCAAAGTGGAAGTCTTTCGACAGACCATAGCCGACAACGTCCTGGTAGGCTCATACTGCGCCCTCTCAAATCAGGGTGCTCTCGTACATCCCAAGACGAGCATACAAGACCAGGACGAGCTGTCGAGCTTGTTACAAGTTCCTCTCGTGGCAGGCACAGTCAACCGAGGCTCGGATGTCATCGGTGCAGGCATGGTCGTCAATGGTATGCCCAACCTGCGCTGGCATAGTCGGTGCTGATGTGATGATCCAACAGATTGGGCATCTTTTGTCGGGCTCGACACCACAGCGACAGAAATCTCGGTCATCGAGGCTGCATTCAAGCTGGGCGGTCAGACGACAGACGCAATCGGCAACATGCGCGATACCCTCATCGATCAGTACGCATAGCGTTCTGGTCATGCTGTCTTTTGCATAGACATCGCAGTACAACGTGTATGGCATACAGGACTTGCAAGACGATTCATGCGAGCGTTTGCGTTGATGCTGTCTAATGACCGTAGTCGTATCTGGACAAGCGATCAGCTTCGTCCAGGATGATGAAACCCATGACGCACTTTCTGTAGAACGACTCCGAGTCGGATGGATCGCTATTGGCGCCCCGCTTGCTGAAACCCTCTTCGCCAGCCTCCTCGAGCTTCTTCCTCTCCTCCTTGTCTTCGGCAAGCCAAGCTAGAGCAAGTTCGAGCAGCCTACTGCCCGCTCGATTGGGATCGTTCATTCTGTCCAATACGCCAGCAGGTACTCCCTCCGGTTCGCCCTTGAAAGGCCAAAGCAATGGCGCAGGCGTCGTCGTCTTGCCGAGCTGAATGTGACAGACATGCGTGGGGAAAGAGTCCAGCCCGTCGAAGATGTGGGTGGCATAGCAGACTGTTGCGCCACGTGTATCACATTCCTCGCGTAGAAAGGCGAGCAGCTTCGTTCGAACGAGCACATCGAGGTCAACGGTGACCTGCACTACTTCAGATTGCTACAGTCTGCAGGACTGGAAAGCTGACTTCATCGAGGAGCAGGAGCGTCCAAGGTGCCATGAGACCAGAGACGATCTGCACGCGTCGTCGTTCGCCGTCGCTGATCTGGTGCATGTGCCATTTGAGATCCACATCGAGGCTGACGACGACAGTCAGCTATATGGTATGCCGAACAAAGAGAAGAGCTAACATGTCTAGCAAGCGATCCCTGCGCTCTTTGTGTCTGTATCCGCCCACAGAATCGAGAAAGTGAGCAACGCCGAGATCCGACCTGACGACAGGATTATTGGCCCACTCTGTGCCGAGATAGGTCACCCCGGCAGGCGTCTTCCTGAAAGGGTCCTGCCCCAGCACCTTGGCTTTGCCCTTTGTGAGTCGCTTGCCCGCTAAGATCTGGAGCAACGTGGATTTGCCGGCACCGTTTGCACCGACGAGGAGACATCTCGAGCCTTGCTTGAGGTGCAGATCGATACCGCGCAGTACGGCCGTCTGATCGCTGCTAAAGGCAAAGACGAGATTGTCCAGCAAGACGGCATCCTCCTCGCTCGATCCGTTCGTCGCCATTGGCTTGGACGGGGGCAGCGGATCGCGCGTTGTTCTGTCGATCTGCAACAGAGCTTGAGGTTGCCGGCTTCCGGGACCTTCTGCGGCGGGTGCTCGACCGTATCACTTCAACGTCAGACCCCTGCGCGCAGTGCACTGAGTAACGCATGGCGTGATGTTGCACGCAAGACCCACAGAGCACTCCACTCGATGCTCATCAGTGCGCCTACGTCAGGATCTAGCAAAGTCCTCGCTCGATGGTCATAGCGCTGGAACATGCAACATCTGGGATGCATGGCTGGGACGCTTTGCCGTGACGCATCAAGAGCGCGTGCATCGGCCTCATCTCGGGTCGTGAACGCAGCCACCAGCCGTGACGCGTTGTGCACCGGACTGACACAGCCCTTGCTCCTATAAGACGCTTTCTCAGCGTCAGCTGCTTGAACAAAGTAGATTTTGCAGAGTCAGCAATGGTCTATCGGGCATTCTCAAAAGCTTGCATCATCGTGAGAATCTACTATGCGCCTCAAGACAAAAAGGATGCCGCGGCGGACAAAGCGACTTCCAGATAGATGCCAAGGTACATTTTGTCCAAAGAAGGGGGCGAACTGTGAGCTTACAGCAATGCGTACACAGCTTTGCTAGGCTTTCATGTGGTCTGACATGGCTGGAAGAGCAAAATGCAAATTTTGGCTAGAGCGAACAGTCTGCTGGCCGTGCTCTCTATGAGTGCTCCTACATGACCAGAGGGGGTGATGAAGCCACAATGAGGTCAAAAATGCCTGCTAGAGTGCCAAGGACCTTCGACGGACATTGCGCGCGTTCTGGCACGTGCACGCGTTGATTGGCGATGATTTTGGTAAGACGTGGTCCCGCTATGATGCAGTCTGACGGCATTGTCGACTTCTGCCGGGCATGTCTGGACCATCTACATGATCCAGACAATCCTCTACCACTCGAATGGCTCGACGAGTCCTTGCTGCTCCGCAACACGTACATTGCTGAAAATGAGCAAGAGGATCACAAGACAGGCCGACGCTACAGGGTTGGCCAGCTCAACGAAACGCATACGCAGCAGCTCGACACGTTCAGAGAAGCCACGCTCGACGAGGGATCGGCTTCCTTGCAATTGACATTCTTCTTCGAGCCAGACGAGTCCGTCGAATCAGGCCGAGCTGTGTTCGCTCATTCGTCGCTGGCGTACTGCTCAGCAAGCATCTTGCATCATATCCACCTTGTGCTTCGCTATCAGCAAGAACTCTTGTCGCCACAGCAGGCGCACGATCGCGAGCATTGGCGTCTTTGCGCGCTCTATGGCGAACAGGACTGCCCGACTTGGCCAGAGGCAGGAACTATAGAGCAAGCCGAGCAGCGCTACAATGAGCTCGAGGCGAGCGGTCATTACAGCATGGAAGACTACTGGGGCGCCGGATCGGACGCTGGTACTACTAACGATGCACCCGATTCGAGTGATGATGCATTGACCGCCGCCTTCTTGAGCGCCCTCAAGAGCCATGCAGGTCCCTCAGCAGATCGCATGCATACTATTGCCAAAATACAAACGGCACTCGATCGAGCTCTAGAGCAGTTCTACACAGGCACCTAGAAGCGTCTAGCCCGTAAAGGCAGATTCGTCAATCTCCACCCCAAAGGTATCCGCTGCCATGTCTTTGACCTGCCGAGCGAGAAGATCCTCGAAACCTTCTTGCTTGCCACGGACTGCGCCATAGCTCCACTGTCGCACCTTGGTCAGCAGGAAGCCAATGTCGATGACGACGAGCGCAAGTCGGAAGCGCCAGAGTCGTAGCTTCTCGTTTGCATACGTCCGCAGGCCCATTTCGCGGAGAGATTGATGCGATAGCTTTGAGGTCGATTCGACGCCTACTGCGGCCCAATGCGCAAGTATGTTGATCCTGTTCGATGGCGAGCCCAGCCTCTGGTTGTTTGCTTGACACATACGCATCGTCCTCGTCACTGCTCCGTTATGGTCAGCGCAAAAGTCGTTTGAGCCAAAAGAACATACAAAAGATGAGCTCGCGGGGTATCAATTGTTCGTTTTCTAGCATGCTCTTGAGCTTCTCCTTGATATTCAGCTGTGCTTCGTATTCGGACCGTGTCTCTTGTAGCGTCTTCTTGCCAGGCTGCTTGCGGCTCAGTCGCGTCGGCTTGAGAAGCGTCGCAGTAGCCATCATGGAGCTATCGCCGACGCCCCACGATTTGGTGATCCGTTCGATGGTGTCCATGTCCATCACGAACAGACTGCGCCAAAACTCACTATACTGTTCTCTGAACTCTTCCCGCAGTGGGATGTATAGGCCGTGGTCGATCAAGACGATCTGAGCTCTCTTTGCGTGATCAGGATTCTGTCGGACCAGTACATTGCCCGGATGAGGATCGCAGTGTATCCAGCCCCACTTGAATGTCATGGCCGAGAAGATATCGAGCACGCTGTCCATGATTTCCTTGGGCTTGAGATGCATGTCTTCAATTGCTTGGGTATCCGTCAGCTTGCAGCCTTTGTAGAAGTCGGCCGTCATGACGCGCTCAGAGGTCCATTGCCAGTCAACTCGAGGTATGACTATCCTGCCTTTCAGGCTTGGCTCATCATCAAGAAATTTGGCCGTTTTTTCGGCGTTTCTTGCCTCTTCCATAAAGTCTACCTCGCGCCGCAGCTGGTTCGCCACGTAGTCTGCGACAAAGTACGCTGGTATGTCAAATATCTTCTCATAAGTCCACATGAGTGCTGCAGCTTGTCTCAGCTCGCGCACTAATCAATGACGAGCAAGGCACCTTTATAGGAGAAAAGGTCAAATTCCATCTGCTTCCGGATTGCAGGCTTTTGGACCTTGACTGCGACCTCCTTGCCGTCCTTTGTACGAGCGCGATGTACCTGAGCGATGGATGCCGACGCTAGTGCTTCATGATCGAAGTGTTCGAATGCATCTGTCGGCAGCACTCCAAATTGGTCTTTGAAGACAGCTTCGACTTCTTCGTACGTGATCTGAGGCGCTGCGTCAAAAATGGTCGCAAATGCATCTCTATATGGCTTGGGAAGAATTGCGGCCTGGATGCCGATCGATTGTCCCAGCTTGATGTACAGACCACCATTTGCGGTACAGATATGATGTATCCGTCTCGCGACGCGTTCATGCATGGCCGCTATCCCATCGATGTTGTCTTTGTTGAAGTGTAGCTTGTAATCTATTGCAATACACAGCGCGTTCCAGCCCGTGCGGAAAGATCGCCGCAGACCAGAAGCATAGAGAGTTCTATCGATGGTGTAGCCCGAAATGCCGATCGCAGTGACAGCGATTGCTGCGTTGCGCCATCGTTTGCTACGCGGTCTTGGTTGCGTGCTTGCTCGTCGTATGAAAGATGCTTCGAGTCGTCGATGCGACTGATGGCGCAACATGAACGGCCGACAATCTGTCGCAAAGTAAATGCGTCATTAGAGCGTGGGGCATACTGCAAATTCAATTTAAACATTCGGGAAATGGCGATGTCATGGCGACTAGACGCGACAACAGATCCGGTCGATTCCTGTCCTCTGATCCTGCTCCTCTCTGACCGTCGCCATGCTGCGACAACTAGTCTTGCTTGCAGCGTGTACATATGTGACTCCACACACAGTGCGGCTGCGCGCAATCGAGCGAAGGCCAGAATGGGCGGACAGAACGGCTTCTACACGAATGTCATTGATCGATCATTACTACATTCTCGACATCAAAGTTGGAAGGATTGACGAGCATTACTACTCACTGCTCGTCGATAGCGGAAGTGTCATCACCTTTATTGGTAGCAATTCGCAACAGCCTTATATTGGCAGTGCTACGTCATCAAAGACAGGCGAAAATTTTGACCAAGCTTTCCTGACTGGCGAGAGAGTGTCTGGCTTCCTTGTAAAGGATCAAGTGTGTGCTTCGTGCTGGATACCGCATGGGCTGAGACGGCAATTAGACGGAGATCTCTCCCGGTCTGATACTTCATCAGACCGACTTTGGCGTTGTCACACGAGCAGGGTCTCAGCCACTGACAGAACTGAGCACCGGTATCTTTGCGCTCGGTCGCCAAAATGGCTTGGCCTACAAAACAGGTAGTCCGACGCTCAATACCTGGTTGCGCGCAGCAAAGCTTCAAGATGTCATTCCGCGCAACTTGGTCACAATCGACCTCGCTGAGCCTGCTCTAACCTTCGGGCACGTCAACCTTGAAAATGCGATCGGCGAATTTGTATATCTACCTTGCGTCAAGCAGCGTTCTTGGACTGTGTTTGCAGCCATCCCTCAAATTGCCTTTGATGGCCCAATTTTGATCGACACCGGCTCGCCGTTTTTGACCTTATCAGAGATCGATATGAACGCGCTCATGATGCGTATAGACGGCTCAGAGATCGAGCCAATCAATCGGCTGCTGCTCATTCCAGTGGGAAAGCTGCCAGAGCCCCTGACGATCATTGTGCGTCTCTCAGACGGATGTTTTGTCTCCGGCTAAGCTTGCTTGACAGCTCGGCGACCGAGAGTTCACGCTTTCAGGTGAACAGCAACTGTGGTCAGACGAAGTGTCTCGCGATCAGTACGGCTTGAGATACACGATCTTCCAACAAAGCTCAGCAGTGGTCGATGTGGCTATCTTTGGTGCAAAGGTGCTACAATACTTCATCGTAGTCCTGGACGACGATAGAGCTCGGATCGGCTTCAGTGCTCGGCAATGAAGGCCGCTCGTGTGTCAGTGACGCTCCAATGGATTCTGTTGCGTGGCACGCAGCTGTTCGTTGCTTCCCGACCGGGCAATCACCTCGAGATAGGAGCATCGACACCCTTCCATCCAACGCCATCGATATGAAAAGTTTGCTCGTCCTGTCGCTGGTCTGCGCTCTGTTCCATGCACATGCTCACAAAGTCAGCCTGCGTGCTGTCGAACGCATGCGTGACTTGCAAGCAGGCGAATTGGTTGCAACGCCTATGTCATATCTAGAGCACTACTATCTCTTGAACATCAACGTCGGGCGATACACTACTGACGAACACTCTTACACCTTGCTCGTCGATACTGGTATCATGATCTCTGCGCCAAGCGCGGCGTTCCGCTGAAGTGTAATATGCACAGGCAGCTCTATCACGTTCTTTGGCACGAATCCTGCTCGACCATACGTAGCGAGTGCTAGCCAGATCAAATCTGATGCGACATTTGCTCAGACGTTCTTCACTGGTGAAAAGGTTGCAGGGACGTGGGTGCACGATCAGGAATGTCGCAATCATCTGAACAGACCCATGCTGACCGCGGCAGTAGACCGAAATTGCGCCTGGCCTGGTCATCCCCAACACTGACTTTGGCGTCGTCACAAAGGCTGGCACAACGAGCTTAACCACAACGAACGAGGGTATCTTCGCATTGGGCCGACAAGGAGGCGCCATGGTCGAGACAGGACGGACCACATGCGAAGCCTGCAGGACTTGGATGTATTCCGCGGTCGAAGAGGGCCTGTTGTGGGGCAACGTCATCACTATCGATCTCGCAGAGCCAGCTTTGACTTTCGGTCGCGTCAATCTAGAGCATGCGAGCGGTACGCCCGTCTATGTTCCCTGCGTCAAACAGAGCCATTGGGCGATACGCGCCAGCATACCTCAGATCGGCTTCGCTGGCCTATCGGTCGTCGATACGGGGTCACCCTTCCTGACGCTTTCAGATGCGGATATGCAGGCCCTCATGCGTCGCATACCGGGCTCGAAGATTGAGCCTGTCAATAGTGTTCTGCTTGTTCCGGTAGCTCACGTGCTGCAGCCGCTCACGATCATCGTGCATATCTCGCAGTCGGTCGCAGACGCCTGGCTGATGCAATAAAGCAGATTGGAATGCGCGAATTCGTCTTGACAGGTGTGCAGCAGCTCTGGTCAGAAGACGCTCCACGTGATCGGTACGGCTTCAGATATTCCATCTTCCAACGCGCGACTCTGCCTGGACGGGCCGCTATCTTTGGTGCCAAGCTACTCAAGCACTTTATCGTCGTACTTGATGACGACAATGGGCAGGTCGGCTTCTCCTCTCGTGCGACTATGTAGCGTACGCCGCAGCGTCGCGCAAAGCTATTACTCGTCCTAGCAAATCTACCTCTCCGCGGCTCATCGCGACTTTCGTACTGTGCGCATTGCGACGAGGAGCCCCAACAGATTTGTACGAAATCGAGCAACGCGATATCTCTGCTGAGACGATGCGCAATTGGTTGCCGCATTTGCTCTCTCCTGTCGAGGTTTCATGCATGATGACGCGTCACTACCTCCTTACGAGCAGCCGCTCATTGATCAGCGATACTCCTCTCTCCACGCGGCAGTATGCAGATCCTCGTATGGCTACTGTTCGCAGTCAACGTCTATGCTCTCAAAGTCAACTTGCGGGCCATCGAGCATAAAGGCCAGATCACGAGAGAATCGCGTGCCACCATGCTGGCTCGTGCTCGTTTTCATTATGTCATCGATGTCGGCGTTGGTAAATATGACAGTCACTGGTACACCTTGCTCGTCGAAAGTGGCAGCTGGATGACTTATATCGGCACTGATCTCCGTCAACCATACATCGGGAGCGCATCGTCGCACCAGACAAACGTGACATTCCAGGCAAGATATGTCACAGGCCAATTCGTGTCTGGCGTGTGGGCACAGGATCAGGTCAGTGAGCATGCCTTTTTGCTCAGCCGGCTGAGTCTGTAAGCAGACAATGATCGCACCCGGTCTTGTCGTGAGAAATACGCATTTCGGCATTGCAACAAGAGTTGGGCGCAACAGCCTGACGACCGCAGACTCGGGAATGTTCGCTTTGGGGCCACAGAGCGGTCTGGACATTCAGACGGGCAGCCGGGGACTCAGCACATGGATGACTGCTGCCACTAGCGAAGGTGTCATTCCAAATAACATTGTTACCGTCGACCTCGGCGAGCCTTCGCTCACGTTTGGCCACGTTAATCTCGAAAATGCTGTCGGTCAACCGGTCTACCTGCCTTCGATTGGCGCGATGTACTGGATCGTTCAGATGTCTTTCCCTCAGATTGCGCTCAACGGGCCAGTGCTTGTCGATACAGCCGCAGCTTATCTATCACTCACACCGGCTAGCATGCAAATCTTGATGAGTCAAATCCCGGGCTCGAGATTGGATACAACCTTCGATCACCTCCTGCTGATACCATATGGCCGCACACTCAAGCCGTTCACAATCGTGGCGCGTCTCTCGCTCTGGTCTGCGTTGCCCCTGACTGATGCAATTCGGTACAGATTGGCGACCGCGAATTTGTGCTTTCTTCCGAGAAGCAGTTCTTAAACCAACCATATCTGCGAGAACCGCCGGGATTTCGGTACTCAATCTTCCATCAAATGGGATACATACCGAAAGGCGTTGGGGCTATCTTTGGTGGCAAAGTGCAGAAGCACTTTGTCATCATTCTTGATGACGACAAACACCGAGTCGGCTTCGCCGCCCGCACAGAGCCGTGAGGCGGAGTACCTTTGATTGACGACCATTGCAAAATCAGTTGCGCATCGATGGAGTCTGCGTTCGTTTCGGACCTTACCTGTACGATGCCATCGAAGCATATTGGTATGACAGTGAACGACATGCCCGGCCACAACGCAGAAAAACCCGTCGCTTGTTGCGTCACTTTTCTGGGTCGGGCTGCAACGTTGTCACGCCGACCCTCTTTTGCCCGGAACGAACAGGCGATGCTTGGCTCTCTTGCCCAGTGTGCAGTAATTCTGGTCAGAAGACGCTTCACGTGATCGGTACGGCTTCAGATATTCCATCTTCCGACGCGCGACTCTGCCTGGACGGGCCGCTATCTTTGGTGCCAAGCTACTCAAGCACTTTATCGTCGTACTTGATGACGACAATGGGCAGGTCGGCTTCTCCTCTCGTGCGACTATGTAGCGTACGCCGCAGCGTCGCGCAAAGCTATTACTCGTCCCAGCAAATCTACCTCTCCGCGGCTCATCGCGACTTTCGTACTGTGCGCATTGCGACGAGGAGCCCCAACAGATTTGTACGAAATCGAGCAACGCGATATCTCTGCTGAGACGATGCGCAATTGGTTGCCGCATTTGCTCTCTCCTGTCGAGGTTTCATGCATCATGACGCGTCACTACCTCCTAACGAGCAGCCGCTCATCGATCAGCGATACTCCTCTCTCCACGCGGCAGTATGCAGATCCTCGTATGGCTACTGTTCGCAGTCAACGTCTATGCTCTCAAAGTCAACTTGCGGGCCATCGAGCATAAAGGCCAGATCACGAGAGAATCGCGTGCCACCATGCTGGCTCGTGCTCGTTTTCATTATGTCATCGATGTCGGCGTTGGTGAATATGACAGTCACTGGTACACCTTGCTCGTCGATAGCGGTAGCTCGATCACCTATTTCGGCACCAATCCCCGTCAACCGTACATTGGTAGCGCGTCGTCGTACAGGACGAACATGACCTTCCAGCAAAGCTTCAAATCAGGAGAATTCGTTGCTGGTGTGTGGGCACAAGATCAGGTCGGTCACCAGTCAATCTTGTGCACGTTACTGCTGAACACGTTCGCAGTAGACTATGATTGCACCCGATCTCGTCCTGAAAGCGACACACTTCGGCGTCGCTACGAGAGTCGGCCCTGACAGCCTCACGACAGCTGACACGGGCATGTTTGCACTGGGTCCGCAAAGCAGTCTTGACAGACACACGCGCAGCGAACTGTTCAGCACCTGGATGACTGCCGCCACCGATGCAGGGGTGATCCCGCAGAACATTGTCACTATCGATCTCGGCGAGCCCTCGCTTACGTTTGGCAGGGTCGACCTTGAGAATGCGATCGGCGAACCGGTCTACCTGCCTTCGATAAGTGCGGCGCACTGGATCGTCAACATGGGCTTTCCCCAGATCGCACTGTTTGGACCGGTTTTGGTCGACACGGGCATGGCATATCTGTCCTTCCCGGCGGCGGCCATGCAAATTCTGATGGGGCAGATACCCGGCTCCAAAATCGACTTGACCTTTGATCGCCTCTTGCTCATACCGTCTGGCTTTGTACTGAAGCCGTTCATGATTGTGGCGCGTCCCTCAGCTTTGCACATAGTTCAGGATCTGATGCGATTCGATACAGATCGGCGCACGCGAATTCGTTCTGTCTTCTGAGCAGCAATACCTAAACCAACCAAATTTGCCGGAGCCGCCGGGCTATCGATACTCGATCTTCCATCAGATGACGAATATGCCAAGAGGTGTCGCCGCTGTCTTCGGTGGCAAAGTGCACAAGCACTTCATTGTTATTCTCGATGACCACAAAGAGCAAGTCGGTTTCGCCGCCCGCATAGACTCGTGATGAGGCAGTTGCATTCGGCATGCAGCGTACCACTATTGCAGGAACGCCTTCGACCTATCGAGGATGAGGTCAGCATAACGGCGGTTGACCTGCGTAGTACGACGTTGCAGCTGAGCTGCGGCAGCGATGACAATCTAATACCAACGCAGAAACCGTGGCCAGTGACAGCCCTCTTCTGGTTGCGGTGACAACGCGTTGCAATGCCAATCTGTCCTTCCCATCCTGAACTCCTTCCTATCGTGCAGCGAAGCGACATGAACGTCGCTTTGTTTCTTGCCTTCGTTGCGGTCAGCGTTCGTGCGCATAGGGTCGACTTGCGCGCCGTCGAGCGCTTCCAAGGAAGCCCTGTAATCGGAGATTCGCATGCGACTGCGCTGGTATATGAGGACTTTCACTACGAGATCGATGTCGGAGTGGGTAAGATCGACGATCACTGGTATACTCTGGTAGTCGACAGCGGCAGCTACATCACATTCTTCGGCACGAACCCCAAGCAGCCCTACATCGGCAGTGCATCGCAGGTCAAGACAACGACGGGCTGGAGACAGAACTTCATATCGGGACACGCTTACGGCGGTTTGTGGGTCCGCGATCAGGTATGCAGCTTGTATAGCCTGTGAAGCCGTCTGACATGGAAGGCAGACGATGATCGCGCCCGATTTCGTCGTTGGCAGCACTGACTTTGGCGTCGTTACCAAAGTTGCCCAGAAGGACTTGACTGTCACGGATACTGGCGTCTTCGCACTGGGTCCACAAGCTGGCCTAGAAATGCAGGTCGGTAGCGACAGATTCAGCACATGGATGACTGCTGCGACCGACGCAGGCGCCGTTGCGCAGAACGTCGTCACCGTCGACCTCGGCAGACCGTCGCTCACTTTTGGCTATGCCGATCTCGAGAATGCGGTCGGCGTTCCCGTGTACGTGCCTTGTCTCGAGGAGGAAAGCTGGCTCGTTCAGGCCAGTATTCCGGAATTTGCGTTTAGCGGGCCCGTGTCGATCGACATAGGAGCACCGATGTTTGCTCTTGAGCCGGCTGACATGCAAAAGATGATCAAGCGCATACCCGGCTCGCGCCTTCAACAGGAGTCGAACATGCTCATAGTCCCGTCGAAGCCACTGCCGAAGGATTTGACGATCAAGGTGCGTTCCAAAGCTGCTTGTGCTTGGATTGTCTGAGGATTGAGATAGATTGGCGCGTTCACGTACGTGTTGTCTGGTCAGAAACAGCTTCTGGGCGACGGCACTGGTCGAACAGCAGACGGCTCGGTATTCTCGATCTTTCAACAGATAGAAGGCATTGAATCTGTGTCGGGAGCCAAGGCTATCTTAGGCGCGAAAGTTCTCCAGCACCTCGTCGTAATCCTTGATGACGATAAGCATCGGATTGGCTTCTCCGCCCGAAGTGAGACGTGATCGTCGCATGTCCAGGAATGCATTCTTGCATAGGTTGTCTTTGCGCTGTTCATCGAACTAGGATCCTTCCCTGGCCATTGATCAACAGCGAGTCTGCCCGAATCAGGTAACAATGGTCGGCATGCAATAAGATGACGGTCTCGCATCAACGCAACGCGCAAAACCGTCGCTAGTCACATTGCCATGCCATTGGGTGTTCCCATGCGGGCTTGTCAAGTCAATGCTGGAAACGCGAGGCTTCTTGCGCCCTACTGGACATCGAGATGAAGGCAGCGGTACTTCTGACGCTGGTGGCTGGGGTCTATGCTCGAAAGGTTAGCTTGCGTGCTGTCGAGAACTTCCACGGAAGCCCAGTGACCGGAGATTCGCGCGCGACGAGCATGGTTTACGAGGATTTCCACTACGAGCTCGATGTCGGAGTGGGCAGAATCGATGACCACTGGTATACTTTGTTCGTCGATAGCGGGAGCTATATCACCTTTATTGGCACCAATCCCAAACAGCCGTACATCGGCAGTGCTTCGCAGTTCAAGACGACCGCAGCATGGCAGCAGACGTTCGTATCGGGTCAGAGCTACGCTGGCGTGTGGGCTCGAGACCAAGTGCGTGTCGCGATCGCTCGTGCGGACCATCGCTAATAATCTGAGCAGACCATGATCGCGCCCGACTTTGTTCTGGGTAACACTGACTTCGGCATCGTCACCAAGGTAGCACAAAAGGATCTGACTGTGACCGACACTGGCGTCTTCGCACTGGGCCCACAAGCTGGCTTGGAAGTGCAGGTTGGTAGCAGTAGATTCAGCACATGGATGACTGCTGCGACGGATGCAGGCGTCGTTCCGCAGAACATTGTTACTGTCGATCTCGGCGATCCATCGCTGACTTTTGGCTATGTCGATCTGGATCACGCCGTCGGCAGTCCGGTATACGTGCCTTGCCTACTGTCAGAACTTTGGCTCGTGAAGATCAGTATACCGCAAATCGCGTTTACTGGGCCTATGCTGGTCGACACGGGCACGCCCTTTGTCAATCTCACGCCAGATGACATGCAGAAGTTGATGAAACGCATACCGGGCTCGAAGCTTTATGCGGGCACCAACCTGCTGCTTGTCCCAACTAGCCCTTTGCCAAAAGATCTGACAATTCAGGTCGGTTTTTTGCTCTTACTCGTGCTGCGCTAGTCTCAAGCATATCGGGATAGTTTGGTGCCTTCAGCTTCGTCTTGACAGGCAAGAAGCAGATCCTCGGTGAGGGAACAGGACGAGACCGAGACGGCAGAGTACTGTCCATCTTTAAACAGATGCCCGGTGTATCGGGGGGCGCCAGCATCATCTTTGGCGCAAAGATCCTCCAACATCTCGTCGTAGTCCTTGATGACGACAATCACCGTATTGGTTTCGCCGCTCGAAGAGAACAGTAGGCTCAGCGTGATTCAGTGTATACCTCTGCCTAGTGAAGCGCTCACCCGTCGGAGCGAATTGCGCAATTGAAGCGCTGAGTGGTCGGCGTGACGCCGTACCGCATTTGCAGAGTCGCATGAGCAACGAGTGGCATAGGATCGAGGATTGTGCACCCAAGTCCGCTTAATACGCCGCTTTTGCACGACGGTCAGGGTGCTCTCGACATGTGTCGTCTTGCCGACTTATTCCGCTTCTTGGGGAGACAATTCTATCCTGGCTCTGCAAACCGCCGAGATGAAGGCAGGAGTGCTCCTGGCGATCGCAGCTGATTGCTATGCTCACAGAATTAATCTGCGCACTGTTGCACCATTCAGCGATAGCGAGGTGATGAGAGAATCGCACGCGACGAGCGTGGTCTACGACAGTGTCCACCATGTCATTGACGTCGGGGTCGGAAGGATAGTGTACGACCACTGGTATACGTTGCTCGTCGATAGCGGGAGCTAGCTCACTGTGTATGGCACCAAGCCCCAGCAGCCGTATATTGGCAGTGCGGCCCAGGTCAAGACCAAGGCAACGTGGAAACAAGCCTTCCTATCGGGTGGAGTCTTCTCCGGGAAATGGGCTCGAGATCAAGTCGATGGCTTGAGAATGTGAGATGTGCTGCTGATACTTTGTGAAGACCATGATTGCGCCCGATCTGGTTTCAGCAGCACAGAATCTGGGGTTGTCAAAAAGACCAGTACAGGCAGCGTGACGACCTGGCATGCTGGCATCTTCGCACTTGGTCCGCAAGCCGGACTGAAGGCTCAGATAGGCAGCGACAGATTCAGCACTTGGATGAACCAGGCGACTAGTGCGGGTGTCGTTTCAAGCAACGTCGTTACTAACGACCTTGGCGGACTGTCACTTACATCGGTGCATGTCGATCTGGATACCGCTGTCGGCAAGCCAGTATCTGCCTTGTCTTGAGGCTGAGAAATGGCTCGTCAAGATTGGGTTGCCGCAGATTGGCTTCAACGGACGTATGCTAGTGGTCTCGGGCGCTTCGCTGTTTCTTCTCAGGCCGGCGGACATACAAATGATGATGAAGCGCATACCGGGCTCAAAGATTGTGGAATACACAAGCATCTTACTAGTTGCGGCTGACCATTTACCGAAGGTCTTGACATTTGTGGCGCTTCTCTCGTCATTGTTCGCGCTTCACTAGACTGAAGAATATCGGGACAGATTGGCAATCTGGAGTTCGCTTTGGAAGGCGAGAAGCAGCTCATGGGTGCGGCGACGAAGCGAGATTGGCACTGTCTTGTGTACACGACCTTTCAACAGATTGAAGGTATGCCGCAGGGCACTGGCGCGATCATGGGCTCAAAGGTGCTTCAACACCTTATCATCGTGCTCGACGACGACAAGCATCGCATCGGCTTCGCTGCTCGCAAGTGACTGTAGACATCTTGAACAGCTTTACTTGGAAAGTTGTTTAGATTCATTTGGCTCTGCAAGACGAGCAAGGTAGGTTTCTCGTGCATTCGGCGTGACGCGAATTCCTTTATGAAATTGCAATAGCAGACTGCATGCAGTGACGCCAAAGGCTCGCCTCGACGCGGAGACTCGTCGCTAGTATCGTCGTCACTCGAGTGCGCGTCCTGGCAACGCGTTGCCCTGCCAAATCATTCTATCCATCATGGCATTGCGATTCTCCTTCCTGTCCGCAAGCTGACGAAATGAGGACGGCCGTGCTGCTGACGCTTGTGGCTAGCGCCTCTGCTCGCAAGGTCAGTTTGCGCGCTGTCACAAACCCGCGAGAGAGTAACATCGTCATCAACTCGCGCGCGACGAGTTTGGTTTACGACGATGTCCACTATGTCATGGATATCGGCGTGGGCAAATACGACGTCCATTGGTATACGCTGCTTGTCGATACCGGCAGCGAGCAGACGTTCTTCGGCACGAGTCCAAGACAGCCATATATCGGCAGCGCTTCGCAATCCAAGACAACCGCAACTTGGACACAAGCCTTTGTGTCGGGCGATTACTATTCTGGTCTTTGGGCACGAGACCAAGTCGGTGACCTGACTTTCCTTATCTTGCTGCTCACGATTCAAGCAGACGACGATTGCGCCCGGTCTGGTCTTGGGAAGTACAGACTTTGGCATCGTGACAAAGATTGCACCGGGCAGCGCGACGCTCTTGGAGACTGGCGTCTTTGCTTTAGCTCCTCAGGCTGGCCTGGAGCAGAAAGTAGGTAGCGACAGATTCAGTACGTGGATGACCGCCGCGGCTGACGCTGGCGTCGTGCCACAAAACATCGTTACCATCGATCTCGGAGAGCCATCGCTCACTTTTGGCCATGTCGATTTGGAGAACGCTGTCGGCACGCCGGTATACTTGTCTTGCCTCGAGGCTGAGAGATGGCTCGTCAAGATCAGTATGCCGGACATCGAGTTCGATGGGCCCATGTTGATCGATACAGGCGCACCACTTTTCGTTCTGACGACAGCGGACATGCAGAAGATGATACAGCGCATACCAGGCTCAAAGATCCTAGAGGGCAGCAGGATTCTGCAGATTCCGAGCGACCATATACCGATGGACTTAACATTTGAGGCGCGGCTTCCGCTTTGACTGGCGCTCGCAGAGCTGATGCATCTGAGACAGATTGGCAACCTCAAATTTGTGCTGCCCGGCGAGAAGCAGCTCCTAGGCGCGCCGACGAGACGGGATTTCCACGGACTTGTGTTCTCGATCTTTCAGCAGATTGACACCATGCCGGATGGCGCTGGCGCTATCATGGGCTCAAAGGTCCTTCAGCATCTGATCGCTGTATTCGACGACGACAACCAGCGAATTGGTTTTGCCGCTCGCAAGTGATCGTAGGCCTCGAATTCGATCAGCGTTGTATCTTTTTCATTCGATTTGTGCTCGCTCTGTTCATCATGTGAGGACGAATTATAAGTGGCCGGCGGGCATGCTACAGCAGCAAAGCTGCACGATCCCGAAAGCAATGACCGGCCTGCGGTTGGTGATAGGCCGCTATAGCTACGGATCACTCCGTCAATTGCATCGCTGCTTTGTCAAGCCGTGTCCAAGGCGTTGCCGCGCCGACGCCATTCTGCTCTTGCAAGCCTGCTTATTCTGCTAGCTTTGCAGACTGTTGAGATGAAGGTCGGAATACTCTCGACGCTGGCAGCTGCTTGCTATGCTCGCAAAGTCAATCTACGCACAGTAACGCCATTCCGCGACAGCGAGGTCGCCGTAGAATCGCGCGCAACCAGAATGGTGTACGACGATGTTCACTACGTCATGGACATCGGCGTAGGCCGAAATGATGAACACTTGTACACGCTGCTCGTCGATAGCGGAAGCTACCTGACTTTTTTCGGAACAAATCCCAAGCAGCCATACATTGGCAGTGCTTCGCAGATCAGATCAACGGCAACTTGGACTCAAGGCTTCCTGTCGGGCGAGGCGTTCTCCGGCTTTTGGGCTCGAGACCAAGTCGGTGCCTAGCGATCGATGTTTTGACTGCATTAAGGCCGCGTGTAGACAATGATTGCGCCCAATTTGATTTTGGGCAGCACGGATTTTGGCGTCGTCAAGCAGATCAGGACAGGCAGCACGACGAGCGGATACACTGGCGTCTTTGCGCTTGGTCCGCAAGCGGGGCTCGACGGTCAGATGAAGAGCGATACATTCAGCACGTGGATGACCGGTGCGACTGATGCAGGTATTGTCCCACGAAATGTCGTTACTATCGACCTCGATGAGCCTTCGCTGACTTTGGGCTACGTCAATCTGGACAACGCTGTTGGGGAGCTTGTATATCTGCCCTGTCTCGAGGCGGAGAGTTGGCAAGTAAAGATCGGCATGCCGCAAATCGGATTCGATGGGTCGATGATAGTCGACACAGGCGCCCCACTCTTCATACTTACGCCGACGGCTATGCAGATGTTGATGAAGTATATACCTGGTTCAAAGCTCGTGGAGGGAACCAGGATTCTACTGGTCCCAGCTGACCATCTGCCGAAGGATCTGACGTTTATGGCCCGTCTTTCATCTTTGCTCGCGCTTCGCTGGGCTGATGCATTTTCGGGACAGTTTGGCAACCTAGAATTTGTACTGCCAGGCAAAGAGCAGCTTCTAGGCGCGGCGACAAGACGGGATTGGCACGGATTCGTATTCTCCATCTTCCAGCAGATTGCAGACATGCCGGCCGGCGTTGATGCGATAATGGGCAGCAAGATCCTTCAGCACCTGATCGTTGTGCTTGACGACGACAATCAGCAGATCGGCTTCGCCGCTCGCAAGAGAACGTGAACATCCGTTGCGACTAGAAATCAAAGCTTTTGTTCATATCCTCGTATAAACAGTCTTTCATACCCGTGGGCATCAGAGGCCCTCCGTTGTCTTTCTGCACGATATAACGGAATGGCATCTCTGTTGATTCATGCTGATTGAATTCTATCGTTGGATGATCGATGAAGGGAATCTGATCGAGTGTGAGGCCGTCTTCGACGCATAGCTTCGTCACGCCAACGGCAGTGTCTGTGGTCATCTGAATCTCCCGCAGATGCCGCCCTGGGAATCCCAGTCGGCGCAGCTCTCCGGTACGATCCAGAGGAGGATCATTGCCGAGGATGCCGCCAAAGAGGAAGACATCGAAATGAGCAGCATCAGCGGGCGAAAGCGCCTGAGGTGCTCGAGGATCAAGCAGGCACACTTTCGACTTGGGTATGTCGTGGTCAGCTAGATAAGCCTCAATCTTCGTTGTCGACGTCGCATATGGGCTGCTCGACGGCGCGGCTCAGCACAATAACGTGTCAAAGCTAAGTCATGCTCACCTGTGGGGATTGGTCGCGTCGGTGGCTTTGCGCGCATCAAGCTGCTTGGTCAAGTAGGTCGCTGAGTGGTCCGAAAGATTGGAGAAGAGGACGCTTGAAGTGTGCTCTCGCTGTGAAGACGAGATTGATCCGGCTACGAGCTGTAGCATATGAGCATATTCGAGCACGATCCAGATTGGCAGAGCTTCTGGCGTCGACTCCTGCCCTTCCATGTGCTCTGCTGGGCATGTCAGTCCGTCGATATGTACTCTCTGAGCTGCCTACCTATCGCAAAGATGGCCATGCTGCCTTGTGTGACAGCGGAAATGCGCAGAGAAGCAAAGAACATTTTCCAACGCGACCTTGCGCTTCGCTTGAGGCGCCAAAGGTGGAGGCTGCTGCTCCCCCAAATTGGCCAGCGAAGCTCAAAGAATGAGTGCGACAGGCTTCTCGGAGGGCAGCAACAGTCCTACGAAGGCACGGGAGCGCACAGCGAGCGGTGTCACCCGCCTCATCCGGACACAGCATGTCGCAAGACCTCGACGTCATTTACTGCTCTATTTCTTGCTCAAGACGAGCGAGGGCAGGGAGCGATTGATGAGAGCCGTCCAGTACTCTCTCCGACTCTATATATGGCTCGTCACGCGCCGTCGACCTGCTCGCGCAACAAAGGCAAGCCTTCAAGGCTCGCGTACCGCAAGACTGCTATTCGCTGTGTCCGTGCTCAGCACGACCCGCAAAGTCCTTGCGCTCTTCGAGTTTCTACGCCCGCTCGCAGAGCTACGCAAGCATGCAGAATCTCCTGCACCTCCTCTGACCCCACTGGCCACCACGACCTCTGTCCGGATGACGCCGGACTCGCAAGGCCCCTTCGCGCTAAGGTTAGCAGAGACGTGGCTCTCGCTCTTGCTGTCCGTCTTTGACGATGTCGAGTGCTTCGGGCGACTCGGTCTTCTCGCACGACCTTACAGTGATCGAGCCGCTCGCCTGGCCGATGTCGCCTGGCTCGGATTGTCTGTACTTGGTCTTTGGCAAGTCCAGGGCGAGCGCGGCGAGACGTGGCGCAGAGGAAGATTGATCCGACGTCAGATGATCGATGGCGAAGTCGAGGCTCGGGCGAGTATGGAGCAAGCCGCCGCAGACGGCGACCTGGATGACGAGCTACGCTTCGAGCTAGAACGTTTCGAACTGGAGCGTATACGACGAAGCAGAGCCATGTTACGCAATTTAAGAGATCGACTCTCCTGGCTCTGGTGGGAGCGCGCTCGTTTGCTGGGCGATCTCGTCTTTGCCTGTACGTCTTGTGCCTATCTCAAGTCCGTATCCTAACCTTCCAAGCAGTCTACGAGGTGTTTGAGCTGCAATCCGGCTCAGAAGGCATCCGAGCACTCAGCGGCTGTCTGTCAAGCTGGATCGGTGCAAGACAGGTCTGGTCAGATGCAAGGATTTCGGTCTCTCAGCGCTCAAGATGACTGAAAGACTGAGACACACACACACATACACGAGACCATCAGTGCCAATGTATGTTCCCAGTTCTGTTGAATCGCATGCACGACCTCGAGGCAGGAGACTCGGCTCAAGAAACGTCGGTGTAGATCATGTTGTTTCGAATTCATACGCGCTTTGTTTGATCGTCACATGAAAGGTATCCAAGCTCGCCAGCCCGTCTTTGGCTGCACGAGTTCCCCTCGCACGTTTCCCTGACCAGTCTCGAGCTGCGTACGAGCTTCAGCAAGCTCTGCTTCGAGCTTGGCGATCTGCGCTAGGTAGTTCTCTGCTTGATACTTTGCGTCGAGCGACATCTGCAGCAGCGAGAGCGCATAAAACGCGATACTGCCAAGCGCAAGAGCTTGTAGGATCGGCGGTAGCAGGTCCCGGTAGAAAAGTCTGTGTCGACTCGGTTGTGCTGCTGGTGTTGGCGATGGTCGATTGGCTTTTGACGCTCGAGGCCTCATGATAGTGGCAGCTGCGCCCGTAGAGGTCGCCCTGTCTGCAAATGTAGGGCGTTCGGCTATCACATCATCGAGATGTCTCGGGAACTCTCCTGCATGAGCAAGTCATGGGCCTCCTTTCGCGCATGGACAGCTCGCTAAGGCGCACCATTGTCAGCGAGCTCGCCTTGCTCGCGCATGGAAGAAAGATCGCGATGATGATGATCGGAATGGTCTGGCGTGCTTCGCCGTTTGCTCGTCTCTGGTCCTAGCTCCATCGGGAACTCGCCCGAATCTGACATCTCGCCCCGCTCGTGCCTGAATCCTCGAATGAGCTTGCACCTCGTGAGGTGTATATCGGCTCACACAGTCATGATATCCTCGCGCGATGAGGGCGCATGAGCAGGCGTGTCGTAGCCGACATGCTCTCTGTGGTGTGAGTAGCGTGATGCGCCTGACTCGGCCGCTCGAGGCAGCTCGCCAGAGTCATGACGGTGGTCATCGTCTTGTTCGAGCTCTTCGACCGTGCGACCAGTTCGCGGCTGCAGGCGATTGCTCGATGTGTGGAGGAAGGAGAGCCTGATGAGCTCTGTCTGTCGGGCGAGCCGCGCCGGTCTGCTCAGAGCAACATACATTCCTTGCAAACGCCGCGAATCCGGGGAGTTCGCGCCGCGCGAAGAGAGCTGGAGCCAGAGATTTTCTCAGTTTCGTCACACGGCAGGCGGCAGGCCTAGAATCCTTGGCGCCACCCTGATCATGAACTCAGTCGTGACACTCAAGACAGCCAGCTGTCCCAACCTCAACGAGCTCAGCAAGACATGACGCAGCGGCACCTTTTGTTCTGCTCAACGCATACTGTGAGCAGCCAGAAGTAGGCACAGACCAAACATGGAGACAAGGGACATCGATGCTCGCCCGAGTGCGACGCTCAATTATACAGACGAAGTCGACTTTGCCAGCTTGAGCGATGCTTCGCCGACCAAAGCTCGCTTGTCAAGCACAAGCGCGCGCTCTTCTAGTTGGCATTCGACCAAGCCAACTGCCACAGGACCGTCAAACAGGCTCAGGAGCTACTTGCGCTCGACATGGCGCGAAGTCGTGCGAGATCGGAAAGTTTATCTGATGGCAAGCTGTGCTTCCTTCGGAGGCATGCTCTTCGGCTGGGACACTGGCCTCATTGGCGGCGTACTGTCCATGGCTTCCTTTCAGCGCTCTTTCAATCTGAACGCGAAAGACTCCAAAGCTTTTGCTCGCACGACTGGCGACATCGTCTCGAGCTTACAGGCAGGCTGCTTCTTTGGTGCCCTCATGATCACGCCACTCTGCTCTACACGCTATGGCAGAAAAAAGGCCATCATCCTTGCTGCGCTCGTCTTCTTGCTGGGCAGCGTTCTTCAGACGCTTGCCGGCATAAGAGGCTCAAGCTCTCTAGCACCACTGTACGCAGGGCGTGCCATTGGCGGCTGGGGCGTCGGTGCCATCAGTGCCGTCGTACCTGCGTACATATCCGAGAGGTGAGCCTCTGCCTCAACTTGCGAGCTGTGCCTGACCTGATTGACGCGTCAGTTCGCCAAGATCGATTCGAGGGAGGACGACTGGCATGATGCAGCTTTTTAATGTCACGGGCATAGCGATAGCCTTCTGGATCAACTATGGCAACAATCTGCACTTTGACAAATATAACCCCTCGATGTGGCGGCTGTCTTTTGGCCTCCAAATTATACCTGTGAGTTTTGCTGACGATTGGCCTTTTGCTATACTAGTGCTGATAAGTCCTGCAGGGCATGATACTGCTCATCGGCATGCTGTTCCAGCACGAATCGCCAAGGTGGCTGTGCGAACGAGGCCGAACAGCTGAGGCTCGACATGTACTAGCATCGCTCAATCGGCGCTCGCAAGACGACCCTTACGTCTCACAGCAGCTCGATGACATCCTCGATAGCTTCAAAGGTCGCACACGACTATCGCTGTTGGGTCAACTGCGCGCAATGGGCGAATCACGCACCATCCTCTACCGAAGCCTCGCTGGCGTCTTTTTCATGTGGGCTCAGCAATGGACCGGAACGAGTATGTAATATCGGCGCAACCGCAGTCTGTACTGATGATAGTACAGATGCACTCAACTACTATTCACCTCGTGTCTTCCAATCACTCGGCATCGTCGGCACAACAAACTCACTCTTTGCGACAGGCCTCTACGGCATCGTCAAAGTCATCTTCACCCTCTTGGTGCTCCTCATTGCGATAGAGCAAGCTGGTCGCAAGCCCTGTCTCATCTTTGGCGGACTCGGTCAAGCGGCTTGCATGTTCTATATAGGCATCTAGTCAGTCATTGCCAGGCGCTGTGCTGCTTCAATGACTGACTTGCAAGCAGCATCCGATTGTCACACAGCTCCGAATCATCAGATGCCACTCCTCCCACTCACCTCACAGCAGGCGCCTACGTCGCCGTTGTCGCCATCTTCCTCTACGTCGTCTTCTACTCTATGGGTTACGGACCGATTCCCTGGGTTCTTTCAGCCGAAATTGCTCCCAATCACACCAGACAGTGCGCACTCAGTCTGGCCGTCATGACACAATGGGCGATGAATTATACCATTGCCAAGATCACACCCATCATGCTCGATACGATCAACTATGGCGCGTTCCTACTCTTCGCCGGCTGTTGCGTCTTCATCACGCTCATCGTTATCTTCTTCCTGCCCGAGACTCGCGGTCTAAGGCTCGAAGCTATGGCCTCTGTCAGTATTCGCTCATACTTCCCCTGACCTGCGCTGACAAGCATGCCCAGGCTTTCGAAGGCAACCTCGTCAGACGCTCTCTTCAAGACACGCCGATCATACGTCGTTGCATCAGTCGCAAAGCATGAATTTCAAGTTGAACGTGTTGTTGTCTACCACTGCTCGCTGCCTGCATATCGCTTTGCGCTTGCATAGAGTGAAGCTGACGTACCATGCGAAAGATCTCGAGGCAACGGAAAAGCACTGATATATAATTCTCGCGGCTATGCGTATGCCAGACGGGCGAGGTATGTGGGCGGAATTTGTGATCGAATGCGAGCCGCGCAGAGCACTCGCGCTCGAGTCTCTGCACAGTCTGCAACTCGCTGGTTTCATGCAACAACAGAGTGATGGGAGCTCAGGTAGAGCTCATGTAGAGCCCAGACGAGTGGCTTGTTCATTATTGACGATGGTGAGTTTCTTGCCATTCTTGAGTGCCTGCTTTGTCGCATAACCGTCCTTGACGAGCTTGTCGGCGCCCATCTCGGCTGCTTTGATCATGGCATTGCCCAAGAGTTTGGTGTTGATCTCTACGCCCGAGCTGAACCTAGCCAGGACATAGTGACAGAAAGGGCCAAATGCTTTCTCTAATATGCGGCTTTCGGGTCGGCCGCCATCGATTTGGAGGTATCCGGGTCTGAATATGATTGTTTCTGTGTAGCCTAACTCTGCCAGACCTTCCTCCGTCAGACCCTTGCTTTTGGGATCTGCAGAGCGATCAATTAGCGAGAGGCGACGCTCACAGACCGTCGCTCACACAGGAACGGCGAGCTCGAGGAGCTGCCGGCAGAGCTGCAGTAGATCACTCGCTCTGCCGACGCCGTCTTGGCTGCTTTCGCACTTTCAAGCACATCTGCAGCACACCATCAGTTCATCGCTCGAGATCCTCTCGTGACGTACAGTGCCGGTCTATGCGCTCGAAGTTAGCTGCACTGCCTGCTTTTGCTCTCGTCGTACCGAGTGTGATGATCACATTGGCAGCAGAATGTGAGTCGAGGCCAGCTTGGGGAATTGAGTCAAAGTCGATAGAAGTCGACTTGAACTTGTCGTCGCTGACATGCAAAGCCTTCCCTTGTCGGACGGGACAAATGATCGGGGTAAGGCTGCTCTGGATACTGGCTCTCAGGACCTGACGGCCCACTTCGCCCGTCGAGCCAAGGAGAATGGTCGCCATCGAATGAGGCAACGTGCAATTCGAGAAACGCGTACGGTCTACGTCTTTGCGGGAATTTCAATGGCAATCGTCAGGGAGCAAGCACATGATGATTAGTTTTACAACAGTACGCGATCCTAGGCATGCGTTGCATTCTTTGCTAGCGAGAGATCTTCAGGTACCATGGCACAGGCAGCGAACCGATGCTGGAGACTGACGGGTCACGGGAGGGCAGCAGAGCCCGCATGCTTTGCGGGAGCATGCGGATGATGGTGTGTTCTAACTGTCTGCGCTACTGAGCAGGATGGACTATCGCGCATACGCTGCGAGAGCCTGGTTGTGGGGAATGGGGTCGTGGCAGCTGGCAGCGAGCGCGAAAAGTCGCGACTGGCTAGATTCGTTGTCGCCGTCACCGACAAACCCTACATGGACAATGAGCGAGCTCGCAAGATCCTTGGCGATCTTGCGGGTCAGCTCCCCACAAAGGCGTCTATAGATCATATCGAGCGACAGCGGATCGATGCCAGAGTCGCTGAGCAGAAGATTCGAAATCAACGCTTTCTACGCAAAGCCAAGCGACGCTCTGGCACTTCGAGCCTACATCAGGCTGATAATGACTTTCGCCGCGGCACAAAGCATACGAATGACATACTCCATAGCGATGCGGTAGACTTGCCTGAGCTCGATGCAGATGGTCTCCCCATCATCGAAGGTGAACAGGTCCTGCCCGACTCGTTCTTTCGTACGCCGACGGTGGATGAAGGCATTAGATTGTCAATTGCCACTCCCGAAGGTCTCGTCCAGCCGCAGAAGCGACAGCTGCTCAAACGTCTAGGCGCGCACAGACCCCATCTCAGATCGCGCAAACGCGAACAGGCCAAGAATGACAGACCGAGCTTTGAAGTGCCCGATGCTGTAGCAGAAGAAGATGAGGATCATCTTGCTCTGCCAGAAACCGAAGGATCGGGTGCTACGACGCCAGATCCGCTCGCAAGCACAGGCGGAGAGCTGACGCGCGTTTCTTCGCACATCTCCCTTCAATCCGTCGCGTCCATAGAATCTACAACGAGCACACTGCCAGACGCAGGCACGACCAACGTCACGCCTCCTGGATCCGATCTCAATCTTGCCCTCGCTCGGATCGACACGCCCAATGAGCCTGTTCAAGCAGTCGCGCCTGCTCAAGGCATCACTGCCGTGGACTATGCTGCTAATGCAAGTGCCAACGTTGAGGCCGGCCAGGACGCGGAAGGAGACAGCGATAGCGATGATGACCTGCAGCGTAGTCTGACGGTCGATCAGAGTCCAGAGCAGCGCAAACGGCATCACCTCAGACAACTGAGCAAGCGCAGCGCGAAGCCTGCCACTCGGCAGCGATTGGCCAAGACACATTCGTTCGAGAGTCTGAAGAGCGAAGCCATGCCTGATGCTGGTCATCAGTTGCGAAGGCGGATGACCGATCTCGGCAAGTTGGCTCAGCACACTCCGCTCAAGCGACGCGTCAAGAAAAGTCCAGCAGGATCGGGCATAGAGAAGCTCAGCCAGGTGCTTGTCGAGGCTGGTGTACTAGACGAGGAAGGCGAAGTCACGGAGATCGACGTGCTCTACGAGAATCAGCGCGGGATGGTCGTCTTCGGTCAGACAAAGTTCAGTCCGAACCTGCTCTTCCAGCTCGATCCATCATCTTGGAGCAACGCAACCCTCAAAAATACGCCCTATACACCCGTAGACTTTCCACTGCCCAATCCGACCTGGTCCTGGGTCAACCCGACTTGGTCAATCGACATGACAGGCGATGTCGATTACCATGGTTGGCAATACGCCATACGTTTCCGTTCGGGCAAATGGCGGGGCTGCCCTGACGTCTGGCGATCTTTCGTAAGACGCAGGAGATGGTTCAGGACGAGAAGGAAGCAGCCCACGCTCGAGCTCGAGAAGAAGCCGGCTGGCGAGGTCTACGCGCCGCCCACAGATCTACCTCAAGCCGACATGTCAGAGGCGGAGAAGAACAGCTGGGCGGAAGGTCAGACGGGCAAGCAGCTCGTCTGTCTGCTTCCGCAGAGCTTGCAGCATATGCTCGTCAAGCGCGCGCAGGAGACGACAGACGAAATCGCTCAACCTTGGCTCAGCTCAGCCGATGTCAGGCAGCGCATGTCCGAAAGCGATCACGGCTTTGCCTATCTCTATCCGACCGTGATCGGCGAACTCAACCTCAGACGGGCTTGCAAAACGCTCGCACATACTTGCTCGCTCGACCGACATCGGCTCAAGCTATGGAAGATCTGGCTCCGCGACGAAGAGGCAAAGGAAGTCGAGCTTCCTGATCTAGTAGATGCATTCGAGCTTATGCGACAGAAAGTGAGCTCTTTCGTAACTCATTTCCACTCGAGCTGATCGGCTTGACGATAGCTTGATGCCCTGCTGCTTGTCTTTGACTACAACACGACACGCCGCGCGTTCCTGCAGCTTGTCAAGCGCCGTGCAACGGAGGAGGGCGTCGCTGGTAGTGAAGAGCTTTGCCAGACCATCGATGATTTGGCAGAGAGCATCGCACGCGAAGCTGACGATTCGTTGCCGTTCGACTCGCTCATTCCACTTGACCACCCGCACCCACACGCTTGATCTATTGCTGATGATCGGGGAACAGAGCTGCAAACTCGTTCGCTTCCTCTGCCATCTCCTCTGCCGATCTTCGCCGTCTGGCACTGTCGTCAATCTTGAGCGATTCGACGCGAAGCTGTGCTTCATGCTCATCCTTCAAGCTCCCTTCTGCCTGCTCGAGTTCGTCGTACACTCTGTCTGTCTCGCCGCCAAAGTCGAGAGCCCTTCGCGGAATGAGATGCACGTGGACGTGCGGCACTGCCTGACCACGCGTCAGCACTTCTGTAGGTTCGATAGATCGATGTTGTTGTTATGCACTCGCCTGACTGTCCTGCATGCTTACCATCTTGTACTGCAAGATTGACAGCCAATGCGCCCAGATGGGACTCGAGCCGCTTCAGGACTGTCTGAGCACTCGAGAAGAGATCGTACACTTCGTCATTGGTCAGATCTGCGAGCCTCGGAACGCATCGTTTGGGCACGAGCAGAACGTGGCCCTTTGTCAGCGGACTGATGTTGACGAGCCCGAACGACAGCCTGCTTCTGTAAAATACTTGGCCGGTCACGTCAAAGGTCGAGAAGCGCAGCATCCGCAAGAGCGCCTGCTGCCCGCCGGGGCGCGACGTCGCGTGGTTTTATCAATCCGATTGAACTGTTCGTGCTCGGGTCTAAGCTCCATCTCGATCCGGTCGACCCTCCTTCGAATCGCTACAATGTCGTGCGCAGATTGTTTCAAGGGATACATGCTCGATGGCGAGCCTCGCGGGAGTATGGTCGATATCGGCGGAGTGCAAGCTTACTCGACCCTCCCGGCGAAAGGCGACGCAAAGGCAGGCACCGCCATCGTCATTGCTACCGACATCTTCGGCCTAGCCGTCAAGAATCCCAAACTTCTCGCTGATCGCTTCTCTGATGTTCTCGGTGTTGCTGCCTACGTGCCAGACCTGTTCGAAGGAGATTTCCCGGGCGTCAACGTCAAGCTGATCGAGAAACCTATCAGCAAGGAGAGCATGCTCACCAAGATTGTCGCAAACGGAAAGATGATCACATCGTTCATGACCGAGATTGGACCTCGATGGGTCATGCGACACTCGCAGGGCAAGCTGACGCCAATACACACTCGATTTCTGAAAGCTCTCCGGGCCGACAAGGGCATCAGCAAGATTGGCGAGGTTGGCTACTGCTACGGTGGTGTACAGAGTATCACCATGGCCGGCATGGACCCTCCCCTCATCGATGTCGCCGTGGCCGCTCATCCGGGCAACACGAGCAAAGACATGTTTGAAAAGATCAGAGTGCCTATCCTCTTTGTGGCCGCAGAAGAAGATATGACGTTTGGCGAGCCTGTTCAGAAGATGGCAAAGGAAGTCCTAGCTGCCAACAAGGTGCCTGCGCAGTTTGAACGCTGTACGTCTCTCTCGTTGCAATCGATCCACGCTGATCCCCTGCCCGCAGATATGGGCTGCTGTCATGGCTTCGCAGCTCGACCAAATCTGGCCGACAAAGAGATCAAGGTCGCTTTTGAAGCTGCCAATGAAGCCATTGCCGCCTTTTTCCAGAAGCATCTGACATAGTCGTCTGTAAATTTGGGTAGGCATATGTCAGCACACATCACATATAACACATTGCATGTCCTTCGCGACTATCTTCAGTCGTGCAGCGGGTCATATGCATCACAGATTTGCACGAACAACACCCTCTTGAGCTACAACGATGGCAAGCTTTCCGTCTTGTGTAAAGATGCGGCCGGTCACCACACCTCGTCCGTGTGCGGCTCGGGGGCATTCCATGTGATAGAACAGCCATTCGGAGCAATCAAAGTCGTTGTAAAAGTACATCGAGTGGTCGAGACTGGCCATCATGGCCAAGCGAGGTGTGCTCCTTCCGCTCAGTCCGAGTGCGTTGCCTGCGGTCGAGATGAGCTGGAAATCAGAAGCGTAGGCCAGTACGCCCTGTTGTGATCTTGAGCTCCTCGTAACAGCATGGAAGCGAAGTGCCTGCCTTTTGAAAAGCGGGATCCTTCGGCACTGGCGTGCGTGAACGGAACCAATAGGCCTGAGTCGGACTCTTGACGCCCATCCCGATCGGACCTCCTCGAGCAGGGTCGGCGATCCTGATCTCTATGGCGCTGTGTTGACGTTCGTCTATCGCATTCTCGAGAAACGCTTTCAGCTTGACGGGCAGGTTGGGATTCTGTTCCAGGGTCTCTATGAAGCGCGACTCGATAGGTTGACATTCTTCAGGCTGGGGATAGTCTTCCAGAGGCGCCGTCCGACCCACTTGATCTGGCTTGGGTCGACCAATCTGGAAGACGGGCTGGCTTGGCTCTGGCACTTGGAAAGAACATGTGAGTGAGAAAATGCAGCGGCCGTCCTGAATGGCCTTGACGGATCGAGTGGCATACGATTTGCCGTCTCTCAACCTATCGACGGTATAGATGATGGGCCTGTCAGCATTACCGAATGACAAGAAGTATGCCTGCCGTTGATGTGAGCGATGATGACTGTGCTCGTGTGAAGTAGCTCACGTGAAGTGAATGAAGGTGCTTAAGCGGCTCAACCGAGGCAGTCGCGGCAACGACGGCCATTGCGATGACCTGACCACCGAACACGCCTCTACCGACAAGTGGCTTCCAGAGCCGCTTGCTCCTGAACAGGTTCGTATCTATCGTCTCGAGCTCGAGCGCCTCGCTGATGGTCTCGGGCGAGCGTGTCTCCTCTGCCGCTGTCGTCGCACTGATGTTCTGACTCGTACTGACGGGCTGATCGTTCGAGAGCTCTGCATGCTCGACCTCTGTCGTGTTCCGCTTGTTCATCCCGGTCAGTCCGACTCGAGCTCCCACTCCGGCAAGTTCAAAACGCGTGCAGCCGGGCGCTCACTGTCGGTCATTGACGCTACATGCCGGCAAGTATGGCGGTACGCATGTTGGTCCCTGTGCTTGCAGGCACCGCCAGGACAACGGCTGTGAGACGCTATCCAAGATCGGTCCTGGGCGGTGGAGATCGCCGAGCACTGCCAGCATGCACTTGCCAGCGTCGTCAGTCGATGACCTCTTGTTGTTGGACGCTGACTGAGGCAGCACAGGCTTTGCGAGCGCTTCGACAGAATCGTCTACCATCGATCCTGCGATCACAGAATCAGAACGGCTCATCAATGAAGGCACCATGCTCAGCGAGCGAGGCGACTTTGAAGGCGCAAAGTCTCTTTATCGCCAGTCGCTTGCCATCAGACCCTCAGGAGTGGGCTTCTACAATCTTGGCGTGTCCGTGTAACCTTCTCAGATGGGTGCGATTCCTGAAAGATGCTCAGAGCAGGTGCCAGTATCAGCTCAGAGACTCGGGTGGAGCGATCAGCTCGTTTCGAGAATCGCTCAAGCATTACTCCTCAGCCGACACTCATCAGAACTTGGCTACCGCCCTCATCACTGGCGAGCACAAGGATCTCGTCAAAGCCCTCGAGCATCTGAGAGAGGCTTCCAAGCTTGCACCCGGCGACGGCGAGATTCGATTCAACCTGGGTGTCGTTCTTGAAGCTTCTGACTATCTCAAGGAAGCTCTGCAAGAGTACACTCGTGCCAAAGAGCTTGGCGTCTCGCGTGCAGAGCAGAACATCCGTAATGTCGGTGGAAAGATAATCGCTCAAAGCGTGCGCCAGCAAGCAAAGTCGCAGCAGTCTGTATTAGCCACACCGCGCGAGAAGGGGGAGCCTTGAATCTGTCTGTCAAGGACATGCGATGTGTACATTGCAGCAGGCAATGATCCTCTATACGTGACTTGAGGATGCTTAACATCGTCTTGAGCACAAATGGCGCTCCTCACCGGCAATGCAGGAATGCAGGACACCCGAGAGCATAAGAGGCGCTGTCGGATGTGATCTTCATGCGGCGAGCAGCAAGAAACAGCATGCGCAGCAACAGTGCCAGTCTCAGTGGTCGTCAGTGAGGCGAGCATGAGTATATATTGCTTGTTCAGACCGCACAAGTATCTACTTTCATAGTACGAGAGAAGCATGGCATCCCGTCAGATCTGCCCAATTAAGCCTCGTAACGCCCAGTCAGTAATGCGGTGGGGGACCACGCGTGAATCCTGCGGTAAAGTAGATTTTTGCGGCTCGTCTGGGCANCGGCGCTGCTTCGTTTTGTTTCTTTGTAGCCCCTACGCGTCCGGCAATCGTCGCAGAGACGCAATTTCCCAGAGATTCATTTTTTATTCAAGTCGATTTTTGCGCAGCGTTGCCGTGCTGAAGGTCACTGTAAGAGCGCATCGATCGAACGCCTGCGCGTACGACATTTTCAGACTATCTGACGATCGACAGATATACATGCAATCGCAGACAGATCGGGTGGTAGGAGCGTGCGCAGACGTGTTAAAAGTAAACCGGAATGCAAGTCTCACGCAAGCAATTTCTCGCGCCTACAAAAAGGCGAGCGCGAAATGTACACTCACTCCTCGCCGAACTTGGCGACAGCCTCGACACGTACTCTCAGCAGCGGTGCACTGCGCCATAGGGCAGCGCCGGAGCACTGCCAGTATATGTATCATATGTCGGAGCTGCAGAATAAGTCTACGGGTACGTGCGACTCGACCTTGAGCGCAAACAGGCAGACAATGGAGCGCGAATCTAGCAGACAAGCAGCTCGCGCTGCGATCATTGCAGCTGCTTCTCTTTTGGCTAGTAGCTGCGCTTCTTTACTCTGCTTTGTACTCTGCAAAGTGGGAGACCGTTGCGTGAGCTTGTTGACTGATTAGGCTCAATGAGCTCAGTTGAGATCTAGATTGCTAGTCCCGACCGAAAAATGCCCCGCAGCCGAGTCAATTTAAGCGACGCCCCGCAGGAGCGTAAAAAAAGAGGATGCAAACGTCAGCAACTCGCTCACCATGCATCATGCTGCAGCGTAGACCTCGCACTATGCAAAGCATTCAGTAGCAAAAATGTTGAGCCATTTTGGGCCATTGGGGTAATCCACATGAGGGAGTTGAACCCTCCCCCCCTGCGCACTCGTGCGAATGAGAAGCAGGTATCCTAACCGATAGACGAATGCGGACTGTGTTAACATAGACGTATCTTTGGGATATATAGCCACAACTTGCTATGTTCGCACACCTCGAAGCTCGGGTGCCGTATCCTGTTTAGCATCGACGCACCGGACCACGTCTTGGAGGTCCAGACATTGCTGTGGGATCGAACCAGCTTATGGGCTGGGCTACGTCTGGCATGCTATACGCCGCAGAATTCATGCCCCAATCCTGCGGCGACTCTTCTTGTCGTCCAGATGGACAGGCCAGCGCGAAGCAGTTCTGCCTCTCGCTCATTCGGCCAGGTGCAACACAAAGAAGCTGCCCGCTCAGTGGAGCACTGCAATCCTCAAGATCCGGCGTGCGTCATGACGAAGTAAGATATGCTCGCCTTTGCGGGTGTGCAGAAAGCAGAGAGCGTCACAGTCCATATGCGAGAGCTTCACGCTGCGGACTTCGAGCTCCTATACGACACGCGTAACAACCTACGGCTCATCCTGGCGCTCGGACTGATGCAGGCAAACGGTCCAACGCGCCGGGCAATTGTAGCGGATGATCGGCTTTCTGTGATGATATCGGCATGCGTATCTGTCAATCGTCAGATCGTCTGAGAATGTCGTACGCGCAGGCGTTCGGTCGATGCGCTCTCACAATGACCTTCAGCACGACAACGCTGCGCAGAACTCGACTTGAATTAAAAAATGAATCTCTGGGAAATTGCGTCTCTGCGACGATTGCCGGACGCGTAGGGGCTACAAAGAAACAAAACGAAGCAGCGCCGNTGCCCAGACGAGCCGCAAAAATCTACTTTACCGCAGGATTCACGCGTGGTCCCCCACCGCATTACTGACTGGGCGTTACGAGGCTTAATTGGGCAGATCTGACGGGATGCCATGCTTCTCTCGTACTATGAAAGTAGATACTTGTGCGGTCTGAACAAGCAATATATACTCATGCTCACCTGACTGTTCTTACTGCGAGCGTCACTTGAGATTATGTCTGCGGCGCATGGTCATGTCTAGAAGCGTCAGGCGATGCTACTCGACAGCACCAAGCTGGCGTTATGCAGTCGCAGCATCTTATGCGGGTAAACCGATGATCACAAGAGATGGCAAGATCGCTCAGCAACCGCTGCCATCTTTCGAGACGCCAGGCCTGAGCAAGATCGACAATTGGAAGATCAAGCTACTCAAGGAAGGATTTGAGCGAACGGGAGGTAGCACGACTTTGGGAGAAGACGCATATTCGATCGCTAAATTGAGAAATTCGACTGGCCTTTGCGTCACCGTAGCGGATGGAGTTGGAGGCTGGAATGACAGTGGAGTCGACCCTTCGGTCTTCTCGACTGCCCTTTGCTACTACGCGCAGCAATCTGCTCGTAACCGCACCGCTCAATCGCAGCCAGAGGGTGACGTCCTGCAAGCAGAGCCGCGTCGTATTCTCGAAGATGCCTACCTCGCCGTCCTGACCGAGCCAACAGTACAAGCGGGCAGCTCGACCGCATTGAATGCTTGTCTTGCCGCTTCGACTGGTATCCTGGATTGCGCCAATCTGGGCGATTCGGGCTTTGCCATTCTGCGAGATTCCAAGGCTATCCACGTTCAGCCTTCGCAGACAAAGTACTTCAACTGTCCATGGCAGCTGGCAAAGATCCCAATAGACATGGGCGACAATGTGTCTGATGTGCCGCAAGACGCTCAGCTCTTCTCGACTCAACTTAGGTATGTCATTTCTCGATTATGAGACGCGCTTGGCCAATGGATGCACAGACATGACGATCTGGTCGTTCTGTACACGGATGGCTTCAGCGATAACGTGTTCGTCAGGGAGCTAGAAGCGCTCGTGGCTGCAGTGTCGAAAGCATGCAAAGGCCAAATGAGTGAGGAGGACTTTGTGCAGACCTTGGCGAATCAGCTAGTCCGATATGCCCGCGCTTGTAGCTTCTCGCAGACGAAAGAGTCGCCATTCGAGCTCGAAGCACGCAGACACGGTAACGCGGATCTGACGGGCGGCAAGATCGACGATATCACAGTCGTGGCACTCTTGGCGGGCGAGATGTAAAATGGCAACGAGCGAGACACATACAACACGTTGCGTGCGGCACGACTATCGATCGATGGGTGCTCCTCGTCGATCTGCAGTGGCCAGACACTGGTGAACGACGCCGAGCAGATGCTGGTTCTCCAAGGCAGCCGCCACCCGCTCTTTATCGTTGAGCTGCTTGTTCACTGCGCGTCCGAGCTCAACGCATGGCACGCCAGTACCTGGGATACTGCTGACCTGCATTCTCTGATTGATGCGAGCCCTTCCGGACTCTGATGTCGACCTTGAATCGCTCTGGGAGGGCTCTGAGTAATCGGACGCGCAACGTCAAGCCTGCAAAGCATGTCAGCTGGTAGACACAGCATGCGTGTCATCACTGACCGATGAGTGTCGCCATCGAGCAATGAGGAATAGTGGGTGTAAATTCGACGAGGACATGTGGCCTTGCGCCGTGAGTGACGGTGATCTGCGATGATGAGACGACAGCGAGTTGCTCCAGCGTGAGAGGGTGTTCAGGGTCTGTGATGGACCTCAGCAGGTCTAGATGGCCGTTTTTCAGGACACGGAATGAGCTCGCTCTGCAGATAGACTGACCGAAAATCTCATCTGCGTCGATCGGCTCTTCGAGCTCGTCTGTGCTTGCGTCAGAGTCATCGAATGTCCACAGCGGATCCTTGTCGAGGAACTCGGCTGCCTTGAGACCGACGTTCGCTGTCGTGCTATGCACAGTCGGATTGGCGTTATCCATCTGTCTCTAGACTTGGGCTAGACAGAGAGGCAACAGGAGGGCGGCAAGCACCAGAAACCGTCGCGCTTTGCAATTTCTCTGCTGATTCCTTGCGTAGCTGCTGGCCGACGCAATGGCGACCTACGAAGGTTTGAAGGTTCTGCTTGACTGGTTCAAGAGCAATGGAGGCAGTGTCCAGCCACATGTCGAGTTTGCGAGCTATCCTGACATGGGCTGCGGCATGCGAGCCACGAGCAATTTGCGTTCAGAAACCGAACTGTTTTCAATTCCTCGCTCGCTTGTGCTCTCCGTACATACTTCTCCGCTGCCCAAAAGTCTACCGGATTGGTCAGAGATTAGTACACAAGGCTGGGTCGGCTTGATACTTTGCTTGATGTATGAGCAAATTGATCCAGCGTCACATTGGAAACGATATCTCAACTCGATGCCGACTTGCTTTGACAGTCTCATGTTTTGGTCAGACGACGAGCTCAGAGAGCTACAGGGCTCCTCTGTCCTGGACAAGATCGGTCGAGAGGAAGCAGAAGGAAGCTACTATTCCATCTTGGTGCCGTACTTGTCCAAGCACGCCGACATTTTCAAACCCCTGGAGGCCTACAGCCTGGCCCTTTATCATCGCTGTGGCAGTCTGATCCTATCGCGCTCGTTCCACGTCTCGAATCAAGATGACTCAGCAAGCGATGCGAGCGATGACGACGACGCAGCTTACCATGAAGTCGAAACCGTCGGAATGGTGCCAATGGCTGATGTTCTCAATGCAAAGTCGGGTTCAGCCAATGTGAGATCTCGCTGAGTCTTCAAGGGAGGGATATCTCAATTCATCGAACAGGCATGCTTAGTGTACCATCCCGACGCGCTAGTGATGACGACGACGAAAGAGATTGCGGCAGGCGAGCAGATCTTCAACACTTATAATGACCCGCCAAACGCGGATCTACTCCGCCGTTATGGTCATGTAGACGAGGTCAATCTGAATGACAACGTCGAAATTTCTGCCGACCTCATTGGCTGCAAAGATCTTGAACGCGTCGACTGGCTCCTTGACCGCCTAGACGATGTCTACACTCTTACACAAGCCGAGGACCTGCCCGAGGATTTTATCACTGGTCAGTCCAGCATTCATGACAAACCTATACTGACAACGATCCGCAGCTGTGAAAATTTTGACGGCCAGCAAGTCAGAGTTTCGCAAGATACAGAAGGCCGACGATCTGCCTGACGACGTTCTCGACGAGGCTACAGCAATGCGCGTAAGAGAAATCTTGCAAATGCGCTTAGCACAATACAGCTCAACAATCGAGGAAGACGAAAGCCTACTGGCTAGTTCCACAATGCTGACGTCCCGATCCCGGGCTGCCTTACTCGTTCGTCTGGGCGAGAAGCGCATATTAGCGGCTCATTTCGCACGGCTTCCGATGCCTGAGCTGAGCTCGCGCGAAGGCAACAAACGCGCGTTGAGTCGCAAAGACCAACGAGAAGAGCGCAAGCGGCAAAGGCGGGACAGTTCGTAGCAAAATGCATCTATTAGCTCTACGTCGTGACCACAATGAGTAAAGTGACTGGCTTATGTGTGTATACAGTTGCGCCTGTTCAGGCCTTGCTATCGCCGTATTGGGTTCGGGCGCTATAAGGGTCGGCCATAACCGATTGCTCCTCGAGGCGTTTGTACCAGGACATTGGCCTTATGAAGGCCTTGTATGCCTCGACCCAGAGGATGAACGCCGCTACCATGGCGATGACGATGCCCCACTCCTTGCCAATGCTGCGCCGCAAGTCAGTAATGCTCGGAGTCTGTCGAATCGACCATACCTTGATTGATACAGCGCGCTTGTATTGAGTCCGGGCACATAGACTGGCACGACGACAAAGATCATGCCGCCTACGACCGACCAAAAGAGAATCTGATTGCTCCAGAGGTCTTTGTAGAACGCTTTTCCGGGCGTGAGAGCGAACAGCGATCGATCGAAAGACTTGAGCTCCCAGGCATAAATGACGATTTGCCAGACGATTGTGCAAAAGACTGTAGAGCGTGCCCGGAAGACTTCGTGGCATTCTTCTCGATACTCGCGATTGCAGTCTGAGCCCAATTCGCCCGTTCCGAGACCGTAGATGACGATGACAAAGGCGAGCAGGCAGGTTGCGCCCATGAAGGATCCGTAGACGAAAGTGTCGATGAGCACAGGCCAGCTGAAGACACCGACTTTCGGATCATGAGGTCTGCGTCGCATGTTGTCAGCTGCGGCGGGCTCGACGCCTAGCCCAAATGCTGGCGGACTGCTGGTAATCATGTTGATGAACAGGATAGCCAGAGGTGAAAGCGGAAAGACAGATGCGCCATCGCGGTCGATGAAGGCGAGGCCGACAATGAGCAGAATGACCTCAGCCACATTAGTTGAGAGCTGGCTACAATGTCAGAGATGCAAACGTGGTAGGTGTCGAAAGGACTTACGAGATGAACGATGAAGCGTTGAATGTTCGTGAACAGTCTGCGGCCTTCTTGCACGGCAAGAGTGATAGAATCGAACTGATCGTCGGTCAGGATGAGATCTGACGCATCCTTGGCAACATCACTGCCTGCCAGACCCATCGCAATGCCGACCGGGGCAATCTTCAGAGCAGGGCTGTCGTTGACCCCATCGCCTGTCATCGCCAGGTAGAGTCCTCTGCGCTTGCCGGCGTAGATCATATTGACTTTCGTCGACGGCGAACATCGAGCTATGACGAGAGGAAGGTTGGGCAGAGCATCAACTTCTGCTTCGGAGAGTTTATCGAAAGCGGCAGCCGTCATGACGGCAGTTTCTGGTGCATCTGGCGAGATGATTTCGACCTCCAGAGCAATAGCCCGTGCTGTGGCGATGTGGTCGCCTGTCAGCATGTGCACGACGATGCCGGCTTCCTTGCATTTTCGAACGGCGCCAACAGTCTCTTCTCTCGGCGGATCGTAAATGCCAGCAAGGCCGATGAATGTCAAGTCTTTGTCAGCTGTCGCACGCTCCATCTTCTCCGGATGCTCGTCTTGACGCAATCGGCGAGATGCGAGTGCGAGCACGCGAAGACCTTGTCCGGCTAGCTGATCGACTTGGCGAAGCAGATGTGATTTGTAGGCGTCGTCGAGCTCTGTGGGTGGCGCACTGGTATCGCGGGCGTCAGACGCATACGTCGTGCAGGTCTCGAGCAGTCTCTCGACGGCACCCTTTGACAATACGACGGCTTGGCCAGATTCAGCGTCGTCGTAGATTGTCGTCATGCGCTTGATGGACGAATCGAAAGGAAACTCCTGGATGAGTTTAAATTGCTTGGGTTGTGTAGAACGCATCGTCTCTGATCTGGGCGAAGACTCGTCGTCGTCATCAGCGTCGCCAGAATGTGTCAATGTATGACGCGCGAGGCCGCATTTGTGGGCAAGGACCTGCAGGGCTACTTCTGTAGGATCGCCGGTAGAAGTCCATTCGCCCTTGCCGTTCTTGAATACGCTGGATACGTTACAAAGCGAGGCGCACTGAACGAATGCAGTCAAGGCCGGGTCCAGATCGCCTCGTCTGAGCTCTTTGTCATTCTCGCTGATGCGACCGACAGGCTCCAAGGCGTTGCTGCCGGTCTCAATGGTCAGCATGCGCTCGTCGGTCTCTCTCTGTGCTGGCAGAAACACTTTTCTGACAATCATCTTGCCTTGAGTGAGAGTACCTGTCTTATCGGAGCAGATGTTCGTCACGCCACCCAGAGATTCGAGTGCGTCGAGCTTGCGAACAATGACTGCTTGGTTGGCCATGCGCTTTGTGCCGGTGGCCATAGTCACGGTCAATACTGAAATCAGCGCTTCCTGCGATCTGCCGCGTCAGTTCGAACCTGTTATCCTTTGTTTCGTGCGTACAGGGATGATGGCTATGGCCGTACTGATGGCGTAAATGGCAGTCTCATTGCGTATTCGAAAGCGAGCAACAGCAAAGACGATGATGGCCAGAACGATTGCACACCCGAAGAGGACGTATGCAAGCTTAGCAAGCTTGATCTGTAGCGGCGTGCCGTCACGGAGACCCAAAAATCGAGCGACAGCTTCATAGGCCCGCTTCCATCTCGGAACCGTATCATCTGAAGTCGCCTGGGAAGACTTCTTGCCGCCCATGGCGAGAGCAATGCGACCTATCTCGGTCTTCATACCAGTGCCTGTAGCGATACCAACGCCGCGACCTTTGGATACTGTCGTTGACGAAAAGACGCAGTTGGTGCGATCGCCCACGCCCAGTGAACCATCGGGATCCTTGATGGGTTCTGTGGTCTTGACGACGGGAACACTCTCGCCGGTCAAGAGCTGTTCGCTGACTTCGAGGTTGGACACGCTGATGAGACGCATGTCTGCCGGTACGACGTCGCCTACGCTGATAGTGACAATGTCGCCCGGCACGAGGTGACGGGATGCGATAGTGAGCGTTTCGCCGTTGCGTGTGACTTTGGCGGTTGGGGACGAGAGTGAGCGGAGAGAGTCCATCGTCTGTTCCGCTCGATACTCCTGGTAGAAGCCAACGGCTGTGTTGAGCACGATGACTGCTACGATGACGGCTCCCTCGATGAAATCTTGTACTCCGAATGACAGTGCCATGGCAGCGACGAGGACGAGGGTGAGCGCGTTGGCCATCTGTCCAATGAGGACCTTGTACCAAGAGACGCCGCCATCACCTTTGAGGGCGTTGTCTCCGTACTTGATCAGACGAGCTTCCGCTTGCGTCTTCGTCAGACCGTCACGGTGCGAGGTCTCGAGTGTACGGTAGAGGTCCTGCACTGTCTGCTGATAGACTTTGATCTCATCATATTGCTTCTCCTCGAGCTGCAGTGTCGTGCTGTCTGGAACGAGTGTGGTCTCCTGGCTCAGCGCTCGCGGGAAATCGCCGTTGCTTTCTTTTGCCATTGCGAGGCGAGAGGTGCGAGAGAACAGTGTCTGAGCATGAAGTAGTGGCCACCATGACGGCAGAACGCTGATCCCCAGCCGCCAAGGGATACCGCGTCACCAGCCACCACCAAGACTTGTCGCGCGAGAGAGAGACAGCCCGTTCCTCGATCGGTCTTGGCTGTTGTCTTGGCGTTCGGTACACGTGTTGGTCGCCGGCACGAACGAGGGCGCAGGATGACCGTCAGGACGTTGAAGAGTATCTGTAGAGAAGTCTTGCTGCTCAATCTTGACAAGCTACAAAATGTCGGGTCAGCCCACTATCAGGACATCGAGTTCGCACTCCGTCGATGCTCCGCACAGCAGCTGGCCTGCATCGAGCAACACTCACCCCATCTGCTGAGAGATACCCATGCTCTCTGGCATGCCCTCAATCAAGCAGACTTTGGCGATGACAGCGAAGCATACACGCCGTTGATCGACTATCGCGCTCGTTATGTCGCCGCTGAGGCCAACATAGAACGCAAACGCCAGGTGACATCGGAAAAGCTGAAGCGACAGACAGCGGATCTGGAAGCACACCGCAAGGCTCACACTACAGTCATGATAGAGCCGCCCACTAAACGGGTCAAGACCAAGCCGCGACATGTTCCAGGCGGTCTCATGGCCAAGCTTCGGCGAAAGACGACGCAATCGCAGCGACTGCGAGAAGCAACGACAAGCTCACGTCCTGCGCCTGCGCCCCCACCTCCTGTTCGCATGCTGACCACTCCCGTTACACCATCGGCGCCGACGCAAAAGACCAGCCAGCCCTTGACGGTCGAGCAACGAGTGCCTCCGCGCTCCGCAGCGCCCTCAATCTTTATCACGAGGAAAAAGCGCCTGACTTGAACGCGGCGTCAAGCTTGATTTGCAGATTACGCCAGGAATGTGTCACATTCCATTCTGTGAATATTGCCTTACGCTACCATGATACCACAAAGCCGACGAATGCGAGCAAGGCGGGGACGCGCAGAGACTCGGCGCCAGACGTCGCAGCTTCCGATGTTGACGTATTGCTCGCTTGCGCAGCCGAAGCCGAAGTGATTGCACCGGACGCTGTCGTCTGGCTCTTGTCGGAGGCCGTACTGGTCGCCTGCATCATCAAGTCAGATCAGTCAACTGGCTCAGCCACGTAAAACGTACGGCAGCATCACTTGTTACAGACGCAGCCGCTGTGTAGCTCCCCGCTTCGGCGGCAACGATGATTGACGACGCACTGGCTGGAATCACCTCCGAGATGCCAATGGCTTCACAGGTCTGCCGAGACAGATCAGTATAGCTCTTTGCGAAATCACGCTTGCCTACTTGTTGACCGAGCGCGACGCCGGTCTCGATGTCAGTCGAGGTCGTGCATGTTGCAGCGAGACATTTGGCAGTAGCAGTGATGAAGACCGACGACGCGCACAAGCATGAATAGTCGACCGAATTGCACCCTGCTGCGTCAGCTGATGGCTGAACACAGTCAGAGACGCTGCGCGCTCGTTCAGCATACGTTGCAAGCTCACGATCGTGGCTTACCAGGTCGGAATAGAAGTGTCCCTGCCGACCAGCGCGGCGCCGTTGTGCAGATCGATTCCCCGATAAGCCAGAGTGTGACCGGCGAGTAAAGAAATGCTCGTGACGCTTGTCAACCTCATACTTGCACACTCGAGAAAGTCCTTGGCTAGATTTATAGACTTCGATGCATAGATCAAAACCGAACAGATCGGGCTCTTTGTGCACAAAGAGCGCTCACAAAAGAGCCAGCCTTGCGGAATTTGCTTTCTGCGGACGCGTCGCGTCTATTTCATCGTGACGAGTTCTTCGCCGGAGGTAGGATGAATTGCGACCGTATCGTCAAAGTCCTGCAAATCCTATCGTAAGCTCAGCTGAGAGCAAAACATGAAGGGCTCGCCTTCTTTGTGGCGCCCATCTTGACTGCGACTGCGAAGCCTTGCATGATCTCGTCGGAACCTAGTCCGATGATATGCATACCGATCACTTTTTCCTCTTTGCCCAGACAGACGAGCTTGTAAGCAGTCGGTTGCTTCTCCTCCTGAGGGAATGGCGAAAAGTACAGCGAGGTGAAGGTCGACTTGTAGATCTTTATGTTCTCATCGCCGTGTTTCTCGCGAGCCTCAGCTTCTGTCAGACCCACTGTGCCCGCTGGTGGATGCCTGCAATAGCCTGTTTGAGCACGAGCGGTAGAGCAGAGTAAGGCACATACGAAAACACGACTGTTGGGATGTTGTCGTAGCTCAGATGATCATCCTTCTTTTCGGCCGGGCCATAGAGACGATTGCCTAACCTGCGTCCGGCTGCAAGTGCGACAGGCGTAAGCAATGCCTTGCCTTGCACATCACCGATAGCGGTAATGTCTTCAACGTTTGAATTTTGATACTCATCTACCACGACAAAGCCCTTGTCGTCGAGCTTGACGCCAGCCTTGTCGATACCGAGATTATAAGTCAGAGATCGTCGACCGATGGCCCAGAGCAGCACGTCGACTTCGAGCTCTTCACCTTGATCAGTAATGATAGTCTTTGGATTTGGCTGGCTCAGATTTGATGCATCGCCGCCCTTGACTTCTTTGACGTTGGTGTTTCGGTGAATCTTGATGCCAGTCTTTTCCATATGCTCGACGAGCGTATCGCTGATGATATCGTCAAAATTGCGCAGGGGCTTGCCATGCCTGATGAGCAGATGTGTCTCACAGCCTGTGTGCAAGTCAGTCTATCGCGTATAGTGATACACAAGCAGCATACCTAGCGTATGGAAAATGCCAGCAAGCTCGACTGCGATGTAGCCTGCACCTACAACGGCGACTCTTTTGGGCTGCGATTCGAGATCGAAGAAGCCATCGCTGTCAATGCCAACCTCGTATCCTGGAATGCTGTCTGGTTTGGTGGGCTCTCCGCCGACAGCAATGCAGATATGCTTTGCAGTTACTTTACGCTGCGTCGGTGTCGAGTCGTGCGCATCATCACGACCACCCTTTGCAGAGCGCTGATCTATCTCGAGCGTGTGTTTATCCAGGAATTTCGCATATCCCGTGATGTATTCGACTTTGTCGTTGACGAGGTTCTTCTCGTAGATGCCATTGAGCTTGCGAATGTAGGCATCGCGCGTCTTTTTGAAGGATGTCCAATCGAATGCAGGGATGGCCTCGTCCGAGAGGGCATAGGCGTAATGCTTAGCATGCTTGAGCGTCTCCAGAGTATCGGCAGCATGATACATGATCTTCTTGGGCACGCAGCCTGGGCTTGCTAGGTCAGCTTGAATCCGCGGATAAGATCAAACACAGGCTCACCAACGTTGACGCAAGTGCCGCCGAGTCTATCAGACTTCTCGATGATCGCTACCTTTGCGCCATAGCTTGATGCACGCCGAGCGGCCCCTAGTCCACCGGAGCCACCGCCAATGACGAGCATGTCATAATCGTAGGAATGCTCTCCTTTTGTCGGAACGGGCGCCATCGTGACAGATGTTGTGCTCAAAGATCGCGCAACCTGATGCAGGATCAGATGCTGAAATTGTTGGCTTCTACAGACGTACAGCAGCAAGACGAGTCACAGGGCTAGCAGACACTTTGAAACTCTTCTCTCGCGATCGGCTGACTAAGAATTGTGGAGCGCGGAACGAGCCGAAAGAGCGGCGTGCAGGCAGCGAAAGGACAATACGACGCTGGTAGCAATCCGACAGAATCGAGATTCGGATGCCTCGAGCTGCAAGGTGCATCCACCGGCTTTGTGATTGATCGACCTTTGACTTCGTCGTCATCGTCAATCATATCATTTGACGTGCACACTCGGCGCGAGCGCGTCCTCTCTCGAGGCGATCAAGCAGCACGCTCAAATCTCGGCGCTCCCTCGGGTTGCTACCATGGCCCCGCTTCAGGACATAACGAACAGGCTATCTCTTTCAGTACAGAGACCTGCGAAGCAGCCTCTGCTACGTCAGTCGTCCCTGCAAGACTTATTCGCCAAGCCTGCGACACCGCGACATGAACAGGATGAGAGCGCGCTCAGGGCCAGCAAACGCAGGCGGATCCTCACCGAACCATCTGTGCTCGCATCATCATCGTCTCCCGCGTCTGATGAATGCCATCACGCGATGCAATGGGAAAGCACTCAGCCGACTTCGCCTCTTGCTCCCCAAAAGCATCAACACGACTCTTCCGATGAAGAGGATGATGACGCAACTGGTTGGGTGGAGCCAGTGCGGCAGCTACACACGCGCCAGAGTCTGCGCGCTTCGACGAAGCTTGGACCGGTAGCTTTGCTCGGCATGTGCTCGACAAGCTCAGCTCGCTCTTTTCCTCGTGCTCTAGCGCGGCACAGTGAGTCGCACATGCTCTGCGCGAACGGGCAGCTGATGGCCACATAGCTCATACAACGGCTCACCTGCTGAGCCTGTCCAGCTCGGCGAATCTGGACGTTTATAGACTTGTCGGTCAAGACCGATCCGCTGCCGGACTGATTTCGTCTGACTTTGCACCTCCAATGGCGTGCCAATTCTCTCATGGTTCGTTTTCACGTCTCTATCTGAATGAAGGCAGCTCACGACCGCATGTAGGAGCGAGGCGAGGTGGTGGCAAGAATGTATGCGCGGTTGTGGACGAGACTGGCATCGTCACTTTTCTCGACGCGGATGGCACCGTTGACACGGACCGAGGTACGGGTCATATCTACATACAGCGCACAGAGATTCACAACGTGTGCAGAACAAGGCCGACATGCCTTTTCAACTCACGAGAACGCCGTGTTCGCTCTGCAATGGTCACCAGACGACTCTACCATGGTGCGGTCTTTGTTCGTTGTCTGCAGGCCTAGCTGACAGCGCGTCAAGCTGACTGGATCGGGCGATCATACTGCAAGTCTGCATGATGTGAAGACGGGCAATTGTGTAGGCGAATTGGTGGGCCATCAAGGCAGCGTCAAGACTGTTGATTGGCATCCACACGACCATCGTATGTCTAACACAAAGGCAATGGCTTCAACTGATTCTTTAACTCAGATCTTGTTGCGACTGGCTCTCGCGACGGTACTGTCAGACTGTGGGACGTTCGCGCGCCCGCGGCAGATGGTAACGGCCTGCTTTGCGTCAATCTGATAAGGAATGCGCATTGTGAGCCCAAGAAGGGTATGCGCGACATCATGGTCAGTCTTTGTCTTTCGATGGCATGTCAAGCTCAAATGGGTCATAGCCTGCTGCTCGACGGTCTGTCACCTCTGTCACATTCATACCCAACCAAGACCATCTGCTCGCGTCTGCCGGTTCGGCAGATGGCATGGTTCGCTTCTGGGATGTGCGAAGACCGCATTCAAATCGTATCAACCCCGACTACTTCCAAGTCGGGGCTGATGTTGCAGCGCCTTCTTTGGCAAGCCTGCAAGCCTCTTCACTCACTTCGCCATTGACAATGCAGCGATCTCACGGCATTTCTAGCCTGACGGTCTCGCCGGTCAATGGCCGTCTTTACGCCATCAGTACGGCTAGCTACGCGTTCTCACTCGATACTTGCCTTCTGCCTCTCGCGGGCAATCTCAGCAAAAAGGACGTCCACGCTGGCGATCTGGCTATGACAGATTTGCAGATATTCACGAGCCCTTCGCTCGGTTTCGGGGACTTCTACCGCGGTCTCACAGTCAGCACAGATGGTCGTTACTTAGCGGCAGGCAGCACGACGGGTGCGCATCTATGGGACACTGCCAACGTGCGCAGCGCGAGGGACATGTCAAACGATGGCGGCGAACAGACTAACTTCGAGGCGGTAACCCTGGATGCGGGTGCAGGCGAGGTGACCGGACTGGCGTGGGGCAGAGACGAAACACTCTTGACAATACAAGAAGATCGGTCGCTGCGTATCTGGCGGCCGAGGCAGTGCGTCGAGCAGAACCCAGAGTATGCACGGTCGAGCGCGGGTCATACGTTTTTCGCGGCCCTCTAGACGTCTGTTGGAGCATGCATGGTGACAAATATACAAGCCAGTGTAACAATCTATGTCAAGTCTTGGGTATTGATGAGGACGAAGGCAGGCTGCCCTTTCTTCTTGGCGCGGACAGCCTGCCGGGGGCTATGTGTGGAAGTTTGTATGCTTGGTTGTGATGCCCCACTGATGCCGGCCACCTTGATTCTTGATGAAGTATAGCCATAGCTTGCCCGGAATGATGGGTACCCTGCGGCCAGGCGTGAGTGAGATGAGCATCTACATTTCGATCATATGGACCTTTTGTGATCTGCAAAGGTCCGGGTGTCAGCAGCGTACTTCAGCGCGGAGGCCCTCGCAAGACGCACAGGTCCAGGGCATGTCGCGGCAGCACGACGGACTGATCCGTCACCGCCTCTGTGCGCTGTATCGACTCGGTCGACCGCTCGAGCGCTGGGTTCGCGAGTTTTCGATCAATTCCATGTCGATCCTTTCGGTTCCTTTCCCCTCGCGACTCGCTGAAATTGCCGACTTCAGATCGATAGCCGACAGCCGTCGTCAACCAGCTCGAAGAAAGGACGCATCGGCCTAGTCCCTTGAGATGAGTCGCGATCTGCGAGTATGTGTCATCGGCTCTGGCATCTCGGCCATCTGTCTGGCCATGGAGCTCAGAGCGATGAAGTTTGACACCTTTACAATGTACGAACGAGAGACAAGGCCTGTCGGTACCTGGATGACCAACACTGTCAGCTCTCTTTGCTTTGGCATCGGACACTGCTTACCTGGGAGCAGTATCTCGCGTGCGAATGCGATGTCAAGTCTCACTACTACAGTCACTCCAAGGAACTTAGCCCTGACTGGAGTCGTACCTATGCCGGCCAAGAGGAGATTCTCGAATACTGGATGAGGATCTGGAACAAATATCACTTGCAAGACAATACCCGGTTCGATAGCAACTTCGTCAGGGCGACTTGGGACAGCGACCGCTCGCTGTATGTTGTCGATTTTGAGCAGACATCAAACAGGGATGTGAAGTGGTCCATCGAATGTGAAGTGCTCGTCAGTGCACTCGGCTCCTTCTCGCAGCCGATCGATAAGCCCGTAGGCATGAAAGGACTTGACAGCTTCAACGGCCCTGTCTTTCACTCAGCCAAGTGGCGCCACGATGTCGACCTCTCGAACAAGCGCGTTGGCGTCATCGGTAACGGCGCTTCAGCTTCTCAGTTCATCCCTGCATTGGCCAAAGATCCCACGACGCATGTGATCAACTTCTCACGGACACCTTCTTGGTACTACCCTCGCGACCAAGGCAATTACTCTTCGCTCACAAAGGCAGCTTTCCGTTATGTGCCTGGCTTGATGCGAGCCCATCGGATCTACATTGCAGCCAGGGCCGACATGCGCTGGCCTGCCTGGGTTCTGTCGAGCAACATGGTCCGTCACATCGCCGAAGAGACGGCGATCAATTTCATCACTTCCACCGCACCTGCAAAATATCACAATTTCCTCATTCCCACTTATCCTATGGGTTGCAAGCGGGTCATTCTGTCAGACCCCGTCGGAGGTTATCTCGACTGTCTCAATCAGAGCAACGTAGAACTCATCACCGACAAGATTGACACCATCAATGAGACTGGCATCCGTGGCGCGTCTGGCGAGCAATACGACTTTGATGTCCTCATTCTCGGCACAGGCTTCGATGTTACCGAGCGAGGACTGGGCATAGAAGTCAAGGGTAGCAAAGGGACGACACTGACGCAGCAATGGAAGAAGCAGGGCGGACCTCAGGCATATCTAGGCACTACCGTGAGCAACACGCCAAACTTTATGATGATGCTCGGGCCCAACGTTGGTATGTCTGATCTGATTCAGTCGATGCCTAGTTGGGACTGAGCAATCTGAACAGCCACTGGTATTGCGTCTGTCGTTTTCTCGAGCGAGACACAAGCAAGCTACATCGCACAGATGATCAAGAAGATGCGCCAGTATGACATCAAGAGCTTCGAACTGAAGACGGACTCGGAAGAGCGATACAACCAGTGGCTGCACAAGTCACTCAAGAACACAGTGTGGACCGGCGGCTGCTCATCTTGGTATCGACTCGAGAACGGCAAGGTTGTCGTCACTTGGCCAGGCACGTTGACGGGCTTCTGGCTCCGCGCAAGAGTTCCCACTTGGTCTCACTACACACAGCTGGGTGGAACAGCTCGTATCGCATTCGTAGAGGTATGCAATCTGCTCAAGACAAGGGAAGCTGCTAAGGCTGCGATGACAGTGGCGCAAGACTGTTCTTCGCCGACTTGCCTTCCTCGTCACCTTTGTGCTTGCTGTCCGGTACTATCGCAAGAACGGCCCTTGGAAGCGCATCCAGGGCAAACTCCTCATGTCTGCGCTTATGAAGTACTCACAAGTGGCTGGCTACATCAACGGAGAGTAGACGATAGATGCTATTGCATTGCTTACCTTGTGCTCCGCGCTCGAGCTACACACAAAGCGGGTCCTGTTCGCGACGCGATCATTGAACGTTGAACCGTTGAGATCGACTCAAGCCTCGAGTCTCGCACAGCAGCAAGATAATGCGAAAAGTGAGGCCATGATTGTGAGCACTGACGGCGTTCCTGCGTAATACATGCGCTGAGAATGCATTGCTGTGCAGCGCTTCGTTCTCATCCAGGTAGGTCTGGACAAATTCGACACGCCAACTGCAGCTGACCGTGCCCGGCTCGCAACAGAACCGACAGGGCAAGGTGACTATCTGAACGAGCACTCTGAGCTCGACAAGGCTCATCAAACCGTGTCCAGACGAGGCTATCAAAGTGGTATACGGGCTACGACGATGATGACAAAGTGCGAATACGAGGGGAAGTCCACAGGCTGATTGCGCCTCGAGACCAAAAGTATCAGTCCAACTTTGTCGAGGTACGCCAGCGACACATTGAGGATAAGCCGCACTTCTGAGCGTGCGCGCAGTTTCGCAATCACAAGATCGTCTACCGACGATATGCCGGCCTGTTCTTCTGCATCGGCGTCGACGCAAACGACAACGAGCTCGCGTATCTTGAGGCCATCCATCTCTTTGTAGAGGTCTTGGGTGAGTCACGCTGTCCTCGAAGATGCTCCCGCTGACCAGAATCTCAGATGCTTTCTTTGGCAATGTCTGCGAAGTGAGTGTGATCTGACTAGCCTTCACGGGACGCTGATGCTGTGAGCAGCTCGACCTTGTCTTCAATTTCTACAAAGCACGCCGGTCCTGCTCACGGCTTTGCTCGGGCTAATGTTGCGCAGGTCTATGCGATACTTGACGAAGTCTTCCTAGCGGGCGAGATTGAAGAAACGAGCAAGACCGTCATATTACGGCGGCTTGATTATCTCGAAAAGCTGGACTGAATGATGTTGTGCAATTCGAAGCTGTACAAAGCAATGCATCATCGTCATGACAACAACAGGTAGGTGTGCGTGCGTGCGTGGTCAATCTACGAATGCGAAACGTTCCCTGAGGCTTTGGCCATATCTGAGCAGCAGCAACGGAACGGGAATAGCGATGGCGGCAATAGCAGCAAGCAGAGTGCCAGCAAGCCCCCAGCCGAGCCGCTTGAACATGTCTTCGGCAAAGATGGGTAGAATGGCGCCGGTCACGGATCTGGCTGCCGTCGCGCCGGCCATAGCTGCAGCCGAATAGGGCACAAATGCGTCAACGATGTAATTCTGGATCGAGTTGAAAGCAAGCATGAGGCCGAGCGCAAACAGAAAGGATCCGATCTAAAGTCATTCATCAGCTCGTGTGCGCCACCAGAAGTAAGAGCGTACCTGAGGCACAATCCAATGAGTGTTAGCCTCTGCGCTCCATCCAAATATGAGCAGGCCGATAGGCAGGAGTATGACGCCAATCTGGGTGAGGATGAGGCGGTACTCTGGCTGACCCTTGCCGCCCGTGCGTGCACTCAAGCGCTTATAGATCCGGTCTTGGTACACGCTGGCTATCGTTGCCGAGGTGAGGAAGCCGAGCAATAAGCCAGAATAGGCCAATCCGAGTGTTGTCCGGCGTGGCCAGCTGTAATGCGGAAGGTCGCCTGTACTTGAATCGGCAGGGCCATACAGCGTTGGGAATGAGACCAAGACGAGATAGATGATCCCGTACAAGTAGGCATAGAAAGTGGCCAAGAATGCAGCGACAGGATTGGTCAGGAGCAGCCTGGGAGGCCGCGAGAAAGTCCGCTTGATGAGCGTCCTGGTCTTGTGTGAGGGTGTAAGCTTCTGCGACCAAGTCTCGCTCGGCTGGACATCGTCGCGCAAGCTGAGCCGACGCTGCAAGACAGGTGCATAGGACTCATTGAGACCAATGACGATCATCCCAAGGTTAGCGGCGCCCATGAAGCAGACGATCCGCAATGACCACCGCCAGCCGGCTCTTATGATCCAGAAGCTCAGCATCGACCAGAGCGTCGGACCCAGCAACGGTCCGAGTGCATAGAGACTGATAGGCCTGCCTCGCTCCTCCTTGGCGAAGCAGTCGCTCACAGACGCCGCGCCCAGACCTGGACCGACTGAGCTGAATACGCCGCTCAAGAAGCGAAGCGCGATGAGGCTGCCTATGCTCTGCGTGAATGACGAGCCGAGCGCGATAAAAGTGAAGCAGACCATCGAGGAAACGTAGGCCGGCCGTCGACCTCGTGCCTCTGCGATTGGCGCAAACAGGAAAGGTCCTGCGCCCAGTCCCAAAACGTAGAGTGACGTCGTCAAGATGATGAGCTGTCGATTTTGCGTGTCGAATTGTGCCATGAGCTCAGGCACGGCTGGCGTGAGCGTCGTGGAGGCTGCCGTGCTGACGAATCCCGTGCCGGACACGATGATGACGTTGCGCCACTTCTTCGCTCTGCTCCATCCCAGTGGGTTGTCAGGATGATGAGCCCACTCGTCCGCAGCTGATTTGGCTGAGATGTCGACACTTTGCTCTGCCAGCGTGGCCTCGTCATCCTTCTCTGGGGCCGTCATGCCGGGCTACTGTGCTTCTGTGACTCTCATATCAGCCTGTGAGTGGGTCGAGTCCGTGCACCTGTGCTCGGATCAAAGCGGGCTTGGATCATCGCACGGTGGTGGCAAACGTCGTCGCGCTGATTGCTTGGGCTTGCTTGCCTCGTCGTCGAAGGTCTCTCGCCGTCTGCTCGCTTTGGCCAGCGGCTGTGCATGCAAAGGCTCGGTCGCTCGAGCAGACGACTGACCAGGATGGCTCATACCAACGGACACACGACCAACGCCAGATCCAAGGCCTTTCCTCACGGCTACTCGAGCCGACTGAATGACGAAGTGACTCGTCTGGACGTCTGGAGCGTCTTCTCGCCCGCTTCGGGCTATGTGCCCAAGGAATCCATCAATCTCGGTCAGGGCTTCATGAACTGGGCGCCGCCAAAGTACGTCAGGCAAGCGTTCGACGATGCCCTAGAGACCGTCGAACCGAACCATTACTCAATTCCACGAGGGCGGATCCGTCTACGCCAGGCACTCGCAGAGACGTACGGCACTTCGCTCGGCTTCCAAGACGGCGGCAAGCTTGACCCGAACACAGACATTCTCGTCACCGCGGTGAGTGACAAGGCGCTTAGGTGCACGGGCCTGAGCTGACTCATTAGGGACAGGGCGCCAACGGAGCCATCTATGCCTTCTTCACTGCCTTTCTCGAACCAGACGGTGTAGATGAAGTCATCGTCTTCTCGCCTCACTTTGATCAATACGTCTCCAACATCAAATTCAACGGCGGCAAGCCCGTCTATGTCCCCTTGCAACCACCCAAAGCATCCTCTTCAGACATTGTCAGCAAGAGCTCAGACTGGACAGTCGATTTTGATGAGCTCCAAAAGGCTATCTCGCCCAACACGAGAGCCATCATACTCAATACGCCCCACAACCCCGTCGGCAAGGTCTTTACGCGTGAGGAGATCAGCAAGATTGGCGCGCTGGCCAAGAAGCACGACTTTCTCATCCTCTCTGATGAAGTCGTGCGTGCTCGCGATCTACCTACCACTCCTTGCTGACTTTGAGACAGTACGACTGCCTGGCGTATGCACCCGCTCAGCACATTCGTGTCGCCTCAGTCGACGGATTGGCTGACCGTACCGTCACGCTCGGGTCGGCCGGCAAGTCCTTTGCTTGCACAGGCTGGCGAATAGGTTGGGCGGTCGGCAAATCAGACCTGATCAGACCCATGGTCGCCGCCACCACGCGTATCGTCTTTTGCGTCAGCTCTCCGGCTCAGGAGGCCGTCGCAACCGGTCTCGAAAAGGCTGCAGATCACGACTTTTTCCCCACCCAGCTCAGAGAGTACCAAGAGCGGCTCAGTGTTGTCAGGAAAGGGCTCGATGCGCTCGGCCTGCCCTAGTGAGTACCTCGCTGACTTGGCACAGCGTCAGCTGAAGCCAGCTCGTAGTACTGTGCCCGAAGGGGGATACTTTGCACTCGTAGACATCCAGCGGCTGCAATGGCCAGCGGACTTTGAGATACCCGACATGATCAAGGACAGGCCAAGAGACTGGCACGCCGCTTGGTTCATTGCTCAGACGGCTCTCGTCGTCTCCATCCCGCCGACTGACTTCTATGCGCCTCAGCATTACCATCTCGGTGAAAAGTACATCCGACTGTCGTTTGCAAAGGACCTCGACACGCTCAGAGATGCAGGCAAGAGGTTGCAGAAGCTCAAGCCGTTTATTCAGTAGAGTCTTCTGACCATGTATTGCATATCGTCATGCAAACAGGCCTGACACGAGCTCGTACTGAAGTTGCTCTAGCTGCGCATCAGACGGCACCCGTCCAGCTTTGAGACCAGCAAGCAAGACGGCCTGCTGCACCGCGACAGCCGTCAAGTCGAGTATGTCTGCCTTGCCGAGTTCGGTCTGCACCCTTCGGGGTAATTTCGAGTAGTAGTGCCGCAGACTCGTTTCATTAGCGCCTGTGATGGCCTTCAGAGAATGTTCATTCAGTTCTGCGATACGATCGCCAAGCGTCTCGACGGCGATGTGCGACTGTAGGGCCGCTTGACCTATCCGAGTTATGCAGAGCTGGCTGCCACTCTCGACCCTGATCGCCCCAGACTTCTGTAGTAGCGCGATGGCCTCGTCGACGAGCTGCGTCAGACTGAGCTCCTCACCCGGCAATTGACTGTAGTAGTCCGGGTTTGAGACGAGCCGACGGTTGAGATAGCTACCCGAAAGCAGATCGATGATCTTTTGCTTGAAATTGAAGACATCGACCGCAACGAATCGCAGTATAAACGATGCCAGGCTGTTGACTTCAAGGTCAGATTCAAGACTGAGACCTGATAGCAGGCTGCGCGAGCAGAGCGCAATCTGTGCGGGCGAAGACATCACTAGACAAGTCGCCGTGCCGCCACTAGTTGATGGTATCGCCAGGTCTTGCAGGGCCACCAGATCAGCTGGCGAGTATTCGCAGTGCTGACGCTCGCCATCCTTACTATAGACGCCAAATTCGGTACCAAGAATGAGAACGTGATCGAAGGAGATCTTGTGAGCGACGGCCGCGTCACTAGTAGCAATGAGCACGCGCGCAGCGCCGCTCTTGGACAGACTGCTGGCAATCCGGCGAGCTTTGGGCGACATGCGCGCGTGCATTGCGACAAGCCCTCGCTGAAGTGCCTCATCGGCATCTCCACTGCCGAGCTGACCGGCATAGATATCAATCGTTTCGTGATCGCCTATGAAAGCATCTGGGGCGTCTAGATCGAGCGCAATCATCTTTGACAGCTCTCGAAGCGTCTGCCGACATTGATCTTCTGATGGCACGACGCACAAGATTGTACCTGCTGCTTTGCGAAGAATCTCGTAGGCCGGCCGGAGCATCATTGTCAGCAAAGACGCCGAGGTTGATTGATAGAACGGCCGAAAGTCAGTCGTCAGCGATGTCATCCTGACTGACGGCGCAAAGCTGTAGATATGTCCTGCTGGCACCTCTAGTGTCTGCGCGAGATCGCCAGATGTCTGCAAAGAGCATGCTAAGCCGATATAGCGAGTCTTCCGACGATGGGAGGAGAGCATCGCCAGTGCTAGCTCGTACTCAGTATTGAGCGATTGAAGCTCCTCGCAGATGCAGAGAGCGACATCGGGCAAGCCTGCCGTACCTATAGCCTCACATCGACGGATCAAAGACGACGCGTCAGTGATGAGGATGTCAGGAATGTCTTCACGTTGCCGATCCGCACAGAGCAGCCCAAGAGTATGACCCAGCGGTGTTACAGCTGAGGTGAGCTTTGCATGCGCTAGTCTGGCGCCGGCTGGACTTGCGGAGACCAGCAAAATCTTGTCACCCAGCCTTAGATGTCTAGTCAATGCCAGCTCGCGCACTGTCAGCCGATTGTGAGCGGTAGCGCAAGCGACTAGCACATTGGCAGATGTGTGCATGATCGAATGAAAGATCTGTGTCTCGACAGCGTCGTGCGTCTTGCCGCTGAGCTTGAACGGATCTGCAGCAATCGTGCGAGGATGTTCGAAGAGCGGAACGTCTAAGATTACAGTCGAGTCGTCAGGCAGGGCCGGTACGTGCACATCTACGAGCTCGACATCTTCGAACACATCGCTACCCAGCCAGCGCTCTGAGACCAAATGGACATGCAGAGCCTCTGTCATCGGCTCATGTGTGAGGACAGCGCGGTGCACGAGACTTCTTGTCGTCGATTTGAAGACGAGTCGTGTCGCATCTAAGATGACAGAGTCTGTCGCATCAGTGATCCACAAGTAGAATGGCTGGACAGAAGTGCGCGTCGCTTTCGTCCACTCGAATTGTGGCGTTACAGTGACGGTCAGTCGGAGCAAGTCAGGCGCAATAGGCTGAGCGCGTGTATCTGACATGACCCGGGGAAACTGCTGCGCTGCCAGCTTGACTATGCCGCCCAGTCGATCATTGAGCCGAAGCGCTTCACCCAGATCATGCTCTGTGGCATTTGCAATATCCTCGACGGTATAGTCATCAAGGTACTGGCGAATATTGTACTGCACGTTGCGTGGCAGATCCGTTTGACCGAGCGGATGATCAAACGCCCACATCCGCTTTTCGATGCTCTTGCTCAGATCCAGCATGACGGTAGCCAGCGCAGCGTGCCCTCGGCTCAGAGCAATCTCGAACACTGCGCGCGCAATACGTCCGGCGTTCTGCGCGACATAGCCCTGGTCGCTGATGAGGGCAAAGTCGACCAAAGTGGCGCGGCTGATGTAAGATTGCAAGAGCACATTGACCTTGCCAGGAGTGGTCTTAGTTCCTCCGATGACTTCGCAAGGGATGACGTCGCTAATCAATTTTGACAGTTCAACGGTCTCGGTATCGCGGACTGCAATCTGTTCGAATTCCGTGCTCATGCATAGCAACGCAAGGGCATCTGCGTTCGACATGCTCGGTCGCATACGCTCGTTGAAAATCTCCATGCTTTTGAACCGGATGTAGTAGCGCGATGCGATCGAGCCGACCTCGGTCGGGCGCAGACTGCCTGAGTCTGCATCAAAGCTGATCATCTGAGCTTTCGCAAGAGCGATCGCGGCTTGGGTGATAAGCAGGTGTCGTTTGCTGCCGAGGGAAGGATCATCGACAAGTTCGTCTGGAGAGATGCCGTACGCCATAGGATTCTGCCGGATCCGGACGAACAGATAAGTGTACGATATCCAGCGGACACCCTCGTCAATACTCGTGACCGTTCCCAGCGCAATTTCAGCATTGAGCGAGTCTACTAGACCGGTGACGAAGCGCGACTCTATGGGATGTTGTTGGGTGATGGCGCTTACGTAGTGATCAAGCTTGTCCGCAGTAGTGCAAATATAGCCGACACCGTGAGTCTCGTACTGCGGTCGACCAGCACGACCGAAGATCTGCAGGACGTCAAGGATGCCAAGATCGACAAAGGAACCTTTGCCAGCATCGTACACCTGTGTGCCTTTGATGACGACAGCATAGGCCGGCAAATTGACACCCCAGGCGAGCGTCGCCGTGCAGCACAAGACTTTGGTCATGTTGCTCTCGAAAAGTCGCTCGCTAAGCGTCCGATCGGACCGCAGCATGCCTGCGTGGTGGATGCCGAAGCCATGCGAGAAGAGCTCTTTGAGTTCTCTGTTACGCGATGCGCCCACTTCACGCTTGAAGCCATCGTATCGCGGCAAATCTGCTGCATCAAAGAGGTCGGCGAGGCCTTCCGATGAGGCTTGCTCGCGAAGCATCTCTGCTGTCTTGACCGTGTCCTTTCGAGCATGGACAAAGACCATGACTTGATGTCCTTCCTTGACGAGTGCGGCGACCTAAAGATACGTTCAGTAATGATTCGAGCCTGCGGTTCGCGCTACTCGCCTTGTCAAAGCAAGCCTTATCAAGGTTGGTGCGCGAATCTGGGCTGCCTGCCTTGCCTTTGACGCCGAGGAAGTGCTGCTCAAGTGGAACGGGTCTGAAACTGCCGTCAAAGTAGAACAGCCCTCGATAGAGATTGACGCTGCGCAAAGGTCAGATCCCAGCCTTGGCAAGCGACTCGTGTGCGCGCACCGAAGAAAAGAGGCTACATCGATGTAGTTCGGGAGGGTCGCAGACAATCCAACGATCCTGATCAAGCTCTGACTAGATTCGACTTGACGCAGCGTTCGTGCGACGATGGACTCTATGACCGCACCACGATCATCGTGCAACAGATGCACTTCGTCAATGATCAAAAGCCTGACTTTCTGCGATTGATCTGTCAATCCTCGCGCTATGACGCGCCAAGGCTAGACGTACTGAGGATAACTGTCCTTCCCCCGTCGTCTTGCGAGTCACGACGTCCCATTTCTCGGGGGTAGTGACGATGACGTGAGTCTCAACGATCTCCGACCGCGTGAGTTGCATGTCGCCCGTCAGCTCGCGCACTTTGACGCCGAGCCATGCCATTCTTTTGGACATCTTGCGCACGACTTCAGCGGCCAGCGCTTTCATCGGTGCGACATAGATGATCTTGAAATCGTTATTGCGCATGACGAAGCGATTGTCCGCGGTCTCATCGAGGTCTCCGTATTGAGATATCGCTCGGAGCATTGTCAACATGGCAACGTCCGTCTTGCCCGCGCCTGTCGGAGCAGAGACGAGCATGCTCTCGTTGGTTTGATAGGCAATCGGATAGACCACGGACTGCAGACGGTTGAGCGTCGCATAGCCTGGAAATGAGCCTTTGGCGATCGGATCTAGCTCGTCAATGTGAATCAGGCGCTCGTCCTTGCGCATAGGTAGTTGCCTGGCGACGGGTATAGACACTTCGTCATAATGTTCGTGCGCTTGCCGTGTCGTGCCGACGGGGAGAGTATATTTCTGACCGAAAAATGAGAGCGTCGTGCCACCGTGTGAGGCAGAAGAAGCGTAGACGTTGGGCAGCTTGAGCGCAGTGTCCGGTCTAGCTTCGCTGGTCCACAATGGCCTCTGAGATGCTTCGAGAAGCTGTTGCTCGCGGATTCGCTGCAGCTCTGCAGCGTCGAATCGACCTGACGCGAGTTGGGACGATGCCGCACCATTGGCTGTGTTCTTTTTGCCCTTCTGACCGGCTTTGCGAGCTTGCTTGATAGCGGCGCGCTCGTCAGCTGTCTTGACGTCTATCTGTGGCTGCAGCTGTCTCGTTCGTGGCTGATTGTAAGATGAAGGTTGGTGCGGTGAGTCTGAAGGCTCGCTATGCGCGAGAAGGGCCTGCTCGTGAGCATGAGCACGCTCTTGATCGCTCGTCTCGTGCGGACATCACGCACTGCTTGATCACGTAGCTTGACCTCTTCTGCAATGGCCGGTCGACGAGCGATGATGGCAGGCAAGCTCTCGATACGATCGTAGCCGACGATATCGAGGAGTTGCTCCTGTATGCTTTCGTCATTCGCCGCAGACGCCAAGAGCGCAACAGCTCGATCCATATCATTCCGCTCGAGCAACTGAGCCGCCAGCCAGGCCATCTCGGGCGATCGTTGCCGTATGGATTCATCTTGAGCCCTGTCCTTGCCTTTCGAGCTCTTTCTTGACGAGAAGCGAGTCCACGGATGCTCATCCTCGTGTACGTCTGCGGGCTCGATGCCAGCTTGTTGCAAGAGTCTCCGCAAGCTGTCAAGCACAGGCTCGTCTAGTCTTTGCTTGCTCGTGCTGGCTACAGGCCAAATTTGTGGCCATACAGGTGTCACCATGCTCACGAGGGAGACTCCTTGTGCTTCACTGGTTCCAGCTGATTATGCGGTCACAGGACAGGAGAATGACAGAGGGCTCCACTTGTGGGTGAGTCGTGAGATGCTAGCAAGCCATCGACGTTTGGATTTCGATTGCCTCGATGGCAATACGCGCACGCTGAGTCGATAGACGATTGCTTCGCAGCCTCAGCAACCCATGAAGACATTCGCACCAAACGTTGGTTCACTCAAGCAGGCGAGGAACTCATCTGACCACATCTCGATGCTGACACGAGCTGCTCGCGACCACGAAATAAAGGGCGCAAAGCCGCTAAGATCAGTGCAGACAACAGCGCAAAGACGAGAAGTTGCTGCAGCTNACAGAGTCGGCATGCGAAGCCCGATGACCGCATGAGGTCGGATGTGCAATGNTGCTGCGATGAGAGTGTTGCCTCGTTGCCATATGGCCGCCTTTGCGCTCAGAGTTCGAGNAAACANCNAGCGGCGAGAGAAGGTGGTCTGCCTAGGCTGTTTCGCCATCGGAAAAGCAGTGTGCATTGCCACACTTGCCGCGTCGATGTTGCCAGGCCGCGGTGAAAGTCGAGATTGAGTCAAGTTATCATGCTAGAGCCCATCAGGCGGTCGAGGAGGGGAGGCACATGGCAGAACTGATGCAGATCTCTTTCACGTGCAGTGTTGGCCAGGTCACTAGAAACCAACCGCTGCACGCAANGTCCGCGAACTGACATCGGCAATCCAGCGCAAGTGTTCGTNGACCCATAGCGGAGGCAGTCCTGGGGACTTCTCATCCTAGCGAAGCCTCGTCGCAAAGTGCGAGACATAATACGACTCATCAACTCGCTAGGCAGCAGTATATTCTAGGGGCTAGAGGTAGGGCGAGCAGACCGCTCGAGACAGTTGCCGATGAGCCAGCACCGAAGTCTGGAAGCGACAAACTCTTGTGGTCGGGCTCGAGCGGACGGCTGACGAGGCTGAGAAGAGCTGAGAGTATCGCCAGTGTCGCCGAGGGGTTGGCCAGAGGCCCGCCAGAGAGTCGCCAAAGTCTGTGTTCGAGCGTCAGCATGAGGACGAAGATGGGTGAAGATCACAGACGAACCTTGCCCAGTGATACAGCGATCTGACAGATCTCGCCCCAGTGCTGTGGTGACCTCCTCCGCGTCTCATGATCGCTCACTGGCCTCGCTCGACGCTCTCGCCCAAAGTCTTGCGTGCTGCACTTTTTGGGTCGCGAAAAATATTGCGTAATACAACATCAGTGGCCGCTTTGTTTGTATGGGGATTGGAAGGGAACGATGCACACATTCGAGACAAACACTCAGATTGTGCAAATCTAAAGCTATACAATCGCCATACATCATGTTTAGATGTTGACAGATGGCAGGCTGTCGAGAGTGTGACGGAACACGACAGGAATGACGATGAGGGCGACAAAGAAGGCGAGTACGCCGAGATAGATGAGTGAGTAGGTAAAGACGATCTTTCGCCTTTGAGCTTTTTGTTTGAAGCTGTAAATAGGCGCTCTGATCTGCCGACTTGGTCTGAGCCAGAAGAGCATCGTTGCGTGTGCGCGATCGATGAAGGGGATCAGCATTGGGATCGTCAACATGAACAGCAAAAAGTGGCATGTCAGAAAGTCGGCAGCGAAGAGTGACATTTCTGTGCAAGCTTGTAAGCGACTGTCTTTGATGACAAGCATGGCACATACCGATTATCTTGACAATGTACTCTCGTAGCGGCTGAGACCAGGCGTGGCCTCCGAGACCGCGTCCGTACCACCGTCCCGTCCACCAGGCTCGATTTGCCTCGTCATTCTTCATTTCTCTGCTCATGCAAAGCGCGATGAGGGCCTTGAAGATGAAGCGTTGGATATAGATGACTGCGATCATGCCAAGGATGGCATGGCTGATGTTCCAGCGTTCGATGAGCCACTGCGGCCAGGTCAGCATACTGACAATCTTTATACGGTAGACCTACGAGGAATTCGAAAAAGGCGACAAGGCCGACGACACTGCCGACATGTGCAATGGCGGCGATGACACTGCCAAAGCGAGCGCAGCAGTGACCCATCGCAGGACCGGCAAAGAGCGAGACAAGGAACAGTACTGCCAGCAGGACCGCATTCCAGACGATCGGACCGAGAGAGATGATAGCGATGCGGAGTAGAGCGTTGACTTGCGGATCGGCAAAGCTCTTGACAAACGCGTAGGCAATGACAAAGATCGTCGCGAACATGATGGGCGCTAGGATCTCCGAAAAGACAATGACGCGCCAGCCTGCACGAGGAACATCTGTTGAAAGCTTCTCTGATGGATGACCGAGTCTCTTCTTCTTGAAGCCGGTGACACGCGTGCGAGACAATCGACAATAGCCGATCCACGAGTTGCCATGCGAGCGACTGTTGCCTCTGCTCATCCAGCGCAGGAACTCCCGGTAATCAATGATGAAGTCGCTGATTGAGAACTGGTGGGGATTAAAGATGAAGGGAGCCAGACAGCTACGATTGAAGAAGAGTCAGCACAGACCCTGTTTGGGAGAAGTGACCAACGTACAGAGCAAGGATGGACACCCAGAAGTAGATCAAAAAGTTGGTCCAGACGGTCATGGTCGAGTAGAGTAGCAGGACGAGAGTACGCATGCCGAGATAGATGGAGGGTCCCGAGAATCTCGAGTATAGAATTGCAAAGGAAATGCGCGTTGTTGCAAAACCTCTGCCGGTGGCAATGTAACGAGCGCCGCCAAAGGTCATGTTGGTCAACAGCGAATGCGCTGAGATCTGCGTTCCGAAGACTTCGAAGACGGGCGAAAGCGAGATGAAATGTTTGCCTAGTCGCAGCAGAGCGCGTCCGACACCTCTCTCCGTCAATTCTTGCAAAAAGAGCGGCAGGAACGAGATGAAAAAGACGATAAAGATGGAGATGATGCAGCGCTTTATCCAGTCGAAGACGGGTACGAGGTTGTAGCAGCCTTCGTTGCCAGAAAATTGACCATTGCTGTTATATGTACAAATGTCGAGATTGCTGTTAAGGGTGCCGAGGAAGACCATGACGAACATGAACAGCTGAACCGCCAATATGATGAGTATGTTATTCAAGTAAAACCCTGGATGACCGAAGTAGAAGGTCAGGAAGCGGTCAATTGGCAGTTGAGTGCCAAGGTAGTAGTAATCTCTCGATAGCATTTGTTCGCCCATACCGCTGCCGACTTTGGTCTGGAAATTGAGGATAGTCCCAAAGCCGAGGTCTCGCCCTTTGCCGCATTGGTAGTACTCTGTGTGCTTGATTCGTCCGCCGCGTTCGAACGCGTTCATGCCAGCATAGATGTCTTCTGATAAATGTAAACCCTTTTGCGCTTTCGAGACACCGCCTCGCGTGGTCATAAAGATCGCATTGAGGAAGTCAGGATGGCCATAGTGAAGCTTGCCACCGATGAAAGCAAGGGAGCGAGCGAGCAAAGTGCCAAAAGTCTGTTCCTTGCCGGCCGCCACGTCGCCAAGAACACCAATATGCTCCGAAAAGATATATTCTCGCGCGCCGACGATCGCGACTGGAGGTCTGAGCTTTGCCGCTGCAAATCCTTGAGGCGAGTAAGGGCTCTCTTTGGTTGGATGCAGCTCCTCGAACTCGCCAAGGACGTTGCGAATCTTGATAGCCTCCTCAAGGTAATTGTCCTGGTTGGCATCAATGAGCTGCACATATTCGCCACGATGGAAGATGATGGCATGGTTCTGATTGTCAGACTTGCCATCGCCCAAAATCGGGTTGCCTGGTAGCTCTATACGGAACTTGGGGCGTCGCTTCCCATCTGGCAGGATTTCTGAGTGACCGTCGATGAGTGCAGAATAGATGCGAGGCTCTCCGCCTTGCTTGCTGGAGCGTTCTTCGTCGAGATAGGCAATCTGGAGATCGGGATACGCGCGCAGCAGGAACTCGGTGTTTTCAATCTCTTCCTTGTTGAACTTTGCGTAGCGCTGCATGGAGATGACGAAGCGGAACTTGCGACGAGCCATGCGCTCGAGTTCACGCTCTAGACGTTCCGTATTGCCGCCAAACATCTGGACGACCTCAGGATTTTCGACACGATAGAGCAGCTTGATTGCTTTTGAGTAGTTCATGAAGCCTGAGACGGTTCTGTAGAGAGTCTGTGCGCGTAGAGATGCCCAGATCCGTGTGCGCAGTGTATATTCTGGCGCGGCAGACTTGAAGCCAATCATGTAGAACGGAATATCGTCCGCCTTGCTCTTCGCATCTGCCTTCTCATCGTTGCCTGATCCGTTGGCAAATGGATAACCGCCGAATACGTTTGACTCTTCTGCCAGTATCTTCGTGTCGCGCACAAAATTGTCCCATTCGATCGGATGGAGCTGTTTGAGATATTCGAGCAAAGTAACCCGCGCATTCTGATCTTCTTCTCGGATGATTTCTCGTAGAGACAGCAAGATTTTCTCGCTGTAGTGCGGCGTAAGGACAGTGAAAGTAGGCATGGAATCGACCGGAAGCGCCTCTGGCAGAGCTACCGTGAGCGACTGGGCGAAGAAAGAGACACGCCTTTCGGCTTCAGATCCATGAGGGAAGAATTCAGTCTTTAGGCCCTTGTCCTCCTGCGAGATGAAGAAGATTGGAGCGCGCAGCGTGCGCTTGCCCTCGTTGTCAGACGGCACTTGATGATAGAGCAGACGTTGGACATGATCGATAGACAATCTGTGATGACCTTGTCAGCATGTGCGAGTGAAGCAATCGGAGGAATACGAACAGATGTTCGCGATACATGCTGATGACGATGGCGTTCCAGACTTGCGAAACAAGCACTTTCGGCTTGTAGCGGACTTCCATGTCGCCCGTCGCGAGCAGCTTAGCATAAATCCGTTTGGGTAGTCGTGTGAAGATGTCGCGCCAAGGCGTCCAGACAGACAGACCAAGCGAAAAGGAACGAGCGATACTGAAGACGGTATTCCAGATGACATACCACAGGAAGGTATCGAGGAAGAACTATGCTTCGGGTCAGCATCCGCAAAAAGAATTAGAAGACCTGGACAGACCAATGTCAAGTCCATCAAGAACATGAGTGCTAGGGCGAAGGCCGGTTGCTGCGCACAGAGACCACTGCCGAGGACTTTGTCGCTGCAGTTGCGGACTGTCATGTTGACCATGACCTGGATCGGGTTCTTGAACGAGAGCGTCAGGAAAAAGTAGGATTCGGTAAACTTGCAGCCAAAGACGAGCGTCCACATCATGACACTGGTGAAGCGAGCAGCACCGACGAGAGCCGGGAAAGAAGCAGTGAAGGTCTGATTCGCCAAGTACTTGCGAGCCTTGCCTGCCACACGATCGCCGAACAGCCTGCCCGAAGGCACAATTGCAAACAGAAAGTAGAAGAACACCGATATGCCGAATTGCACGAAAGCGATGATGCGTGCAACCTGTGAGTCACGATTGAAGCCCGCGATATAGACCGTCGGACCAGCTGTCAATGCCAGAGCAACGAGCAGGAAGACGAGTCGGCGACCAAGATGCGATGTGTGATTCCATGTTGTAGGGACGTATGAAAACTCGGCAAGGGTGGCAGCGATCATAATGAGCGAAGCAACGGCGCCTCCAAGGGCGGTCGCTGAGAAGCGCATCGCCAACGTTGGTTCCTTTTCACCAGAGCGCGTGTAAATCTTAGGCGAGTTGTAGGCAGTGTAGAACCAGAACATGGCAATATGGATGACCCAGATGCGATTGAAGTTGACAAGCAGATGCAGGAATGAACGGCGCTCGTAGTATGTCTTGAAGAATGCTCGGTTCCACTCGATCTTATCAAACTTCATGAAGCGCTGCGCAGGTGGTATGTCGACTAGACGGGTACGATCAGTGAGCACGATGCGATTGATGCCCTCGGGATACCAGAAAAGCTGGTTGACATCTTCGTAGCCAATGATGGCCTCGTGATCACGCTCTCTACGTAGGAATTGACCATCGATGACTTCGTAGCCTTGATCACGCAAGAAACGATAGAGCGGTCTGATGACAGCGCGTAGATAGAGACCTTCTGGCACCGGCTCGAGGCGCTCTTGGCACTCCGGAGAGCGATAGTAATCGTCCGCGCATTTGAAGATGAAACATAGGCACTCCGGTGTGTATCTGACCTGAGCTGCCTCGCCCCAGCAGAGTAGGTATAGTGCGATTTGGCGGAGCATATCATACTCTGACATGTTTGCCATGGCCTTGCGCCAGCGCGAATGAGCAGATTCGAGTGTCTTGCCGGCCGCAGTCTGGGGCAAGCCCGTAGTCACGCCCTTCTTTTTCTTGCCAAGCTTCGTCATACCCGGCACAGCCGTGTTGACTTGCCCGATGGCATCGTCCAGATCAAGCTGAGCAGCAAAATACCATTTGCGATAGTTTGCATGTTCACCGCCGATATAATCAGCGTGTAAAGTCAAGAGAGCTTGGGCAGGCGGCATGCGAGACGCGCGCGAGTCAAGCTGAATCATCAAGTGGTCGTACATGTTGCGCATCGAATCGTGCTGGAATCCAAACTTATTCGCCAGATCGATGAAGACATCCTCGATTTCCTCCTTGCTGATCGGTATCTGCGATTCTGCAGACCAAGCAGGATACGGCTCGCGCAGCTTGGAGTAGGGCTGGAAGTCTTGGCTTGGAAATCCGCCGTAGGTAGGCGTAGATGCACCAGACGAGTAGGAATTGACGCCGGCACGGGCAAAAGCAGGAGCAGGTCGCTCTTGCATGAGCGAATCCGTCGAAGGCGCGCCATAGCCTGCCGTGCCGCGCTGATAGACGCCATCGCCCGCTTCAGACTCCGAGTCAAGCTCGTACTTTTTTGTGCCTGCGTGTGTCAATTGCATCAGTACGTCGTAATGCACTGTTCCGATTTGACCTACTGTATGGTGTTCCGGTCTCGCTAGAATACGTCTCGCGGCTGGCGTAACCAGGACCCGAGGGGTTGTTGTAGCTGCCATAGTCTCCCTCCACGGAAGATTGATCGCTGAAGCCGGTGGGCTGTCGCGCCGGGTTGTTCGGTCTTACGCCAGCAAAAGGGTTAGCAGGTGGTTCGCCGGTTGGCGTACGGATATAGGCGGCATCTCTGGCGCCACTTGACTGCGACATACTCTCGGTGTATCTCTATGATGCTGGCAGTCTGCCTGAAGGCCGGGCGATGACACTGAGCCAAGCAAGGCCGATGCGCACGGATTCTCAAAGCTGGATATTCTCGACGAGCCTTGGCAGTCTGCGAGCTGCTCTCCCGGTGCCAGCACGTCGCCAGCAAGCCAAGAAAGTCTTGCTGAGCGACCGCTTGACTCCTTCCCTCGATCCGCGAGGCAAGATTGAGTCGTAAGACCGGACGGCGCACGAGCGTTCTCGAAGAAGGCTCCGAGTGCCTGGCTGGCTGCTGATGCTGCCTGGAGAGGTAGCAGAAGCCGCAGTGAAGCGAGGACTGTCAGTCTCGAAGATCAGACCTTGCCTACCGAGTCTCTGCTCGCTCTCGATCTCGGTATCGGACTAACGCCTAGGGGCGGTGCGCGTCGAAAATGGTGATACACGCGCGCTGTTTTTCAAACGCCACCGGCCGAGGCAGCTGGCCGTGTCATCGCTTTGAAAAAGGGCCATTTGCATGATACAACATGATGCGATATGCTGAACTGATTGCACATGCTAATAAGTGTACTGCAGAGAAGCGGTCAACGCGCTGCGGCAGGTTTGGGCGGCTCGAGAAGTCCAACGCCCCATCTGCAAGCCGATCCCGGATCAGCTTCTACCCATACAGCAAGGCACAGAGGCGTACGATGCGTGGACCCGCTCGCACATGAAACGGAGGTGTGTGGCGCGATCTGATTGCCACTGGTCGAGGGAGAGGAAGCCGCGGCCGTAGTGCATGCATGCTTCTTGATGGAATTTTGTGTAAAGTCGCGAGGAGATCGATGTCTGCGAGGCAAGTCAGCAGCCGCTTGCGGCCATGTACACAGTCAGCCTACCTTGATGCGATCAGCTTCATCCATAGTATTGGACGATTCGCCTTGAACTGGCTCGAGTGTGAACGCCCATTCGTCAGGCAAGACGTAGAGCTCTGCGCCAGAAAGATACATTTGGTAGACGCACGCTGCTTGATTGGTCTGGAAGCGCTCAGTACACCAGGGCTGAGCTTCGCGTGAGATGACGAGATGCGGCGAGTAATGCAGATCGTAGTCGGTCACTTTGTAGAGGTGACTGCCACCACCGATCGTACCATTGACGCCGAGTGATTGACCGCCGCCAGACTCTGCGCTATCCGCAAGTCGAGGATCTGTACGAGCCTTGCGCCAGAGCTGCCAATTGGATGGACCCCGGTTGGCAGCCCACTCTCGGTCGTAGAGCGCAAAGACTGGCCGCTCGGGCACAGTCTCGCCAGGCGCAGCGACCGACACGGGAGGATGCAAGGACGATAGGCCCACGAGCGTTGCTTTGCGCTTTGGCCAGCGGCTTAGAGGAAAGTCCAGCGTCGAGAGATGCTGTTGATAGAAGCGCTTGCCGAGGGGTGCGAACTCCGCCGGCGAGACCCCGCTGAGCTCCCACTCTTCATTCAGTACAGGCGCTCTTTGCTCCCGGAGATCGTCAATCGACGAGAGACTGAGAGCTTCGCCAGCAGCATCGCGTCGGATGGCTGAAAAAACGGGCACAATAACGGCATCATTTGAATCGAGAACCACTTTGCGCACGCTCGAAGCTGCCAGACGTCGACGCAGTCCGTTCGAGGGCAGCAGGCGAGCGTCACCGGCCATCCAGACCATGTCTGTTCGTGCAAAGAAACGAGCGACATTCATGTGGTAGTTGCTGCCCACTGGATGGGCGATGAGCCTTTCATACGTCTTGTTTAGCGAGTAGTCGGATAGCTGCGGCTGCGAAATGACGTGGAAGTCGACCAATTGCTTTATGATACTGTCTGAATTTCTGAGCTCGGAGAGCGTCTTGAGTGTATTGGTTCGTTGCTCAACGTTGCTACTCTGATAAGGCGTCTCATACACGAGTGAGATCGGACCTTGCCAGCGCTTTGCAAATTCGGCCAGCTGCGGCAGCCAGATCTCATTGATGTAAAGACAAGCAGTCACTTCGGCAGTCGACGATGCTGAAGTTGCGCGAAATGCGTAACTAGAGCAACGTCAGTTCTGCAGCTCTGATGATCTTCGCGATCCACTTACGGTTCGACATGCTCGTAGTGTCTAGGGCCTACTTTCGAATGCATCTTACTCATTCGATACGGATGCGAAAGAAGCGAGAGAGGGTCTCGAAGGACGGTCACGTTGGCTCTCCCGACCTGATTGGGCATCGGCAGTACTTCTTCGGCCACTGTTGGCGCGGCGATAGGCTCAAGCTGCTCGGGTTCTTCGTCAAGAACGGCAGCATCGCTATCAATGTCCAGCGACGGCGCCAGCGACGCGGCAACGCTGTCCGGGTTTGGTCGATACCCGACTCCTTGTAGCAGTCTGTCGCGTCCGCCTGTGAAGCCTTGGGCAACTGTCTCGGCCCAATCGTTCAACTTTGCTTGCCCACTCGAATAGGCTGAGTTGGCTGCAAAGACTTGCTGTTGTTCCCTGGCGACGAGGCGAGCCTGGCTTGCGCCACTTGATCGCAGCAGTGCAGACCAAAGCGTAGACGAAAAGTGGAAGAGCGCAAAGATGATATAAGCTGCCGTCAAGAAGCGCAGCACCAAAGCCCGCTTCTTCTTCACAGGCACAACGCGCGAATGCGTTGCACGGGCCTGCACGAGCGCTGTCGTGTCTGGCAGGACAAAGGACGAGAAAGGGCCGAGGACGAGCACAGCTGTCCTCTGCGGGAGCTTAGACAGTCGTCTAGAGTGCGTCGGACGCGGCGCGGGCCCTCTAGACTTGCTCAGCTTATATTCTTCGTCATCGCTGCCTGCCAGAACATCCTCCTTGTCTCTATACGCGCGCATTACTGGTGCGCTGCCTGACGAGGATAGTGCTGACGCTGGCCGCATCCATTTGAACATGCGTAGCCACCGCTTGTCGGAAGTGAGACCGGAAATGCTGCTCGTCGCGCTGCTTGTACTGCTGTTGCTGGTACTTCTGATGCCAGACTTTTCCGTGCCAGCGAAGCCAAGCCCGATGTCTGCTGCATACTTTGCATCCGCCTTAGAGCTTCCGTTGATCGAGGTGAAGCTGGCATGATTAGCCTGCATTGGACTTGGCGCTCTTGCACGGGGCACACTAGGCGAGAAGAGATCTTTTTCCCGTGCTCGGTCTTCTTCCAATGTTTCGCCAAAGGGGATGTAGCGACCCAGAGCGTTCGCATACTGTGCCATCGTGCTACTTGTTGGTGTGTAGCTAGCAGTTGCAGGCAGACAGGCAGAGGTCAGTGAAGGGTATCGTGCGTGATTATCTTGCCGTCTCGGTGAGGGTCGCGATGCCGAGGAGACAGAGCTACCGGAGGGCGTCGTCGGTCGGCTGGGAAGGAAAATGCTTCCGTTGGTCGCGCTAGAAAGTATGCCGTCATGAGTATGCGCGGATGACATAGCTGTTGCAAATTGCGCAGGCGATTGTAGAGACGGACTTGCATCACTTGCGCTTGCTGATGCAGCACTTTGCAGGAATGATACGGTCGCCGGCGTGGTTGCGGGACGTAGCCTTTCGAAGCTGCTGGTCGATGGCCTAGGCGGCGAAGCGAGTCCTATCGTGGGTGACAGCGAGCTCGACATCGGACCGGTCGAAGGCGCAAAAGCTCCTGAGCCCAGCTGGGGAGACCCATCTCGTGATGTCGAATGACCGACAGCGCCATTGCGAGCAGCAGCAGATCCATCAGCAGCATTGAAGCTACCTCGTCGAGAGATTAGCCTGGACGGGCTGCCCGGCGTAGGTGTGCCCTTTTGCACATTGAGCCGCAGATTGGAGCGACCGATCGTACCATCCAGATCGGATGGAACTGTCTTGTTAGCGGCAGGCGTGCCAAAGGAAGTCCATGCCTCATCGTCTTCCTCTGTCTCACGCGCAGTATATAAAGGTTGATCCGGCTGCGCTCCCTCTATGCTGCCACTTGCGCTACCACTGCTGATGCTACTACGATCATGAAGCTCTCATCGTCAGGGACGCCGGCTCACTATAAGCGCTCGGTGGACACACCTGCTCGCTGAGCTCGTCTGACTCCCGTTTCTTTTGAAGGAATTCGTACGCATAGGCCGGGTGGTCATAGCGGCCTCTCGTCAAGCGAGCGCGTTCTACGTGTAGACTGTTTCCTCTGACGATCCGTGGCCTGCCACTGTGTTGTGCGATTGTGCAATGCGTGCGTGGTATGTCTCGTCCGAAACGAGCGAGCGGAAAGGGTCGTGCGCGGCCACGGTGGAGTGAAAGCGAGCGTGTCTAGCCCTAGCAGATCATGCACATATCGTCCCTCGCTGTCCGGTCCTCTGCAGTCTCCCAGGCCTCTCCTAATCTGTCTTTGCGCAGTTGCTCGTGCCTTTGTTGATGTCGCTGCGCTTCCGTCGCGCTGGCTGGCTGGTTCACGGTTCGCACAAAAAAAAAAAAGAGAGACGCGACGCGCTTTCCAGCCTCTCAATCGTGATCATGATTGGCAGCTCGATCAAGTTGATCGGATTATGGCAATGTACAAGTGGGTTGGAGTGCTGAGTATGGACGTCATGGCGCCGCTCAGCGATGGCATCGCTCGATGTATGACTGCCGATGTAGGCCAGCGCTTCGATAGACGATGAAAGTGCTCGCGTGTATCTCGTTAGCGAAGAGCAGAAATGCATTTGTGACAGTGATCGTGTATTGTTGTATACCTGCGCATTCGCAACATTGCGCGTCAGAACGGCCTGAGCGCACACCCCAAGGCCCAGCATCAGTGTTTGCGAAGCAGGTGTGTATGCGGAGAAAGCAACAAAGAGCTTGTCACTCAAATTTAGTATCATCAAAAGCATCTTCGGTGGCTTGCAGACGGAGTTGAGACTTCACTACCGCGGCAGTACCGAATCTGTCGGCGCATACACTTGGCTTAGGTCCAGATCAGGCCGGTAGCGTGACGTTTGAGCGCGTTGCAAAGTCAAAATCGCGCTTCCCGCGAGAACAACTTCTATCTGCCGAAAGCGTGGAGCGCGCCGCCGTAAGCAGGCAGAGACCCAGGAGAAGAGGATAAGCTCAAGTGGAAGTGTCTGAGCATACAATCCACTGGGATCGCGGGCGAGTGATCTGCAGCAAATTAGATCTGCAGGTCCGTCCCCGAACGTAGAAGGGATCCGCACGACGCCTCGCATGCGACGTGCCTGTTGACTTGCATCTCTGTCTGGCCATCCTTGTGGGTCGACTCAACTTCGCCGTCGCAGCTCGCCGTGTCTGTCGATCTCCTAGGCAGCCTGCTGGAAACCAGCGGGGCAAGCATTCTCGAGAGGCAAGGGAGCAGTTGTCGGGGAATCTACCGGCTCGAACTGCTGACGAGAGTTGTGAGAGACTTGGGAGAGGGTGACTGCCGTCGTTGCAAGGAAGCGGCAACTCGTGTGAGCGGAGACAGTCACGGCAACGCGCCCAAGGAGCGACGACACTCACGCCTCCGAGGCTCCTCGCATCTTCACGCAACGCATATACGCACATACAACGCCCGTCGGCATATCACAGCTATCATGTCACGCACGTCTGTCCGGTCAGAGCAACAAGCTGGCAGATAAGACTGCTCCAGACATCACAAGCTATCGCAAGCAACTTCCAACAAATTTACGCTCAAACCTCGCTGGCCACGTACGTGCAAGGGGGCCCGATCCTTCGTCGATTCAGAGCGCTGTTGTCCATCATCGACTGAGCATTGCGCATTCGACGACAACAGTGCTTCTACGCTGATCACAACAAGATGGCTTTTGGCCCAGTCTGTGCAGTAGCTCAGGACAAGACAACGCTTGTGTTCTCTTCGTCTCCCGCACCCATGCAGCGCCATACAGATGCACGCTCGGGAGCGCCTCTACGATTTTCATCACCCGCTGCGCGGCAAGATGATTCAGCAGCCCGTCTGGCGCCACGACGTTCAGGTGCCGGCGCTGTCAGGGTCAGACCCCAACGTACAGCCTCGTCTCAGGCGAGCAGTAGCAGTGGACCCCTTTCCGGCCACGAAGATTTCACTGAAGCCAATCTCAAGAAGCGTAGACGGAAGCGCGCACCCGTCTCGCTCACTGTCGGCCCGCCACCTGCGTTCACGTTCGTCGATACGGCCTTTCGAGGTGTCTCCTCAGCGCAGGATCTGCCATCAAGTCCAGTCTTGCCATCGGACTCTGTCGCGGGCGATGAACGACCCTCCGGCGGCCTGACTGTACGGCCGACTTTGCTGGACAGCAGACAAGACTGGAGTGACGGACTCGAGCCACCGCTGCAAGCTCACGAGGACTCACTAGACGAGCAATCGCTCGACCTCAGCTTTGCATCTGGCATGTCCATCACTACACCCTGCACTGAAGAGCCGCCGTCAGGCATGGGCAATTTGCTAGGCGGACATGATCTACTCTCTGGCATAGATCCACGAGCGCAAGCTAATCTGCTCAACGCATCACAAGACTCTTCATCACCTCACCTGATGGACATCTCGCCTGCTCAGCCGGTCGGACTGCCAGCCCCAGCGGGCATGCCTCTGCTGCCGCATGCTACTCTGCTTGCTACCTCAGCCGAACAAGATACCTCCTCCTCGCCCGATCATTCGCCGCTAAAGTCAATGATTGCTACCAGAAGACCGCTGATGGCAGCCCGGCCGGCCTTCAGCTCATCGCTCAGCTGTGGATCCACGCTCTTCGCGGACAAATTGGCTCACAGACCCAAGCTCGATAGCAATGGTCCTCGCGTTTTCGGTCGCGAGTTGTCGCCTAACAGCCTATCGCCGCACCATGCGTTGCAGAAGGTGGCAGACAACCTTGTCTCGGCCAAGCCCAGTACCTTTGGGCGAGCGCAGAGTGAAGCTACTCTATCTCTCAGCTACAAGGCGCGTGATGCAAGCTATCAAAAGCCATCGCTATCTGCTGGCTTGCCCAAGCGGCCTTCGATATCTCCCTGTCCGGTCACAAAGAAGACGTCATCTTTTCAAAGGTATGCCAAAGTGTGCCCTCTGCCGTGTGAGCTATCTGACTTTGCTCGCAGTCGTGATCGAGCGCGTCAGCTCGGTCAGGATCTAGCCGGCCCAAAGATGAGCAGTGCACCGGTCCTGCCAATCAAGTCAAGACCTGCCGTTTCACATCAGAAGCGCCTGTCAGAACCTTCCGTGCCAACCTATCGCACGCTCGCGTCGCAGCTATCAGATTCAGCCACCGGACTACCCAACGTCGCAGAAGCACTCACTCCGGACGCAATGGACATCGATCCTGCCTCACCTGCCGGCTACTTCTCCGCCAAGATGAAGCAATCTGTGCCGCCGCCATCGATTAAAAAGCTAGCCACGCTCATCTTGCCCCAGAGCAGCCCTATCCCTCAGGTGCCGGACAGCTTCGGCGACCTGTTCAACGATCTCTCGCCAGTCGCAATGACCTATTCCACTCGCAAACGCGATCGAGCAGAAGATGAGGATCAGATGAGTATCTGCACATCCCCAGACTCGCTCACGGTCCCATTGCCGAACGACCGAAGTACAAATCGCACAGCATTTGCTCGAGCTCAGACCACGCTAGGCATCGGCAACAGCTCTCAACGACGGTTGACCAAGCGACCTTCGCTCTCGTCGTTTGTCGAGCACACGGACGCACAAGAGGCACACCTAGTCAGACACAAGACATCCAGCTCACTCCCGTTCGCAGCGCTGGCGGCCCAATCTACGTTCCAGCACGCCGATGATTCGCCAATCAGATTGGACCGACAGACCCTGAAGATGCGACGGGCGCAGTCCGTCTGCGCTGCACCAGCCATTGTCGTCACGCGAGATCAGCGCGTCATGCCCAAGCTCAGCTTGCTCAACAGCCCCGGTCCCTTCAGCGACGGGATCGAAGCCTCGCCGTGTGTTCGTCCGCCGATGCGTGGTCGATCCTTGACGCCCGCACTGGATAACCACTCTGCACACTCTGAGTCGCCACCTCGCGACGACAGGAGATCCGCATCTTTCCAAGGTGTATCTCAACACCCAGCACATGAGGTCCAGCTACAGAACCCGCTTTCATCGCCCGAGCTCACGCTGCAGTTCGGCATGAACGAAGCTGAAGGCAAGGTCTTGCCGTGCCACAACGTCAAGAGCGACGGCCTCATGCGCATCACCGCCCAAACGCTCAAGGACGTTCTGTCTGGCGTCTACGATGGCCGTGTACAGCAGACGACCATTGTCGACTGTAGATTCGATTATGAGTACATGGGCGGTCATGTCAGTGGCGCGATCAATCTAGCGAGTCAGGATGCGGTCGAAGACTACTTCCTTTGCGCTGGCGACGGCTACAATTCTACCGGTCCAGGCAGACTGCCCGAACCATCACGCAGTGGCCAGCCGCTGCCCGCTCTCCTCATCTTCCACTGTGAATTCAGCGCAAAACGAGCGCCAACAATGTATGTCTCCTCGTCTCCAAGCTTTCGCGGATGCTGACCGCATGATGCTGACAGGGCTTGTCATCTGCGAAGTAAGGATAGGACCCGAAACGTGCATGTCTATCCCGCTGTGCACTATCCGGAGGTCTACGTACTGGAGGATGGCTACGAGGGCTTCTGGAAGCAATATCCTGCAAGTCGCTCTGTTACGCCGCGCCGGAGTATGATATGCTAACGAGTATCTGCTTGCAGGACCTCTGCATCGGTGGCTACGTCCCCATGGACGATCCCAAACACCGCACGCATCGCTATGACCAGCTCAACAAGTTCAGAACCTTTGATCGCGCCAAGTCTTACACCTTTGGTCAACAGGCGATCGCAGTCGAGCCAGCTCAGCAAGCATCTCGCAGGCTAGCAGACATCGTCGATCTGACCTCGAGCCCTTCGGGCACTGATAGCCCGATCGGCAAGGCTCAGCTCAACCGCTTCAAACAAAACAAGGCCGGCTTGCTCAAATTTGGCTCTACGGCGAATTCAAAGTCTGGGAGCCGTAAGCCGTTCGAGCGGGCGACCACAACAGCCGGACTCTTCCGACAATGATCACGACAGTGTAGATCAGCTCGATGTTGTTCTTTGCTGTCAGCATTAGATGTATTCATTTAGGATTCTGCCGAGCGAGTGATGCCAGACGAGATGCACCTTCGTACAACGCTGACGCTGACGCTCATGAGTCTTTCTTACTGTCTGCAGATTGTCCACCGATCATCTTATGTTCTAGCCCTCTGAGCAGCTCGATCGAATTGAGCGCGTTGATGCTCATGAGAGCGGCGGGAATGAAGATGAGGACCATGATGAGAATGGAGAAGATGAGGATCGGGTTGACAAAGGTGTAGCGATAGCTCAGGCCCGAATTGGGGTCTGGCATCTCTTGCACACGAGGAGCTGCCTGAGATGGCATCTGGTCGACCTCTGCATCTTCGAGTACGCCCTCTGAAGTGTCAGGACTGAGCGCTGCGCCAGAGTTCTCCCAAGACTGTCGGGATGCCGCGGCTTGGGGTGCTTCGCCTGAAGCGAGCGGCAGATGACTCTGCAATACAGAGCTCGGTGAGGTGTACTGCTCGAGGCTGCCGTTCATCTCCGCGTGCTCTGCATCGAGATAGCTTGGTCGAGCATCATAGGCAGGCGATAGAGCAGGCTGATCGGTCGCTGCATCAGCCTCATTGTCGATCTCGAGCTGTCGTCTGCGCAATCGGCGTCGAAGGGTTTGTTCGCCCACAGTCGACACAATGACCGACGGGTCATCGCTCAGCAGCGTAGCCAGCCGCTCATCTGTCGTACTCAGTCTGAGCATGCGCCTCTGCAGAGTCAAAGACAGACGTACTCAGCTTGCGGAGGATGTCCTTGCGCGAAGAGGTCGAGGCTGACTTGAGCTGCTTCGAATCGCTCTCGAGGCTGTGCCAGGTCATCTCCGAATCGTCATGACAGCGAGTGAGAGCATCGATCCGCCTCAAGCTGTCCTTGCGCGAGCAGTAAGGCACATGGATTCGTGAATCTGCAGCGTGGTAAGGCGCCTTGAGTGTGGTGAGGTGGGCAATATCGTCCGATCGCAGGTGAGGTATCGTTAGCAGGGTGAGGGACGGCCTGCTCTCCGCACAAGGAGCGCTCGCACTCTCCCGAAGCATCCTGTAGCTCGTCGATCAGCGAGGTCAAGGGCTGTCCTTGAACGATGTCACCCTTCGCTTTGCCAAGCCAGGAAGGGCGCTGTGTCCAGGAACGCATGCGCAGAGGCGGCAGCGGCTATCGCTAAGCAAAGTGAGCGCATCATTGTCGCCTTGAGACGTCCTGATCGTCTGTCTCGCGCGCCGGCCGTACCGAGCTGGACGAGAGTCGCGACGACGTGCGACGGATCGAGGCAAAGGGAAAAGACATAAAGTGCATCGAGTCTACAGAACACTAGGCGTACAGACGCTTCTCGTAGTTGGTCAGGCCATGCACGCCCCCCTCGACCTGAGCAGAAGCAGTCCGCAGCTCGAATCTGAGCTTGCCAGAGATGGCCTCTGAGCGGAACTGCGCCAGGCTCGAGACGCCAGCATCTTGGAGCGAGTGTTGCAATGCAACGTAGAGGTAAGGCAGGAAAGTCTTGAGCGAACCTCGATCTTGTACAGCTCCTGTGACGCCCTGGATGAGGATTGATCAGATCGGATGCACGCACATGAGCAGGCGGGCAGCAGGGGTGACCTACTTGGGCAACTCGCACGGTATCGCTCTCGGAAAAGTATCGTGACGTGGCAGCATTGTCGACTTCGGACTCGGCCAACGCCTGCTGGACCAGCGCCTTGGTACTCGCATTCTGCTTCTGGCCTTTCTGTTGGTGCTCCATTGCATCGATACTGCCCATACCGCGGTACTTCTTGAGCCGTTTCCCTTCGTGGTAGAAGAACTCTCCCGGCGATTCTGTCGTGCCGGCGAGCAGGCTGCCCATCATGACAGCCGAAGCGCCGAGGACGAGCGCCTTTGCGATATGTCCGACGTTTGAGATACCCCCATCTGCGATGACAGGCACGCCGAACTGGTTGGCAAACTCTGCGACGGCAAAGACGGCAGTGCCTTGCGGTCGACCGACTGCAGTGACCTCTTGCGTGATGCAGATCGATCCGCTACCCATGCCCACGCGCAGACCATCAGCGCCGGCCTGAATGAGCTCGGCAGCTTGCTCCCGCGTGACGACATTGCCCGCGATGACTTCGAGCGTGGGATGGGTGCTCTTGATCCACTTGATCATGTCGATCTGGTAGACCGAATTGCCTTGCGACGAGTCGAGCACGACGATATCCAGACCGGCCTCGACGAGCAAGTTGAGCCTATCGCGATCAGGCTCGCGCGTGCCCACAGCTGCAGCACAGTAGAGCTGTTTCGATTCTGGCTTCTTGGACGCGAGCGGGTAGTCTTTGTTCTTGAGCAGATCCGACCGGGCGAGCAAGGATCGAAGCCTGCCGTCTTCGTCGATGACGGGTAGCTTGCCCTTTTTCGAGTCTCGCAGGACCTTGTTGGCCTCTTCGAGGGTGATGCCTTCGCGTGCAACGACAAGCTCGCTTCGTGGCGTCATGACGGACTCGAGACTGGCTGTGCTTGACCTGAACTGGATGTCTCGCGCAGTGACTATGCCCAACAGCTTGCCCTTGAGCCTGCCAGTATCTAAAGCGATCTCGCGTGAGCATAGGGACGATTGAGATGCGGCGATGTGAACAGATTCAGTGGACATAGATCAAAGGAGTCCACATGGGATTTATCCCGATTTGCGGTAGAACGAAGGTAACTGAATTGAGATTTCTCATCACGATAGAGCAGGGTTGGGTGATGGCATGCTGCTCAAACGCTCACCTGTGACGGGAATACCGGAGTAGCCGTATCGCTCTTTGACGTCTAGGACATCTTGGACGATGTGGCTTGGCTGGAGACAGACTGGATCCGTGATGAAGCCGTTCTCGTACTTCTTGACTGCCTTGACTTGCCGTGCCTGTTCGGTGGGCGACATGTTGTGATGGATGACGCCTACGCCCCCGAGAAGCTGGGACAATGCAAAGGGGTCAGCAGGCGCCAAAGGGGACGCGTTCCTGACTGACCGCCATTGCCACCGCTGTCTGGTACTCCGTGACTGCAAAAAATCGTGGACCGTCAGCTTGCCTGTCAGCTGATGACACTACGATTTGCCTGTGTCCATAGGCGAAGACATAAAGGGCGTCTGCAGCTTGATGTTGCGCGTCACATGCGAGTTGAGCGTGACGGCACTAGCGGGAAAGTCGATGTGGCCCGGCAGTACAAGAAAGTCATTATCTATAAAGGATGACGAACTCATATGAGCACCCCCAGAGGTGGTTCAAGGAGCCAACGTACATGTGAGACCGCCGTGCTGACGCGAATCCATGAGCTCTCGCAGGGAGAGTCCATCCCCCCTGGTGTAGCTCGCAAGATGTGCTACTGCCTGGGAAGGATCGAGGAAGCGCGTTCCGTTGGAGGTAGACGCTTTAGGCGCCACATCCTCGCTCAAGACGACCATCTCGGCAGCGTCGAGCGAACTTTGGAAATTTTTGCTTGACGCGGCGCGACCCACTCCTTTCGATATTGCCACGTCGTCAAATGCCAAAGTCGAAACAGAAGGCGAAGCGCAGGGCAGCCGCCACAACGCAAGATCATGATGCGCCCTCAGATATCATCGAGTCCGCTCAAGAAGCAAGCCTGGACGACATCCGCCGAGCAAATGATGAAAGTAACGACGATGACGATGACGACGATGGAGCAGTCGCAGTCGCTTCGTCTTCCTTTGCAGCGGTCAGCATATGTAATATGACAGCATACACTTGCTGATCGTTTGCGTCTTCATCATAGCTTGCGCCTGCTGAGGACGAGCCGGAAGACGACAATGAGGACGTGGCTCCAGCAGCAGCGAAACCCAAGAAGAAGAAGGCCAGCAAGAAGAAAGCCAAGCCAGCGCCAGAATCGGACGATCTGGATGCTCTCCTTTCCGCTTACCGAGCAGAGACGCGCGGTACTGACGCCGCTTCCGCCGCCAGTCAGTCAAACGCGTCATCTGATCTGTCCGAGTTGAATGAGCTGCTTTCTGTCGATTCCAAACGGACAGACCCAGAAGTCGAACTACGCAAGATGTTCGGCTCTCGCGTCGTCAGTGCAGATTCGTCCGTCAGCAAATCACGAGGATCGTCGCGCTCGCGCACACTGCTCGTCAAGCCAAAGCAGACTTGGCCACCTTTTGCAGGTGCCAAGGGCGGTCTGGATATGCGCGAGCTTTCCGATCAAGATGGCATAGAGTCCAGAGGACGAGCAGAGCGATGGTTCTCCTACGAGCATTCGCCCGCATACGTAGAAGTACAGCAGCGATTCCTTGAAGCCGTCATGTCGCTCGACGGCAACAACCTTATACCCGTTTTGCGCGTGCATCCATACCACACAGATACTCTGTTGCAGCTGTCCGAAATGGCTTTGCAGCAGGGCAATCCGAACGAAGCGCTCGATTTCCTTGATCGCGCCATCTTTGCGTACGAAAAGGCGGCCATTCCAGCTTTCTCGCTGTCTTCTGGCAATGGCAGACTCGATTTTCTACGAATAGAGAATCGGGGCTTCTTCAGAGCACTGCTACTCAAGACAGCCAATCTCGTTCAGCGTGGTACCTATTCCGCTGCTCATGAGATTGCAAAAGCACTCTATTCGTTAGATCCGTACGACGATCCGATGGGTGTCTTACTCTGGCTCGATTTCACAGCCGTCAAAGCGCAGCAGTACACATTCATAGAGAAGCTGCTTGCTTCTGCGCGAGAGCAGAGGAGCACTTCGGCGCCCGATATGCTCGATCTCGATGGGTATCCCGGTCTAGCCTTTGCAGCCGCACTCAGCCGATTTCTCGCTGGTGCGCAAGGCTCCGAGGAGCGGCTTGAAGAAGCTATACTCGACTTCCCAATGGTAGTCTGCTACTTGACCGACAAGCTCGGGCTGCGTACGCCCCAGATCTTCTCAGACCACGATCGATCCGCTCGAGCAGTGCCATCTGTTCGGCCAGATCACTGCGTTCATTTGCTGGCTCAGATGTATGCGCATCGATCTGCGGTGCTATACAAGCCGCCAGAAGTCCAAGCCTGGCTACAGCGAGGTATTGCAGCTTGTGAGTCGAAGCTGTCTGCATACGCAAAACCTCAAAAGGGCACCTACCCCAATGCAGAGTGCCCAGAAGGCGTCTTGCGAAACGTCATAATGTCAGACGTGCCATCGCTCAAACCAATGCTCAGCTCTGGCATCGTAGCTTGGGGCGCGGGCTACAGCTACGATAACATGCCACCGAAGGATGCAATCTCGTCTTACGACGATCGTTACTTTGCGCGTCTCTACAAGACACAAGCCCAGATCGATGCCATGCCTGTACCGGGCGCGGCGTCATCACAGAGTACGATAGAAGCGCTTATGCGCCGGCTTGGACTCTTTGGCGGAGGCGGCGGTGATCAGTCCGACGACGATGGGAGCGATCTGGATTGATCACGCGACTACCGACAGTCTGAGCGCGTTCGCTGCGAATGCGTATTTGTCGGCTGCTTGTTCGATGCGCTTCATCCTGAATGAGCACAATCAGCCAGGCTTCAGCGGTATGCGAAGTTAGACTTACGTTCCGGTGCCTGCCCCGTGACCCGAGTCAAGATCGACACGCAGCAATAGAGGTTCCTTGTTGTTGGGCCTTGCATGCTGCAGAGCTGCTGCGAGCTTAAAGCTGTGTAGTGGTGACACACGATCATCGTGATCACTCGTGCAGAGCAGCGTCGCGGGTAGTTCCGCATCAGCCGGAACGTTGTGTACTGGCGAGTATTTGTAAAGGTAATCGAATGCTTCTGGATCGTTATCCGCATCACCGTAGTCGCTGACCCAAGCGCTGCCGATCGTGAAACGCTGGAATCGCAGCATGTCCATGACGCCGACATCGGCCAGACATGCGCCCCACAGCTGAGGAAATTGATTGAGGCAGGCAGCGACGAGCAAGCCGCCGTTCGAGCCACCATTGATAGCAATCTTGCCCTCATCCGCTACGCCCAATTTGACGAGATGAAGCGCCGCATCGGCAAAATCATTGAAGACATTCTGTTTGCGATCCTTCGTACCCGCTTCGTGCCAAGTCTCTCCGTACTCACTTCCTCCCCGGACGTTGACCACGACGAGGGAGACGCCGTATCGTTTGCAGAATGACAGCATTGCAGGCGAGAAGAATGGCGTCATGGCGTGCGAGAAGCCGCCATAAGCATAACACAGCGCAGCATTCGTCTTGCGGACTTTCGGCCGTGTGACGAACATGGGCACTTTGGTCACGCCGTCACGACTGTCGAAGAAGATCTGCTGTGTGGGCTCAAAGTCATCCGGTGAGAGGCCAGAGAGCTTCGTCGTACGATATGGCTCGATACTTGGCTTGCCTTGATGGAACTTGAGCCAGTAGGTCGTATCTGGCGCTAGGAAGCCTGTGAGGGACACGAAACAATCGGTATGATGCCTGCGACCAGATATCTGCGTGATGCTGCCCACTTCATGCTCGAGCAAGCGCTGCTTCTGCGTGCATGTCGCCAGATCGTAAAGCCATAGCTCGTCTTGTACATCGCGAGAGTAAATCACAAACAGCTTGTCATTGTCTATGGCATGCACAGAGGAAAGTGTCGCGGTAGGATCTTCGGGAAGAAGCTCGACGAAGCCAGCTTCGGGATTGGCAAGATCATAGGTGACGAGCTTATTTTGCGGCGCTTGCGCGTTTGTAGACAGATAGAGCTTCGTGCCGTCATTTGCGATGACGGAATATTCCGCGTCGAACTCGTCAACGACCTTGAGCCAATCGCTGTCTGGCTCATGAAGATCTTTCACCCAGAGCAGATTCTTCCTTGCTGTGTCACGAGAGGTGTACATGAACAAGAACTGCCCGTCATCGCTCACATCCGTAGAAAACATGTACTTTGGATGCTGCTCGTCCTTGTAAACCAGTTCGTCTGCATTTTGCTCGGTACCGATTCGATGAAAGTGCAAAGAGGCATTCTCAGTTTGGTCGGTCTCTTTGCCGAGCTCGTCTGTCGATGGCTCGGGAAAACGCTGGTAGAAGAAGCCAGAATCATCCGTCTTCCAAGTGAGTGAGCTGAATTTGACATGTTTGATCACATCTGACAACCTGCCGTGATCGCCTACCGAGGTGTCGTTGGGAGGATGCGTCGACGCTGTCTTGCGGGCATAGATGGTCGACCAGTCCGAACCTTTGGCACTGAGTGCATATGCGAACAGGTTGCCCGACTCGGAGAATGCTGTTGTTCTCAGGGAAGTCGTGCCCTCTTTGCTCAAACGATTGGGATCGAAGAAGAGTTCGGCCGCTCTGTCCTCCTTGCCCTCGTCGCCTTTGCGGAATCGCATAAGCCTCGATTGATTTTCCAAGCCAGAGTTGTAGGAATAGTAGCGATAGCCGTCGCCCTTCAGACTAGGACAGGACAGGCGAGGATAGCTGAAGTTGCTCTCGATGACATCTCTTAGCGGTTTCCGGTCCGGCAACTTGGCCAGATAGCTCTCAGTCAGCTGAGCTTGCGACTTTACAAAGCTAGAAACTTTCGGCTCGCTTGCAGATGCTTGTAGCCAGTCATATGGCTCTGGCACCTCGACAGACCCTTGGGACGCGCTCTTGAAGGTCTCGACCGTACCTGAGCGTTTGGCCGTCGGATATTTGTCATTCCAAGCGACGTGATCACTCGACATCTTACGCAGGTGATCGCTGAGCTTACTTAGCCGTGTCAGCGTGCGCGCCCGGAGCATGCACTCGAGCTTCTGGGCGGCAAGCAGCATGGAGATGACGTGTCATAGATGCTGGAGCGCGTGAGAGATTGAGGCCAACCTGCATTCGCTTGGCTCGGCAGCGCTCGCCGACCTCGAATCACCATGTCGTCCCTTGCGAACGGTCAGTGCGATCATTGCTGGCTCTCTCTGTGACTGTGGCTACCTCGACGGCCTGAATGGCGACGTCTTCTCTGGCGTGTGACTGATGTCAGGCTGGCTCTTTCGACGGCTGGCAGGCGTGACTCCAGCCCTTCAGACTGACCAGACTTGCTAATGGCGCTCTCCTGAACCACTCGTTGACCCAACCTGCCACCAAGGCGGACCTCTTGGCATGCTCCAGGCGATCTATTGGCCTCATTACTCACATCTGGGCTCTTTTGGCTTTTTTATCCAGGCGGAAGAGGCGCACCTCCTGCAGACAACAACGCCCTGGAGCCTGTACCTAACAAGATCTACATAGGAGGCTTGCCAGAGTCGACGACGACCGAGGATCTCCAGGATTGCTTTGGTCAGATCGGCCCAGTCATCACCGTCGAGCTCAAGTCTGGCTACGGCTTTGTGGTGAGCAACTTCTCCCCCGTCTGACTCTTCCCTGCCGGTCGTTCTACTCGCTCTTGACGATCTCCGGCAGCCCATGGCGAAGTTGGCTGCTGACACGTCAGCGGCGCGCGTGGAATGACGTCTGACAACTCATGCTGACTGGCTTCTCTGCTTGCGCTCGTCTTGCTATATGACAACAGGAATTTGGAACTGAACAGCATGCCCTCGACGCCGTCAGCAAATACAACGACGGTCACTTCCTCGGCGCCCAGATAAAGGTCGAAGTCTCTAAGCGACCTCGCTTCCGTCAACAAGAGAATGGTCTGGGCTGCTTCAAGTGCGGCGAGACCTCTCACTGGGCTCGAGAATGTCCCAACGTGCGCAATGGCAAGCTGATGTATGTTCAGACCGTGCGCCTGCCCGAATCTGGCTGACTTATCTACGCTCAGTCGACCACCCGAGCGTGGCTATGGCCCGCCCAGACGCTACATGAGTCCCTCTCCTCCTCCTCGCCACAGAGACGACAGAGGCTACCGCGGCTCTCGCTATGACGATCGCGATGACTACAATCGCGAGCCACCTCGCTACCGAGACCGCGAGCGCGATCGTTCTCCTGCCGACGGTGTGTCCAAACCGTCCCTGCCTGTCCCGAAACGACCTGACGCATCGTCTCGATCGCCCGCAGGATACAGAGATCGCTCACCGCCTTCGGGTCCTCGAGGAGGCTACGGCTCTCGCGGCCCTCGTGACAGAGACGACGATTATCGTCGTCGCTCACCTTCACCCTTCGGACGTGGACACGATCGTGACGCCAGAGGTGGCCGAGGTCGTGACTACGATCGTGGACCGCGTGGTGGCCGTGATTCGCCTCCTCCTCGTGGTGGCCGCTCACCCCCACCTAGAGATGGTCCCTCACGCTTTGGCAGCGATCGACCCCCTCCGCCGAGACGCACAGCCTCGCCTGCTCCCCGCGGCTCTGACAGTGGTCCAGCAGGCAGCTACCGTCGTCCATAAAGTACAAAGCCCCCAAGGTGTCACGAGCGATCAAGCAAAGAAGTGTAGTCACATTGCATGTTCGCATGCCAATCGTTCGCAAGACACGCTGAACACATGTATACATTGGACGCATCTAAAGTTCTACTCTATGGGCCAGAGCGCCTAGTTGCTTCGAAACTTTTGCAGGATCTGTTAAACATGTATGTGCCGGTGTAGATTTCCTTCGTTCGGAAGAGAGAATATCTATGTGGATGCGTTGGCGGCAGCGCTCGAAGGTCGCGCTGGCGTTGGCACCTCGGGCGTGGCCACCTTGTCGCCCAATGCGGCCAGATCTCGCTTAACGCGAGCCTGATCGATGACAACCTTGAGGCGACCATCTTCCATAGGTGTGATGTGGATGCATTCGATCGTCGGAATGAGGTAATGGGCGCCTGAATCCTTGATCTTGCTAGCAGCTACGAATAAAGCACGTTGATCAGAGCGCGTAGGAGAGAGAACGCGGACAAGGACGTACGATGAGATGTGCAGACAGCGATTGTCTTTGCGCCGGAGGCCACGCCAGCGCGTATGCCAGAAGGCGAATCCTCAAAGACGAGACAGTCTTTGCAATCGAAGCCAAGTCGTTTCGCTGCGAGCATGAAGGGATCGGGATGCGGCTTGCCGCGAAGCAGGTGCTTGTCGTCCGCTGCAATATGCCGTTTAGCAAAGTATGAAGGGAGGGAAGAGAGATCGACTGACCGGTGACCGTGACCGCCGGCGGGGTGATGCCGATTCGCTTGAGTGCACCATAACAGTAGGTCTGCGACCTTACTTAGCTATTGCTGAGAAGCGGTGAGGTAGCAATCACCTTTGCGCCCGAGGTAGCGACCGCGTAGCGGTCAGCAGGAAGTCCGTCGATGAGTCGTTTGACACCGGGCAAGATCTTGCACGAACGGTCAATGAGGTCGGAAACATCGACGTCGAGGGCGTCAATGTCGATCTCCTCGTCATCGTCATCGTCGTCGAACGGATTCTCGTCCAATACTGCCGAAGTGGCATCTTTAGAACCATTCGCTGGCGAATCTGTGCGTTCGATCGGGCTTGCATTGGATGAGTCGTTGACGGGCTTGGCTTCAGTCAGACGGGTGAACTGTTCGCACATGAGCGCGCACAAAAGGCGCAAGCGAAATGACGGACCTGCATACGTTTGGTAAGCTCGGAGGCGAAGGATCCTTTGCGGGAGGGTGGCTTCGAGAGCGAGATGGAGGAGTTCTTTCGCGAATTCGAGCGAGAGCTCCTGATCGATTCTGCGGCTGATTGTCTGCGACTTCGGACTTCATTGTGATACTGATCAGCATGAGTGAGAATCTTTTGCTCGAATTCCTCGACGTGCGGATCCATTTTTGATTCTGGCACTTTGGCGAGGTCGGGTCGGAGATCGCGCAAGTTGTCGATAGCGCGACGACCATGGGTAGCATCGATGACCTCTTGTGGGTCCTTGCCGAGCTCGAGTGCGACGCCTCCCCACGCAGCTTCGACGGCCTGGATGGAATCGACGAGCGTGCCATCCATGTCAAACTGGCTGTCTTGTCAGCCTCGCTCTCTGACGACGCGTGCCGACAGCGCTTCAGAGCTGTCGGACGTGGTCGAGCAATGAAGAAGTGAGCCACTCACGAGGACGGCTTCGACGATGAACTCCTCATGCTCAACTTTTGAGGCCAGCACTTTCTCGTGCTGATCTGTGGGCACGTTGGAAGTCTGTCTGACGATGGGCTCGCCGACCAGAGGTGCAGGTGCAGACATTGTCGCAGGCTCGATGCTTGACTGTGTGCTCTCTGGCCTGTCGCGCTAATATCAGCATGCAGCACATTGCAAGCTCAGGGTCGCTCATGCCTTATTGTGTATCGTTGGCTGGTACACTAGCTTGACTCGCTGCTCTTGTACTACCTGCTCAACAGTGGCAGCCTTTTTACAAGAGCAGACCGGGTCCGTGCAGAGCTGTTTGGCGCTCTCGTGAAAGACCTCCTGTCGGTTCGAGAGATTTCCGAAGTTGGTAGATCTCGCGAGGCGATCTTCAAAAAGGAACGTCGGTTTTCAATCTACACGTCACTGTCTCACCGTGGGCTGTCGAGGTCATGCTCAAGCTTACCGTCGTCTCGCTTGTGTCCTTTGCGGCAGGCTACGGCTTCGCTCGGCTCGGCTCTACTTCCCTCCCGAGCCAGAGAAAACCTCCGATCGTGTGAGAGCAGCCCCTGTGCACATCTACAAATCAATCATGCTCATGTCGTGTGCATGCATCAGCACACCCTCTCCATCCGAGGAGGCAGACTCGGAGGACTCTTCATCCGAGCACGACGAGGCTCTCTCGAAGGTCAAGGCTGCTTTGTTTGAGGAATGCAAGATGGTCTGCCAGATTGTCCGTGAATGATCTCGTTCTCAAGGGTGAATACAGATTCTCGTCGTTCGCACCGATCTCGGCATGACCAAGGGCAAGATCGCCGCGCAATGCTCGCACGTACCTTGCTCGTGTAATCTGATGCGAGCTGAACTCTGCGACATTCAGACACGCAAGTCTGGCATGCTACAAGACGCTTTCGCGTTCCAATGCTGCTCTCGTCCAACATTGGGAACGCACAGGGTCCGTCTTCTCTCTCTTCGGATGTCCTCGAGATCCTGAAGTGCTCGAGCAGTCAGGCAAAGATTGCGCTCAAGTGCGATTCTGAGGACGAGTTGCTCCTGTTGCAAGCACAAGCATTATCGCTTGGCCTGTGTGCTCGCACGATCCAAGACGCGTACGTTGCCAGCCCCCATGAACTCATCCTCTGACGCAATGGGTGCATAGCGGGCGAACACAGATCGCAGCAGGCTCGACGACGGTATTGGGCATCGGTCCTGCGCCGAAGCAACTGATCGATCAAGTCACGGGTCACCTCAAATTGCTCTGATGCGCCCTCCTGGACGGATGTGATCATTCAGCAGAACAGACTATGCTTGCAAAGCGACTGGTGGTAAGCAACAACACTGTAAGGTCCGGTTCACTTTTTGACGACTGTAGGCTGGGTCAGCTCGGCTCCACTTGCAGCACGAGAGCAGAACGCACTGCACAGCACGTCTTCGTCCTCGAGACGGTGCGCCAGACCTGCTTTATGCCCTCGCGAGTGCTTCGCGCTGGTACCCCAGACGATAGCACTGGTGCCAGCTGGTTAGTAGATGCATGAGCGTGCGAGTCCAGGAACGTACTATTTGAACTGCTTGATGATGTCCTTGTGGATGGATTGGCAAAAGTCTTCGACGGTACATCTGTGTGATCGGAGCACAACGGGCGAAGAGTAATCGGGCTGCTGTCCTCTCGGCTTTGTGTAGACTCGCACGAGATCGAGCTTCTCCCACATGACCTCGATGAGCTCGTCGATGTTCCACCATTGTCGGGCCGAGATGGGCACGCTGTTCGGTATCCTGTAGAGCAGATCTGGTGCTACACGTCAGCAAGAGCCTGCTTCGTGCTGCGACTGAGCTCACCCAGCTCCTGAATCGAGATGGCATCGATCTTGTTGAGGACGTAGATGGCAGGAATGTAGATCCGGTTGCCCTCGACGACATCGATCAGATCGTCCTCATTGGCATCGCATCGAAAGGCAACATCGGCGTTGTGGATCTTGTACTCTGATAGGATAGCTCTGACCATGTCGAAGTCGAGATGATTGAGCGGGACGGTGTTGGTCATGTTGATACCACCCTTGTCCTTCTTCCTGAAAGTGATGTTGGGAGGCGATTTGTTGAGCCGTATGCCGAAGCCTTCCAGTTCATCCTCGATGATCTTTTTGTCTCCCAGAGGCTTGCAGACGTCGAGGACGAGGAAGAGCAAGTTGCAACTGCGCGCGACTGCGATGACTTGCCGACCGCGACCTTTGCCGTCCTTGGCGCCTTCGATGATACCGGGCAAATCGAGTATCTGTACTTTTGCGCCGTGTACGTTCATCGTGCCTGGCACAGTCGTGAGTGTTGTGAACTCTGCAAGATCCCAATTTAGCTAGAGCAGTAGCAGCGTCGTTGGCCGAGCTGACCGTAGGCAGCCACTTCGGAAGTCGTGCCCGTCAAGCCAGACATGAGTGACGATTTGCCGACCGAGGGGAAGCCGACAAAGCCGACACTCGCGATGCCCGTTCGAGCGACATCGAAGCCGACGCCGGCACCTCCCCCGCTCGAGGTAGGCGTCAGTAGCTCTCTGCGTAGTTTTGCCAACTTGGACTGTCATCGGCCCGGAAACGTGAGCATCTGTCTGGTCATGCCTGTCCAGGCGGAGCATGCCTTGAGGATTCCGAGATGGGCACTGGTCGCCTTGTTCTTCTGCGTCTTGGCCTACGTGCAAGCTGTATGAGAAAATGACGGTTGACCGTCCACAGAGGGACAGACCATCTCATCTTCGATATCTTTGATTCTGCCCGTCCTTGCTCCGTCAGTGCTGCAGAGCTCGAAGTACAACCGCTACCGACTTTTGTACTGTCGTCATCTTGCACGCCTTCTCGTCTTGCTTCGACTGGCAGAGACGCCGCCGGCAGGGACGACGCGATCCATCAACGACACGCGAGAGTGCGGCGACATGGCGTCTGAGGACGAGCGAGAGGAGCTCGAGGCTGCAGAAGACGACGGCATCGACACGGAAGGCAAGACGATCGTTCAGCTGGGCGAGCACGACGAGATCTCGGACGAGGAGCATCACCCCCACCATCGTGATGAGGATGTCGAGATGGACGCCCCTCCTCCGCTCGCATATGGCATCGACAAGGGCAAAGCCAAGCAAGAGCCCGTAGAGGCTCACGAACTAGATTCATTGCCATGGTCAGTCAGCCTGAGAGCGCAGGGAAAGAGCTCATTGCGTGCAATACGCGTGACAGGGTGGAAAAGTACAGACCGGCAACGTTGGACGATGTCGTGTCTCACAAGGATATCGTATCGACCAGTGAGCCCATCGCAATCATCTCTGTAGCCTTCGCTCAAGAGAAACGTCTCCAACAGTCGACAAATTTATATCGCTCAACCGACTGCCTCACTTGCTCTTCTATGGACCGCCGGGCACTGGCAAGACGTCCACCATTCTCGCCGTCGCGCGCAAGATCTACGGCGGCACGGGCAATTCGATACGAGGTGGCGTGAGCGGCAAGGGCAAAGAGGGCAGCAGCATGCGCAACAATGTGCTCGAACTCAACGCGTCCGACGATAGGGGTATCGATGTCGTCAGAGACCAGATCAAGAACTTTGCTTCGACCCGAATGATCTTCTCGTCGGGCTACAAACTCATCATTCTCGATGAAGCCGACATGATGACGACGACGGCCCAGAACGCGCTGAGAAGGGTCATCGAGCAATATACCAAGAACGTCAGATTCTGTATCATCTGCAACTACGTCAACCGCATCATCCCGGCCGTCCAGTCTCGATGTACTCGCTTCAGGTCTGTCGTGACCAGCAGGCGAATTGTATCGGCGCTCAAGCTTTTGCAGGTTCGGGCCACTCGAGACAACAGAAGTCGATAGAAGGATACAGCACGTCGTAGATGCCGAGTCGTGAGCTCTCCCACTCCACTCAGGACAGCATCCTCTCATCATCATCATACTGACCGCGACATACAGCGTCAATCTGACTCAAGACGGTCGAGAAGCACTGCTCAAGCTGTCGAAAGGCGATATGCGACGGGCACTCAATGTCTTGCAAGCTTGTCACTCGGCCTACCCCGTCGTGGACGAAGGAGCGATCTATGCTTGTACAGGCAATCCACATCCGGCAGACATCGACGAGATGGTCACAAGCATGATGTCTGACGAGTTCCAGACTGCGTACCAGCGTGAGTCCTCCTGAGCAGCAGGCGAGCTGCTCCGGCTGATGGGAGCCATGCAGGTGTTGTGGCGATCAAGACGGACAAAGGTCTTGCTTTGCAGGATATCATCGCGGGATTGGGAGAGGCGCTGTCCGGGCTGGACATGCCTCCCCATGCGCGAATCTATCTCCTCGACCATCTTGCACAAATCGAGTGCGTAAAAGCCTTTGCCTACCGCAGAAAATCGCTGAGGAATCTCGTGCAGACATCGCCTGAGTACGGGAGGGAGCGAGAAGCTACAGATGACCGCCTTGCTCGGCGCTTTCCAGAACGCGGTCGAGCTGAGTTCGCGAGAAAAGTAGTTCGCGCCTTTAATGCAAGACAGAGCCTGCTTGTATGAGTCACGAAATCTGCGCCTGACCGAGGGTGTGTGATGCTGCATGCGTAGAACAGCATTGGCGAGTCGACTGAGCAGCTTCTCAGCCTCACAGCTGCCGCCAGCCTTCTTGCTACCCTTGCCCTCTTTGTGCCATGCCACACGCTATCGACAGTCGGCCCGTGATCCTGTCGAGCTCAGCCGGGGAAGCTCACGAGTTCTGCATAGCTCGCATAGTGACAATGATTTGACGGGCCATGTTCAAGATCGTCAAAGCGAGTCTAGCGCTCGTGCGAGCCTCCGACTTGCCCTCGCAGAATCTGGTCGACATGAACTCGCAACGTTGGCCAGAGCATTACCATACGGCCGCAATGCATGGCCAGACGACGAATGGATCTACCCATCCGTTGCGGATGCAGACGACATGTCCATCCGAGCCTTGTCCGCTTTGCTCAAGATCCTGTATGCAAGCACGAGCGATCTTTACAAGTCGGTCCGACGGATTGAAGACATCTGGTCAGCCAAGACGCTAGAGACACCGGAGAACCAAGAGCAGAGTCGTATGCTTGCTCATGCAGCTCGGACGCCCCAGCCAAGACTGGTCAACGAGCTCTCGGGGCGTTTGCCAATCTTTCACAGACCGAGACACCTGACAGATTGGACGATTCATCTCAAGGTCCTCACGCTGCCCGTCACACCCTCTGGTGTCATACCGAGAACGAGGAGGATCGCACAGATGTTGAAGCAGATGCTGAAGGATGAAATCCAAGTGGATGCCGTCTTTTGTCAGACGCTTGCCAATGGCCTGGCCGTCCAGATCGATCTCCTCTTGCGTACAAAGCCGAAGCCTACCCACATCGTCTTTGCAAAGATGTGTCACGATCTCATGCCTGTACTTGTCTTTGCGGACACTCCCAACGCGCCACGTACAGACGGACAAACTCGCGTAGGGTTTAAGAATCTGCTAGCTGCTCTTGATTCGGAAACGGCAGAGGCGCAAGCGAGGATGCAAAGTGTGCAGAAGGAACGCAAGATCGTGCCCAGTCAGAACGTCCTCACAGAGACCGCCCGGAGACTTGCACAGTCCTGTCGCATGGAGCTAGACAAACATTATGCCGATTCTGCACTGCCATTACTGAAGAAGCTCAGCAAGGTCATACATGGCGAGAAGGATCGTCTTGGTTCGGAAGAGGAAGAGGCCAACTTCAAGTCAATGATCGCAGTGTATCATAGCTGTTTGCGCCGCGCCTTTCTTCTGTCTGCCTCGCCAATTGAGAAGGCTCAGGAGCATTTTCGCATCAAGGCCGACCTGTTCAGACGCAGCTGCGAGCGCCTGATGCCTCACCTCTCCGTACATACCGTGCGGGCGTCTCTGTACGGTCTGGCAAAACATTCTCCGAGCTGGCAAGCGTACGCGGATCACCTCAAGCAGTGTGCAGACTGGTCGCGTAGTCTTCCCGAAGGCCATCGCACGGTCTTCATCCAGTCTGAACACCCCGACCTGGCGCCAATATTGAAAATGGCACTAGGTGCACCGGTCGAGGACGAGGAACTGGCGACGAGGTTACGATACTGTCTCAACGTCTTGACCGTGCTCGGCTTGTCGCCTCGTTACAACGTCTATGACGGCTCAATCGTTTCGGTCTTGGATCAAGCGGATCTGACCTCACATCTGAGACGGGTGACTGCTCAGCAGACTCTACGGCTCGTCTGCCTTGAACCGCGAGGCGGCCAATGATGTTGTATTACGTAATGATTTTTCGCGACTTACAAAGTGCAGCTTTCCCCAGATTTTTCCAGCACGCGAGAGTTTGGGCGAGAGCGTCGAGCGAGGCCAGTGAGCGATCATGAGACGCGGAGGAGGTCACCACAGCACTGGGGCGAGATCTGTCAGATTGCTGTATCACTGGGCAAGGTTCGTCTGTGATCTTCACCCATCTTCGTCCTCATGCTGACGCTCGGACACAGACTTTGGCGACTCTCTGGCGGCCCTCTGGTCAACCCCTTGTCGACACTGGCGATACTCTCAGCCCTTCTCAGCCTCGTCAGCCGTCCGCTCGAGCCCGACCACAAGATCTGTCGCTTCCAGCCTTTGGTGCTGGCTCATCGGCAACTGTCTCGAGCGGTCTGCTCGCCCTACCTCTAGCCCCTAGAATATACTGCTGCCTAGCGAGTTGATGAGTCGTATTATGTCTCGCACTTTGCGACGAGGCTTCGCTAGGATGAGAAGTCCCCAGGACTGCCTCCGCTATGGGTCNACGAACACTTGCGCTGGATTGCCGATGTCAGTTCGCGGACNTTGCGTGCAGCGGTTGGTTTCTAGTGACCTGGCCAACACTGCACGTGAAAGAGATCTGCATCAGTTCTGCCATGTGCCTCCCCTCCTCGACCGCCTGATGGGCTCTAGCATGATAACTTGACTCAATCTCGACTTTCACCGCGGCCTGGCAACATCGACGCGGCAAGTGTGGCAATGCACACTGCTTTTCCGATGGCGAAACAGCCTAGGCAGACCACCTTCTCTCGCCGCTNGNTGTTTNCTCGAACTCTGAGCGCAAAGGCGGCCATATGGCAACGAGGCAACACTCTCATCGCAGCAGCATTGCACATCCGACCTCATGCGGTCATCGGGCTTCGCATGCCGACTCTGTAAGCTGCAGCAACTTCTCGTCTTTGCGCTGTTGTCTGCACTGATCTTAGCGGCTTTGCGCCCTTTATTGTGTGGTCGCGAGCAGCTCGTGTCAGCATCGAGATGTGGTCAGATGAGTTCTTCGCCTGCTTGAGTGAATCAGCGTCTGGTGCGAATGTCTTCATGGGTTGCTGAGGCTGCGAAGCAACCCGATACTCCATTGATTGACGCTCGGTCCGGCAACCAATCATCGCAAGGGTGACACTGTCTACTCGACTTGTGAGGGCGCCATCAAACAATAGGCTCATGCAGCGCAGGATTTGAGGACGATCGCGTAGACCACCATGATGTCATGCGGTCGAGTACATTGAGATGACAACACATGCACATACTATTGCGGCATTATAGTATAACTCGTCATCAGTCCCAGCTGTCCCTCCTTGCGAGATCTTTCTGACGAAAGTCGCTGAGCTGTATGATGCCGCCTGCCTTCATCTTGAGCCATTTGAGTGAAGACGCGCGACTGAGCGAGCTCGAGCTCGAGCTCTCAACGACACTGGGTGGCTCGCTGACTATGCGTGCATCTGTCTCGTCGGCCGCTTGGAGAGTCATCTTGAAACTAGGCGAATCATCTTCTGTCAGATCTGATCTGCTCTCGACGAATGAGCAGGTCGTCACCGGACTGGACAGAGCAGAGGTAGACGTGGCGGCGGATGATGGCGTTTGCGCAGTCTGTTCGCTCCGACGAGACGAGCTCGAGTCGGTAGATGACGACCTCGATGACGTCCGTTTGTGCTCGCCAGAATATCTGCCATAGCGTATTGGCTCATACTGGCGTGCAATCGTCCGATCGTCCGTCTGGATCTTGCTGTCTCGCTGTCGTGTGACCTTTGTGGGTACCTCTTGCGATGGACTACCGGGCATGTTGATGCTTGCCATCATAGGTCAGAGTTGACCAAGCTTGACGAGGCCTCGCTGGATCTGTGTCTCTTTCGGATCTAAAGGTCTGTGCTGCGCAGCAACGGCTGTCGTCACCCTCCGCCGTCAGGATCAGTGCGGTGCTGGCGAGTGAATTTTGTGATCGCCTAGAATGATGTCCTATACACTCGCAATCTGAGCCAGCATGACGCCTTGCTATGTACGACTCTCGACGGTGCCTCAACGGACGCTCGGCTGAAAAAAAGAGGGCGGAGGTAGGCGCGCAGACCGCAGGCACGACGAACATCTCTGCCAAATTTAGCGATCAATCGAGATTCATCTTTGATCTGATTACCGCGTGGATCACACGCTCCAGAGACAATGAAATTCATTTACTCGACGACAGGCCGACTTTGTAGCATCCCATGCGCTTCATGAGCGTGCGCCAGACGAACCAGCGAGGCAGGAAGCTCATCAATTGGAACTGGAACGCTCTACCGCCAGCGAGGAAGTAGGCAGACGGGCTGGTCTTGAGTGCAGAGGCGACGAGCTTGTTGGCGAATTCAGCATTGGGCATTGCACCTTGCTGGCCCATCTGTGCGCGCTCCTGGATGAACTTGTTCACGTTGGCATACAGCGAGCCGTCGGGTGTCTTGAGAGATGCGGCTTGCTTGTCTCCGAAGCCGGAGCGAACGGCACCTGGCTCCGGCTATGCAATTAGCCGGATCTGATACGTGACAAGGACGAGCTTGCCTGGACAGACCGTCATGACTTTGATGCCGAATCCTTGCACCTCCATTCTGAGCACGTCGCTCAGGCTGATCAGAGCCGCTTTGCTGGACGAGTACCAGCCTGTGTGTGACGTCAACGTGTGTCTTACATATAGATGGGCAGCTTGCCTGCCCATGGTGTGCCGATGATGCCCACAATCGAGCAGATATTGATGATGAGGCCTTCTCTTTGCTTGACCATGTGCGGCGCGACGAGCTGACAGAGCCGCATGGGCGCAAAGACCTGTTCGCCACTGCTCAGCGCGTCTCGACGGGCTACGAGCTGCTAGTGACGTTGGCCTTGTAGACTGATTCTGCTTGATCGAGATCAAAGTCGAGCAAGGCACCCGTTGCGCCTGCTCCTGCGTTGTTGACGAGGACATCGATTCTGCCCTCCTTTGAGATGATGTGCTCGATCGCCTTTTGGCAGGCTTCCTTGTCCAGCACATCGAGTTGGATCTTCTCGATCGAATCCGCTGCTCCGAACTGTCAGCCTAGTCCTCTGAGCGCTCGAAAGACTTGCGTAGGCTGGCAAGTGACTCTAGTCGGCGTGCGCTTGCGTAGACCTTGCACCCCGCCTAAAGCAGAGGTGTGAGCGCTCGTGTGAGCGATCAGATAGAGACATACGTTGTGGAAAGAAATGCAGCAGGCATTGCCGATACCGCCCTCTGATGAGCCGGTGACAAGGACGACTTTGCCAGACATTGAAAGGTTCGCTTCCTCCGCACAAATCAAGAGACGCGCCTATCTCGACAACAGCGCAACGACAACGACGCAGGGACGGGCAGCAGTGGACCCGGATGAATCCGGAGATGAGCGGCGAGAGCGAGATGCTCAAGCTAGCTTCGTCGGCGCGTGCACTGCTGGCAGATGCCGACGATAGCACGAAGCTAGCGAGCGCGTTGGAAGCTCTCGAGCGGCGCGAAGTAGAGCAGCAACAAGAGGCGCAAGGGCGTCGAAAGGCTGTCCAAGGTCCGCCCAGCGTACAGCAAGAGCTGATCTGGCTTACTGCCTGATCGTCGGACAGAACTCGAGCAGCAGTTGGCGCACCAGCTCCTCTCGACCGCGCGACCTGCTCATTTGCCCTCTGAGAGGGATCAAGAGGCAAAGCTGTCCTCACTGCAATCCACGAACTACACGCTCGGCAAGACGATTGCAGATCTCGAGCAACGATTGGGCAGGAGTCAGGCTGCGCTCGAAAAGCTCAGGTCGGATACGCACGCGCTGCCGAGCCAGATTGGCCGCAATGCCGTCTCACTGGATGACATTGGGCCGGAAGCGTTCGTCAGGGCTACTTGGGTCGTCAGAGCGGTAGCTGATGATATCTACGATGGGCAGACTCCAGCTAAAGCTATATAGGTCCATTGGCTTCACTCTTTTGGCGACAAGGGATGATCCTCGGACGTGGTCGCGAATGCTTCTGCGTAGGTACACGATCCGTCTCACGAGCATGCCGCTGACCGTGTCACGCTCGTGACAGGCTCCGACCGGACACGGCAGACGCACGAGCTCAACCTGAACACGCGCGGGATGTCGTCTGATTATGAGCAGGCACAAGCTATCTGGGACAAGCTATAGCGGCAGCATGCTGCAGGCGATATGATGTTGCGTGTTGTACGATCGCTGTGGATGCAATGCTGTGGCTGTACTCTACATTGGCGACAACTGCTGCAACAACACCTCGGAGAGCTACTCATTTCTTCTTGCCCATCTGACTCTTCTTCCCTTGACCCTTCTTCACCTGGCCCTTGCCTCTCGCCTTCAAGGCTGCTAGATCATCCAACCTGTCGAGTCCAGGTCAGCTCGAGCCCGAGAGTCTCTACTGCAGCCCACCTCGTCTGCTCGTGGAGATCGACCAACTCGAGTTCCGGGAATTTGCGTTGGAAGTAGGACAAGCTGAACTGGGCAGGATAGTACTGCACCATCGCCGGTCCACGCAGGCCGCGCTTCAGGATCTTTGAGCCTGTTCGTAGCCGGAGCGGATTGTAGTTTGTCTGAAAGATCTCTGATTCTGTCATGTAGCCATCGGGCGTCAGCACGGGGCCATCGTCTTGTCAGCACTCGACTGACGCAGCTTCCAGAGCGCCTCAAGACGTGCTGCTGCCGGTCTGGCGCTCATCTCTGCGTCCCCTCAGCTGGCGTCAGTGCGAGTGAAGAGCAAGCAAGCAAGAGGCGATCAGCGCGTCGTCCACTGGCTCACAGCCATCCCCCTCCCATCAGCTCGAGCCGCAACAGAGCCAATGGCAGATCGAGCCATCACACCACCGCCGAGTGGCGTCTACGGTCAGGCACTGAGCCTGACGCCGGAGCAAGTGAGGCAGCGTGAAGCGAACCGGTTGGCAGCCAAGGCCAAGCTGCTCGCCTCCCGACAGTCAGCATCCTCCTCGCTCGCAGCGACCTCGACCGCACTCCGCAACATCAACGGCAAGCGAGCTCTGCATGTCATACCTGCAGACTCGACCAGTCCCACTGCACCCGACGTCTCTCGGTTTGATGGCCCGAGCATTCCGGGAGAGCACGATACCTCAAAGACGGGCAGACTCGCTCGCTCGGGTCACAGTGCGGGAGCCCATCAGGCTTTACAAGATGCGATCACCAACGGTCCATCGACACAGATGGGCGATGCAAGCAGAGGCGGCACACGCTACGCCGTGCCCCGACCGCCCCGACCAGGACCAACAGCAAACCGAGAGGGCAGCGCAGCTTTGACGGGTCCTTTGAGACCTGCGTCCATGGCCTCCCCGGACAAGGAAGCGCCCCTTCCGAAGCATATCGAGCTGAGTAGCTATGTCGAGTACGACTTGTCTACGCTCAAGAACAGCAAGGGCGGCTTTCTCGTCGATGACGAGGAGGAAGACGAGGTCACGCGACGACAGAGAGCACAAGCGGATGCGCACCGCCTCAAACGCCTTCAGGAGAGTGAACGCATGGGTCTCGGTCAGGATCCGGGTAGGCTTTCCGGTCACGTCGCAAGCTCGACCGTGCTAACAAAATGCTGCAGCGCTCTCGACGGATAGCCGTCAAAACTCAAAGTGCAACATCTGCGGAACGATCGAGCTCGACTTTCAGCTCAAGAAGATCTTCGGCGTATCTGTCTGTGCAAAGTGCAAGTATGAGAACCCGGAGCGATACAGCCTGCTTACAAAGACCGAATGCAAAGATGACTACCTCTTGACCGACCGTTCGTACCTGTTCTCATCCCGATGAGCTCGCACTGAATTTATTGCTCCAGCCGAGCTGCGGGACGAAGAATTGCTGCCCCATCTGCTCAAGCCGAATCCTCATCGGAGCAATTACTCCAATATGATGCTCTTCCTGCGCGAGCAAGTCGAGGCCTATGCCTTCAGCGACCGCAAGTGGGGCTCGCCAGAGGCACTCGACAAGGAGTTTGAGAGACGACAGGCGGAGAAGAAGGCCAAGAAGGGCAAGAAGTTTGAGGCCAAGCTGCTCGATCTGAAGAAGAAGACGCGCACGAATGTTTGGCACCGACGAAAGGAAGCAGAGCATGTTCATGATTACACCGGTCCGATCGTCAAGGACGCCGAAGGACAGCAATGGCAGAGGTGCGCGGGAGAAGATTGCGCATTCAAGGTGCAAGTAGAAACTTTCTGACATGCTGCTGGGTCCGCTGCAATTTGTACAGAACACACTCATTGTTGTTTCTACCAACGAGCGAGAAGTCTGTATGGTCACCAGTCTGCATCAGCTAGCCGCCTTCTTCTTCTTTTCGTCGGTGATGTAGATATTGCTGCTCGTCATGCACACGTCAGTCCAACTCGAAGGGGTGGCTTATGACCCACTCTTCCGGTATTCTGCCACCGCCCAGTATGGCAGCAATCTTCGGGCTGGTATCGAGTAGCATCTCTTCGACCTCGTCTGCCACATCGCCCTGGATGACGATCTCGTCCTCGCCTTGGGCATTCTTAGCCACGCTGGCGCCAGTAGCGAATCGATTGGCAAAGAGCTTCGAGGCTTTCTTCAGATCCACCTCTGCACTCTCGCTCGCAATCAGACTCCAGCGCTGAACAGAGGACGCGACGACGACAGACCAAAGACTTCGAGACCGTATACTGCCGTTACGTGCTTTCGTTTCGTTCTCTCTATCCTCTTGATCAGGACTTTAGACGACTGTGCATCTCGTGAGCACTGTTCCTCGCGTTCAGACGGAGAGCGTGCCTGTCGTTGCTTCTGTAATTTCTCATCTTTGGCTTCCGCTTTTGCCTCCTTCTTGGCCGAGTCTTTGTCTAGCGCTTCCCTCTGCTCCAGCGATAGTGCAGAGAGCTTCTCATCCATTGCAGCTGAAGCGCAGGCCTTCAGACGGCTGATTTGCTTGACCTCAAACGACTTACTGTCAGAGTAGTATCGCGCGTAGAGATGCGGATGCTCGTCTTGAAGCCATTGCTTGCATCTGTGATTGCGTCAAGGAGAGCTAGCTTGCTTCCACACAACGCCTACTTGGAGATCCTCGAACCGAACTCGCAGTATTCGGCGGGCAGTGAGCAGACTTTCGTGCGTGATCAGCACGGGCCAAAAGCTCAGCATGCAAAGGGCGCACTGCCGCAGTAGATGACGTTCACTGGCTTGACAAAGGGCGTCGATGGACCCGCTTCTGCTTCTGTCATGCTGTTGACGAGTGCACTCACTTATGAGTTTGAAATGACGAGGCGGTCGCGCAAGAGTTCTTCGTCGACTGCACCAGCAAGCAGGCTGTACTCGCTTTGTACGAGACAGAAGCTGCTTGCGACTGATGACAGACTGTGCGCATCGCATCATCGGTAGTGCGAGCAGTCGCCGAACGATCATGCGAGCCAAATAAGCCGGCAAGCTCGCTTTCTTTCGTGCGATGCATTGTGACATAGCAAGCTCGATACAACCAACACCATTGCATGCTCTCTGACCCTAGAAGTTGTCTTCTCGTCGCTGGACTGCGGTCTGTCACAGTTCGCGACAGCATGAGTGATTTGAGCTAGGTGTAAAGCGAGTAAAGACTGACCTTGACGGCGAGCAGACCGCGACGGACGCTACCGATGAGCTCGCCAAAGTCGAGCGTGAGCAAGCGAAAGGAGGGCGAGACAAAGTAATGACTGTCTGGCAGCAGAAAGTCGTCCAGACGGGTCGGCAGATCGCTCGAGGACACGCTAAACGGGTGTGCCTGGTCATCCCGTGCGGGCATGGCGTCGTGCTGAGCGACAAGCCGGACGGCAGACAAGAAGCGAGTCTGGATGCGATTCCGGATGACGCTGAGCTTGGTCTCTTTGGTCTTGGGNACGATGATGGTGAANCTGACGGCTGGCGTCTTTCGACGCGGCTTTGCGTTTCCGTCAAAGGGGGCCGACCGGTACATGCCATGTTGCGCCGACCAGCGAGCAATCTGCTGTCGTGCGACGCCGTTGCGTGGCGGCAGGACGACTCTCATGTGAAAGTGGACGCATGACCAGACGGCTTCCCTGCCTTGCATCAAGCGAGGATTGGCTTCTTGCGTCACCGAGAACGGTCTCGGCGGCTTCTCTGTCATTCTCGCTTGCTGATCATGACCAGTCGCTCGCGGCCGGGTGTAAGAGACCGTCCTGCCTTTCCACGGAAAGGTCTTGAACTGCGCTGCCGGTCACTCGAGTCGTCTAAGAACGGAAGGCAGTCATCTCACCCTGAGCTTCAGTGCTGCTCTGGTAGGCTGCGCTCGTCGTTCGGAGTCTGGTGGCCTCTCTGCAGCTCTACTGAGAGGAGGTCTTGCTGGTACAAGCTGACGAGCGTTGCTACGGGTCGCCAGTCTGACGCTCATGTGCACATTGCCGCTGGCCGATCAGCGCGGAGACCTGACTGACGAGGGTGCAAAGCAGTTCTGAGAATCGCTTGTCGAGATGGCCGACGTGAGTCAAGGTGGTTGTGGATGTACCGACTTCGCGAGCATCATGCATGACGTGGCGATNACNNTNAATGGACTATATATAACTAAGCAAGATTGTGCCAGTATCTACCTTCATAGTACGAGAGAAGCATGGCATCCCGTCAGATCTGCCCAATTAAGCCTCGTAACGCCCAGTCAGTAATGCGGTGGGGGACCACGCGTGAATCCTGCGGTAAAGTAGATTTTTGCATCTCGTCTGGGCACCACTGCCAGCTGGCTAGCTTTGAGATCTGCTGCGCTTGCTACACCTCGTAATTGNCGGGGCANCACTTCCATCTTTTGACGCGCGTATGTACGTATGCCGCGCCTGCCTTTTTTTAAATCGCTCCAATGTCGGATGTCATACTGACCTTCTGCTCCTTTCCGTCCTTTATCGACACCCCACCGAACGCCTGCAGTCGCAATGACCCACTTCGAAGCGTGCAGACGGTGACTCAGGATGAGGTCCTGCCTCTTCGTAGCTTACCGTCATCGGCTTGACTTTACTTAGCGTTCCCTATCGATATGGCTCGGCCAGAGCTACCGAATGAGCTTGACTTGCGCATCTCTAGGGCGCTCCAACAATACGAGGAACCCATCTCGAGCTTAGCGCTCTGCTGTCAGAAGTTCGAGTCACCGGTCGAGCCTGTCCAATATGAGCATGTCATCGTCACCTCTGCCAGAGAGCCCTATAAGGGGCTGCTTACGCAGCGTGCTCCCCGTCCGAGCCTCTGCGCATACAACAAGAGCACTTTTGTGATCGCAACGCACCACCATAATCCCGGACCACTGCATACCCAATTGCGAGCGGTCATGAAGAGTGCTGTCAATCTGCATGGCCTTGGCTGGATCGCCGATGAGATGCTCCCAAGACTGTCGGCCTGATCCACAAGCTGCCCATCGTACCCTCATTCTCATAAGCTGGCCTTATGCCCCTGGAATCACTCCTAAATTTGGCCGACACTCGAAAAGCTTCACTGGAATGTCACCGAGTAGATGCTCAAGGCTGCACGACCATGATCATCGATAAACCGACGGACAAGCAAATGAAAGCATGTGTGGCATCACTGTCCGCAACTATGACGAAAGTTCGCTTCGTTTCGTCTGGGATTGACACCGGGTCAGTCATATCTTAAGTCTAACGATGCGCATGCTGACTCGGTAGCAGCAGTTCCTGCGCGATTGACCGCTATCACGCCGACCTGACATTCCGCGCTACTCCCTTGGTACATGTCAATAAATCGAAGAAGCAGACAAATTTGTACCCACTTCTTGCACAATATGACGCCTCTTCAAAAAAAGTACAGCTGTATCGCGCTTCCCTCGCAGAGTCGTCTTCGACCATGTCCGTGAACTTCGAAGAGGATTCCGTAAGACTATCACGACGCGACTGATCAACAGCATGACCTCTTCGACCCGCTAATCTCGCCATGTCCGCTGTGTTTCTCATCGTCGAGCTGTAGTGTGCGCTCGACAGAACGAACGCATTATGGAAACCACCGCTTCGTCTCAATATACCTCGTAACAGAGGCAAAGACTACTGTCACTGTGAGCTCTGTAAGATTCCCAATGGCGAAGGCACATTGGTGCAGGTTTGAACTAAGGAAAGGCACACGAAGCGATCGGGACTTCTGGCTGCGAAGGCAGCAGAGCAAGCGCAAGCTGAAGTAGTTTCACGCGCCGAAGCTGCGGAGCAACCATATGGCGGCAATGAAGTGACTGTCGACGACCCGATGCGACAATTAGGCAATGAGACCCGAGCAGCGACCAAGTCAAAGCCGCGCAAAGCGAGATGCAATCATGTGTCCATCGACTATCTTAGCGGGAGTACTGCCGGGGGACAAACGAGCGTTTGCGGTCGAAGCCTTTTGCACAACTGATCAGCACAAAGCTATCGCTGTGCGCAGGGTGTCTGAACGCCTGGCTTGCAGCTGACATCGAGTATTCCGTGCTTAGCGAGCCTTTCAGAATTTTATCGAGGCGATGGCGCGGGACAAGGCATCTGATTCTTTGCCTCATCCCTGGTCGTCAGAGGAGCTTGCGCGCATGTTGCTTCTCCACTCAGCCTTGCCTGAAGATCTAATGATCGACCACGGCCAAGTCACACAGCCCCTAATCTTCGCGTCTCGGCGCTTGAGCGAAGCAAATCGCGCTTCCGCCGCCGCAAACGCCTCACGCTGGGGCATCGAGCGCTTCTGCATCGTTCACGACTGTCATATTCATGATACCGCGAGTCAGCTCATCTTTCTGTACAATCACACGCTCTTCAGAGCAGCCGTCCAACTCGGCCATGTTTCTGGCATCACAGCCATTGAAGCAGATCTGGATCAGAACGTCTACCTGGCCATATGTTCGCGATACCGGTCGTCCATGAGGCAGCAATATATTGTGCAGTGCAAGAACCCGAATGAGCATTGCGTCAGATGGTCAATTTGCAGAATCGTTATAAAGCGCTCGGGATCCAAAGAAGAGTCGCTTTGATGACCGAATATGGCTGTCAACAAGAGGCTATCGACTCTGTTTCCTCATGTCCGGACTTCAACTTTGACACAGAGGATATAGGTCCAAATAGGAAGAGGCGATTGCATGTCTCAAGTCGAGAAGAGTCAGCAATTGACTTTGGAGATATTATCACTCTGCTCCTCGAAGACCAGGACAAAGATCGTACTAACGGTCCAGCCCGAGCCAAGCGCATCCGGGATCCGCATAGTCGAGTCAAGACGGACAGAATTGCGCTCCGGATGCTCGCAATTACTACGACGGCGTTGGATCCAAATTCTAGCACCTGTGCAGGTAGCGCGCCTCGAGATGCAAACTCGACTCATGCCTGCTACTGCAGCTGGTTGGGTCTCGGCAGCCTTGCATGCCAGGATCAATTTACTACAGCAGAAGAATTCGGCAAAGTCATTGCAATCGATTCAAAACAGACTGATCATCTAACAACGTCCTTGGTAAACACGATGCCACCCAGCATGGCTGGCGAACGTGCGCGTTTTTATGCTGTGTACTCATTGAAGCGACCGTCGGCGACGGGTCGCTGAAGATCTTGTACAGTCGCTCAGCGACGACGAAAGCCAATTGGAAGAATTGTCGAGCGACTACGTGATGCTGCCTTCGATTGGCGTTCAAGGAGTTTCTTAAGGCATTGATAGCACCAGAAGTTTGCCGATGTCCAATCAGTCTACGATATCGCACCGCAAGGCAACGTAAAGGCTTAGGAGGAGGTAGAGCTTTGCACCCGTAAAGCACACAAGAGATGTTCACATATACCCTAATACCCGTTTCCAATAATGTAGTACCTTTTATCGCGCCTGGTATTGAAGGCTGCATGCATCCTTATAGTCAATCTGGGTCCATTGCGGATGGTTCATGCTAGTGTATCATTGTGTGTCGAGATTTGGGCGTGGTCAGCGGCAGAAGGTCAGTATGACATCCGACATTGGAGCGATTTAAAAAAAGGCAGGCGCGGCATACGTACATACGCGCGTCAAAAGATGGAAGTGNTGCCCCGNCAATTACGAGGTGTAGCAAGCGCAGCAGATCTCAAAGCTAGCCAGCTGGCAGTGGTGCCCAGACGAGATGCAAAAATCTACTTTACCGCAGGATTCACGCGTGGTCCCCCACCGCATTACTGACTGGGCGTTACGAGGCTTAATTGGGCAGATCTGACGGGATGCCATGCTTCTCTCGTACTATGAAGGTAGATACTGGCACAATCTTGCTTAGTTATATATAGTCCATTNANNGTNATCGCCACGTCATGCATGATGCTCGCGAAGTCGGTACATCCACNACCACCTTGACTCACGTCGGCCATCTCGACAAGCGATTCTCAGAACTGCTTTGCANCCTCGTCANTCAGGTCTCCGCGCTGANCGGCCAGCGGCAATGTGCACATGAGCGTCAGACTGGCGACCCGTAGCAACGCTCGTCAGCTTGNACCAGCAAGACCTCCTCTCAGTAGAGCTGCAGAGAGGCCACCAGACTCCGAACGACGAGCGCAGCCTACCAGAGCAGCACTNAAGCTCAGGGTGAGNTGANTGCCTTCCGTTCTTAGACGACTCGAGTGACCGGCAGCGCAGTTCAAGACCTTTCCGTGGAAAGGCAGGACGGTCTCTTACACCCGGCCGCGAGCGNCTGGTCATGATCAGCAAGCGAGAATGACAGAGAAGCCGCCGAGACCGTTCTCGGTGACGCAAGAAGCCAATCCTCGCNTGATGCAAGGCAGGGAAGCCGTCTGGTCATGCNTCCACTTTCACATGAGAGTCGTCCTGCCGCCACGCAACGGCGTCGCACGACAGCAGATTGCTCGCTGGTCGGCGCAACATGGCATGTACCGGTCGGCCCCCTTTGACGGAAACGCAAAGCCGCGTCGAAAGACGCCAGCCGTCAGNTTCACCATCATCGTNCCCAAGACCAAAGAGACCAAGCTCAGCGTCATCCGGAATCGCATCCAGACTCGCTTCTTGTCTGCCGTCCGGCTTGTCGCTCAGCACGACGCCATGCCCGCACGGGATGACCAGGCACACCCGTTTAGCGTGTCCTCGAGCGATCTGCCGACCCGTCTGGACGACTTTCTGCTGCCAGACAGTCATTACTTTGTCTCGCCCTCCTTTCGCTTGCTCACGCTCGACTTTGGCGAGCTCATCGGTAGCGTCCGTCGCGGTCTGCTCGCCGTCAAGGTCAGTCTTNACTCGCTTTACACCTNGCTCAANTCACTCATGCTGTCGCGAANTGTGACAGACCNCAGTCCAGCGACGAGAAGACAACTTCTAGGGTCAGANAGCATGCAATGNTGTTGGTTGTATCGAGCTTGCTATGTCACAATGCATCGCACGAAAGNAAGCGAGCTTGCCGGCTTATTTGGCTCGCATGATCGTTCGGCGACTGCTCGCACTACCGATGATGCGATGCGCACAGTCTGTCATCAGTCGCAAGCAGCTTCTGTCTCGTACAAAGCGAGTNCAGCCTGCTTGCTGGTGCAGTCGACGAAGCCGCAAAATTTCTTCGCGCTGTTTATATTGACACCCCGCCGAATTTGCCGAAGCGAGCGCTATGAGCTCTGACAATAGCTCTGGCATTGACGATAGCGGCAGCGGCATCAGTGACGATGATCTGGAAGCAGTCGGCGCAACGAGAGCCTCCGCGAGCGATCAAGATCTCGCGAATGCGCCTCGGTAAATCAGCTATCGACCCTGATGATTCGCATAGTGCTCACGTTCGAGCAGCTCAGGCTTTCAATCGAAGCTTGTCGGCGCCGATAGCTTGTACAGTGCAGAGACCGAAGCACTTGCAAACCTTGACGATGATGAAGACTTGGAGCTCATGGTCGTTCGAGTGCCTGACTCTGTGAGCTCCATTCGAATCAAGCTGGCAGAACGATGCTCATCGAGAGGCTGCACAGTTTGACATACATGCGCTTGAAGGGGTAGAGATTGGCTTGCCGAGCTCGAGCGAACGGAAGAGAGACAAGCGCCGCAAGCTCGGTCAGTGTACGCAGGCAGGCGAAAGCTACGACTTGGCTCTCGTTCATCATGCTGGTCAAACACAACCGCAAGCGAGCGCAGAGGATATGCTACACCTGACGCCATTGGTTCCGTCGCTCACGAACGGATCAAAGACACGTCTACGGATGTCCAGCAAGCCTGTTGCATATGGTATCATTGTAGAGCCCTCCCTAGACTCGCCGCCTGTGGCCTTACCAAAGGCGCCAGGTCGACACCACAAGCGACATGCACAGCCAGAGTCCTTACCGGGACTTTTTGATAGACGAGAAAGCAACGCGAACCAGCTCAAGGTGCAAGAGGCATGGTCGCCCACTTATCACTCCCAAACGGGTGGTGACGTCCTCAATACGCATAGCGATCGGCAGCATCAGAGCGCACTGAAGACATAAGACAAGGCCGATGAACCCTACTGTACGACTTGCGTGTTGTTGATATCAAGTTGCATGGAGCATATTGCGATTGCGAGCGCTACAAGAGTTCAAGCACTAGTCCGGCTGCGATCGTCTCTCCATTCCTTCGCAAGAGGAAGCGACCCAGGCCGCGATTGGTGGCGTAAGTCTCTATGGGTATTGCTGACGAGCTACTGCCGTCGCCTCGGATGCGTATGCTCACCTTCGCGGAAGATCCGCTGCCGAGCGTCCTTGGTCTCACTTTCAGAATCTCGCCGCTTGCTTTGTCGAGGGTCGCTTCGAGTTTCGCAACCGACGCAGGTATCTCGCGGCTCTGGTGAAAGAGCTCGACCGATGCGCCCGTCGTGATCGGCACCTTCAGATCGAACACGACGATCTGTGCAAGAAAAGAAGCCGACATCGGTACTAGCGACAAAGGCGGACACAGGACACTTCCGACGCTATCGTCCCAATGTCAGCAATCTCACATCACACCCAAGTGAAGACTGACTTGACATAGATTTGGTCGAGTCCAGAGAGATACACTGTTACGTTCATGCCGGCTGCGGCCCAGCTGCTCGTCTCTCCGTCGACTTCGATAGCTGGACAAGCATGCACGTCAGCTCTCGCTTGCCGAAACGGCGGACAGCAGCTCGTACCCCTGACGATGCCCGTCTGATCACCGGGAAGCGCTGCCAATTCGTCACCGACCCGTACTAGTCCGCTCTCGAGACGACCAGAGACGCCAAGGCCGGATGGACCACTACTTTGCCCACGAAAAGCGTTGGAGACTGGCAATCGTAAGGGACCGTCGTAGTCGCGCGAGGGCGTATCGAGACGGTCGAGCTGCTGCACCAGAGTCGGCCCGGCATACCATGCTTTGAGGAGATCGTCTTTCCGATCTAGCAAATTCTCGCCTGAGGTGGCACCGCAGGGTGCAAACGAGATCTTGCTCGTCTTGAAGCCAAGCTTTGTAAGAAAAGGCTGCATTTGCTCGACGATATCGTTGTAGCGCCTTTGCGACCAGCGGACCTGTCGACACCTATCAGTATGGTGGTCCGAAGGAATTATGATGCAGCACGAACCATGTCAAGCTTATTGATTGCTACGACGAGCTGTTGCACGCCCAGACTTCGAACAAGCAGCGCGTGCTCGCGCGTTTGGCCGCCTTCATTGAACCCAGATTCAAAGCCGCCGCTCGAAGCGTCGACGACAAGGATGGCTGCATCCGCTTGAGAAGCACCGCCAATCATGTTCGGAATGAAATCTCGATGGCCAGGTGCGTCGATCAGGGTGAACTGTCGCTTTTTCGTCCGGAAGGTGTCCAGTGCGATGTCTATGGTGACTCCTCTTCGGACAACTGATGAGTGTGGATGGGCTGGCAGGACTATGTGCTCACCTTTCCCGCTCTTCGGGCATCTGGTCAAATGTCCAAGCATACGCAAAGCTTCCCTTTCCTGCCTTTGCACTTTGCCGTTGGTTTGCCTCCAATGCCCGATCAGAAGTATGACCCAATTCGTACAGTAGTCTTCCCATGAGGGTTGACTTGCCTGCATCCACGTGTCCGACGACGACGAGGCTGATACGAGCTTGTTGGGCCTTGTCTTGCTGCGAGAGCAACTTCAGGATTTGTTCCCTGCTCTGAGCAGGCATCTCTGGTTTGGACGGTGCGTCAGACGTGGCTGTCTGCAAGCCCAATGCGCGCAGATCCGTAGCCAGTGTCGCATCCTCCTCGACTCGTTTGCTGGAAGGGACAGCAGTGCCTTTGGCCGCTGACTTGTTCGCCTTGGGCGTTGCCGCTTTACTGATTTGCACAGGTGCAGCAGCTGCTACTTTGCGAGCTTGCTCCGCTGCAGATCATAGTGCATGTCAGTGGTGAAGCCAGAACTACCCGACGAAGCCACAGACATCGGAAGGGGAAACTATGTACGCGACTTGAGAGGAGCATGTGAGCCAAGTGCAGTGCCTTTACGGGCGCGTGCGACGAGATCATCCGGTGATGGACCAGCAAAGGCATCGCGCACGTGAGGCGTCTGCATACTCATCGCCACATTGGATCGTGAAGCGCCCGACGAAGGAGCACCAGCTGCTGACATGACGCTGCCGAAGCCTGTGTGCCGATCAGAGGCAGAGCGAGCGACGAAGATCGCAGACGGCTCCGGGATGATGTAGATTTCCTCCAGTGGCGCAGCTGTCTGTGCGGCGCGCGTCTTCGCGGCTTGCAGAGCAGATTTAGCGGGGACTATGCCGGTACCGCCACGTCGATGAGAGGACTGCATTTTGAGTTGCAGCTTCGATAGCTTCGCTGGCGGTGCCCCAGATGCAATGCTCTCCATCGGCGGTGATGCGAGCGACAGCGCTCCGGCACGTTCTGATAAATCGGAGGGATCGCCAATGTCTGGACACGACGACACTCAATATTGTGGTCGAGCGCGGGAGTGGGATGGGAAGGAGGAGAAGGGAAAGAGTGCCTGACCTTTACGCTTGCGTTCTGCTGCAGCCTGCGCTTTGCTCTCCTCGTCTGCGACGCGGTTTGAGCCAGCGTGCTTTGCAAAATTGAGGCCTACTTACCAAGCAGGAAATCTGTGGCTTGGTCGACGTCAAAGTAGAAGTTCCATAGAGCTTCTCTAATTCGCTTGTCCGAGATCTGCGAGCTGGTCGGGCCTAGTATCGCTTGTATGGACTGCAGTCCAGCCTCCAATTGGCCTGCGTCGTCACGTCAGCAGGCGAAAGAGAAGACGACGCGACACAGACGAGATTGAGCAGGCGTTATATCGACTGCAGGCGAAGGTCAATGACACGCTCAGCTTGCTGCATGCAAAGGAACGCACCGAAAGCATCGTCGGCGTCGCCATAGTCTGCGCCGTCGTCGAGCTCCTCTAGCAAGCGCGCATGAGCGCCGACATGTGCTTCAGTATCGAGCTTACCATCCAGATCGAGCTGCTTGACCAGCCTATGCCTTGACATGAGGCCGACTGAAGATGCGCTGTGACCGGGGCAGTCGCAATTATGCGCCAAGTCGATCTCAGTAAATGCCCTAAATGACGTTGCGCCGCGTTGGCTCGCTCCGTTTTTCGCCAGGCCGAAGCAGCTTCACTCACCTCTGACAGTAGCTCATCACAATATCAAATATGTCTTCGCCATCAGCTCGTAAGTGTTGGACGGCCACCCACGAGAGCTCGACTGACCATTGTGTCGATCTTGCTCTCCCTCTCCACTTTGTTGTGTCTACCTCTCCCTGGGTCACGCTCTCCGTCACTGTCTCCTGATCGCCCGCTGCCGCTCGTCTCACAGTCCTCACTACGTAAGCCTCGCTGCTGGCTCTGTCCGAGCGCGAACTGATCGTTGCTTTGCTCTGCCTTGCTTCACCGTCTCCGCTGACCTCAACGAACGTGTCCTCCTCACCTGCCTCGATCTGGCCATGACACTCAACAGGCACGTTCACAGCAACCAGATTCAGGTGCTGTCAGTCGCAAGACTCGCCATCGGTGGTGTTGCTTTCTTTGCACCCGCATTTTTCACCCAGAGGTAAGCTCTTACGCCCACGTCACTTCACCGCCTTTCCTGATGCTGACGCTCTCCTCGTCCACTCAGATTCTTTGGCTTCACCCAGCGAACGAGCTCTGGCTCTTCCGCGACCGCCTCGACTACATCTACCAAGGCCGGCTCGCCCGAGGAGACTACCCTCGCAATCCGCCTCTTTGCCACTCGTGAGGTCGTCTTCGGTCTCTTGCTCCGTGACTCGTCCTCCTCGGTCGTCGAGCGCGCCCTCCAAGTCGGTCTGATCAACTCTGTTCTCGACATTGGCGCGACCGTCTTTGGCTTCGTCGAGGGAAACCTGTCGCGCGAGATTGCCGTAAGTAGTGGTCGCGCAATCGATTCTTGCACGCTGACATGCGGGCTCCAGACCGCCGTCGGAGGCTTCGCTGCTCTCTCGGCGCTCTTCCAGGCATACATCCTCAACCGATAGATGTCTGATCGTGACGCAAGGAGCACTCGATCGAATTAAAGTCGTGTCGACCCCGGGCGCAATGTCTTATTGAATGCAACACGAAGCTGTTCCGCACTATCACTCGCGAGCATACATTCTGACCATTGCGCAAACACTCGCACGAGCCCCCCTTTCCTTCGCATTCGCGCGTTCCGCTGAGCCGCGCATTGATTCCTCGATCCTGCGCACTGGCCTGCTTTGACTTCATCTCATCTTCTCTCTGTCGTCAATGCAAAAGTTCTGCTGACCGATCTTCACAGGAATGACCGAGCGGCAGGGACGGCGATGGCTCATCTACCCTCGTCCGCCCACTGCGCAGGACTCAGATTAGCAGATGTATCAAGATATCTAGATCAGCCTGCCCTTCCAAACAACCTACGATGGACGCTCAGACACAGCTTGCCCAAGAGTTTGATTGGGCCGCAACAGTCAAGAGCGATGAAACCAGCGAGCACGACTTCCAGCACGACTGTTTCTACCAAAGCCCAAGTTCATCGGCGGCGTCACTCTTCAGCTCTTATACGCCCGATTCGTGGACGGACTCCCTTTCATACATCGACACCGACCAAGCGGTCATCACCCATGGACACGACATGCCCGTATACTGCCCTCTGCCGCCTCATGTTCCGGTGATCGTTGCGCAGCCATCATCGCCGTCTGGCGTGCCGGTCTGCCCGCCAGCTGGTCACTTTGCGAACAATGACAACAGGACGATCAGTCTCGGCCTCAATCGATCAGCGAATGGCACCTTTTTCCATCGTCCTGGCAGCCACCAGCCTGCAGCAAAACAACGCGCACACGTACATGCAATCTTGCAGAAGCCAGCCACATTCAAGGACAAGCCAAAGTCGCGAGACGATCAGTACTCGAAGCGATACCGAAAGAAGACCCCGCCTGATCAATGCCATGTTTGCTGTGCGCCTGACTCACCGGAATGGCGAAGGGGCCCGAGCGGTCTCCGAACGCTCTGCAATGCGTGCGTCTACATGAGACTCGTAAGACTGGCAAGTGCTCATCCATGCTGCTTCAGATGCGGTCTTGTGGCCGGCAAGATACCGCTACCAGACGCAAAGTCGATCAAAGAAGTTCTTTCGCAGCTCGAAGCGGTCGGACGGGCACGCTTTCGCACGGCAAAGTACGAATTACCGCAGGGCGCAGAGGCGCGTGCGCAGAGCAGCTGGTCTCCCGGATGGAAAGTGCCGGGCGCATACTATCAGACTTCGTCGAGACAGGATGCACGAGGACTGGGCGGCAGTCCGCTGTCGAGTTGGTCCTTCGCGCCACCGACAATGTATGCGGCACGCCTGCCGACGCTGCCCATGAGGACGTCAGTCTCGCCGGCACCGGATCCCCAGATGCTGTCGTTGCTTGATCAGCTGAGAGACTCACATGTACAGCAAGATGCCGCAGAACGCGTGCCCGACGATGAGGAGCCTTCGAGCTCTGGCATGACCTCGTTTGCTGCACACCTCGAGCAGCAGCATCCGTGATCACGAGAGAATGTTGGGATTTGTACTACCAACCGATGTGTACCGTTTTGGGTCGGTCTAATTGCAAAGGGCGCTTCACATGCAGCTTTTTGAACTTTTGGCTTTTGAAGCGTGCAATCCAAGCACTTTGTTGCACAACAGGTCAGGTCGCTGCGAGCAAACAGACAGTGCTCGTCTACTCCTCCGCGTCATCCTCGGGCGGTGTCTGGAAGTACTTGAGCGTGTAGGTGTTCTTGTTGGTCGCGACGACTCGGAGCCACTCTCGCAAGCTGTTCTTCTTGAGATACTTCTTTGTCAGCATCTTCAGGTATCGCTTCGACTGGTCTCTCCCCATCAGCATGTGCTCGTCCAAGCGAGGACGAGAAGACCTACAAAGGCAATGTTGGCAGTGATGACAATCTTTGTTTCACCCTCACGAGCGATCTTGATCTTTTCGCCTAGCTGACCTGTCCGTCCGTCGACCTTGATGCGGTCGTGCAGGACTGCCCGCAGCATCGTTCATGAGCGCAATGCGAAGCACATGTCAGGCGAGCGTACACTTTTCAAACGCAGCGCCATCGAAGATCTTGTCGTTGGCTGGCTTGGAGAAATCGATGGTGAACTTCTGTGCCTTTGCACCGTGCGCCGACGCGGACTTGGGCTATCAACAGCACACCGCGATGAGCTTGATCATTCTGTGGTGCGGCCGGCCTAGCTTACAGCAGCGACCATTTTGGAGGGAAACCTGAGCTGAGGGTTGGACAGGCAATCGCGACAAGGCGTGGCTTGCTATGATAATATTGACGGTACCGTGAGAGATCATCCGACGGCCAAATCCTCCTGCCAAAGTGAAAGGCACAGATTGTGCGCAGAGATGTCGTCCAGTGCAGCGCAAGGGGCGGCTATTGCGGCAGCACAAGAGGCTGGCGCGTTTCAGATCTCTCCAGAGTCAGGGCCACCGAAGCTGCAGACGTCAGACTGGCCGCTGCTCCTGAAGAATTATGACAAGTCGGTAGTCTCTGCTTGGCACAGCGTCTGTGGGCTCAGTAGATCCGCCTGCAGACTGCTCGTACGGTCAGCGCACTTCACGCCCATACCCAGCGGATCCTCGCCCCTCAAGCGAGACCTTGCGTCTTACATCCAGTCGGTGACCGTGTCGTTGCAGCCCAAAAAGAGCTCACCCGGTGGTGGATGGCTTGGCAGGAGCGGCGTCATCAATCTTGACAAGCCATCGAACCCGTCGTCCCACGAGGTCGTAGCGTGGATCAGGCGTATCCTCCGTTGCGAGAAGACAGGCCACTCTGGCACGCTTGACCCCAAAGTGACCGGCTGCTTGACCGTCTGCATCGATCGTGCGACCCGTCTGGTCAAGTCCCAGCAAGGCGCAGGCAAGGAGTACGTCTGCGTCCTCCGACTTCACGACTCTCTCCAGTCCGAAAAGGCACTCTCTCGAGCGCTCGAGACACTGACAGGCGCGCTCTTTCAACGACCCCCTCTCATCTCTGCCGTCAAGCGTCAGCTGCGGATACGTACGATCTACGAGATCAAGCTGCTCGAATTTGACAATGCCCGCCATCTCGGTGTCTTCTGGGTCTCTTGCGAGGCTGGCACCTACATTCGAACGCTCTGTGTCCATCTGGGTCTCTTGCTCGGCGTGGGCGGTCACATGCAAGAGCTGCGCAGAGTCCGCTCCGGTGCGATGAGCGAAGCCGATGACATGGTCACCATGCACGATGTTCTCGACGCTCAGTGGCTATACGACAACACGCGCGATGGTGAGCTTCTTGCTGGCAGGCATGACACGAGCTAATCGTTGGCGCAGAGAGCTACCTTCGACGAGTGATAAGACCCCTCGAGAGTCTGCTGACGACTTACAAGCGCATCGTCGTCAAAGACTCTGCAGTAGCAGCCTTGACCTACGGCGCCCAGTTGATGTTGCCCGGCGTGCTCCGCTACGAAGCAGGCATCGAACTGCACGAAGAGATCGTGCTGATGACAACGAAAGGCGAAGCGATCTGCTTGGCCTATGCCCGCATGACCACCGTCGAGCTCTCCACCTGTGATCACGGCGTGGTAGCCAAGATCAAGCGAGTCATCATGTCCAGAGATACCTACCCTCGCGCATGGGGCCTAGGGCCTAAAGCGCAAGAGAAGAAGAAGATGATCCAGACGGGCGAGCTCGACAAGCACGGCCGCAAGAATGAGAACACGCCTGCGACGTGGACGAAGGAATACACGGACTATACCATCCAAGGCGAAGGAGCTGCACTCGAGGCTACGATCCCTGCCCAAGCCGAGGCATCCACATCGGCTCCAACGGCAGATGTCACCATGGAAGAGTCGCCCAAGAAGTCAAAGAAGCGCAAGACGGAGGATGGTTCTGCACTGGCCAATGGCGATGCCGAACCTGCAGAGGAAGATGAGCAAGCGCGTAAGGAGCGCAAGAGAGCCAAGAAGGAAGCAAAGGCAGCTGCCGCTGCTGCCGCTGCTGCTGCTGAGTCTGGCGATGCTACAGCGGACGTCTCGATGGTATCCGAGGTATGCGCTCCAGCTCTTCCTTGTCCTAGCGACTCTGATCTCTGGAAGCAGTCTTCGGGGAAGAAGAAGAAAAAGGACAAAAAGGCAAAGGTGGCAGATGCGTAGCTTGAGCGGCGAGTGTAACAGCTTGTACAGTACTGCATGATTGCTCTTACAACTTCTTCTATGATGATGATGATGATGACGACAACAAGGGCGTGTTCTCGGTGTTCTCCTCCTGATCTGCTCGCACGTCGGGCAAGATATCCGTCCGGGTATCGGCGACCTTGTCGTGAAGCAGACCGGATTGCGCATCCGTGTAGAGCAAGTAGTGCTGGACAAGAAAGACAGAGTCAAAGGCGAGCGAGAGGAGCGCCAAGCCCAGTTTGCCCGGATTTCCCGTGATGGCTGACCAGTCATCGTTCCTGCCTGCATCTAGTACTAGCTGCGCAAGTGAGAGCACTCCACCGGCCACATCCTGCTCATCTTGGATGAGTCGAGCGTTTGCACGCTGACCGATAAGGATTCACCATGAGGATGTTATCGATCGACCAGCCTACGGTAGACTGTCGCTGCCAGTTCATGTACGCTTGCGGTACATATTTCGAGAAGCTGACGTAGAGCTTGATGTCGGCAAGCGTGTTCATCAAGTCTAGCGGGCTGAACTTGTGTGCAGCGGCAAGAAAGGCGAGGAAAGCGATAAAGGACAGCAAGACAGCGCAGACGAGCCGATGGAACGTCGACAGTCTCTGCCCGCCATCACGATGGTAGATGTACGTCTGCAGCCAGATGATGATGGAAGCCAGCACGGCATGGGCGCCGAAAGCGACGTCGTTCCAAGCGACTTGTGGCAGATGGCCATCATGTCGGTCTGCATACTCTTTCCTCACAACGGGCGAAGCATAGAGAACCGTACTGAACACAAAGTAGCACGAATGGCCGATGGGATTGATGGTCGCAAAGTCGATGCTGAGACCAGAGACGCTGGAGGCAGACCATCAGCCTCGTCAGCATCGGACGACTGTCTCGAGCGAGAGAGCGCCGCACGAGTGTCGGCGCCAGTTCATGATCATCTGCGGGTAGAAGCTGAGACTCCATATGACGGTATAGCTGACGCCCAAGGCGCTCGACAAGACCGCAAGACCATCGAACATCGGACACCGAATGACGCCCTTGCCCGGCTTGGCTTGGCTCGGCTTGTCGCGCGACCTTTGGCAAAGTCAAAAAGTGTTTGGCGTCGGGTGGTGCAGCCTGCGCTCGTGACGATGTCGCTGGCGAGGACGATCAAGCACTTCAGAGCGGTCGGCTTCAGGGAATGGTTCCACCAGATGATGACCATCGGAGACGCCAAGAGTGGCAAGCTAGCAGGCATCGATCAGTCCGTCCGCCCTCTCCCCTCAGCCTGCATCATGCTGACAGGTGTTGCGGTTCCCACCAGGTTCGGCAACAAGTACTATGAGAACACCGAGGACGAAGTGCCGGGAAGGCATCGATGGGTGGACTACTCAGCCGTACGTGGCCTCGCCCGTCAAAGTGGTAGACAGGCCGATGAAGCCTCATGGCTCGCAGTATGACTTCAATGGCAGCCAAGTGCCCCCAGAGTGGCACTCATGGCTCAACCACATCCGTACACTACCGCCAGATCGCGATCCCGTCGTCATTGCTTCACGGCAAGCATGGCAAACGGCAAGCTCTCCCGCCTGCTTCTGCCATCACGCGCGCTTATTCGTCTGCGGGCAGGAGCATTTCGAGAACCTGACGGGCACTAGAGGGGCTTACAAGCCATACAGCTCGACGGGGCCCAAGATCATCGCATGGCAAGTCTCCTCTCCGAGGTCGAGCGACGAAGTTCACTGACGCGACGCAATGTCAGGAAGCCCGAAGTCGCCAAGCGGAAGTAGCCATGTGTGCAATTTTGCAGTCTATGTTGCGTCTAGTAGACCTCTAGCACGTAGCGCTCGTCCTCCTTGAGCTCTTCGATATAGGCCTGTGCCTCCTCGAGTGACTTGCCCTTTGTCACCAGCGCGTTGCACAGCGCTTCATAAACATCGGGTACGGGCCTATCGACGCGTCAGCGCGGCCTACGGTGATAGGGAGTGGGGTGAACAACTTACCATGTCGGACCGCAGAGAGTGAAGAGCGCCTTCTTGTTGACCAAGAGATCCGCGATCTGCGAGCCATCTTCGACCATCTTGTGCTGGATGTAGACCTTCTTGCTCGTATCGCGAGAGAACGCCAATCCGAGCCGGGTGACGACGCCATCCTGCAAGTAGGCCTCGAGTTCCTCGCTACAAAGTCGCATAAGTAGGCGAGCAGTGCTGGGAAGAGGATGACTTGCCCGTATAGATATTCCTTGCCGCGATACCGGGAGCCAAAGTAGTACAGCAGCTCGCCGACCTCGATACCTTGGGACTTCTGCCATGCTCGCTCTTGAATGAAGGCACGGAAAGGTGCAGCTCTGCAAGTCACGTCAGCACGACAGCACAGATGGTAGCTCGCGACGTACCCTGTACCGAGGCCGGCCATGATGATGGGCTGGGTGTCGAGAGGCGGGAGCTGCAAAGCATTCGTTCCCTATCAGCATGCGTCGGAGGTCAGATGCTTGGGCTTGCCTTCATCACGGATGGCTTGACGGAGACCATGACCTTGGCGCCTACGGGTAGAGCAGCGAGGTAGCGCGTGCATTGCCCGTACCGCGTGACGCCTTTGGGAGTGGCCCAGTCGACAGTGACGACGAGCAGATGTACTGACTCGCCAACAAAGTTCTGGCTGCTCGCAATACTGTAATGACGAGGCTTGATGGGCGAGACTTCGCGAAGCAGATCGATCAGGCCGACGTTCTTCATCGCGCTCGGAAACGCTTTGAGAACATCGGCGTAGGTCACAGTCTCGAGCTCTGACCATTTTTTGAATGTCGACGAGCCCTCGGCCGACGCAATGAAGCGCAAGTGACGAGCCTCAGCAAGGTCGGATGCCTTAGTTGACAGCGCCTCATAGAACGACTTGGGCGGCTTGCCGAAGATGTCCAAGTTTTGCATGAATGCTTGGTAGACAGTGCGTTGCTCGACTGTGCCCGGCTTGGTCGCGCTCGGGCAATCGACAATCTGATCAGGATTGAGATTATACCACTCAAGAAACTCGGCCACTTCGTCCGGATCATTCCAGCCGTGCACGCCCAGAGCTTCGCCAACGGCGTATTTGAGACCTGTTCCTTTGGTCGAAAACTCAATGTGGAAGACATTGCGATCATAGTCGAGCGGTGTGAGTCGTCTGTTTTCCGTGACGGTCAGCAAGAAGTTGTCTTCCGACAGATCGGGTCGCTCGCTCTTGACGGTCTGATATAGCTCTGGGAAGATGAGTCGCTTGGCAGCTTCGCGCGGCTTGATCTGCGACTCCGGCTGAGGCTCGGGAAAGACGCGAGCTGAGCTAGGCTCGAACGAGTCGACACTCAGACGGCCTGGCAGCGGGGCTAGAGACTCTGGCGATGCCTGGTCCACTTCGGCAGGAGCAGCAGGCTGTCCTTCACCTTCCTTGGGGAGCTCGATGAGCTGTATGCCATCGCGTACGCTTTGTACGAGCTGCTCTACGTCGCCATCGACACGCAGAGACCGCAATAGCTGAGCTACGCTCGACGTGACGTTGGCACCTGCATCTGCCTTGTGACCTCCTGGAGCGCGCAGGAACATGATCCAGAAAGCAGCATATGCGACATGAACGGCATGTGCGCCGAGTGACTTTGCGATACCATCGACATGAAGGCTCCAGAGACTGCCAGTGGGCCGATCGGCCAGCTTGGACTTGTTGAAATTGTTGAGCTTCTCTCTGAAGTCGTCAGCGCTCCATGAGCTGCAGCAAAGGACCTGTGTATGGGGTCCTACTTGCTCAAAAGCAGAATAAGTGCCCAATATAGACTGAGGCGAAGCAAGCATGACGAAGGATGGAGGAGTCGAATCAGCGACTGCGTCGAGCGGATGAGAAATCACGTCGCCAGGCTGCCATTTGCTGATGGCCTGACCGCCAGGAGACAGAAGCATCTGAGCATTCGATACACCCCGCCCGGCTTCCTTGCCTGCAAAGCGATCGATGCCCTGCACGAGACGAGCATTCATGCCCTCATCATGCACACTCTGTGCGAGCATGCGGGGCAGAGCAGCCAGAGGTCCAGCGTCAGTATCCCAGAATGTGATGAGCTTGGTCGCGCCGACGTGGGCTGATGAGGGAACTGCGGCGAGCGAAGCGAGGCCAACTTTGACCTTTGTGAGCTCGTCGAAAGCGATATTAGGCGTTCCAGCGCTGGCTAGAGTGGCCAGCAGACTTGCATAAATTGCCAAAGTAGGTCTTTCTGTAGCGCCAAGCACGAGAGGCTGAATCGACGGTGCAGATCCTTTGCTGCTGCCGGCATGAGGCAGCAAGCTCGATAATTCGCGAAGCAGCCACTGGTCGTCTCTACCGGACGAGATGACATGCACTACGCGTGCTCTCGCAAAAGGTAAATCTTTCAAGGCAGCTATCGGCCAGGGTCGGATCTGAGCAACAACGAAGACGCCGAGCTTCATCTGTACGGATGACTGCTGTGCCGAGTACCACGCTCCAATCGCAAGTGCACTGTCGAGCGATGACGGCAAGACGAGCACAGTCTCTGGCTCCTGCGGGCCAATATAATTCGTAGCAGCTGGCGTTGCGACGCCTGGTCCGGTGGGCAGCTGGTAATGACCCCATTCGCGAGCAGCAGAGAGTGCCTCGATGATGTGAATGACATCTTTGCCCTCTGCTAGGAGCTTCTCATTGGCAGCAGCATCGAGCAAGAGCTCGCTAGCACCTTGTCCACTGCCGCCACTGAATCTGATCTCGAACTCTTCGTCCGAGCCCGAGTCGAAGAGATGCTGTATAGCACGACCAATAGCATCGGCGCCAGTCGTCAAAGCCAGCGTACCTGACTGAAGGCCAGGCGCTGCCGCTAAAATGATGAGAGAGAGTCGGGGACGGTGGTGAAGTTGATCGAGCGAGGTCAGAGCAGGCACGAGGAGCTCAAATGCAGCCGGGCTCGCAATGATAGTCACTGGAAGCTGTGAGGTACTGTCTGACGAAGCGACGACATCGGCAAGATAGCCCAGCAAAGTCGATCCTGCTCCTGGCCGAGACTGGATGTCAAAGATGGGGGCTTTGCTTGCCTTTGCATCTACTTTTGGCAGATCAAGGGCTCCGGCATCGTGTACAAAAACTGCCTGTGAGTGCTCCAAGGCTCTCCTGTAGAGGCATTCTAGAGCTGTCGTTGTCATGCTGACGTTGATGCACACGACGGGCGAGCCAAAACTTTTCGCGATTGCGCGATCAGCGCGAATTCAAGATTGACATGGATTATTTAATAGATGGCTCGATCGCCCCACGCCACCTGCACGGAGAGCAATCAACGTTGTGCGCCATGCGGTGCCGCCTTTCACACTTGACAGCTCATTAGCAGGCTGTTGTGGTGGTTGGCACATCAAGCGCTGCTTGTTGTGCGTAGTAGCACGAGCCTACGATCCATCAGGGGGCCAGCACATTCACTTGGCACCTATCAACTCCTGCGAGTTCGCCCGCGGCGGCGTCAATCGGGGAAGGCAGCGCAGTAACGGGGACTCGGACATTCTTCCTTTGGGTGAGCGGCTGAAGTTCGAGCGAGGCCTCTTCTGTCTGATAGTAGCACATGCTCATGTCGAGCCAAGTCAGATTGGCAGAGGTGCCAGCTTGATCTCTTGGCTTGACTCACAGACGGATCAGCAAGACGGCAGGTTCCTCCGACTTGTCAGTGCCCGGTTCGCTTATATCACCGTCCGCATCGATAACCTCTTCTCCGCCATCTTCTATATCGTCCTCGCCTTCCACATCACGAGGTAGCGCCAACAGTGTCAGATCAGTTTCCTCTGGTAGCCAGAGCATGTCAATTGACCTCTCAAGTGCTCTTTCCGATTTGACGTCTTTTATACCCTCGTCGCTCTCGCCTCCCACAACGTCTGCAAGATCTTCAAGGGCTACTTCAACAGCCGCCATGTCATCCGCCGCATCTCAAGCAGAGTCTCAGGGCTCAACGGATATTGCTCCGTCTTCATCAGGCAGGGCCAACGCCGATTCAACTACCCCGTCCGCAGGGAGTACCGCTGCCGCGCCTACAACCGCAGCAGCCGGCACTACATCTCAAGCTGCACAGACCTCCGCCAATGCCGGCGGCGGTAGTGGCGGCGGATCGGATGGATTTGGTAGTACCACCGATGGAAGTACGTCTTCAGTCGGCTCTAGTGCTACTGCCGCTGCATCTTCATCGAATGCAGGCAATGCCAATGGCAATGGTAGCGGTAATGCATCGAGCAGTAGTGCAGGTGCAGCCAGCACATCTGCAGCTGCTAGTAGCGCATCAGCAGCTGCCAGCAGTCAAGCCGCCAGCGCCTCCCGTGCAAGTGCTGCAGCTGCCACCCAGGGCAGCGCAGCTAGTGCCTCGGCCGCGTCGGCCGCCTCCATCGTATCACAGTCGGCAGCAGCAGCAATCAGTCAAGCCGCGCAATCTAGCGCTGCTGCGTCTGCTGCTGCTGCCGCCGCCGCCGGTTCAGCCACACTCGTCACGAGCTCTGTGCAGACCGTCATCACGAGCCAGGCAACCCTATCGACCATCTCATACGACGTCAATGGCCAAGCAGTCACACTGACCTCCATCGTCGAAATCACTAGAACCGAGAACGTAGAGACGGTCGGCGCCGCATCTACCTCAAAAGCAAAATCTCTTAACGATACATCTGGCTCGGGCTCGAGCTTCTTCAACAACACCGGCGCTGTTGCAGGCGTTTTCGTCGTTGTCGGCCTCGCTGTGATCGCAATTCTTGTTGGGATTGGCTTCATCCTACTTAGACGGAAAAGGCGGCGCGAGCTTGACGAGGACATCCGGGTTGCAGCAGGCGGCGCAGGCATCGCAGGCGCAGGCACTTCTCGGTTCCACGATGACGACGACGATCCAGAAGATGATCTATTTGGATCCGAATTCACCCACCAGGGCATGATGTCGCAACTCAGCAGCCACCAAGCTCTCTTCGGTGCCGCGGGCGGTGCAGCAGCCGGTGGGGCCGCATATCATCATGCGCGCTCGGGATCGACAGCGTCTGCAACTGGACCCTTGTCACGGTCCAATCAGTCTCACAACGGGCTGTATGATTCGCAGTATGGCAATTATGACTACCCGCAAGCAAATAGTCAAAACACTCATGGCGAATGGTCCGACTATGTTCAACAGTATGGAGGCGGTGATAATTCACAAGGTCATGGCGGCTACACTTCCGGCGAGTACAACAGTGCAGACGGCAATGGCAGCAGTGGCAGCCCACCCACACCACACGACGATATGCAGCAGCCAGATCATCGTTTGGAACCGTAAGTTACTCCGTTTGCAGATTTGCGCAGTGCTCACCTATACAAGCAGGAACGGGGTGCTCAATTCCGAGCACAATTACAGCGACTCAAGCTTGAGGGATGAAGCAGACTATTCGAGGAGGATTCTACGCGTAGCGAACGAGTAAATCAGTGACAAACGACCAGCAGTGACCACGAACGAGGTTTTGTACTTTATAATACAACCGCACATATGCATCGTCTTCGATCGATCGCGTTTCGCACGCATTCAGACAAACAGTGTGCATTGTGGTATAGTCTTACAAGTGAGCATGAGCTTGCTATGCGTCGTGACCGGCACTTTGCACTGAGAAACCGCTGTTTCGCTCTCCGCCGGGGAAGGCGAGCTGGAATGGTATGCCATCGAGACTGAGGAGTGAGCCCCTGCCTGTCTGCTGTGATACTCGCTGGCTGTTGTGGGATGATCGATTTGATATGCCGCTGATGCTGAGCGGTGTCGAAGCACGCACTGATTCTTCGCGCTCAAGCTCGCTTTGCTTTGCAGAAGTGGTCGCCGATGCATTGGACATGCGCGGTCCAGCGGCTTGCGACGCGTCCGAGAAGCGAGACGATGGTGGCAAAGCAGGCATGATCGAAGAAGTCGATTGCCTGACAGTCTCTGAGCTACTCCGGCGTGCTGAGTCCATGTCCGACGATGTTGGCGACAGTGCAGGATCGGCAAAGGGATCAGTCGAGCCCGAGCTGCCGCTGATGATACTAGCTGTATTACTCGACGGCGCGGGCGAGGTCTTGCTTGGCATCTTGACTTGGACAGCCCGCGCTGTTGAGACGCCGACGACGTGTACCTGGTTTGCGGAATGCGGTGTGACAATCTGAGATTCAGCCGGTTAGAAGCGTACATATTTGCAGTGAGAACGAAGGCTTACTTGTGGCGGGTCGAGAATATAGCTCATATGGCTGATGGTACTCATGGTCTCGGTCGAGGCGACGCTAGAGCGATCCCTCAGCACGTTTGGCAGGTGCAGCATCTGATCATTAGCGGCCGAGCTGGGCGATGGCGCGTCCACGCCGACATTGAGCTGCTCTGTCGACTCCGGCTCAGGTAGAACGAGATCGAGATCAGGCGCTCGAGGCGGTCTGAAGGGCTTGCCACTGCCCGATCGGGTAACGGTCGAAGCTGCTCTCTTGAGTGATGTCTGGTCATCGAACAGCAGCGGCAGGGACGGGTGAGCAGGTGACTGAACCTCGGGCGCCATGTGAGCAAAGCTTCCTCCCGAATCTCGAGACGTGGTCGAGACCGGCACACTGAGTCGAGGCGCGCCATTGCGTGTCGAGCCAGACGTGTAATGTGAAGAGGACAGTTCGCCGCTTGGCGTTCGGAAGAGACCGTCCGCGAGGGACATCGAATTGGCATGCGCGGGCAAGTAGGCGCTCGCGATGGCGCTCCTATCGCTCAGGTTTCCGGTCATTGCGTGCCCTGGGGCATCTGCAATTTGACCGATAGCAAATACGTCTGCAAACGGGTCTGCACGAGCGCTTTCGTCATAAATCGTTGGTAGTCGCGGGGCTTGCGGATTAGTTGTGCGAGGAGGCTGCAGAGAGAGGTGCCTCGTCTTGTTTGGCGAGTGTTCCGTAGCTTGCGAAGCGTCAGAAAACAGACTGATCGGTAGCGAGATGCGACGATCTGTGGGCGAGCACTCTCGCGCGTCCCCTTGTGGACCGATGCTGACGAGGTCGCGAGCTTCGTTGAGACCCAGTTTCTCATTCGTAGATGCAGTCTCGAGCAGCGTTGATGCGCGCTTGGATCGCCCGGACCAGCTCAAGCGGTGTGCCGCCTTTGTCTCGCTTGACTCCTTTGAGAGTTTGCGGCTTGTCGAGCCATGACCTCCTCCGCCCAGCAACAAGGACAGCGGTAGCCTCACGATGCGATCATATATCGAGCTGGCGCGCATAGACACACTTTCTGCGGGCTTCGAAGGGAGACGGACGGCTGAGCGTCGTCGCAAGTAGACGAGCGCAAGACCGACGAGCAGTAAGCCGGCCAGGGCACCACCTACTCCACCTCCGATGACGCCTCCAACCGAGCTGTGGTGTGTGCCAGTATTACCTGCGCCTCCGCCGCCCAGGCCGGCAACACTGTCTGGCGCCACGCACGAGTTTACTGGGCAGGTTTGGCAGCTTCGTCCGGACTGTATACAGACCTGGTCTGAGGGGCAGTCGCATGCTTGAGCAGCCGGACACGCTATGCACGACATCTGGGCGCGCAAGCAAGTGTTGCGCCAAAATCTCGAAGAGCGGTGGAAGCGCCTGTCGTGGAATGACACGACGACGCGCACAGACGACGCGACTGATTTTCCAGAGTCTCCACGTCATCAACATGCTTCCCCAATCCACCCCGACATAAATATGATCCATACGCCAGCTTGGACTCAAAGCAGCCCACAAGTGCTGCAGGAGATCATCCTGTTTGATGATCGTAGCCATGTAACGAGCCATCTTCAGCTACACAGCGGTCCATGCGTGGGTTCTAGATGACAGAGTGCGAGCGATCGGTTGCCGTCGACAGGGCCAAAATGGCGGTCTCGACCCAGACACTGATCGAGACAGATGTCGCTCATAATCAGACAGTGTTCATCTATATCAAGGCCATGCCTTCGAAGCGAGGGAATGATTGACCCCGACTTCAGGAACGCATCAGGCATGGCCTTTCCTAATCGGGAAGACCCTGCGTCACACCTTCATCACGAGTCAAAGGCACCATGCCACGTTATAGACCGACATTGTGCCTGGCTACAAATGCTCCTCCGCGCAATACTCTTGGACAAAGGCTAGACCCCGAGCTTGCACCTACTTACGACCGAACGACTTTCGTTTCGACACCCAGGGCTAAGCCTAAGACACTCCGGCAGGCTCTACTCTGGTCAGCAGAGCGACGCAGAAAGCGGCTCGAGCAGGAGCAGACACGCGGTACACGCTCTCCTGACGAGCAGCTAGCAGCCAAGGCGAGCAAGCAGCCTAGGCAACGCATTGGACGAGCGCCTCTCGCCGTTGCCCTTCAGGACACCTCTGCTCGCACACTCAACGTCATCGAGAGCAGCACTGGTCGCAAGAAGGACAAAACTCGCTCACAAGTTCATCAGCATTCAGACCAGACAGGGCCATTGCGCAGACTGCGCTCGCAGCGAGTCCGCATCGTCGCGCCATATCCTACAAGGCGTTCTGCTCGTATATCGATCAGAAGGGCTCGCTCCCAAGTCTACCCGGCCTGTCTTGGCCCTGATCCGCTCTCGGAACAGCAAGACTTTCTCGGACAGGCTCAATCGACAAAGGAGAAACTCGTCGCTGAATCTGCCACAAAATCACTCGCACCTACGCAGACACGGGTCACCCGAAGCACAACTCTTGCGAAGCGAAAGCAGTTCGAAGCAGAACAAATTCGGGACGTCTTGCAGCCGCACAAGCAGTCCATCGAAGCAAGCATGTTTGCCTGTTGGTGTGGCAACAAATTCGCGCGCCTCGAACATCTTGCACGTCACGAAAGGTCAGTTTCTGGATTTGGCCGCTCAGACGGATTCTTATGCATATTGGGAATAGGGTGCACACCGGCGCGAAGCCGTTTTCTTGTCACTGCGGTCAGCTCTTCAGTCGACTCGACAATGCACGTCAGCATGCGTTGCAGCGACACGCTGATCAGATTGTCTTGAATGACAAGATGATGGAAGAGAACAAAGAGATTCATTCGCAATTGCGACTAGCAAAGGAAGAAGCAAATCGTCAGAACAAGCTCATCAGACAGGGCGAGATGCAAAGTCCCATCCGCAGTCGTGTGTACCATCCATCGCCGTCGCCTGATGTATCGATGTCCATGCCAAACACACCGATCATCCAAGCCAAGCGCTACACGACGAGCTCTCCCGTGCGAAGCGCCTCGCAGTACTCGGATTACAAATGCTCCAATTTCATTGACTCTGATTCCGATTCGCCATTCTTCCATCATCTTGGGACGCCATCAACGCCCTCGCAGGCTCAGACGCTCTACAATCGTCCGCATAGCAGTAGCGGACGAAGCCAAGGACGACCCTGCTCAAGCGATGGCAGGCCTCGCAGCAGCAGCTCCTCGTCGAGCAGAATCACCTTGCCGTCTATTTCTAGCCTGATCATCTCTGCCAATGGGGACATGCAACGTCGAGGTCGCGGCTTACTGATCTCAGACATTGGTCGCGGCGCACCCTATCGTAGCCGATCCCAAGGTTCGCCCTCGAGCGAGGGGCATCGCTTCCAAACCTATCGTCCACATCGCTATGAAAGGGGCATCGGACGCTTTGCTGAGGGCTACCTATCGCCTACTGCGCTGCGATCAGCTAGTCCGGCGAGAGCAGACATCGGCCGCGCTTCTCGCTGCTCGCCACTCATTCAGCCGGGTGTATTCGAGCAGGCGAATTCGACACAGCTGGCGCAGGATCTACCATGCTTCTCTTCACACAGCGACTCAATGGATCGCGACGAGAACATGCATGATGGCTATCTCGGACCACCTGCGCTTATCGACTCGATCTCTGCAGCCTCCAGCTCAGTAGCGACTCCCAGCCCTGTTGCCCAGCAGGACTGCTTTGATAAGAGCCAGCTAGAGCACGCTCGAGATACCTCCGTCGATGGCTTGGCAGCAGCGGCAGCCATCGTCGCGCTATCCGGTGATACACACCTGCCCGCATCGCTTCGCGTCATCTTGTCTTCTTGAACTGGTAAGCTTGACACGCACCCTCACGACCCTCCACGTATGCGCGCGCAAGCTGGCCTTGCTGGCATTTTGTTTTCAAATTGCATGACGAGCCTCGGCTGCACACGCGTGACTGATCGATCGCGCTGGTGTCCAGAATGGATGATCACGTTCCTGCTCATGGCACACGACCTCTCCTTGCCTCTATCTCCTCGTCTGCCATCGACACTACGAGCAATGGTCTCGTCAACATGCGAGGGCAAGCTGCCAGTTGCTTGGGCGCCTCCCACGCCAGATTCGCTGCTTGTACCAGTCCAGCATTCTGCCGACTCACCGCCTGAGCTAGATTTAGACGCTGCTGCACACGCCAAGCAACCTGCGTCAACAGCACAACCGAGCGATGCAAGAGCCCTGCCGACGCAACACCTACAGTCTCGAGCGTCAACGCATCACGCTCGAGGCTCATCGGTCTCCATCGATAGCCTTCTCAATCCGCAAATAGACTCAAAGATAGACAACGTGAGCTCCGTCGAGGTCGCACGACAGTGGAGATCTGATCTATACAGATGCAGGCTACTTTCAGCTTTGCCTCCGAGCCCGATAGACCGGCAAAGCGAGCTTCAGAGGAGCAAGAGCTCTCGCCTATCGCGCTCAAGACCGCTCGACGTAATCACGAGTATGGCTGGTCTCGCACGCCGTCCATTCGCAAAGCCGCCGTGAAAGCCAAAGAGGCGGTCTGGCAGGCCACACTAGAGAACAGCACGGCTTCGTCCGAGTCAGACGTTGCGCCTCGTGCGGAGGATCTCTACGTGCCAGCCGCGGCCGAGCTTGTCAGCAACAATCCTCAAAAAGGCCGTCGTGCGCCTCTTCGGTCGGATAGCGGCAAGACGGCGGCGAACAGCAAGACAAGTCGCAAGATCTCACATTCGCTTATCGAGCGCAGGCGGCGTGAGAAGATCAATGACTGTCTGCAATCGCTTGCCCATCTCGTACCGGAATGTCGAGCACAGGTCTCGCAGCACACAAGCAAGGCACGCGAACGAGCACCCAAGACATCCTGTGCTCGTTCTGACGAGCCTGCGCCAAGGGCAATGCCTATCGAAAAGCTATCGGTCTTGCAAGGCACGCTGACGTACATTCACCGTCTGCATGACCGCGTACGCGCACTCGAACAGCGATGCGGTCTGCCCCTCACTGCGACTCCAAGATTGCACGACGCGACAGAAGAGGATGAGGAAGACGAAGTGGACGAAGAAGGAGAGACCGTAGAGGGAGATTCCGTAGAGGATGCTGCGTCACTTTTGCTTGCGTTCGCAGAGCGGCCACTGGTTGCGAAATCGAGATAGCTAGAAGTAAACTATTGTATTGATGCGCTCTGATGTGTACACACTACCATTACAACTCGTACGTCAGATGGATGTCAGATGGAGGTCTGCCTAGTCGGAATGGCGAATCGACTGCTGGCGGTAGTACTGATGGACGTACGCGTAGCCGATGAATCGCTCCTCGACAGAGAGTGAGCGAAAGCAACGTGAGATTCGCTGTCGTCATCGTCTGCGATTGCGCGGTAATCAAAATCGCCTGCTTCGCTGTCGGGCGTCGGCAGAGGCATGACCGAATCGTCCTCGCCTCGCGAAGAAGAGTGCATCGAGGAAGCTGTGCTAGCACGTACGGGCGCTTGCCGTTGTTGTGGGGCAGGGGGATGAGAAGTAGATGGGGTCGATGAACCTGAAGCACCGTTGCCGAATGTCCAGGTATCGCCTAGCGCTTGCTGTAGCTCTGCAGTGCGGTCGATAGACCCTTGCATACCGGCTGATCTAGCGGGTGATGAGATGATGGACGGCGGCAGACCTTGAGACGGGTCATTCCTGTCCGTCAGAGGCGCAGTAGAAGTCGTTGCCGCGCTCTGCAAAGTTGTGGAAGGCTCTGCAGCTTGCTGTGCCGCTGCTTTGTCCCGCTCTGCTCGCTCTTTGCGTTCTCGCTCCTCTTGCTCGAGTAGGCTGATCCGCATCGCTTCCATAATCATGAGTTCTTCGAGACTGACAATTCCCGTGTGAGTGCGGTCTCGCGAGGCATAGAAGAGGGCTTACTCTGCTCCTGTCATAGGACCGTGCTCGCTCCTTTGTCGTCTGCTCCGACGACTTGAGCTGCCATCTGCCCCATCGTCTGCAAACAGTCCGCCGGGTGCAGATCGAGAAGACGTGACACCGAGCGGTACCATTCTGTCGAGGAAGCTGTCAGTGGATGAAAGCTACGCAACAGCATGTGCTGACCTGTCGCCGACCTGACGAAAGATGATCCGCCGATTGGCGCGACGAGCTGCTGTTGCTTTGGCGATGGCTAGCTTGTCCTCCCAATCAGGATAGATCGTATCTGTCCGTCACCACCGTCTCGGTCAACCTCATGGCGTGATCCAAAGGGTAGTACGAACCTGTGAGGACGACCTCGGGAGCAGTGTGGGAGATACTCTTCCTCCGGGGTCCAGAGGGTTTGTCGGGCGCGAGGATTGAGAAGTCGCTCGCATTGGCTTCGCCATCTATAGCAGAGTCAAGCTCGGGTGAGGCTAGGGTGATGGGGAGCTGCGGTGGCGTATAGATGACGCCAAAGTTGGGCTCGACGCAGAATGGGCATGCGACTGCTTCAGACTGTTTCTCTGCGTCAGGCTTCGTGCTGATTCATTTCAAAGAGTAGTCTACCTCTGCGTGTTGTGGTGTTGGATCGTTGCGTTTGAGATAGACAAAGCATTCTGTGCACAATGCTTGGTCGCAGCATCTCGAAAAGTTGATGTTAGGCGGATAATTCCTTGAGGTTCAGTCAGCATCAGGCATCGAGACTTGTTAGAACGAGACGAACAGAAAGCAGATGGGGCATTCTGCAGTACGGAAGTACAGCGTGATCTCTTTCTGCTGTCGCGCTTCGGACTCCTCGTGTCGGTGTGAGGTACCGTCGCCCTGGACGACGGCATCGAGCAAGCTGTCGATATCGTCCTTGCTCATGCCTTCCTCCCAACCATCGAGACCTCGATAGAAGGGAGCAAGCTTGCGTGACTCGATCAATCTGTGCACGACGGGATGGTCCCAAGTAGCAGGCGCGTTGGCGTAGACATTCGAGACGGGCTCGAGGAAGCCTAGATCCGGCGCGGCATAGATATCCTGAGCGGGCTTTCTGGCGATAGCCTCACGGGCAGCGAGGGCTTCCCTCAAGCCCGAACTAGACGGCTGACCCGGATTGGCTGCATCGCCACCGGCGAGGAAGGAGGACTGATGAGATCCACCGCCGGGGTAGCCGACCACTCCTCCCGAAGCACGAGACGATCTGAATGCGCCGTTGCTGGAGGATGAAAGGCCGTCTGAAGCATTACCATTGCCTTCCTGATTGCGGCTCGCATGGCCACTGGGTGCGTTGCCCATCCTGGCTGATCGACTTGACCCGTCTTGATTTTGCTCGAGCGATGATGGCGATGTAATCAGCTCGGCAGGCTGGAGTCGTCTGCTGCTTGGCCTATAGACCCGAGGTTCCCATGGTCTGACGGTCTCGACAGCGCTCGGTCAGTACATGTACGGTATGATCGGACTCGTTTCGTTCGAGTGAGTAGATGAGTGCTCGCCCGACTCGAGTCGATCCGATAAACTCGTCCTCGCACGTACTTGCGCGAGCTCGGACGTGAGCCCCTGCGATGGACGGAGTGAGGTGTCTCACGGAAAGGATGAGCGCCCCTTTGCAAGAGCGCTCTGCTTCTCCTCAGTGACACGAGTCTCGGCCTCGGTCTAAACTTGGGGAAAGGTGATCGTCGCTCCTCTCGCGAAGCGGCAATCGCTCGCGTGTCAATCGGGTTCTGCCTCGACTTTCACACCCAATGTGTTGTAGAGCATCTGCATGTGCCTATGCGAGCGTACAACAGTCACACTTGGATCGGAAGCTAGTGCAGATGCGTCTCGTGGGGAGCTGAGCCGGCGCGCGCGCACACTCTAGCCGTAAGCCCGGCGAGATGTCTAGCGGGCCTGCCCTGTGGAATCTGACGAGGCTCTTGCTCGCTCGACCGTCACTCTCGATCGAACCATGGAGATGGTAGATCCTCGGTCTGACTGTGGTCCTCAGATTGCACTCAGGCTGGGTTGCAAGGTGTCATTGTACCGTCGCGATTGACCGTCTTGGCCTTGACGGTCTCATTGTCGCCGAGCTCGGTGTCCTTTGTGATCTTGAGACCTGCCCGCACTACGGGCATCAGCATTGAGGACGCTCATGCTGCCTTGCGCTGTGTACGAACCTATACGAGCTCGTTCGGCATCGTGCTGACCCTGGACGACATTGCGCCTGAAGAAGAGTGCGACCTGGCGCAGTGCGAGCAAGGCCTCCTCCAGGGTGGCGGGAGCCATCTGCTTCCTCCTCCTCTGCTTGTTCTCTGTCGCTTGCTCTGTCCCCATAGTCGCCGTTGGCTCTGCCGAGAGTGTCGCGACGGCAGCTTGCACAAGCTGCGCGTTCATCGGCCTCGCAGCTACGATCAGATTGCAGGGTCAGGCTTGCTTGCATCGAGCAGCATGATGTCTGACAGTACCTAGACGGGCTTGTCGATCATGGCCAAAGGTCGCATGCTGAGCTCGGAGAAGCTCCTGATGTAAATCATCGACCGTCAGACCTGCCGTCTGACTGACTGTCGTCACCGACCCTGTAGGCAGATGCGATCTGCGTACGTGCACTCGACATCCGACAACAATCTTCTTCGACGTCGTCCTGATCGACAGCTGGACGCGTGGCAAGCAGTCACGAAGGCGGGAGCGTGAGAGATTTCACGTTGCCCGCGCTTGCCGATCACGCCAGAAAGGCGCTGCTGTGGTGTCCTTCTGAGCCAGTCTGGTCGAGTTGAAAACCTCGCGACGTGCATCCCGAGGCAGTCCATCGCCAGACGTAGACTATAGCGTCTCACAGAAGAGCGATTGACATCCGCGGCGAAATTTGGAATTCTCGTCGGATCAGCGACGCATCGACTGTTCCTTGCCCTTCCTAGCACTTTCTGATTCGCCCATCAAGCGCCGACTGATCCAGCGTCGACCTGAATCTCTGTGTGACCCGTCATCTGTGGTACGACAGGCACGCAGACTGAGGATCTGGCCATCAAGTCTGTGTTGCTCCGGACCACAAAGTCATCATGTCCGGCGGCTCAGCAGCTCCGAATCCGAACAGGTGAGCATGTCGCTCTGTCTGAAGCCTTTTGCATGCTCATCTCGTCGCATTCACAGGGAGCGCACGATCAGATTGACAGGTATGCCTCTACATGAGTGAGACCGTTCATGGTTCCTGACTCAGCGGGATCGCAGTCGTCGCCGCCGATGGACTCGTCAAGCGTGATGTGTTCAGACTGCCCGATCCCTTTGCCATCGTCACCGTCGATGGCGAGAACACGAAGACGACAAGCGTCATCAAGAAAACGCTGAATCCTTACTGGAATGAGAGTTTCGATATGTTCGTCCACAGTGCCCTGTTATCCTCCATGCCGCATGGACTGATGACGTGCAAATGTCTCGTAGATCAGTCAAGGACTCGTCCGTCGTGACTGTCCAGATCTTCGATCAGAAGAAGTTCAAACGCAAAGATCAAGGCTTTCTCGGCGTCATCAATGTCCGTCCCTCCCAGACGCTCGATCTCGAGCTCGGCGGCGATGGTGCGTGGATTTGCACCAGATAGCCATCGTCTCGGTCGCTGATACTGATCTGCCCTCAGAAACGCTCACGCGTGATCTCAAAAAGTCAAATGACGCGCTCTCTGTGAATGGCAAGCTCATCGTACATCTGTCCACCAACACTAGCACGCCCATCCGCAATACTGCCACGCCAGCTGCTCTTTCCGGCCTGGCGAATTCTGTATCCTCCACGGGCACGACGAACGAGTCTGTCGCTTCTACGTCATCCTCTACCCCGCCCGCATCTGCAGCCGCATCGAGCGCCGCGCTCGCAACAACCACGAGCAATGCTCCTTCGGTCAATACCACCGCCTCCTCTTCTGCTGCCACAGACGGAAGAGGCGAAGCGCCTTCTTTCAATACACCCTCGCGCGAGTCCACCCATTCGGCTTCGGGCTCGACCGGTCGTGCTGCAGGAGCGGGTAATGCCAACTTCAATCCTCGTGAGGATCAACATGGCGTCTTGCCATCCGGTTGGGAAAGGCGTATCGATCATCTCGGACGGATGTACTATGTCGATCACAACACGCGCACGACCAGCTGGCAACGACCGACCACTTCCTCTGCTCCTCAGACTTCGACTGCAGGCGGAGGTGCAGTCTCCGAACCTACCGCTCGCGAACGATCACGCAACAATAACCGCGTGACGGCAGATGACTTCTTGGGCGCCACAGAATCAGCTGGCACATCTGTACCCGCAGCCGCAAGCCGAAGTGGAGGAGCTAGTCCCGCTCCCGCCGTCGCCGCCCCTGCTGGCTCATCTTCACGTGCTGCTACAGCAACGACGGCAGGAACAGGTCCCCTGCCCGCAGGCTGGGAACAGCGCTTCACGCCCGAAGGCAGACCTTACTTTGTCGATCACAACACCCGCACCACTACCTGGGTCGATCCTCGTCGACAACAGCTTCTCCGCGTCCTGGGTCCAAATGGTAACAACGTTACCGTTCAGCCTCAGTCGGTCTCTCAGCTTGGCCCGCTGCCTTCCGGTTGGGAGATGCGTTTAACTTCGACCGCGCGTGTCTACTTTGTCGATCACAATACCAAGACAACGACCTGGGACGATCCTCGTTTACCTTCTTCGCTCGATCAGAACGTGCCGCAATACAAGAGAGACTTCAGACGGAAACTCATCTACTTCCGTTCTCAGCCTGCCTTACGACCCATCCCAGGTCAATGCCACGTCAAAGTCAGGCGAAACCATATCTTTGAAGACTCATACGCGGAGATCATGCGTCAGACACCCAACGACCTCAAGAAGCGACTGATGATCAGATTCGACGGCGAAGACGGGTTGGACTATGGCGGTGTTTCTCGAGAATTCTTCTTCTTGCTCTCGCACGAAAGCTTCAATCCTGCTTACGGTCTCTTCGAATATGCTGCCATCGACTCTTACACGCTGCAGATCAATCCACATTCGGGCATCAACCCTGAGCATCTCAATTACTTCAAGTTCATCGGAAGGTGCATCGGCTTGGCCATATTCCACCGTCGATTCCTGGACGCCTATTTCATCACGAGCTTCTACAAGATGATACTCAACAAGAAGATCGCACTGACCGATATGGAGTCTGTCGATGCTGAGATCTTCAGAAGTATGCAATGGATGCTGTATGTCCCTCTGTCTTTTTCAAGTCTCGCCTCTGCTGATTCCTCTGCAGTGACAATGACGTTACAGACGTCATCGAGAACACCTTCTCGGTCGAAGAGGACAAGTTCGGCGAAGTTGTCATTACACCACTGAAGCCGGGTGGTGAGAACATCCAGGTCACCGAGGAGAACAAACGCGAATATGTAGAGTACGCTAGAGCATACTTTTCATCTTCGCATCATCTGACATGATACACAGTCTCATCACTGAGTGGCGCATTCAAAGGCGAGTAGAAGACCAGTTCAAGGCCTTCATGAGTGGCTTCAATGAGCTCATTCCTCAAGAGCTCATCAACGTCTTCGACGAGCGAGAACTCGAGCTGCTCATCGGCGGCATGTCGGAGATCGACGTCGACGACTGGATGCGGCATACAGACTACCGTGGCTACACGCAATCGGATCCAACGGTACAGCTCTTCTGGCAAGCAATTCGATCTTGGCCCGCAGAGAAGAAGTCAAGATTACTACAATTTTCGACCGGCACAAGCCGAATCCCCGTCAATGGCTTCAGAGATCTGCAAGGATCGGACGGTCCTCGTCGATTTACTATCGAGAAAAGTGGAGATGCACTGACTCAGCTGCCAAAGGTCCGCTGGATTGCTCTATTACTATTGAGCGAAGTTGACGTTTATCTGCAGAGTCACACGTGCTTCAATCGACTCGACCTCCCACCGTATACTACCCTACAACAGCTCGACGATAGACTGACGTATTCCCTGGAGAACACCATCGGTTTCGCAAATGAGGTCAGTCTTTGCACGCATTCTTTTGTGTGAATTGCCACTCATATGCGATGCATTTCTTTTCAGTGAGCCAAACCCGAACAAATCTGTACACAAGGATCATGCGCTGCTGTCTCAATCTATTTTTGTTTCGCTGATTGCTGTCGATCATGTTGAGACGCCAAGACTGAGAAGGAGTTGTGCGCTTGCTAGATCTTCTTCGCTTGCGATTTCTGCGGCGGCAGCCGCAACCAGGCTTGCCAAGGATGCCTTCTTGGGTGCGGCAGGCTCGGGACCGCGGAGAGGCTTAGCTGCGGGTTCTGCCGATCTGGCTTTGGTGATTTGCTGCTTCACCTTTAGCTGAGGAATGGCATTCTCTGAGCCTGCGCGTCGCAGACATGAGACCGAAGTTGCTTGCGAGAGCCTTGCCTTCTTGGCGACGTGATCTAGCTGGACGAATGCGCACTCGGCTTCGCCGGCGTGTTTGCGAGGCCGGGAAGCGACATCATCGAGCATAGGGTGCAGCTTGGCACGAGGTGCGTTGAGCATCAATTCCGCCAGGGCTTTCGAGGGACGGTTCGTGCGCAACTTTGACTTTGTGTCGGCTTCAGTGACCGAAGGAGGATCAGACTCCATCCGATCGCAGAGCGTTTTGGACTGCCAATCGGTCAGAGTGGGCGAACGAATTGGCAGGATGTCGGTCGTGTCTGACATCACGTCATCATCGCCAAGACGCGCACGGCCATCGTCTGCGACCGACAGAGATACGTTGCTGCTTCGTCTGCGCAGGAGACCAGGACGGGGTGGTGCATCTGTGCCGTCCGAATCTGGCAAGACGAGTACAGGTGAAGGGAGCGCGCTGGGAAACGAGATCGCCCTCGTCAATGAGGCCGCACCAGCACTTCTGCTTCGTCCAATTTCGGCCGCAAAAGCTGCTGGAGTGTTGCTCTGCACGGTAGCCGACTGGGGAATGGCCAAGTAAGATGTGAAAGAATTCGAGCGCGAGAGTGAGGCACGACCTGCAAAGGGCGAGACCGATCTTGCACGCTCGTCGTTGCGATAGATAGTCGGCGAAGCTCTGCCGAGATCAGTCCAGATAGCATTGACAGTTGGCGTACGTTGCAACGGTACCGGTCGGCGGATGATGTTGGCGGTATCGACTGTCAGGCGCGGAGGACGGAGTGAGCAAGGAGAGGATGAAGCCTTGGAATCCTCGCTAGCTGATTTGGATGCATCCCAGACTTTGTGCGTTTCTTGCGTCGCACTGAGCTGAGAGCTTGGCTCTGTAGAGGCTGTCTTGGCAAGCGAGGATGCAGAGATTGATGAGCTCTGCGAGTTGCTTCTCGACATGACAGGCGTGATTGCGCCCGAATCATGGGCATTCCAGGTAGCAGAATCCCGCTTCGCCTTTTGCCTGTAAGAGCAGAGTCAGAGAGTGTCATTGGAGCATTCGCTGAGCGACTTGCCTGCGATTTTGGAACCAGATCTGGACTTCCTTTGGCGACATGCCACATTCGCGCGCAAGGGCTTCGCGCGTCGTACCATCGGGGAGTGCGTCGAGTGCAAAGGCTGCTTCTAGCGTTGTGAGCTCGAACACGGTCGTTCGTCGTCTCGACTTTTTGACGCGTTTGCCTATCTCGGCAACGGCTGGCACGGGCGGTATGGCAGCGACTGCCGGCAGAGAGACTGCCACAGGCGCACGAGCAGTCGTAACAGAGGTCTGCTCGACGGGTGACGCATCCTTGGAGGCTGCGTCTGAACAGAGCGAGAGTGTGCCGAGATTGACGTTGGTGCTGTTGGCGGCATGCCACTTGCAGGCGAGTGCTTCAAGTGGCTCTGCCAGCATAGGCGGCAGCGTGGTAACGGCAGGTTGTGATGGCCGATGAGGCAGGATAGGTCGGTTGGTGTAAACAGACTGAGTCGGCCGACGTTCAAAGTCACTGCTTTGGGTACGAGGCGGCATGATCGGTCTGAGGGGCGGTGAGAACATGCGGAGATGGAGTTGACCAGTGGATGAGCTGTCCATGGGCGGCAAGGGTAGCACCACCGAAGCTGCAGGCCCTGGCATGCTCGTCAAGGACCTCGAGCGCGGTATGCTGTGCTCTAGGGTGGGGAGACGAGCATGTTGATCGGAAGGAAGGCATCCCGAAGGATTGCATACCAACTTGACAAGGTCGGCCATGCCGCGTCTTGCCACTGTTGACGGCGCTCGCGGTGCGCTGTGGGCGTAGAGCACCTCAAGACGCTCCCAAAGCCTCTCTTGTAGAACAAGCTCGAGACAAGGAAGTGAGATACCTTCTTTGCTCTTCCTGGCGAGTCGTCAACAGGACGACGAGCTGATGCGCTCGCGTAGCATTCCAGTCGCCCTCACATCTATTGTTCTTCTGGAGCCACTCAACAAAATCCGATTGACATCTCAATTTCAACGCGCGTCGATCCTAATTGCGCGCACGCGCGTCACCTTTTGTGCTTTGCATACACTTCACTCGGGCTGATCTCCTGATCAGAGGGACCTCATGTCAGGCACGAGAAGCGATCTTCTAAAAGTTGCATGCAATCGGTGCCACCGCGCCGAGGAGGCCGACACGCGTCATACCTTGCCAGCGAGCAGATTGCGTATCGTCTCACGTGCTGTGATCCTGACGGTGTGGTAGAACGTCGGGAAGTCTAACGTCGAGAACAAGATGTCTGCCAGTCCAAAGGGCAGCATGAGCGGTATCCAGCCTGCTGGCCGCGTTTATCTGAGCTGCTGCGGAATCAGACACGAAAGCGTACCTTGGGCGAGCTCGAGCGCAAAGCAATTCTCGTGCATCTTGTATTGCTTCACTGTCCCTCGTGGCAAGTGATGCACAGATCCTGCTGGATACACCTGTCGTCAACGCATCAGAAGCTGCGCGTCAACTCGCAGCAGGGAAATTACCTCGCGTTCGAGTGAGCCTGCGCTAAAGGCCCACTGCTCGCCTTCGAGGATGTGAAAGTAGTCGTCTGCGGTATGTCTGCCCGTGTGTCCTTCTGTCCCTAGCGGCGTACCAAAGACGATGAGATACCTGCAAGAACGGATGTCTCCAATAAGCGACATCAACTGATCCCGAGCAGTTGACTGACTCTGTGACGCTGGCGTGGATGATGTACATGGCGCCCATAGCTCCGCCGGCATTGTTGAAGACCCATTCTTCCGTCTGTGAGATGGCATGCCCCGGCAGGTCCGTCCGCAAGTCAGCCACGATGGAATCGATGATGGCGCGGGTATCATTGGGATGCGCCTGGATTGCCTTGAGTGCAGTCTGATGCAGTTTCGCAGGCTCAAAGATGTAAAATCGGTCCTGCAGATACCTATGAGCTGTCGTGGGGGCAAGTCAGATGAGAGACAGACTCGTATACCGTCCAATGCATACAAACCGACCAAAGAAAGTGCAGTCAAGCTCAGCAAGAAGAGTATCGACAGCCATGGTCTGCTCCCCTCCTGAGCTTGTCGAACCGGTATCGCCGCGCCCTTGGGCTGTGGCCGAAAGGTCGTTGCCTTGACTTGGCTCTGCGACATTCGCTTGGGAGGAACAGTCAAAAGTCGAACGACCGTCGCGTCAAACATGTCAAAAGTGCATTCGTACACCGAGAAGGCAAACTGTACACGTCTCCCGCTAAACGTGAGCATAGGAAGCCTCGAGGTCCGATTCGGCATGCAGTCGACGAGCAGCTTCCTCGCGAGATTGGGTCAGCTGGGCAATGAGTGACTCGGCCTGTTCCTCTCCTCTTACCCTGTCCTGATTGGACTCGACGATCAAGCCTTGTCGCCTCGCGATATTGGAGAGCGACCAATCGACTGCAGTGAGCCATGTGTCGACGAATCGAGTCGGCAGCATGCCCGCTAGCCAGTAAGCTGAGCTCCTCGGGCCGACGCTGCTTCGGAGTCCGCCTTGATTGAGCCATCGCATCGGCGACACTGCGATCGAAGGCGAGACAAGCGTGTCGAGCACCTTTTGCTTCAGCTGATCTAGCGCTCTGTTGCTCTTGACTTGTGCTCGCTTGTGATGATGCTTCGAGCCAGAAGTCGCTTCCGTGGGCGGTCTCAGCGTTCTCAGGGTCAGCGTTGGACCATATAGGTGTTGTAGATGACGTGGAAGATCCTTGATGTGATCTCGTGCGTGCGCGGCATTGGCAAAGGAGCCTTGCGAGCTAGCGGAATCGACAGAGATGACAGATTGCGCGCTCGGATGGCGCTTGGCCGAAAGCTGGCCTTCAGGGAAAACAAAGCCGACGTCGAGCAACTTGAAGTTGACATTGACGATAGACTTGTCGCCATTGCTGACTGTTGCACATTGTAGCTCTCGCCTAAAGGTATCGAGCATGCTGACGAGAGCATTGATGGCTGTGCTCTGACTGCCTAAGAAAGGTAAGACGAGGCGAGAGCTCGTTGCAGGAACGAGAGTCAAGATGGTGGCCGAATCTGTATTGTCGCGTCGTTTGCCCACAGTGCGCATCAGAGGCAGAATACCTCGTAGGCATTCATGGGTCGTCGTGAGCAGACTGAACAGAGACTGGTAAGCATCGTTGGCAGGCATGGCCTCCAGAGGGGTGATGGAAGCTTCCGGCCGCTCGACGCAATGCTCGAGCACGGGCAGACAGTTGACCAGGCTGGTCACTGCTGGCATGTCCTTTGCAGAGCTGTACGGATCTCCAGCGCGCTTGAGCGGGTAGCCGAGCGAGAGCGCGTTTGACAGGCCTCGCAGGTACGGCGACAGCGTAGAAGGCTGGACATCCAGTCAGCTCTGCTGTGAAGATGCACGAGAATGATCAGCTGACTTGGGTAGGATCGAGGTACACCGCCTTGAGGTAGCCCTGAGATTCGCTTTCGAGTACTTTGACATCGTCCTGTTGGCTGACGCTAGCGATGACGATGAAGCCGCTCTGCTCGAGGAAGAGCGCTATCGAGCGACCGAGCGTACCCCGATCGCATCCGAGCACGATGACAGCTTCGAGTCTCTGGTCCGTACCGGCAGAGATGCGCGGACGGACTCGCCGGACAGACAGCGGGGCTACTCGCTTTGAACGGTCGAGGGGCAGCCTGTCCCCAATGAGGGGCAAAGACGCCAAGAGATGAGGCTTGAAGATCCAGAGATAAGTCGTGGTGCCTGCGAGGGCAGAGGTGAAGACGAGCGTCCAGAGGTAAGGTCGATGCTTGATAAGGCCCACGAAAGATTCGTAGCGCGAGAGCTGTCTGGGCGGCTCGGGTGCTGATCTGATGGGTATCTTGACCGACTTGGATGAGGGCAGATGAGGAAGTCCGGGCATGGGCAGAGTGCCATGGAGCGAGAGATGATCGACAACGATAGAAGTCCACTCGGAAATGCTCGTTGCCACGCGGTCGCCCAGCTCTTCGAGATGCTCGGTCTGCTCGGCCATGAAGGCGACAGAGTCATGGAGCAGGCCATCAGCCCGTCTGAAGAGATCCTCGAACGGGTTCTCTGCTCCTGCCATGATGCTCAGTGGTGGGCGATAGCGAGCAAGCGCGACGGCAAAGGAAGGGGAGACGCGACTGAAGTACTGAAGCTAGCGAAGCTGCGTGTCAGGGCACGGACGAGATGCCTAAAAGCGCTTGCATTTCAGTACAGACAAGTATCATCATCATCGTCATGGGCTCCTCGTTGCTTCTTCCGTCGCTGTGCTGGTTCTCTGTCGTCCTCACGTCCTTGGCTCGCTTCCTGCGAGCAAGGCTTCGATGTTGTCAATCTGCGGCCTCTGCGTGGCGGCTGCAGAGTCTAGCCGTTCAGAATCTGCCATCAAGCCTTTCCGTGAGTACGAGGAATGGAGACAGAAGCGGCACGACTGACTGATAATGTCCGCATAGGTCAAAAAGGACAGCCTGCGCGGTTTCTCTTCTGGATCTGCCAGCGTTTCCAAATGATTGGCGGCCACGAGAACCGGCTGGGGCTTGCGATCTATCACAGCTGGCGAGAGACTCCTGAAGGATCGTGGCGAATTGGGCGCAGATGAGAAAGGCGAAACGAATCCGTCCTGATGGCCAGCGCCTGCCCAAGTTTCCATCGTCGGCATTGCGTTAGCTTGGGCACCGGATGACCTCTGCTTGCGCTCCCTGAATCCCATGTAGGGATCACTCGAGGAGAGCGACAGTCGCGTCGCTCCGCCTGAGGAAGGAGAAGTGCCGGGAGTGAGTACCGTCGATGATGTCGGACTCGGCAGATCCGGCGAGACAGCTCGTCTGTCTAGACCGGTGTTGGCTGGCATTGTAGTCCACAGCGGGGGTGGCAAAGTAGGCACATGAGCTTCTTGCGCCAGCACTGCCACTTTGGACCGAGCTGTCGCAGGAGAAAGAGAAGTGGAGGCCAGGTTCTGGCTGAGCAAGTCTGACGAGCTTGGCTCGCGAATTATGCTCTCTATCTGTACTGCGTCGAGTCTGTCGTCTGTCAAGACAAGTGCGGCTTCTGACAGTACAGACGGCACGGCAAGATCAGAAGCTTCTTGTTGAGCTGGACCGGACACGTCAGTCAGAGGGAAAGCTTGGAATGACGCGAGAGGGAGACTGACTGAGCAGATGACTATCCGAGAACTCGACGTCGCGTTCAAAGATGGAGGAAGCAGACTCGTTCCCCACGCTTCGCATGGATATCGGAGACTGGTTTCCGCTCCTGAGACCCTTTGCGGGCGTAGACACTGCACCTAGCGGGACGTGAGGATGAGGTGACATGACAGGTCGCGTGGACGAGCTCGAGAAAGTTCGCTGTTTGCTCGTGCTGGCTGCTGAGCTTGTGGGAGGAGATGTTGGCAAGACGGTTGTGAGGGGTATGGCCAGCGGTAAGCTCGCCAAAGGTCTGGGCGAGCCCGTTTGAGGTTGATCGGAGACGACAACATGACTTGTTGTGGCTGTTTCTTCAGATGTATGCGTCGAATCAGATGCAGAGGCCGACAGCCTTGCTCGATCATCATCATCCGGTAGCATCACACCAGCTCGGCTGACTTCATTCGACGGTCGCCCTTTTGCTTGTCCTGATGCCAACCTCTTTCAGGAACCCGTCGTTTGCTTTCCGACGAGAGGTCACGAAGCTGTCCGCGTGTTCTCCCGTCACGGTCAGTGCACTTTGATAGCTCGTACCTCCTGTGCTCAGCCTCGGAGGTGAACGCTGTGCGGCTGCTGACTTGACGGTCAGACTATCAATAGCTGTGCCTGGCCGGGGTTCGACTACAAACTTTCCTCTCGTCGCGTCTCGGCAAATCTCGCGAAGCCAGACGATGACGGCATCCCGGCTGTCCTCGACCGTACAGCGACTCATCAAGAACGCGCACTATGATCCTCTTCCCGGTCCGAGCGCAGCCATCTTCCACGAACAATTTAGCCGGATCAGCCGAGAAGCGCATCAAAAGCAATTCGGCGAGAATGCCTGGCTGGCCCTCACCGTGCGCTTCAAGATTCTTTGCCCAATTTGGGAGTTTGCCTTACTGGCGTCGTCTGAGTCTTGACAGGCCGCAGCACTGGTCACGCTTAACTCGCCCAATGGACTGAAACATCTCTGGACGTACCTCAAGAGTCATCAGACCGATGGAACCCGAGGTCGCCCTAGCGAGGACGAGCAGATCAGACGAGCAGCCCTCATGCGCGAAGCTGGCCTCAAGAGTATCAGCTTCATCGGGATTGCAAAAGTGCGTTTGCCCGTCTTCGGATGCATCATGAGCCAAATGTCGAGAGCAGGTCATCAACAACCTCGGTGCGATGCACAGCGCGTTCGACGACGCTGTCAAAGCCAGGCTACCCGAGCATCCGACAAGGTATCCTTCCATGTTTTGCACGCAATCAGCACAGCCTGACTTTGAGCAGACAGCCCACCCGGCAGAATATCGATGCCATCACCGCCCGCAGTGTAAGCTCATGACCCCCGCGGCAGCGATTGCTGGGCTCATCTTGCGCAGAAAGAGATCTGGCGAAAAGTATATCGGCCGTACGATGCCAAGCTCATCGAGAAGCTAGGGCAGTACCATCCCGATCTACCCGTCCACATACTCAACTCGCACTATGGCGCGCTGCTGTCAGATCCGGTCGATCAGCCTAGCCCGATAGGTCGAGTCCTCGTCTCGCTCGTCGCCATCGGATGCCTGCGCGGTACAGGAGGCGTAGGGCCGCAGCTCACTTCACATGTCTTTGGTCTGAAGAAAGCAGGCGAAGAGGGGGACATCGACCCAGTCACTTCAGAGGGCTTAGGCACAAATTGGAAAGCTCTCACAGAGGACGAAGGGGCAGAGTGGGCGATCCGTGTCGTTGATGCGCTTGCAGATGTTGTAGCTCAGCCGGGGGGCAGAGAAAGCAAACTATAGCTCTTTGCAAAGGCGTTTATACAGACGATTCGGACATGGCAGCACTCCCCTGGGAGCTCATGCTTGCACCTCTTTGTCGCCTCACTGGACTCGACTCGCGCTTGACAGGCTGCAAGGGCGAGGGTGGTCTGCGACCGAGGGGCGGCGGCGGCGTGGGTGAACGAGAGATAGGTCGTCCTCGGCCGCCTGCAAAGCGAGGTGCAGGCGAAGGCGATCGTCTTGGTAAGGGCGAGCGAGTCTCCCTTCGTACGGGTGATGGCGAACGCGAGTCCCTCCGTCCGAGAGGAGGCGAACGTGAGTCTCGTCGCCGGAGAGGTGGCGAACGCGAGGCTCTGTAGCGGCGAGCAGGCGGCGAGCGAGAGTCTTTGTAGCGGCGCACAGGCGGCGAGCGAGAATATCTGTAAGATCTCCTGGGTGGCGAACGAGAATCGTCCCTGTAGCTTCGCCTCGGTGACGGCGAACGCGAGTCATCTCTGTAGACCCTGCGAGGAGGCGAACGCGAATAAGACCTCCGAGTAGATCGCGGCGCGGGCGAATACGAATGGTCTCTGGCTCGTCTGGGCGGCGGCGAAGGGGAACGTGAGATCGAATTCGAGCGCGAGGGCGAGCGACGACGACGTGACTGTGAAGGTGGACGAGCACGCTCAGCGGCTTGGATTTGCATTCGTTTGGCATTGGCTGCCTCTCGCTGCGCTGTCTTGCGTTGTTCGGCCTCTGCCTTTCTGGCTTCGCGAGCTTCCGCACGCTCGATCTTGCGCCTCTCTTGCAGTTCTCTATCGAAGCCCTGACCGACTTCGTAGTCTGGTCGAATGTGAAGCGCTTTTGACAATTTGGCAGCCTCGAGTTGCTTTGCCTGAGCGATTCCGTGGGTATCCGAGTCTCTGTACGTGCCTCGCTTGACGGTATTAGAGGCGGCCGATTGGGTGCTCTCGCTCAGTAGCCTCTGTCGTAGCTCATCGACCCGGCGAGCGATCTCGTCCTCCTCAAGCTCTTCATCCTCCAGAGAGACTTGCAACTCGAGGCATTTCACCTCCACCCTTCGCTTCCGCTCGTGCTCGAGAATCTCCAGATTGGGCTGTCGGCCCGCAGAAGGAAGCTCGGCAAAGCCTTTGGTCTGCCTGTAGTCTTCACGATGACGGAGAGTCGACAGATTTTTGGTGATGTGGCCAGACGTGCCACTGCCTCGTGGCGTCGAGAGACCGATGCCTGTGTGAGCTCTGATCAGCACAGACATAGCTGAGACGCACGCTGCATACCGTTGTACGACATTGGGCCGAGCAGGTCGACGTTGGACTGTCCTAGGACGATGAAGTCGTACGGGTATACGTCTGGACTCGGCCCCCACCCTGCGTCTATCGCTCCAACCGTCTCCAGCGGTGTTGGGTCGACTGTCATGAGCGTGCGCCAGGTCCACCGAGCCTTGTCTCGCTCTGCCGCCAGACAATCTGCTCCTCTTCCGACGACAGCAGCTCGCAGACTGCCTCGACAGCCAGCACAAGCTCGCACTCATGCAACTGCTCTCGAGCCTGAACGCGAGCCCGCAAGAGGGCTCTTCGAGGACGAAAAGGCCATCTTGCTCGCAACAAAAGGCAGTGCAAGTGATGCGCCTCTGAGGAAACGATGGCAGCGGGCAGAGATACAGGAGATCTACGACTCGCCGCTCATGGAGCTCATCTTTCGCTCCGTGCGCTCTCGGCATCCTACCTGGCCGTACGTGGGCTCACGACCGCGCTTGCAGGCCACAGTACATCGCCAGCATCACGATCCATCGAAGATCCAGCTGTGCACGCTGCTCAATATCAAGTTTGTCGCGTTCGTACACTGCCAAGTGATGTCCAGCTGATGCGCGGCTTGGAGGACCGGTGGGTGCACCGAAGACTGCTCCTACTGCTCGCAATCGTCCAAACACAAGACTGGCCTCAAAGCGACCAAGTTGCTCGACCTCGAGCCTGTACTCATGCAAGTCACCCACCATGCCCAACGCGTCCGCCCACTCATGCCTTGCACACAGCGAGGCGCGAAAAGCCAAGGCAAACGGCTCGACTCGCTTCTGCATGGGCGCCGCATGGAGAGATCTTCACGGGCGGAAATCAGGCTTCAACAGGATTCTCGACATGGTCAGTGAGATCAGAGGAATGGGAATGGAAGTCTGTACGACTCTGGGCATGCTTGACAAAGATCAAGCACGCCGGCTGAAAGAAGCCGGTCTGACGGCTTACAACCACAATCTAGACACCTCGAGGGAATACTACCCAGAAGTGAGCTTGTCGGTAGTAGGCCCGCTGGCGTTGTTGACATTGACCGGGACCAGGTCATCACAACGCGGTCATACGACGAGCGACTGGCTACAATCGAGAATGTGCGCGAGGCGGGCATCTCAGTCTGTTCGGGCGGCATTATCGGTCTGGGCGAGAAAAAGGAGGATCGCGTGGGTCTCATCTGGGAAATGAGCAGGTCCGGATATCCTGCTTCAGCTGCTGATGTGGCTGACATGGCTACCAATGACAGGTTGCCGGAGCCGCCGGAGAGCTTTCCAGTCAATGCACTCGTTCCTATCGAAGGCACGCCACTGGGAGGCAACGAGGTAAGTCGTCTGTTCCTTCGAAATCGATCAAGCTGACGATGACTGATTGATTCTGCAGCAAGTCAAGATTCATGATATGCTCAGGACGATCGCAACAGCGCGACTGGTGCTACCGACGTAAGCTTACGTTTTCCTTCGGTAGCGGTCATCTGACAAGGTCGAGCAGCTCGATCATCCGGCTTGCAGCAGGTCGGATTACGTACACCGAAGCAGAGCAAGCGATGTGCTTCATGGCGGGTGCCAATGCCATCTTTACAGGCGAACGTATGCTCACCACGCCCACTTCTGGCTGGGATGAAGACGGTGCCATGCTCGAGCGATGGGGCATGCGCGGATTGGGCTCATTCGAAAGTCAGCGCATGCAGCCTCATGCTGCTCAGCCTATCGCATCTGCCACGCCTCCTGTAGAGGCTGTTGTGTAGATGCAAAGCGTGAGGTGCCCCAGCAGCGAGCGTCCTCTGCAAGAGACGCGTTCCATATGTTTCGTAGCTTCTGCTCACGTGCACTTCGGCAATGCCGGTGAGCGCCCAGGACTTCAGCTACTCTATCAGCTGAGTTGGAGATACCGCTTCACAGAAGGTAGCGTTGGCCATCAAGGCCCAATTGGAGGGCGTGACAGACTTGCATACGGTCTCTGTCGACGATTTCGTCTACTTTTTCAAAGCAAGTGCGCATCGCTCGCTCGCTACCTCAACACTGACAGACAGCCAACAGATCAAGTGCACGTCTTGTCATGAGGAACATCCAAAGGAGGTCGGCATGAGTAGAGACACCAAAGTTGAGAGTGCGGGCTCGAGAGGACTTGCGAGCTTTGTATGGTCTTGCCAGTTCTGCAACGTAAGCCGTCTCTCGTCTGTGACCTCAACAAGAGCTCATGATGAGGTCGGCTGTCAGCGCGAATCGACAGCCAGTAGGCTGACTCGCCCTCTGTGTCACCTTTCGCTCATGACATCCCAGATTTTGAGACGACCAATCGCAGTAGCAAGTATCAGACTCGGGAGCTCACTCAAGACGATCGCGACTTTGTTCCTATTGCTATACTCGACTGTCGCGGCCTCGAGCTCCTGTCATTCATCCCAAGAGTGCGTCTATCATCAGAGGAAAGGACGCGGCAGACTGACGGACCTGCAGGGAAAGTGGGTCTGTCGAGGTGCCGAGTCGCGCACAAAGTTCTTGGATATCGATGTACGTTCTCCCAACATTGTAAGGAAAGCACAGCGCTGATCAAAAGTCTGGACAGCTTTTCGATGAAGAAGGCGAAGAGTGGTCAGATTATGACGAGAAGGCAGCCGCGCCCGTTTCGATCACAGACTTTGAGTCGACCTTCTTGCGAGCGTAGCGTGCATGCATTAGACCGATAGCAGTAAGATGTATGTACAATAGGAGATAAACTTCGGGAAAAGTGGGCGAGAGCAACAAGCAGAGAGTGCGCACAGAATGCGTGAGGGGGATGGGTATCGATCAGGCTTGGTCTGCTTCGCCAGCCTCTTTGACTTGACTTGCCAGACTTTGCTTGCCGTCGTCGGACCTGAGCGAAGCTTTGTTGAACGCGCTCTGTACAAAGGCGATGCCGCGTTCGTCCTTTTGATCCTCGCTGAGTTGCGATGTAGGCACGCCTTCGTAGGGCTTGGTATCCTGGCTTTTCTCGCTAGATCCGTTCTGTTTGTCGTCAGCAGGCGCATCGCCTGTGCCGTTCAGGCGTTGCTCTTCCTCCTTGTCTTTCGCACCTTGCTGGACTTTCTCATTCCACTGCGCTTCCTTCTTCGCCGGATCGTCGTCAGGCTTGGACAGCCGCAGCTTCTCTTTGAGCTTGCCCGTCAGACTCTTCTTCTTCTTGCTCGCTGCACCGTACTTCTCCAAAGCGCCAATAGTGATCAGACTCTTTGAGATGTTCACTTTGGACATATCGACTCCCATCTCCTCGAGCTTTGCGACAAACTTTTTAAAGTGTTCTGTGCCCGCGCGATAGTGACCCGATAGTGGACTGAGTGAGGTGATCATGCCGTCTTGGGCTTTGATCAGACCGGCAGAGGTGACACGTGAGCCATAGAGGAAGGAGGAGTGTTGGAAAGACCCAGTCGTCTTGAGACCAGAGTAAATGTTGAACTTGGTGTCTGCGACGTAGATCCACGTGTTCTGCTTTGTGGTCTTTCGCAGGAGATGGTCCATGACGAATTTGGGCGAAGTCCAGTAGCCTGCTTTGCCTTTCTCATCTGTCGATCGATGTCCATACCCAGAATGCTCCTCGGCTTCGTGATCCGATGGATTCTCGTCAGATGACGAGTCTGACGTGTCCGAGCTGGGCAAGTCGCCGCGCTTCTTAGCAGCTTCGACATCTTTGTCGTCTACGCGCACGATGCCTTTGTCAGGTCCGCCGTCTTGCCATTTCCCTCGCCCGGTATCAAAAGCGACGTCGTTCTTGCGCCAGAAAAGTTTGCCCTCTTTGATGTAGAGACGGTAGTTCTGTCGCTGCTCGACGGAGAGGTAGGTGATTCGCTCCTTCTCGAGCCGCTCTCGAGGACAGTCGGGACCTGCATCAAAGTCTTTGCCGTCGCCGTCTGGAACGAAAAAGTCGCTCAGCAGTAAATAGTCAATGGCATCATTGTCAACGTACGATCAAGCCAATGGAAGAAGTTCTGGTTCGTGTCGTCTTTCTCTGACCAAGCCTGCCAGTAGAACTTGAGGTTGGACCCATAGCGATGCTTCTCGTCTACCAACTCAAGCCAGTGTTGCTTCTCGAGCTGTTTCGTCACCATTGCCTCCTTATCGCCCTTTTGCCTGTCCTTTGACGGCGTATCGCCTCCTTCGTCCTCATCACTGCCTGCACCGGTCGAGCCGTCCATGATCCGTCCGGCATAGAGTCCGCCCCGCTTCCAACGTGTTGCTGCGTCGTTCTTCGAGCCGTCAGCCGCATCTTTGTTGGCGTTCTTCATGGAGACATGGTTGAGTCCGTCGTTCCAGCGTGCGTTGGACGAGACGGAATGGCCTTTCGGCTTGTCCTCCTCTTGTCCAGCTCTCGCAGCTCCTCGATCCCCACCCGAGCCAGTTTGCTGGTCGGTGCTGCTGGACTCGGACTTCTTGGGTGGTCTGGACAAGTACATGCCACGCTGCTCTCTTCGACTCTTGAAGCCGCGATAGTGAGACTGCACGAGCAGAGCCGCCTTGCTCCTCGACTCATCCTGATCCCGGCTATCCTTGGGCGGGGCAGACGTCGGCTCTGGCTGAGCCTGAGAGGATTCGCCCTGTGACATGGTCTATCGTTCGGTCGGGTGTGCTGCCAGCTGACGTAGAGGAGAAGACCCCACGAGTGATCGAGCAGGCGCCACCCTCTCGGCTGACCGGTCGTCCTAGCTCCGCCGCCGCGTGGCAGTTGCTCTCTGCAAGGTGCACGTGAGTGCCCCGCCCTCCTTCACTTCTTTCAGTCTGCCGGCGGCCTGTCTTGATCTTGTGGGCGAGACGGGATGGTCAGCAAGGAGGAGCCCGTCACGGTCGCCGTCATCGGAGGGACGGGTCTGTACAAGCTAGACAATCTGCAAGTTGAAAAAGAGCTCGACCTCGACACTGCGTACGGCAAACCGTCGTCGGCCATCACGATTGCCCGGCTCGAGTCGGGCAAGCAAGTCGCTTTCCTCGCCCGACATGGCCATGGACATTCGATCACGCCGTCACATGTACCCGTCAGAGCTAACATTGCTGCGCTCAAGTCGCTCGGCGTGAGAGCGATCGTTGCTTTCAGTGCAGTCGGTCAGCCTGTCACGCTCTCGTGCAGTTGGAGAGTGAACTCAGAGAACAGAGGGTTGCAGGCAGCTTGAGAGAGGAGATCAGACCCAAAGATCTCGTGATACCCTCGCAGATCATAGACAGAACAAAAGGCATCAGACCGTCCACGTTCTTTGACGGTGGCATTGTTGCCCATGCCATGTTTGGCGACCCCTTCGATACTGCTCTGACGCGATTGCTCGGAGACATCGTCAAGGATGTGCTCAAGGACACCCAGGTCAAGCTGCACACGGGCAAGACCGTCGTCGTCATGGAGGGACCCCAATTCTCTACCCGAGCAGAATCACTCATGTACCGCCAATGGGGTGGCGATATCATCAACATGTCTGCCCTTCCCGAAGCTAAGCTCGCTCGGGAAGCAGAAATCAGGTCGGTCGTCTCGTATTTCCCCCAGAGGGAGCAGCGGCTGAAGAATCTCGGCTGGTAGTTACGCTCTCATCTGCACCTCGACAGATTATGACGCCTGGAGAGAGTCAGAAGAGCCAGTCACGGTAGCAGAGGTCATGGGAACACTCAAGGCCAACAGTGAGATCTCAAAGACCGTCGCCGCTGCCGTGCTCGACCATGTCCACGATGCGCTCTCGCACGAGAAGGGACTCATCAAACCAGAGGGAGGCATGCAGTACAGCATCGTCACTGCCAGACAACACTGGCCAGAGGAACAGGTCGAGAAGCTCAAGACGATCCTGCCGGCCTACTTTAGCTAGACGCTTGTTGTGCCATCATCGCCTTTAGATTTTCTGTTGAAGACGCGATATAAAAAAAAAATCCGTAGGCGAGCGGGCAAGTGACATGACAGCCATGTCTGGGGACTATGTCAAGCTGCTCAGAGGCATCGCAGAGCAGTCTTCATCGCTAGCACAGCGAGTGAAGGAGATTGCCACGTCAGCGTATCGCATGGCGTGCATGGGCACTCGCTGACGTGATGTCTGACAGTCTGAGCACGAGCGACGAGGATGAGCTTGCCTATCCCGACGGCATCTCTCTCCTCACGGCCAAGAACGATCTCTTGCTCGGCTACATCCAACAGCTCGTCTTTCTCCACCTGCACACCTCCCTCGCAGGCCAGCCACTCTCGAATCTGTCCTCCTCAGATAAAGAGGGAGCAACCGACCTTGTAGGCAATCTGATCAGGACACGTTTGATCCTAGAGAAGATCAGACCGATCGAGAGCAAGCTCAAGTATCAGATGGACAAGCTCATCCGCAAAGCGCACACCGCTGCTGACACGAACGGAAAGTCAAACGATCCGGCAGACCAAGAGCATGACGAGCTGGCGCAAGGTGTGCAAACGATCTGATGACAAGGTCTGATGTGCTCAACCCGCTGGCTCCGATAGATCCCCTGGCGTTCAGACCCAATCCAGCCGCTATGCTGGCAAGGCATACAGGCAGCGATGACGGCTCGGCTGCAGATGAAGATGAAGATGGCTATACCAATACTCACGCGCGCCCCGGCATTCCTCGTACGGGAATCTACAGGCCGCCCAGACTTGCTCCCGTGCCCTACTCTGAGAAACCTGGTAAATTGAGCCTACGCGACCCTACTCGCCGAGCTGACAGGGCCGCAGGTGGCAAGGGCAAAGGACGCGCGCCTGCCACCAATCTGCTCACCGATCTCGCTACCTCGCTCTCGTCTAGCAACCCGTACGCAGAGACGACCTCGGGCCTGTCCATCACGCCTACAGTGCACAATCGTCAGGCCAAGCGGCTGGCAGATATGAAGCGCTACGAGGAAGACAATATGACGCGCTTGTTCATGAAGAAAAAGGATAGCAAACGACGCAGACAGGACGAAGAAGAGGTTGCTCTCGGCGGTGGCAGTGGCTCGTCGGGCAGTCGCAGAAGAGGCCACGGAGGATTCGAGGGCGAACTCGGCGACGTCCTCGCCGCCATCTCCACCAACGGCAAACGCAACAAACGTGCCTACGATGAGATGTCCGCCTCTCGCGCACCCCGCTCAAAATCGCACAGCAGTAAACGCAGATCTTAAGACGCTCAAATTGCATGCTGAGCGAGCTTGCTCTCTTGCCGCCCATGAGCTAGCTACGAGCGACCTGCGGAGTTCTTCTTCCTCGCAGGGATGATGCGAAAGTCCGGTCCAGCCGGAGAAGCCATGGGCTTGGTCTTGAGCGCATCTGCCATTGAAGCCGGCTTCGCTGGCGCTTTCGGTTTGCTGGTCTCCATGTTAGCCACCGTGCCTGCTTTCTGAGCTTTGTAGTCCGCTTGTCGACGGGTGACGAATTCGTTGGCGAATCGTCTGCCGTCAAGCAGTCGACTATTCGCATAGACGCTATCCGATATGATTTCCAGCACGGTAGGATCGGGCTGGATGGGGAACGAGAGCAGGACTTGGATGAATCCTTCCGCTGCGACCGGATTGTCAGCTCGACATCATCACTCTTTGCGCGTTACTGACCTGGCACGGTCAAGCCCTTCAGCGCTTTGGTGCACCATTGCATAAAGGCCGGGCTCGGCGCAGGAGGTGCTTCAGCAGCGGGCGGAAGAGCAGGCGGTGCCTTGCTCGAGACGGCCGGTCGCGTACTTGGCTTACTTGTTGCTGCCGAACGCGCGGGCTCCGCCTTGAGTGCTGGTGCGCTCGCGCTAGTGCTGCGAACAGGCGCGACGGGCTTGACGACCGCTGGCGTCTTTCCAGATGCACCTACTGTGCTCCAAGGCTCTCCGGTCTGTAAGCCGGTATACTCAGTACGATGACCGGTTGGAAAAGGTGAATCGACTTACAGAGGCTGCAGGACCGGGAGCAGCCACGCCGGCATAGCCTCGAGTGGCAGTGCGCTGCTTAGCAGCAGCATTGGCCTTGGCCTGCTTCCTCGCAGCTTCTTCTTGCTGCTGTATCTCTTGCAGAGTCATTTTCTTCGTCTGCTCTTGTGATTTCTGCCACGCCGATGGCGTAGTAGCGGGAGGCGAATCGGTGGTCTGAGCCCAGCTGGTCGTACTGGGTAGGTTGGATCGCTCCTCTGCAGCCTCGCGAGCAGCGCGAGCCTCTGCGTCTGCAGCTAACTTGGCCGCTTTCGCTTCTCGGATGAGCTGTCGTCGCGATTTGGTCTCTTCTGCTTCCTTTGCCTGTATATCGCGCAGCGTCGCCGGCCTCTTGGCACTTGATGCCGAAGCGGTTCCATTCGGGACGCTGTTCCACGGCGAAGCCTTGACAGGCGCTGGCTCTGGCTTGGCCTCTTCGACGACCGGTGTCGCGAGTACAGTTTCTTTGACCGGCTCTGGCAATTGCTGCTGCACAGTCGGCTTAATGACAGGCTCCGGCTCCGGATCCGATTCAGGCTCAGGCTCGATCTTCATGGGCCCAGGCTCGTCTTGTGCAGGCTGTATGGGCGCAGTCGGCTCTGGCGGCTGTTCTGGATTGGCCAAACTGCGAACATAATCTGCAAGCGGTGACGGAGCTGGCTGTGGCAGAGGAGACGGCTCGAGCGGCTTGGGCTCTCCTCCAGGCGGGTCAAGCGACCAAGCGCTGTGCTGTCGCTGTCGCTGTGGCTGTGGCGGCACGGGCGTCGGTGCATCGTACGGCTGCGAATGTAGCTCGTTATAGGTTGGGCCGGCAAGATAGGATATCGTCGTCAGAGGCCGCTGAGGCACTGTTTGGTGAATACAAGAGCTTTGAGGAGGCAGCTGTGGCCTGTATTGGCTCTGCGATGGCAGCGAGGGAGAATAAGAGGGGCTCTGAGAGGGCAGTGAATGCGCGAAGAGCTCGGGCGGACGCTGAGAGCTGGCTGCATTGAGGAAGGGCGCAAATCGATCGCCTACTCGCAAGAGTAATGCACCTAGCGGCTCGAACGTTGGGACGGAGACCGGTTTGACAAGCAAGTCAGCATTGAAGAATTGCTGACGGTACCATTCCTGCATCTGTGAGCCAGAGAAAGGACCTAGAGATAGACTCGCTATCAGCATGCGGCGCACGCGCGCAATAAAAGTCCGCCTGCCTTGGACTTGACCACTCGGATCGCGGTACTGCCACTGGATGAGTTCGGGCGGGTCAGGCTGACTCAGTCCGGGCGGTGGACCACTACTTTGAGTGAGGCCATTGGCATGCGCTGAAGGTGAGGCGGCGCGAGTCTCACGCATATCATTTCGCGGATGCGCATCTTCGTCCAACGCGAGTGAGTCAAGCATTGACGAAGCGTTCCGCTCCATTCTGGTCAATGTATGATGTGTATACTCTCCCGGCTGAGCCGGGCGGGTCTGAGGCTCTTGCGCAGCCAGAGCTGCTCTGTCTGCAGATCGACGCCAGATGCCAACTGCCGGTTCTGGTTTGGTTTCGGCGGAAGTCTCGCGGGAGCGAGCATTGGCCGAGTCTATAGCTTGACCGTGCTCTCTCGTCTGTCGTGATCCCGGGGGAAGGACACCATTGCTTGGACCAGACTGTGCAGTGAGTTTGGCACTCGTGTGACGCGAATTCAAGGATCCCTGGAACGCCTGTCCGATCGATCAAGCTCAGCGCAGATTCAGTGGCCGAAGATGAGTATGACGAACGGTGCGTTCGGTGTCGGACATGGGTATGAAAGCCAAGGGAGTATTCGCTTGCTGAGCCAGAATGACATGATCCTTGTCGACCTGGATTGGCAACTCTGTCGTCGTGGTGGCAGACGGTGACCAAAGTGAGAGCATGTAGTCTCTCGACATGATGAACGGCGGCACCTTGACCGAGCCCGCTCTCTGCTCGAGCGAGTGTGCCTGATCGAGCTGAGCATTGGATTTTGTGGCTGGCGTCGTCCAGGAGGATGCTCCTGATGGGATTGTTGCACGCTCATGACTCGCCCAAGGCGAATTCACACTGCCCAGCTCTTGCCGCAGATGGGGTCGACTGGCAGGATCGAGCGGATGAAGAGCGGCCAGAGGACGAGCGGGTGCTCCTCCTATATGTCTGTTCGCTCCTGTCGCTCCGCTGACGTGGAGGTTGCTGCTGCTGCTGCTGCTTCCATCTGCACTGTTGCCTCTCATGAAAGCCGGACCAAAGTTGAGGGCTGAAGACATGGCTGCTCTGCTGCTCGACAGACCGTCGCCCTTTGACTTTGCCGTTGCTGCCTTTCGTCAAATTCTCGCGACGAGCCAGCCGGCTTGTCTTGCGCTCATCAGCCGGCTCGTCTGCCCTTTCCTCTCGGCGGCAGAGCTCGTGCCATGCGACCATGCTCACTCAGACGTCCGCTGGAGGGCCAGGCAAGATCGCTAGGCCGTCGATACGCCAGGTCGATGAGCCAGTCACGCCAACACGCAACAGCGACCTCGTTGGCCGACTCTCGACCCATGAGGCCTGTAAGCAGGGTCTATCCACCTATCGGACAGCCCACGCCGTCGAGTCACCCACAGCTGTTCAGCGAAGGCGAGCTGACGCCCGGCGTACAAGCAAAAGAGTATGAACAAAGGCGACAACGCTTGATCGACAGCTTGCCCGATGGATCAGTCTGCATCTCTGCCTCTGCGCCCGTCGCCTACATGTCACAGAAGATCTTGTAAGTCCCCAGCATACTCGTCAGGAGCGCTTCATCGCTGACATCCCGATATCCTTCAGCTACAAATACAGACAGGCGACCGATTTTTATTATTTGACTGGCTTTCAGGAGGCCAATTCGGCAGTCGTCCTGGGCAGGTCAAGAGCAGCTTCGTGTGCATCCAGCTGATCTTTCGGCGTGCAGAGAAAGACCCTTCGTGCAAGCGAGGCTTCAGGATGTCCCTCTTCGTCGCGCCAAAAGACATTGAGGAAGAGCTATGGAACGGCACGAGAACAGGCGTCACTGCAGCAGTAGACGTGTTCGACGCAGACGAGGCAAGCTTCTCCTCCCCCACACTCCCATATACAAGCACACTCGGATGACATCAAAACAACCGCACTGACATGCATGGCTTTCTGAGCTTTGCCTTGCGCATGGCCGAGCTGATCCGTTACAATTCTGATCCTCGCCTTCTGTCACCGAACAAGGAATTGGCATCATGCTGATCGCATGGCTGCAGGCTTTCGATATCGGTCAACTCGAGAATCGGCTAGAGACCATCTTGGCACGCACGAGCGGGCCGATCTATTGTGACACGCCGGAGAAAGCAACACGAACACGTGCAGGTCTCTTCACGCGATCTGCCGCTTCACAAGCCGTCATGGACTTTCTGTACCGCGGCAAGAGCGCTTCGTACCCTGCAGCAGCCGAGTCATCTCCCATCCTGCAAGTCCTCGCCGGCATGAGAGGCTCCCGTCAGATTCGACCCCTATGCGACAGAGTGGAGCAATTCAGATTGTACAAGAGTTCAGCAGAAGTGAGACTGATGCGACAAGCTGCCGAGCTATCTTGCGAGGCTCATGCGAAAGTGATGCGAAGAGCTCAACCGGGCATCAACCAAGCTGCGCTCGTTGCAGAATTCGAATATTACACCGCAAGCAAAGGTGCCGAACGACTTGCTTATGTACCCGTCTGTGCGTCGGGTCAAGCTGCTCTGACGATTCACTACACTGCAAACGATCGACCGCTAGAGGAAGGCTCGCTCGTGCTGTTTGACGCCGGTTGCGAGTACCAAGGCTATGCATCTGACATCACTCGCACTTTTCCCGTCGACGGTCGTTTCACTGGACCACAAGCTGACTTGTATCAAGCCGTCCTCAATGTCGAGAAAGCCTGCGTCGATCTCTGCACGGAGGATAACAACATGACGCTGAGCGATTTGCATGCGAGATCGTGTCAGCTCTTGCGGTCTGAGCTTAGCCAGCTTGGCTTCTCGTTCGGCTCCAACGAGCTATCGCGACTGTATCCGCATTTTATCGGTCACTGTCTCGTTAGTCTTCTCCGGCTTCACATTTGATACCGCTCATGCACCTAGACAGGGCCAAGATCTTCATGATACACTGAGCTGGGATAGGCATCAGAAGATCAAGGCAGGGATCGTCTTGACGATCGAACCGGGCATCTACGTACCCGCACACGCTTCATTCCCGCAGCACTTTCACGGGCTTGGCATCAGAGTCGAAGACGAAGTGCTCGTCGAACGCTCTCACAGTGTCAATCTGTCCGCAAACGGTCCAAAGGAGATCGTCGATGTAGAAGCAGCTTGCTTAGGTTTGCTAGAGCCTGTATGATGCATTGCCGAAACGTTTGTTGCATCCACTTGCGCCACCTCGTATTCAGTCAGACCACTCGTCCCCGTCAAATTCGTCTGCCTCCTCTTCTGAGAAATCGCCCTCAGCCTCGGCCCAGAACTGATCAGCGATGCGATCCTCGTCATCAGTGTCGTAGTGATCATAAGGAGCCAGCACGACGTCATCCTCTGTTTCCTCCAGCAAGTCCATGCCACGCTTGGCAAGAGCTGTTGCCATGCGATCGAATTTTCTGTAGTTGAAAGGGCCAGACTCGGCAGTCGTCAGATTGATCGTCTTTTGACAGAGCTTTACACTCTGCAGACGAGGCCATGTCTGCTCGCGCAAGCCTTCAAGAATACAATCGGCAGTCTTGCCATCGAAGTGTCTGCCCAGTCTGATCTCTTCGAGCAAAGGAGCCCGCATGAGCGGAAGAAAGTCGGCCACGCTCGAGATTGTAACGATGATCTTGCGCAGCTTGGGAAAGGCCAGCAACTCGCCCATAAATGAGTGGTAATCGGGGACGGTGACGCGATCAGACCATACCAGACGGAGCTCGAGAACTTCGAGATTGGCTTCGCGAAACGGTCTTGTGAGGAGTTCAAAGGTCTCCGCGTCGATTGCACAGTCGAGGTTGACGAAGCATGGACCCAACTTTTGTGGATCGATCTTGCTTCCCGTGATGCTTTTGGCCATACCACAGCGGGCGGCAACAACTGTGGGTTGAGGCGCTGATCGTCTTCAACTTGAGTCAGGACAAAGTCAGTCAATCTCGGAGACGCTTTGACCCATTTGGCGATGACGGGAGCATGACGGATCCTGACAAGTCGAGGCCTATCGAATGGACGGGCTTCTTCTGACGGGCAGATAACCGTCAGATGATCCACTCGGATCGCGCATGGCGGCGGGCTGGCAGCATGCGTGATAGGTTCCTGGCTGAACTCGTTCAGAATGACTTCGCTCACTTCAAGATGACTGAGCAGAGGTTAATCAAATCCCACGGTCGAGCGAGTCGCTGTGCAGAGATCAGCCGATAGACTCTTCTCTTCCTTGTCGCTACAGTAGAGATGGAGACCCCTGACGTTTTGAGCAAGATCCGGTAAAGTCCTGAGATCCGCAACGAGTCGAGTGATGTTGGGTATGGATCTTGCCTCGAGTAGCTTGAAGATGTGAGGCACGCAGGCTGCCCTGATCGCCTTGCATGTCACGCTCAGAGGCAAAAGGCATATTGGTCGGCTGACAAGTTGACTCGAGGGTGAGCAGTGCTCCGACGATTCCATGCAGAGCGTCGATCGGGAGGTCTTGTAGCCCAAGCGGCATCTTGACAATCGCAGAGTCGAGCAAAAAGATGAAGGCTAGTCGACGCAACGTGTCTGTCGTCTCTCTCTTTTGTCGCGTCTCCTCAACGTCTCCACGTCTCCTCCGTCTCGCGCACGATTGGCTCGACCGGTCTCGGCAACATGTCGAGCAAGGGTATAGATCCTATCCTGCTGTCTCTGATGGCACAGCGCCTTATGAGCATAGCGGAAGCCATGGGACGCACGCTCGCCCAGACTTCCATCTCAACCAATATCAAAGAGCGCCTCGATTATTCATGCGCTCTCTTCTCGCCCGAAGGCGATCTCGTGGCCAATGCGCCCCATCTGCCCGTCCATCTCGGCTCAATGTCATTCGCAGTACGGTATCAGGTCGATGCGCTCAAGAATTCGGGCGGGTTCAAGCAGGGAGACGTCATTCTGTCTAATCATCCTGTCGCCGGCGGATCTCACTTACCGGATTGTACTGCTATCAGCCCAGCCTACATCGATGGCAAGATTGCATTCTATGTCGCTTCTCGCGGACATCAGTGGGCTCGCACTTGTCAGCTCGCGGGAAAACCCGCTGAGATAGCGACTTGGCCTGCAGGACAGATGTAGGCGGCATGACAGCTGGATCAATGCCGCCAAATTCGAAATATCTCTACCAGGAAGGCGCAGCAATGGTCTCGTTCAAGATCGTACGGGAAGGCGAATATGATCGGGAGGGCTTGGTAAAGATCATGTGTGATGAGCCTGCCGCCTTTCCTGGCTGTGTCGGCTGTCGGTCATTTGCAGATGTGGAGAGCGACTTGCAAGCACAGATTGCAGCGAATCAGAAGGGTATCAATCTGATCGGTCAGCTGATTGACGAGTATGGCTTGGAGACAGTGCAGACTTATATGAGGTGAATTGTTCACTTGTGCGAAATGGACTGGGCTGAACTTCAGAGCAGACACATACGCGACAATGCGGAAGACGCTACACGAGCATTACTGAGACGGGTAGCGAAGGAGCAATCCAAAGCTCTGCATGCCGTGGACTACTTGGACGATGGGACACCCATCGAGCTCACCGTCACAATCGATGAAGAGACTGGCGATGCCGTCTTTGACTTCGAAGGCACAGGACCGGAGACACTGGGCAATCTCAACACGCCCGTCAGTGTCACATCCAGTGCGATCATCTACTGTCTGCGCGCCATGGTCGATCAACCCATACCGCTCAATCAGGGCTGCCTGGTACCTATCGAGATCAGACTACCGCCAGGCAGCATACTCAATCCCTCAAAAACGGCTGCGGTAGTAGGCGGTAACGTTTGCACATCACAGCGGGTAACAGATGTCTGTCTGAAAGCTTTCGGCGCTGCGGCAGATTCTCAGGGCGATTGCAATAACCTCACTTTCGGCAAGAACGATCCCGAGGGATCTTCGTTTGGCTACTATGAAACGATCGCAGGAGGGAGCGGTGCAGGTCCGACGTGGTCGGGGACGGCCGGCACACAAGTGCACATGACCAATACTCGCTCGACAGATCCAGAGATCTTGGAAAGACGGTACCCTCTCATCTTGCATCAATTTGCGATTCGCACAGGCAGCGGTGGCAAGGGTAGACACAATGGAGGAGATGGCGTGATAAGAGAGATCGAGTTCCTGGAAGAAATGGAATGCTCCATCTTGTCTGAGCGGCGAGTGTTTGCGCCGCATGGCATCGAGGGCGGTGGTGACGGGTTGCGAGGAGAGAATACGTGGGTCAAGCAGAGGAGGAAAGAGGATGGCGATCTGGAAGATGATGAACATGCGCAAGCGAGGATGATCAACATCGGCGGCAAGCAGACTGTCAAGATGGGCAGAGGCGATCGGATACTCGTCAAGACACCGGGCGGTGGTGCTTATGGTGCTCCCTCTGATGACCAGGAACCGCAAGAAAGAGTCAATGCGCACGAGCCGATGACGAGAGGGAGCCTGTCAGAACGACAGAACGCCCACGAGCAAAGTTCATAGATTGGCGCATGCTGTTGTCACGAGAAACGCGCCGAGATTTGAACGTTTGAACTTTGTTCGAGTGCGCTCGCTGCCGCCGTTTGAGCTGGATCAGGATGAGCCGCAAGAGGTCAGCCTTGGTTGATCAAGATCGTAGCGCTTGCTGACCCAAGGATGGTGACAGCACGACAGACTTGATCGTGCGAGTGCGGTATTCGAATCCGCTACCGCCTCCGCCATTGGCTCCAAAGCTGCTCTCGCTCGCCACAGACCGGGACCGGTTCGCCAACTTTGACTTTCTGCAGCCGCTACAGACAGAACGGGATGTCAGCCTCATCGTCGATCCTGAGCTCGGCATGCCCCTCGAGCTGGGAGTCGGGGATGGAGCCTACTGGGAGAACGACTTTACCCGTTCGTCTTGCTAGCAGCCGCAATGGCGTCGACGTTCAGCATTACTCATGCGAGAGAACAGGGATCTGTCCGACAGAACAGGCTCAAGAGATGGACTTGGAGGACCTCTTCCTGTTGGAAGATCCAGACATGCCGAGCACGTCGAATGGCTATCCTGTCGCGAGCGGTTCGATCGGCACTGCGCCTGGTACACCACGCAAAGGTGGCTTGGACAGAGCGGCACCCTTCCTTCGTCGGGCAGTCCGAATGCCGGCTTCAGATGCAGGCATGACAATGGATTCGTCCATATTGTCGGTCGACACCTAGCTCTTCATTTGGGTTGAGCTCATTGGGCAATTTGCAGACAAGAGACGCTCGACAACAAGCCACGCACGCTCGAGGAGGAGTTACAAGCCATAGAGCTAGGCTTCGAAGCTGCTCAGCGACCGATCGCTTCGCTCAAGCATCCCACCAAGCCGGGCCTGACCGCCGTAGAAGCTCACGAGTTCTTACCCGATCTCGACGCATGGCACAACACTTTCGAATTGCTACGCTACTCAGATGATCCTGCAGAAGAGCTAGGCACCATCTTTCAACAAGAAGGCGCGAATGACAGATCGAGAGTGAGTTTATCGCTAAATGACGGCCTGCCAGCGTAGCTAAACACTATATCACAGTTGCCGAGCGCGATCGCTGAAAGACTGTCGCATGCGCTACTGAGGCCTATATTGCTTCAAGGACGACCGCCCCAGCTGTCATACTATCTTCTGTCGGAGCCCGAAGCCGCTGCAGCATTCAGAGAGCGCAAGGCTGAGTTGCCCACTGCGGACACCATGGGTGCATACGAGAACCTCATGCTCAATGGAGAGGTCCGTCGCTCTTGTCGCGTCGTTGAGAACGGAGCCTGACATGCACCATGACAGCCTTTCGACTATCGCTACGTCCGCGAATATGAAATCGGCAACGAGCGAGAACTCTTGGGCGAGTATTTTGTCTCGCTACGGCGGCCTGCACCGCAGTCAAAAAATGCGCAATGTGCGCCACTTCAGAACGATGCAGCTATCCGGACAGACCAGAACGGCGACACGCATTATGCAACGGAAGCAGAGCAACTTGCGACTGCACATAGTGCTTCGGCTTTCTTCGTCCCTGCTGCCAAAGTGGTCCAGATACGCAAGCACCGACAACAGGTCCGCTCTTTTCTCCGCAGTCTCATGGATGGACTTTTGAGGCCTTCGCGTACAGACGGCTGGTGCTTATCAGGACGGCAACGAGGAGGAGGATTACCAGTTCTGGCATCGTATCTCAGCCTGTCTGGGCTCGCCACTCACACTGGAGCTTCTCGCAGAGCGGCAAGCCAGGTTCGAAGCTGTCATGGGTGCCCAAGTTGAGCAGCCAATGCAGTGAAGAATGCATGCCATCCATGTTGTTCCACCGTCGTCTTGTCGCGTGCCGAGTGACGCGAATTTTGGCTTGAAAGGGCGTGAGCGTGCGCTCGAGCGTAGCCGGACTTGTCTGCCCATTGACGAATTCAGAAGGCGCCTGACCGCACCGTTGGCTTGCGAGGCAGCCAGGGAGAGCTCTGAGCCAGGAACAGGGCGAGGTCGGGACACCGAAGGCACGGCAGACAGGCGCATCAGGAACGCTTTCACTTTTCAGGCCTGTCGAGGCCGTCAATCGCACCACGAGACCGTCAAGGCCCCTTGCAGAGACTTCTTAGGACACACAAGGAGTGAGGAGCAGCTCTGACAGCTATGTTTACAGCCTTGCGAGTCTAGTCAAGATACAACTTGACGAGCGGCCGTCTTGCTCGAGGTGCACGACGCCATGGACAGCCAGAGATTGACGTGAGCGCTCATCGTCCGCCAGACTTGGCAAGGGCTGATCGACGATTGGACCGGCCACAGTGAGAGAGAGCTTCAGGCAGAGATTGACTCGCTACATTCGCTCAGGAGGAGGTCAATCAGCTCGCCCGTCGAGGGTATCGACCCTGATCTGCCGCCCTCCCTTACGCCCTCGCTGTCCCGCAACAATCCTCAATCTCACCAGGGCTATGCTTCAGGGTCGAACGCACCGCCCGAGCTGAACCATCGCCAGTCAGCCGGTCATCATACGACTTTACGCCAATCGCCAAGCCAAGCCCAAATCACAGAGGAGAGCACGACGACTGGCGCGAAGGATCGCTTCAGCAGGGACAGCGCTCATAGCACAGGCACCACGAGCGATGCTTCACGCTACCATTCCCGTGATAGCTCATCGCAGGACTCTACAGCCTCAATGTCGACCTCTGAAACCTCTGTAGAGACAGCCGGCTCGGCCCTCACCGAGCGACTCGATCACGAGCAGCCACAGCGCAAGCCGGCGAGGACGAGTCCACCCAGGCGAAGGACCATCGGGCCCCGTGACCCGCTCGTGTCCTCTGGGCGTGCTACGTCCGCTTATCAGTCCAGCCCTGGGCAAGACAGTCACGATGACGCTTTCGCCTCGACGTATGGACCATCTTCATCTACCGGTCATACTTCGAGCTCCGGCTCGCCCATGACGTCGAACCTTTCCACACCTTTCTCTTCGCCTTCTCCTTCGCAGTATGACGACCTCAAAGCGAGCGAATTCGAGCAGCAGCTCTACTGGCTACCCGCCCGCTTACATCCCGAGATTGCTCCCGACGAGTTTAGAAACTTCATAAAGGATCAGACCAATCCCGAGAACCTAGCACGAAGGTCCAGCGGTGGCCGATACGGCAGTCACCTCGAAGGCAGCTCTTCCCTCAGCAGGCAGCGATCCGGGCCCCAAGCTCAGTCACGTCGACTCAGTCAAAGCGATGGATCTTCTGCTCCGCCTACGAGCGCCAATCTTGCCCGGAAGCGAAGCATGCTCAGCAGACAGTATTTACCTTCTGCAGACGATGGTGTCGGCGATAAACCAAGCGAAGGTCGCGCTCGCTCGCATTCGCCTCCTCCGCCCTTGCCAACGTCTACTTCGCTTGAAGCGGCAGACGGCCTTGCGCCGTCTGCGGGCTCGGGTATCTCGCGCGTCGGTGGCAGTCTAAGGCGAAGCCGTTCGGGCATGGATCACCTCACGATTGAGGATCTTCAGAATCTCGAGCGCATGGCGAATCAGGCCCAGGATGCCACGGATAGCCAGAATGGCGCAACGGGTCTGCGAAGGAAGCTCAGCCTCAACCCTGCTCTGATGCTCGAAGGTACGCTCGCTCCGTTGCAGATGATGACTTGCGTTCATGTCCCTCGCTTACAGCCCTGTCCGAGAACCAAGCGCTGCAGCAACAACAGCAACAACAGCAGCAACAAATCCACCAGGATGAGCACGCTGATGCGCCGCTTGTCGGACCTTCCCAAGGCACCATATTGCGCAGAGGCGCTCGTACGCGTCATGGCAAGGCACCAGAAGATGATCCAGCCGTTGAACGACCCCCTCAACGGTTTGGTCCTGGTCGTCGAACAAAGGGACCGCGCAGTGCAGGCGTGCCTGGCTTGCCCGGAGCCGCTGCATCAAGCGAGTCGCTTCCAATCTCAAGTGATCGTCGTGGTAGTGCCGGCAGCGACGAGATCTCTGAAGGCGGTCATGAAGCTTTCGAGCCTGTCAGCAAGCAGACAAGTCCTCAGGCGCCATTGCCGCCAGTCAAAGAAGTCGCATCGCCGAGCCTTGTAGCGCAAGATATCGAGCCGGACATGCAGGACTCTTCAGACCGACCGCCGCGCGATAGTCCTCCTCGACTGATAGCACGACCAATGGAAGCTGCACCTCCTTTGCCAGCAGCTGAAGTTCCCAGGGCGCCAGCTGTGCCAGAGATACCTTTGCCACCCATCTCGCCCGTGCACGAGATCGCTCCACCAACGGTGCCCGAGAGGCCGACAGTGTCGGTACCGACGACGCCGGTGCAGACCAGCAAAGCAAAGAAGTCTGGCTGGGCTAAGCTCGGCTTCACACGCAAAGATTCGACGGGATCTACCAAATCGTCCCAGTCAAAGACCGTCAATGACGACTCTGACCGCGCGAGCATCATCTCCACTGGCTCTGATTCTGTCGGATCTATCTTGCGTAGATCCAAGAAGGAGAAGCGGCAATCTGAGCCGGCCAGCCTTGACAATGAGAAGGCAGAGCGGACGGAGAAGGAACCGAGCTTCTTTGGCAGTCTCTTCTCTAGTCGCAAGAAGCGCGACACGGAAGGCTCTCAACACGAGAATCGCAATGGCTTGTACAGTCCGGCGGAGATCGTGCCTTCGCCAACAGCATCCGGCATGCTCAACAAGAGCGGCAAATATACCAACTTTTATAGGCTGCCAATTCACGTCGAGCGGGCAATCTATAGGCTGTCACACATCAAGCTAGCCAATCCCAGGAGACCCCTTTACGAGCAAGTTCTGATCTCCAATTTGTGCGTTCGAGCAAGTAGCGCGCCTTGTCCACTGACCCGTGTTTGTGCAGGATGTTCTGGTACCTTGGTGTGATAAATCGACCCGTGCAGCCAATACAGCCAATACAACCAGCTCCGGTACCGCTTTACGCTCCTGAACAGGAGGTCGATACTCCATTGCCGATCGATGAGGAAGAAGTCAGACCGGTCGAGACTGAGCGCCAGAGGACCGACTCGCGGGCCACAGAGCCTGCAGAAGAGACGAGGCGGTCTCTACGTCCCGCTGAATCGCTGCGCCCCAACTCAAGCTCGCATAGCAATCGCACGCTCACGAAGAGCAAGCCTGCAGCATCCAAGCCCGTCGCAACCGATATCAGTTACGAAGCTCAAGCTGCCGCCGTGACCGGCCGAGGCCTAGGTCTGACAGATGCTTCGGACGAGTCTGGGCGGCCGTTGATCGTCTCCAATCGCGCCAACGTCGATTCTGGCTTCGAGGTCGTCAGGCCTTCGTCTGCTCGAGACGAGGGCAGTGCTCGCGATCATCAGCAAAAGACCAAGCATCGAACAGAGAAGGACCAGAAGCGGACGAGCTACGATCCCGTCGATCTCATCAGCTCGTACAACAACGACCAGAGGAGGCATTCGAAGCATGCCGCTCTGCCTCCCGGATTAGCGCCCGAGTCGAACGAAGCGCACCGGCAGACTGTCAAAGTCGCAGAGAGGCCCGTACGGGATGCGTCTCTCAAACAGAGGTCAGAGAACCAGCGATCCTTCTCGCTCAAGCCGTCAGGCCCGCGCACGGTCAATCAGCATCAGTGAGCAGCAGCCTGTAAAGAAAGCGTCACCATAGTCATCATCCCCGCGCAAACGAATTGTCCTTTGCACTTGTATCACGCCAAAAATGTTGTGTGCCTCTTAGCGCTCAAATTGCACTGTCCGTTCCGCTCCCGGAAGAGATGCATAGCACTTGTTCTCGCGCACATGCGCAGAGAGGTACAGAGGTTTACATGATCGTTCGGCTCAAGCGCGCTCCTTCTCACGTTGCTTGCGTCGCTGATCACGCTCCTCTGCGATCGAGAGCTTGATGCCCTTGCCCTTGGGCAGGCTGACCCATGCCTTTGAGCCCTCACCGACGAGGAAGACGTTGCCCAGACGGGTCGAGAAGGTGTGGTCCATCGAGTCTCTCACGTGAACAATGTCGAATCCGCCCATGTGACGCTCCCGGTGGACGATGACGCCTGCGCGACCCATGTTGCGACCGCCGGTGCACATGACGAGGTTGCCGACTTCAAACTTGATGTGGCCGTCAATCTTGTGGACTGTTGCGACGGCAGAAGCAGCACCGGAGTGCGTCGCGGCTGGGTTGATCGTGTCTGGCAGGACGAGCTTGATCGAGTCGTTGACCTTGATGGCCGGGTCAGGGTAGCGGATCGTTCGGCCGTCGTGAGTGACGAGATAGGGGACACCCTTTGCGCCTAGCTGGACCTTCTTGACCTTGCAGAGTTTGTCTACAAGCGGGAGTTCCATCAGTTTACGCTCAGTCTGCGACGAGAGGAGTGAGGCTGACATTGCGCTTCCTCGGCGGTGATGCGATGGATAGCGAAGCGACCCTTGACATCGTACAGGATTCGGAAGTGTTCGCCAGACTTTTCGATGGACACAACGTCTGTCGTGGGCAGCAAGGTCAGAGGTCTCCTCGTCTGTCAGCGTCACCTTGACTGACCCATGAAGCCGGTCGGGTAGGTAGGATCAGTTCTCACTTTGCCGTCGACCTTGATGAGTCGTTGGGCGACGATGAGCGTCACCTCTCGTCCAGTCAAAGCGTATTTGAGTCGGTTTCGCAAAAAGACAGACATCGGCATCGCTTCTCTCAGTTTGTGAGGACCGGGCGAGGCTCGGGGTGCATAGGTACCGCCGAGCTTGTCGAGCATGAGCGCTGACGGCGCATTCAAGCGCTTGAGGTGCTTCCTCGCTCCCTTGTAGCCCATCTTTGTCGGAGTAGTCCACTCGCCCTGCCGCGTTCAGGCTGGTGGCAGCTTTTCATCGACTTTCACTTGGGCGCTCATCATGAAAGATTTGACGCGCACAATACACGAATGCACGTGCAGCGCGTCACTTCCAAGACGAGCTCGGCTGATGGACAAAGATGTGTGCCGGCAGCCTCGCCTGACATTCACACATGGCGTGCTCGTCGGACAAGGCTCTCTGTCGGTTCTCTACACTCATTGGGATCGCAAGACGCTCATCCTTTTGCCGGGCAGAATTGTCCTCGTTGCGCTCTTCTTGCGCTATTTCGTCTTCTCTGTCGGGTCCAACGAAGCAGCAGCACGTCGTCAGGTGCGTCGATTGCGCACTAGATTGCTTGAGAGCTGAGTCATCAGTGGCGAGGAACAGCTAGCATCGCTTCGACGGAAGCAGCAACGGCGGCACCACCGCGCCCAATCTGCGTTCTCTACCTTTGAAGGCGTCCCTCCACCCGACACGGCTATACTAGAGAAGCTAGGCTACGACTTGTCTCATCATGCACCCGAACCGGCAGACTGGCTCAATGTTCTCATCGCTCAGGCCACCGCGGGATATCGCGCCATGGTCGTCAATGCCGGCAAGGAGGGCGGCAGAGGCGCCAAAGGCTTTGTAGAGGATGCTATGAACGATGTCAAAGCAGCAGAAGCCGCAAAGAACGCGAGCATGCTCATCGACCTGGTCAGTGCAGGGCAGCAACGAGCCAGACCACCGCTTACTCGTTTCCGTCTGATAGGATCACATCAGCATCAAGGACCTCGACTTTGGGCAGGACTATCCCGTCGTGTCCAACGCACGAGTCAGACCAAGCGAAGAGCCTGGCTGTACCGTAGGTGCCTGTCTGGGGTGAATTGCGCGTGGGCTGAGATGCGTGGCAGAGGATCGAGCTAGACGTCGATTATACAGATCATGTCTCTATAAGCCTAGATACCCAAGTGCTTGTCAACTTACCTCGACCGCGGTTCGCGATGCTGCCCATCAGTCTGACGCTCACACTAGCGCGCTTCTCCGCCACGCTCACGCTCGAGATACCCACAACGCAAACGGAGGATCCGCCTTCTGTCATGTGTTCGCTTCATCCAGATTTCACTCTCGATCTGACGTCGACGTCGCTCATCGGCTCAAGAGCGAAATTGCAAGACATACCCAAGATCGAGCAACTCATCACTTCGAGGTTGCGAGGCGCCATTGTCGATCGTGTCGTCTGGCCTCGCAAATTCGGCATTCGACTGCCCACGATCGGGCGGAAGACTGTCGTGGATGACTTTGTCTGGATTGACGAGGATGAGTCGCTCGAGCAAGCCGAGGATGATTTGCACGATCGTTCGCAAGGCACGTCTGACTCTTTGCTTGCGACAACACCCGGCGATATCTTTGCAGCCGCGAGTGATGCATTGGCCGCAGATGCGCCTGATTTCGAGGTCAGCCACGGTGAAGGTAGTCACGTACACCATCTGGGTGGAGCGGGACGGCGACAAGGCGAGAGGCATTCGAACCAGTCGACACCTCGAGCGCGACAAGAGTCGAGTCGGTCGATGATGACGCAAAGCTCATACCAGCCCACGAGGAAGGCTCCCGGCAAGCTCACAGCGCGCGATACCAATCTTGCAGATTCTGTGTCCGAGTCAGCTTCTGACTATCGTCCGAGGTCGTCGTACGGTAGCACAAGCGCAGGATTGGGCAGGACCTCTGCACTTGATGCCGGTCGGCAAAGAGGTAGCATCGATGCTGCTGATATCTTACGGCAGCGGCAGTTTGCACAAGCACAACAGCAGGCGCACAATCCGTTTAGAGCGAGACCGCCGGTCAGCATGAGCGGCGGGGGAGGAGATCGTGGTATGGATTTCCTGCCACCGGGCAGACTGAGAGGCACTTTGTGAGCACAGCAGCAAGCACAATGTGTTGTATGCATTCGACTATTGACAACTCTAGCATTACACACGATAGCTGGAACAAGAGACTGTACAACGGACAGTATCAGGCTAGGGCGGAACCGAGTACTTTCAGTGCGAGTGCTCGGATGATGGCAGTGCGTTGGACGGCATCGAGATCTTTGAAAACGGCCATGACGCTTCTACCCTTTGCATCCCGAATGGAGCCTAATCTACCGCCACCGTAGCCACCGATAGCAGCTCCTCTAGATAATATCGTGTGAGCTTCATGCACGAGAGAGCGTAATGAATCATCACTGACGGTATATTGCCTAGAATGAAGCCGATAACCGCACCCGCGCCCATGCCAAGATACTTATAGAGTGGCTGTCAAAGTCGCATGCTATCAGCATGATGAACATGTAGATCTCGGTGCGACTGACCATGTGGTGTTCAACCTCTGGCCTGAGCAGGTCCTCAAAGACATTGCCAAAGATACCATCTGGATCTGGTCTACCTTGCTCCTGCTCATCATCCTCTTGCTTGAACTGTTGGTCGCCTGTCGAGCTGGTCGATGCGCCGGGCGTTCCCGTAGCGGAAGCGAAGAAGGACTTGAAGAAGTCTGCGCTCGACTGCTCTGATGTCGACCTGGAGGGTCGCTGTCGATATTCTACGTCGTACTCCCTCCGGCGCTGGGGATCAGAGAGGACATAGTAGGCATCTGCTACCTTTTGGAACTCTGCCGTCTTGGCTCGTCGCTCTGATTCTGTTGCGTCGGGTGACAGCCGGTCAGGATGGGAGCGTAGTGACTCTTTGCGATATGCCTGACGTATATCGGCCGTCGTTGCCTGCTGCCACTCTGAGCTGCATCAAGCGCGTATAGCCAATCCAGTGCGCACCTTGGAGTCGATCTTGAGGATTGCATAGTAGTCTGGAAGAGCGGCCATGGATGCGTCACTCACAGGCTTGTCAGGGAACACGTCGTCGTCGTCATAGCAACTGCCCAGACGCCCCCTTCAAGCTTATAAACTTGCCGCAGACGCGCATCGCTATATTACGCTACGTGTCGACATCAGCGGCTCGTCCTTGCGCCGACATGCAAGGAGAGGACTCGATCGGGTCTCGCCTCCGTCGACGTCGACGAGGACTATCCCCGGAAGGTGCTTGCTTTGCTGCGACGTCATCTGATGACCTCACAACGCCCGCGGAGAGCTGCGAGTCAGATGACCTGTCCAAGCTGCTTCTCGCCGGGGAACACTCGAATCCATCGCCCCCCGAAGCTGCACAATCTATTCCGGACACCCAACAAGGTCCTATTGAGCCTACAGTAGCGAGCGAACCAGGGCCAGACTCGAGCGAGCAAGAGCGAGTATGCAGGATCTGTTTCTGTTCGGACAGCGACTCGCCCGAGCTAGGTCCACTCTTCTCGCCCTGCCTGTGCAGGGGCACGATGAGCTCGGTCCACACGGTCTGCCTGAACGAATGGCGATCGAAGAGCCAAGTGTCAACGTCCTACTTTGCATGCGATCAATGCAAATATCATTACCGACTTCAACGTACAAAGATCGTTGGTCTAGCGCAGAACAAGGCTGCTCTCTATGCTCTGACGGGAGTCTTGTTCTTCGTGATCACCTTTCTGGCTGGATTCGCCGCCAGCTGGACCGTCGACTCGTACACGCTCGTGCCAGGCGGGCTGACAGTGCTGGACGACGGTCTGCTCGTGTCAGAGATAACCAAGGGAGCGGTAAGGATAGCGGACCACCAGACCCGCTCCCTTGCCGAGTTCGACGATGAGGCAGCTGAAGAAGACGGACCTTTCTACTTTCACATCGTCAAGAAACACCAACCTGAGGCAAATGAGGACACTGCGCTCACCTGTAGCCAAAGAATGAGGCGCTGGTCACTTCGCGCCGTCAGACACTTCACGCTTGGCTTCTCCCTCATCGGCATCCTTTCGTTCTTGCAACTCCTCATCGGCCTCAGCTTGCTGGCACCACTCAACCATATGCCGCCTGTTTACCGCCACATGCGCGGGTTTGCTCGGCGGTCTAACAATGCAGACTCGAACAGTCCCAACATGGTCACCTTTCTTCTCATCGCTTTCGTCGTCGTAGGAGTATGCAATCGTGCCTGCTCGGCGTCCCTGGCTGATGCTTATTCTGCACAGGTTGGCAAAGCTATCGTGTCCACCTTCCGACTGGTACAGCTCATCTCGCGTTGGGTCTTGCGCAGAGTAGAGGCTCGCGTGCTCGAAGTTCAATAGGTCTCAGTATGCATTGCTGTACGCCCTCTCTGTAGCCTCAGGCTGTGATTTGTCGTTGTAGGAATCACTTTATTGCACAACAACACCTGCTAATACTTCATCATCGTCGCCCGTGTTCGTCATCTGCCCCGATCAGCCAGCCTATGCCGCCCGTCAGCGCGTTCTTCAGTCGCTCGGCGCCCAATTCAGGTTGCCTGTGATCGCCACTGCTCGTGCGCTCGTGCGAAGGAGAGTTTCTGAACGGCAAGTAGGAGGTGGCGGCCCTTCCAAGAGATCTAGCAGCTCGCGCCGCTGCCTCCGATGACAATTGGGCAGATTGCGCTTGCATGGCTGTCACTGATTGGGAGAAGAGCGCTGTACCAGGTGTTGCTGGATCTTTCCCCTTGCGCGCGGAGCTCGCAAAGACTTCCTGCTCGACTTTGCGCCAGTACGTCAGCATCTCCGGGATTCGGTCGACTGGGCAGAGCAGTAGTGAGCTGCCAAGCAACTTCGAGCGTCGCACGCAATCCCGATATTCCGGATTGGCGCCCAGCTGATAACAAGACTGCCAAGCAAATTTCGCTGCTTCCTCGGCTAGCTGTGCTTGTGCAGAGACGCGACGCATGCTAGCAACTGCTTCGACCATCCGATCGCTGAGCTCTGCAGCTTTGGGCCAGTCATGAGATTTAAGCGCGGATTGTGCAAGCATGGAGAGCACCCGCACTTCCGCCAGCTTATCGTGTCGATAGCCAAGCTTGAGCGCCAGATCGAGCAACACATCAGGGTGGCGGTATGCGTCTTCGTTGCTCGCCAAGAGTCGCTCGAGAAGCGCTAACTTGTCGTCGTACATACGAACCTCGATAGGACTCAAGCTGGAAGATGACTTGAAGCTCGCCAGTCGGCTCGTGGCTTCAATAAACTCGCGTTCCCGTCTTATCTCTGGACTCGGCTGACATACAGTCAAGCTGCATGCTCTTGTCAGCCTCGTCGGAAGAATTTTGTGTAATGAGCGCACCATTCGTATGCAAGTTGCATGTTACCCTTGTGCATGTTGAGGGTATCAGACGTATCGTAGAGTTCCCGTGAAGCCAGCAGAACAAGCTCGCGCTCAGTTTCAAGTCCCAGAGGTCGCTCGCCGGTCGATGGATTGAGTAGACTTCGGGCGAGCGTAAATTCTGCCATCTAGTCAGACATCACTCTGTTCAAGAGATGTCAAACTTACTGCCAGCTGCGAGCAGGCCAGAGAAAAATGTCCGCAGAATCTCGTCTTTTGTAAGGAGATGGAACGGTCCAGAGGCTCCACTTTCGCCCGGCCGGGTGAGCTGCACCATGTCATCCATCAAACCGACCCATTCGTCTTCGCTGTCAAATTGAGCGCCTCCCTCTTCGATAGGTCCAGCAGCTTGTCGAGCCATCTTGGTTGCATATGCTTGCTGTGCAGCTTTGTTATCTTGGGTGTTGAGAAACCAGGCCAGATTGGTGGGCACGCTCCATTTAGCGAAAATCTCTGCAGACAGCAAATGTACGTCTAGGTGATCCAGCGCACGAGACAATTCTGTCCGGTTGACGGCAGCCAACTGATTATACAGGCTCTGTGCTGGGCCCTGCTTTGTGGAGATCGCTTCGTTGACGGCTTGCAGAGCGTAAAACACTGCATTTGGGCCCGTGGCGTTAGGATCTGTAGCGTCTTCGAAAGCCGGCATGCATTCGAAGACTTTGCTCATCGTGTCCCAGCTCTCGAGGCTTTTGTTGGCATACAAAGCAGCTAAAGCCAAGCGAGCAAGGGCGTCGTCAGACTTTATGATGCGCTGTGCGTCCGGCAATGTTGGCTTCGAGGCCTGAACGACTGCTGCAAACAGGTCCAAGCGAGATTCAGAGACCGACAGGATGTAGTCGCGCAGCATGCGCTGAGGCAACTGCGAGTCTGCCTTGCCTTGTCGCTCGTACCTGCTCTCGAGCACGTACAAGAATGGCAAGGCCAGCCTTCGGATATCGACAGCAATAGTCTCGGGCGTCGAGCGAGCAAGGTAAGTCCTCAAAATCTGTTCATCGCTTGCGGCACGCCAGGTAAGCAGTGTCCAAGGCGCCTCTGTCGCCCTTGCCGTGCGTGACACAGGCGGTCTATCGTAGACGAGCTTCGATAGCAGACTGAGCTCCTCGCCCAGAGCATCGAGCTCAGCTACGCCTTGAGACGCGCCGTGCTGTACGAGCGAGAGAGCAATGTCCGTGAGACCGTATGTGCTGTCAATGCGCTCTGCTCGACGTCGATACCATTCTGACAGCGCTTCAGCGGATGGCAAGGCGCGAGCAGAAGCTATCTTGGGCGACGGCACGTTGTCCAGTCTAGCGAGAGCGGATGCCAGCGTAGGGTGTGAGGACCAATCTGACGGTCTGACAGTGAGGCTGAGTGCGTCCGGTCGTAGCATATCAGCGTATGCCGACGGGTCTGCGTATTCGGGCAAGCAGTCTACCAGGTCAAGCAGATGGGTCGAGAGCACATCAAAGTGACGCTCGATCAGTATGCGCAGATCGATTGCATTTCCGGCTGCAGCAGCTTGATATGCTACTTGCAGGAGTGGCTGCTCAAGGAAAGCTGCTAGGCGTGCGCCCAGAGTGAGCGTGCTCGGCTTGGCCTGCGCCTGCGTTGTTCGTTCGGCCGGGTCCTCATCCGCTGCCCAGGGATCCTCATCAAGCTCTATCTCTGGCTCGTCTTCCGATCTACGTGCGTGACTGAGCAGGGCAAAGGTTTCAAAGTCGTACGATAGCTCGCACAAGTTCTTCCTGAGCAAACAGGTCCTGTGAGCCTCGGGCGACGCGGCAAAGAGCGTCAGCAGCCCGTCGACAGTGAGTAGAGGCGCATTTGCAGCGTATGCGGGTGTAAAGAGGCCACGCAGTCCATCGTGAGCTTGTGCTGAGCTCGTCGTGGCCTCGAGCCCAGCTGAGATAATCGCCCTTTGCACCTCGACTGATGACGCGTTCTCAGCATCAAGGCATGCGGCCGCGACCCATATCTTATCTCTGACGTTGCGCAGAAGATCATTTACTTCTGCAGTCGTCTGAGGCGAGCTGCTAAGCCATCGTCGTTGCAATATCCAGTCGGCGTCGAGACCCAAATTGGCGGCTGTGGCGAGCGCACTGCGAGCTTTGCATGAGCTCTGTTCGATCTGTCTCGAGGTACTTCATACAGCCCCCAATCCTTGCGCTCGAGTGCCTCGTGCAAGGAATCCATCAGTACGACATCGGAGGGTACGACTACGTCGTCGCGGCTGTCGACGTGGCTGTCGACGTGGCTGTCACGCGACAGCCACGTCGTCGGCTTTCGGCGAACTCAGCAGGTCGCCGATGTGCGCTAGTTTCAGCTTGTTGTTTCTTTCCTTCCCTCGATGCAGAGCGGAAGAGAGATTGTGGGTATACTTTCTCTGCAATGCGCGAGGTTGGCCTAGTACACGGCGTAGGAAAGGTCTATACAAATGGCAAGAGCGAGTAACTAGTAAACCGCGAGCATGCTTATTCGATAGCGTGCTGCGACGCTTAGCCCGAGCAAGCGCGGCAGGCAATCTATTGGCGCTTCTTGGCCGAGGTCGAGCCGTTACCATTGCCGTTGGCAGTCGTCTCAACGTTTGGGCCTTCGCAATTCGAGGCAACTTGTCTTGCCGCAATGGATGCAGCTCTGTCAACACCGGCAGCATAGTCAGCGTGCTTGGCTCGACGAAGTGATCAGTACGAGCATACCGTGCGCGGCCACCCTTGGCACTCTTCTTGTATGTCTGGCGATAGAACGCGATGAACCTGCCGAGTAAGGCACTGCATCAGCTCATGCTGCGCTCAGACCGGGCGCGACGAACAAGAAGAGATAGCTCGTCAGGAGGCCGCAGCCGAAGAGAGCAGCACTCTCTGCACCGTTGCAGTCGCCCTGGCTGGGAAGTGCTTTAGGCGCATAGGTCGTCGCAAAATGGTTGTATGTGCCATAGTAGACGATGAACAGGTCAACCACGCTGTACCAAGAGCACCGACATCAGCAGCTATTTCCCGTCAGTCTTGCAAGAGCTTGCAATTGAGTGATCTGGCTGCGCAAGTTGTGGCAGCACATCAGCGACAGGCATCGATTGTCAGCGATCGATAGACATACCCCATCGTCAGGTATTTTTTCCACCAGATCTTGAAGCCAGCCGTCGACGCAAGGTAGTAGTAATCTGGCAGCATGGCACAGCTTGATCAGTATCCACATAGAGGTGATCAGACTGTCAGACTGACACATAAAGGTATGAATGAGCAGATTGATGCTGATCACGACCCAAGACGGCGAAGTGCGGCCTTCGAGCTGGGTGTAGCAGAGCACGGCCGTCGCAGAATGATGGAAGACGTGCAGGAACTGTAGTGGCTTCTTCTTGGCGACTAGGAAGAGCGTATCGATGAATTCTGTCGGACGAGCAGCTGCCGGCGTTAGCCAACAATGGTCCGCTCGCATATGGACATCATGACGCGCCTACGTATTTGAAGACATAGCTGTACGGTAGCTCGATCAGCTCTAGCGTCAGACCAGACAGCGAAGACACACTTGATGATGTAAAGTGTCTCGAGGCGACTTGTCCAGCCGGCAGGTGAGCAGTAGGCATGGAACAATCCACCTTGGCGGATGATGGGCGCAACCTGCGATCACGCCAACGAACGATCAGCAAAGCAAGCATGACAGGAGAGGAGCGCGGCGAGCCTCTTCTGCCATGAGGACAAAGACGATGAAGCTGCCGACGGTCAAGATGGTGTTATGGAGCATGAAGAGGCCTTTCAACTCTGTGACGCGACGCAGCTCGACCGTTCAGCGCATGCTGTTCACGCGTGCTTGTACAGCACGCTCGCGAGTACGCACTGAGCGGTTTACGGTTCGCCATGATCTGCTGTCCGAGCCACAGCAAGGAGAGGTAGCTGGCTACTGCTACCGTGACTTGGGGCACAGTCGACAGAGGTGACCGCCCTGGCGTCCATGTCTGTAGGCTCTTGTGCTGCTTGACCGCCTCCGGCACCAGCTGGCTGACAATCTCGAATATAGCCATGTCTGCTCGCCCACTTGCTCTTTTCGGCCGTTTCTTTACCTCTGCTCCGTTTTGATCGAAAATGCAGTGCTATCCGCTCAGAGCTGCCAGAGAGCTGACCACGCGGTGCTGATGTCACCTGTCTGCGTTGTCTCGAGATACGCCAGAAATGAGAAGTCGGCTTGTTTGAGGGTCACACTCCTGGCAGGGCGCGTGACGCCACTGCGGCATTGACAGCGGGGACAAGCTGCGCGCTCTCCCAGGGAAGCTGAAGCCTGCCTGTCTCCCGGTATGGAGGACAGGCATGGCGTCCTTGCGGCCTGTCTAGACAAGCTACGCAGCTCAAAGGTGTGCTCTACCGGCTTCGATGAGCCTGACTGACGATTGACGACCAGGCGACCGATAGAAGCGCCGCAACAGATCATTTGCGCGAGATCTTCAGTCGACCTTCAGCCTGGCGAGCTCTGGAGAAGCAACGAACGGGCCATTTAGATGTGCTGCAAGCCATCTTTGCCTCTGTCGTCGCCGCGCGTAATGCGTACCTCCGAGGCACCAATGATCGCACAAAGGATGCCGAGCGCAAGCGACTGGCCAGCTCTGCCAGTGTCTTGCGATGGTTCGTCGGCCAGTGCGTCGACGGACTCCAGAAGAAGACGCTCAAAGCCGTCTGGGCCCATCTCCTGCAGATGCTCGTCGCCAACCGAAAGATCTTTGCGCCTGTCGCACTCGAGTACCTGCGTACCCTCAATTTGCTGCTCGCACACGATCCTCATCTGCAGCACATGGACGAGGCAACATGGACGCGAGCAGTAGGAGTGTGTTTCTGTGGCATGGCAGGTCAGCCCGTCATCGATTTGGCCGATATGATCGACTCGTCCTCCAACGCCAAGGATCGCGACGATTCTGATATTGCTATGTCAGATCGCGAGACGGATGCCCATCCTCGCGCAGATGCTTCCTCATCATCAGCGCGGCAGATGCCGTCACATGTTCGTGCGCGTAATGTCAGTAGCGGCAATGCGGCCAACACCTTGGAGAGCATAGAATACATGACTTGTGTTGACCACTTGTTCCGATCACAACTTGCTCCGCTTCTGACATATGGCTCCATTTTGCTCAAATTCTTTGCTTCATTCTTTCAGCTCCACCCAACGGAAAGTAGTGCGCATCTGCCAGCCATTTGCGCGCTCAACAGACTTTTCGATTCTGCCTGGCTCAATTCACAAACGCTCATGTATGAAGCTACAGTGACGCTGTGGTCACCATTGATAACGTTCTGGAATTCGAAACACCTTCTGGTCAGGGAACAAGTTGCCTTGGCCTGTCGGCGCCTTTTGTTGATCCTCACATTGCCACTGGCGGGCCAAACGCCCATCGAAAATCGCGAGGCTCTCATTCGCTCGCTGTATGATCGCATCGTGCCTACAGATAGTACAGAGCTTCGTTGGCGCACAGAGCCACTGTTGCTCGAGTCTATACTGCTTGCACCGCCTCCCCTCGATCGACATGCGCCCTACGCTACCGCGTCATTTGGCGCTGGGCAAGGCTTCGACCCTATACAGGCCGTTTCCTGGGTCTCGCTACAAGTCTCGGCAGACATCCTGGCTTCCCTATCGAAGATGCGATCGCAAGCTCTGTCGAGCGACACGCACGCACTCGAGAGTGCCGTGCGCGCAGGCAAACGCCCTAGAGTACGCTTGTCAATAAATTCCAGTAGCCAGCTGATGCCATTTGCATCGCAAGCTTGAAACTCCTGTCAGTTCTCTATGCAACGACGTCAGGAATACCAGCATACCGATAAGCGACCGCCTTTTGCGCCTACAGATACTCGTCGTCTTCGCCGTGCGTCATGGCGCTCACCTGTCCGATGAGCTCAAGCAGACCTTGCTCGAGGACCTCCTTCAACTCTCGAACAATCCATTCGACCATGCTATTCAGTCTTGGGCCCTGGTGGGCCTCGCTGCGCTTGCATCGCAATGCCAGCAGCCGCGAATCGAGTGGTGGTCTGGCGTCTGGACCAGCTCATGTCGCCGCATATCCGATCGGGCCACCGGAAGAGCGGCTGCACATCTTTGTTCGAATCTGATGGATATAGGCTTACCCCAGACGCTACTCGTGACCGGTATAGAGGCGGCGTTTAGCGATCTTGACGTGCGGGGTCCAGCTTTTCCTTCTGATGCCATCGTCCGCTGGTTCGCGACTTGCCTCGTGTGCGCAGAGAACAGTCAACGTCTGGCAGAACGATCGCTACCTGACAAGATCTCTGCGTGGCTCGCAAACGTCTGGACGCCATTTGGTCAAACGGTGTCTTCGGGATCAATCCTCGGCAAGCGATCTAGATCAGACTTTGTGTCTAGCAGCGCGCTGCTTTCCCTGCTCTCCAAAGCGTGCAGCCTGCCGTGGCGCTATTGGGGCTCAGACCGCTTCCTATTACCTGCATGTCCGACGACAAATTGTCTCTTGGCGGACGAGAAAGTATCGCCAATCTCGGACCTCTTCTACTTGCACAAAGTCAGCTCCAGATCCGTTCTGACACGCGGCACAAGCATAAGCGAGCCCGCAATCATGCTCGAACGTCCGGCGACATCGAATGAACGCCGTTTGCTGGCTGGCTTGCAGCGAACGCTGGACTCTCAGGTGGACTTGCACGAGTCGCACGAGCACTGGTTCGAGCTGACCGCGTGTCAGCTACGCGAACGAGCTGAGCTAGCGAGCGTACTTCTCTGCTTCGCCGGCTCGCTGGAGCAAGCTCGCATCAAAGTGGACCCAAGCGTCATCAGATCAGCCTGCCGTGCTCTTGCGCTTGTTCTCAGGCTCGCAAATCAAACGAAATGGCTCCCCCGCGAAAGAGCCGAATTGTACCTCGCATTCTCTCCCTTGCTTGTGACGACAAGCCTGTCGTCTGACCCGCTATACGAGGTCTGTGTACGCGTCGGTCCCGGCTCAGGCGTTAGCTCACAGCCTGATCCTGAGCCCGGGCCGAAGTTGCGTAACGAAGAGAGGGAGGCCGTTCTGCAACGGCTCTGGGCGCACAAGGATGTCAGAGCGGTGATGACGAGTATGAGCACTGGCCTGGCCTCTCTGATGGAGCCATTGGCTATGTCAAGACAACAAGAGCTCGACGACTTCGACGGACCCACTATCGCTGTCAATCGTACTATCATCGATAGCCTCTTGATGCCCGGAGCCGAGCATGCGCTGCAAGCTTGTATATCAATCCTCGTCCAGATCGATCTGACCCGCGATCTGCTCGCTAGCCAGCGCCCCGGCGCTGCAACCTTGTCACGCGCCGTGGCAATCTGTGTCAAATTATCCGATGTGCGAGCCCTCGATATCGGCAACGAGATCCTAGACGCTCTGCAGTGTGGCCTAGCAGGCCTGACAGAAGCTGAGTGGCAGGTCCTACTGGAGCACCTTGCAAACGATATGATCACAAGCTATGCGTTGGCGAGGAGCGAAAAGTGTCAGCTACTGTTGCTACGACTGCTTGAACACAGCTCGCAAATCTGGGCAGCCGACCTCAGTGCTCAAAGCACACTCGTCAGCTGCGCGCGCGAGGCCTACATTTGGTTTCAAAATAACTGTGTTCATCAAAAGATATATTCCTGGCGTATACGTCTTGGCCTAGTCCTCGTCATCGACAGCTTCGATCATATCAAGGAGCTCAATACGCTGTGGGATTCGTATGATACGCAAGATCAGGTCATCTTGCCCTCTACGACCCTTTCGCGCATGTTGGAGGACCCGGATAGCCGCGTCAGCTTTCGCGTCAATACAGCCTGCTGCAGACATCTCGAGTACGCACGCGCTCGGGGTGGTGAAGTGACAAAGATTCTTTTCGACCACTGTGCACAGTTGGGACCCATCCATGCGCCCGTCGAAGGTGCTGCGCTGCGTTGTGTGTACCTCTGTCAGGCCATGATCATCAGCCAGCGCTCCCGACGTTATGCCTATGACCTTCTCATCGAAGTCGCAGCGAGAGCGCCTGCATTACAAGACATTCTCGTAGCATTATCTCAAGCTCTGTCCGACCGGCTCGGATTTCCCACAATATCCGCGCTTTATCTGCACTACGCCGGCCCGATCATGTCGCAGTGGATCCGCCTCAAATATCTAGACTTGCGGATTCCTGATCGAGTCTGTGGATTCCAGAATCATAGAGATCGTACGGCTGCCGAGATTGATTGCGTTGCTGTGCCGTTACTGGTAAATGACATGGTCGATGCTTTACGGATAAAATGCGATGCCCTCCAGCTACATTTGCCCTCAATCATCCGCACACACTTGCCTGCGGTGATAGCGAACAAAATAGCTTTGGCCACTGTCAACACAGCAGAAGGCGTTGACCCTTTCCCTGCGGTGTTGAGAGAGATCACAGGCCTGATCGAACAGTCGGACAGCAGCACGATGACTTTTGAGCAATTCACACGCGCGTACCTCGATCAAGTCCTCGTCCATACAGTAATGCTTCTATACGAAGAAACTGCTAGCGCATCACCAGACGGTCCATTGGGATCGTGGCAGCAGAATCCACAAGCGATGCAGACCTATGCGGACTTATTGTCTGAAGTCAGGGACTTCAGCATTTGCACGAAGGCGCCACCTCCGTGGTTCAACGCCGAATGCGTCTATTCCGTCCTCGTCTGGTTTGTGAAATGCTACGGCTCTGGCGAGAATACAGCAGTACTGTATAGTAGCGTGCAAGTGTTGCTACATCATGTGCACCAAATGCCCTTTATTGACGATCAACGACGAACACTTTTCATGCTCGCTGCATTGATCTCGCTGAACGAGCCTGACATCAGCAGTCTTGGTCTGCTTCGCATCCTGATGCATTATCTTACGCATCTCTTGGCTAGACCTGCCATAAGCGATATCGTCTGGAGCATGCTTGCATGGACAATTGAGCGATACGTTCGACTTGGCCACGCGCATGACGGCCAGCAGTTGCTTGGTTTCGCCGATCTTGTTGCACTAGCAGCTCACTACGCGTTGCAGCTCACTAATTGCGAGGAGCGTATGCCAGTGGCAATTGGCTCATCTGCGCTTCAGTGGCTCGAGCAATTGGTTGTCGAGCTCTTCAAATCGTCCTCGCTAGAGCTCGCCCGGCAAAGCGTCTTCGCAGCTGCCTTATGGCCGCACGAGTGTTCGTCAATTCCTCGCATCGACCTTGAAGGCATAGAAGAGATGCTCGATAGCGCTTTTCCCTGGAGTAATTTGCGACATTTGCTCCGTGCGCTTGCTGCGCTCGACTTGTCACCGGACTCAGAAGAGGCTGTGCGGCTAGGGGCGGTCACCTTCCGAGTCCTGCGTGGCTGTAAAGACGGTAGCGCCATGACCAAGGCCGATGCCGAGTCGTTGACCGCGCTGGTCTCGATTGCCGAGACGCACTTCTGCACTGGAACCTTACTTAATTCTTGCGCGCAGCGCGTTCATCCTCCATATGCCGCTCCTCTGCTCGGCAACGAAACGACTCAGGCAATCTGCGTCGGATTGTTAGGCCAATGCCTTCTCTCGAGCGATCTCCTGCTCGTCAACACCGCCGTAGCTGCATTGCGGCGGGTCTTTGTCACCGTCGCGCTCGATACGCGTAAAGCCTCGGCAGAGGATATCCATGGCGTTGGCTTCGACCTGCTGGAGCTCGCTCGCGATAGTCTGAAACGGTCTTGGGAATTAGCCTCCACGGTGTCCCGCGGCCCGGGTCTCGAGGCGCTCATCACAGAAAGCTGGATTACAAAGGCTCGAGACGCCAACGAATGGATTGCGAACCTATCTGTGCTTGTCGGGCAGCAAGCGAGTACAGTGGCCCCAATGTACGCCCAGCTACAACCTTGCCTCCTGCACGATACTGCGTTCGCCCGATCTAGCCTGCCGATTCTCGTGACCGTATTGCTGCAAAGCAAGGAAAATTCGACACAGGCGAGGATGTACTTGTCGGAGCACTTTGTGCGTGTGATCGCCTCGCCATGCTCAGACATCGAGTCGCTTGCGGTCATCATTGATATTGTTCTGCACCTACGCAAGACAGATCTGCCTGGCAAGAGAAAGCGAGAAGACGGTATTAAACTACTTCTACCATTCATCGAGCTCGCGAAAGCGGCGATACGTTGTCACCTTGCTTCAGCTGCGTTACTCTTTCTCGAACTTGCACAAGACCACGATGAAGACAAAGCAGCGTGTGGACTGCAGGCGCCGCAAGTGCGCACGCTCATGTGTTCAGTGTCCGAGCAGATCGGCGAACCAGATGGCTTTTACGGCATCGCACCTGGTGAAATTCAAGAAACCTTAGCGAGCCGCTACGCGCATGAAGGAGCTTGGAGCAAAGCTTTTCAACTCCACAGCTCGCTTTTCGAGGCTAGATCGGGCACCTCGACCGCAGATCTGGATTTGCTGCCCGTCGGCAATTCGCTCAAATCCTGGGGCTTCAAGCATCTCGCAAGTCAAGTGGGCGCTCTCAGACGTGCAGGGGACCTTGCCGACTTAGATCTAGCCTGGCGCACTGATCACTGGGACATACCTGTCGAACAGACCACAACAACCAGTGCAAGGATCTATCGTGCTCTTCGTGACGCTCATTGCTCCGCTAATCGCGCGCTGGCCATCGACAGAGCCAGCAATGGCCTCGTCGAAGAGTTGCGCTCGATTCTCCACATATTGCAGCGATCTGATCATATCGCCGGGAGCAAACTTGCTGCTCTGATCACGCTGTCGGATATCACACGATGGCAGCAAGCTCAGCACGCGCGCAGCGTTGACGAATCTAAAGCCGAGATTACAGACATGAATCGCCTACCGACGACAATGTAAGACAGCATGAAGGGGATCTGCGCGAGCTGATCGGATTCCCACACAGATTCGAGGTCAATGAGCCTGTTGTCGCGGCCAGGCTGAGCCTTTTGCAAGCCGAGCGGAACGCTGAGATGCTCAATCAGATTGGCGACGCTTTGACTCCGGTCGCGCGTGACAATGCTATTCGCGCTCAGCAGCTATGTCTCGCCTTATCACGCGATGCACGCATGAATGGTCAGCAGCAGCTCGCGCTCAATATGGTCAACGTCGCACAATCACTCGGGTCACTCGTTGACACAGATGATGATGGCGCCAAGGTCGAGCTTTCGCACACGCTCTGGGAGCTTGGAGAGCATGGCTTGGCACGAGACATCGTCAGTCGGCTAATCTCAAGATCGCAAGGCTGTACGAAGGCTGATCTGTTAGCTACTATGGTACGTTCGCAGGATTCCTCAGCAACTTTGCTGATGCTTTGCAACGACAGGGCGGCTGGACGGCTGCTGCGCGCCTCATGCCACCTTCAGAGATTGCTGATCGGTACTTTGCACCAGCAGTGGCACTTGCGCGTAGCAGCAAGCTATCAGACGACCGTCTGGGTGAGGTAGTCTATCAGTTTGCCAGCTATGCCGTGCAACAGTATAAGCAATTGGCCAAGGAAGATCTGGCCATGAAGAGACTTAGTGTGCTGCGAGCTCAAAAACAGCACGAGATCAAGGCGCTTGACGCACAGCTGCGCCACTCGAGTACGCAAAGTGCCGAGCGGCACAGGCTGCAAACCTCAAAAGATGACGCAACAAAGGTCATCCGACAAGACAGAGACCGGCTCGAGAAATTCGAGGCTGCGCGCTCGTCGTTTCTCAAGCATGCCATCATCATGCTCTTGCAGACTCTAGCATGCACCGATCAGCATCCTGATGCGATCTCGCGCCTCATTTCGATCTGGATGGAGCATCAACAGGATGACGAAGTCAATCGTCTGGTACAGCAGCACCTCAACAGCGTGCCATCGGCCAAGTTCGTGCCATTGTCGCATCAGATCTCAGCTCGTGTCGCGCGCTTCACAGGCTCGACGCTTTGCCGGCAGATCCTGAGCGGACTTGTCGAGCGCATGGCGCTGGACCATCCCTTCCACGTAGTCTACCAGCTCTTGTCGCTGCGCAAGGCATCAGATTCTGCTTTCCCCGAGAACAATCTTGCATCGACACAGGCACCGCGAGCAGACGCTGCAGGGGAGATTATCGAGCGAATCAAGCGAGCGCCCGCCCTGCGTCCGAAAGTTGCTGCTCTCGAGGCGCTCTGCGAAGCCTACATCGAATGGGCCAGCTTTGACCTTGATCGCTTACCGGACTACAAACGTAGCAAGAAGGACAGCACGCTGAAGATGCCGCAAATCAAGCTGCTCCGCCTGCGCAGTCAGACTCATGCTATTCCAGTATCGACTGTTGCTTTGCCGATGGATCCGACGTGTCGCTACGATGCAGACAGCTTACCGTGTATCTATCAGTACGAAAGCACATTCAAGATCGTTGGAGGCGTCAATCGTCCTAAGTTGAGTATCTGCATCGACTCCATGGGCGGCACACACAAGCAGCTAGCAAGTCTATGGCTACTGTCACATTACAGCGCTGATGAGGCACATGCAGTTCAAGCCCGGTGACGATGTCAGACAAGACGCTGTCATGGAGCAGGTCTTCGAAGTTGCGAACGGTCTGCTCCGTCGCGACAAGGCTACGTTCAAGCGTAACCTGCGTGTGAGAACCTACAGGGTCATTCCTTTGACTGCCGATACCGGACTACTCGAGTTTGCAAAAGACACTATGCCAATCATGGCATGGCTGCCCGAGGCTCACGCTCGCTATCATCCGAAGGACGCACGCTACGAGACAGCCCGGCAGAAGTTTGCAGAAGCGCGACAAGACTTTGAAGCCCAGCGGGCAGTCTGGAAGGAGCTCTACGCGGGTCGCTGGCACCCCGTACTACGTCATTTCTTTCGAGAGGAACAGAAAGAGCCGAGCTTGTGGCATGAAATGCGACTCAACTACGGCAGAAGTCTCGCGACTAATTCGATCATCGGTGATCTACTAGGCATCGGCGACCGGCATTGCTCCAATATTCTCATCGACTCTGTGCGAGGCGAGCTAGTACACATCGATTTCGGTATCGTCTTTGAAGCTGTATGTGCCCGCCTATGTTGCACAGTCGAGCTTACGCGCAGACACACAGGGAACGCGGCTGCCTATTCCAGAGACAGTACCGTTCAGACTGACGCCCGACATGATCGACGGACTCGGCATGACGGGCGTCGAGGGCGTCTTCAGGCGATGTTCAGAAGAGACCTTGCGCGTCATGCGGCGAGGCGCTGTGGATGTTATGACGATCCTGGAGGTCTTCAAATACGATCCTCTCCAGAAATGGCACGTATTTCATACTTTGCATACTTGACGACACTGAGAGGATCGCAGGACTCTGAGTGCCGGCAAGATCCGCAAAGCACAAGGTACTCAGCTCAGCGAGGCAGACGCCCAGGATCTTGCAGATGGCTCGGGCGACGTGCCGACAGACGCGCATCGCGCTATCGACCAAGTGAGCGCTAAACTCAACTCAACGCTCAGCGTGGAGTACCAGGTCAACGACCTCATCCAGCAAGCGCAGAATCCTGACAATCTTTGCCGAATCTTCTGCGGATGGGCGCCTTGGATGTGAGACACAGATCGAAAATGCAGCCAAAGTGTCGCGCATCGCATACAGGTGCTCGGCCTGACGCGCAACCATCCACTCTCGCCCTGCCTGACTCCTCTGTTCGCAAAATGCCCGGATCGGCCAACGTGGACAAGCCTTTGCCTGAGCTTGCTCCGCCCTCTGTGTCATCTGACCCACAGCCCAATGGCATGACAGACGTGGATCAGATCGGGCACGAAGTGCGCTGGAGACACGCCTACAAGCCCAAAACGATTGTCCGACCCGGCGCAGAACGACAAGATCCAAGCAGCTCAGCAGATTGCTACGAGCTCGCCATATCGCCGAGCAGTCCGTCCGGGCAAAAACGCTCGTCCGGCAGTATCCGAAAGCAGGAAGTCAAAGCTTCTCAGCGTTTCGCATCTCTGTCCTGTTCAGAGGCGTCTGTCAAAGCATTCCCGAGCCAAAGTACGGCAAACTGTCAGTCGATAGAGGATGTTGCGCAAGAAAGAGATCTGCGAGTGGGCAAGGCCGCGGGTGTTCGTACACGTGCAGCCAGTTTCGGTGACCTTGCCATCATGAAGAGTATCAGAAAACCCAAGTCGAGCGTGCTGAAGCGACAAGGATCTGCGCGCTCGATCGAAGATGCTGGGAGCGGTGGCGAGGAGCCGACGCCTTCACGTGACGATAGAGGCACGGCCTCAAAGCTACGCTCGGGTTCGTTGCCTGTCCGCGATTCCCTTCGCGACCTGATTGCAGGCATCCAGTTTCAGTGCGTTCCGTGGACAGCAAGGACAGGAAGCATGCACGACGACTCGCGTCAATCTCATCTATCATGGCACTCCGGCCTGACCTGGATGGTCCCAAGACAGAGACTGCCTTTCATGGCGACATCGTTGCCATCTCCCACGGGCGGACGCCCTCGAACAGAATCGACGTGCGCTTTCCTTGCGTAGCCGGTCGATCAGAAGAGGCGACGACGACGACGCGCAAGCTGTCGCTCTCCCGCCCGATCTTGTCGGGCGTGCGTCCACTGACTACCAGTCAGACGTCGCAGATTAGCAGTCGAATGCAGCAGAGGGTCAAGAACCTTCAACCGAAGCTTGCCTTCTTCAGGGACACGTCGCCATCGCGATCGGGCCCGGAGACAGATACGCCCGATTCTCCGACGACTCAGGGCGGTGGTGGGAAGCCGAAGAAGAAGAGCGCGTTTGCTGCTCTGGTAAGCAGCAAGTCGAAGCGCAGACCGCCCTTTGCGTATCAGATGCCGGTGTCAGCGGCGAGCAGTGACAGCAGTCTAGAGATCAGCTGCGCTGGCTCGCACCGGCTTTCGAGGATGCAAGTGGTCAAACGAGCGCTTGGCTCATCGAGTGACAAGAACGCTTCGGCGGAGGCGTGATGCATAGTACAACACTGCGATTGGGCCGTATGCTATCTACGTTCATTTTGATTGCAGAGGCGCCATATTCATCATGTATTGCGAGTGCTGAAGTTCCTTGCCGACCGTCCTGATCTTTTGGACTTCCTCCTGCGTGAGACTGCGAATGTTTGCAATGTCGAGGTATTCTTCCATGCGAGATTGTTTCGTAGAAGTCGTGACGGGCATGATGTCCTGTGCTTGAACCCATTTGAGGAGGATCTGGCCGGGTGTGACTGGCTTGCCGCGCTCTTTGCTCATAGATTCGGCTAGTTCGGCAAGGACAGGCTTCAGTGGACCGTCCGGACGATGGACGACGGGTAAAGACGGTGCATAGGCGGAGACAAGGATGCCTTCTCGCTGGCAGAGCTCGACAATGTCGGACGTCGTGTCCGTGATATAAGGGTGATATTCGATCTGGTTGACTGCCGGCTTCACTTTGGCGTGCTCGAGGACTGCCTTGATGTCGGCCACACGATAATTGGAGATGCCGATCCTTACAGGATGTCAGCGCCTGTCGAATGCAAGTGTGAGCATGTTACGCACGACTTGGCGAGTCCGGCGGCTTTGACGGCCTCCATCTCAGCCCAGCATTCGGACAGGGTGGGTATGTTGGCTTGTCCCTTGAGGAACTTTGAGAAAGCGGGTGAGTGAACGAGATATTGATCGACATAGTCAGTCTGGAGTTCCTTGAGCTGTCGTCTGATCGTCTCTTGGATGTTGCCGATGCCACCTAACACCTTTGTGGTGATGTAGATGGATTCCCTGGGCACGCCCGCTTCTTTCCAAGCCACGCCTGCTGATTTTTCGTTGCTGTAAGCTTCCGCTTCATCGATATGAGTGAAGCCTGTCTCGAGTGCGAGCTTGATGGCGTCTACGAGCGGACGAGATATGCCGTCATTGCCGGTAGCGCCGTACCAAGCTGTTCCGCAACCGTAGGCTATCGAAGCAGAGGCTGGTATGACGTTGCCGTCGTTGAGCTTGAGCTCTCGCAAGGGCATCCTAGCGTATGTTCGACGGAACAGCTGCCTCACTGTGGGGATGTTGACGGTGGCAAGCGACGGTCGGCAGTGTCAACGACGAACGACGCGTTAATTGATTGATTGGCGGAGTCGCATGGATGGATCTGCGGCTCTGGCGCTGGCGACTGACGCCCGGTCAGGAAGCGTTTGTGCCCGCCAATGTAGACCTGAACACCATCACGGCTTGGCAGTCCACTGCGCGATTCCCCACTCAGATCCACATTGAACTACTCGCCGTCAAAGCGATTGATGACCCCTTTACGCACGAAGAGGACGTGCAATGGGTCAGCGATTGTAGCTGGCAATTCGCGTGCACCTATATAGCGACGGCTGATGATCTCAGGAAACGCAAGACGGTCGTGTTTGATGGCTTGGACACTTTCGCAACTATCGCGTGGAATGGACAGCAAGTGCTCGAAACCGAAAATGCCTTTCGAACGTTCCGCCTGCCCATCAGGGAACATGTCCGGCTGGGCGAGAACGAACTCCTGATCACGTTTGATTCAACTTTCAGACGCGGAAAGGCTCTCGAGGCCCAGTACGGCAAGCGCGTCGCTTGGAATGGCGACCCTAGCCGGGTCTACGTCAGGACGCCTCAGTATACATATGGCTGGGATTGGGGACCCAAACTTATTTCCTGTGGTCCCTGGCGCGACGTTCGCTTGATCGAGACACCCATAGCGGAAATGCGAACCGAGCCAAGCGTCTCGGCAGACCTGAAGCCTGGTCTCAAGGTACACGTCAAGATGCTCATGGATACCGAGCGTCTTGCTGCCATTGGTGGCACAATCTCTGTTTCTCTGGCAGCAGATCCGGCAGCACCTGCTATAGCACGTGTCGAGCCGATCAGAGTGACAACATGCAAGCTGGAATACACCTTGATTTTCTCACCGGACGATCTGAAACAGATTTCACTCTGGTATCCTGCAGGCGAGGGAGGGCAAACTATGTATTCTGTCATTCTCAACATTGGCGGGGAAGGATACGCTTCGTTCAAGCAGGACGCTTGGATCGGATTCAGAAGAGTCGATCTTGTCGAAGAGGAGTCTTTCGACTACGAAGGCACATCCTTCTACTTCCAAGTAAACAACAAACCCATCTTCCTGCGCGGGTCCAACTGGATACCGGCGGACAGCTTTCAGGCTCGCGTCAGCCCAACGACATACTACGAATGGCTCAGTCTCGTCTCAGACGGCAATCAGAACTGCCTACGTGTTTGGGGCGGAGGTGTATACGAAAGTGACGACTTTTATGAAGCTTGTGATCGTGCAGGTATACTTGTCTGGCAGGATTTCGCTTTCGCTTGCGGAATATATCCTGCGCATCTTGCATTCCGGAAGAATGTGCAGGCAGAGGTCGTCGATGTGCTTAGGCGACTAGCATATCATCCCTCTATCATCGTCTGGGCAGGCAATAACGAAGACTATGCTGTTGCAGAATCATCGGGCGCATACGATGCGAAGCTCGTTGATGGTCCCTTTGCCAACACGGGCTTCCCTGCCAGGCAAATTTACGAGCGGGATATCCCGAGACTGTTTGCAGAGCATCATCCTCTCGGTATCTATCGCTACGGTTGCCCCTTCGGCGGCGCAGTCTCATCTGACCCAACCCGCGGCGATATTCACCAATGGAACGTCTGGCACGGCGACCAGAGACCGTATCAGGATTGGCCCGTGCTCGCTGGTCGATTCGTCAGCGAATTTGGGATGCAAGCTCTGCCTGACACATCTACGCTCCAGTGCTTCTTGAAAGGTCACCCCAGCGATCAACATCCCCAGTCCCAGCGCATGCAGGACCACAACAAAGCAGCCGGTGCTACTCGACGATTAGCAGGCTATCTCGCCGAGAACTTCCGCTTCACGAATGATCTAGAGGGCATGAGTTACGCCACACAGGTCATGCAGGCCGATTGCTTGAAACTGGCATTCAAGTCTTGGCTCCGGCTATGGAAGAGCGATGGCAACCGACAAGTCGGAGGAGCACTTGTATGGCAGCTCAATGATTGCTGGCCCTGCACAAGCTGGTCCATCTGCGTCACAGAAGCCCAACCGAAGATGGCCTATTATGCCATGAAGCAAGCCTTAACGAGCGTCAGCTGCGGTATCGCTCGGCGCGCAGACCAGCAAGCGACAGTGTACGATGCATGGGCAGTCAATCTGACCTCGCATCCCGTTCAGATTGAATGGACAATCAGCTTCTTCGGATTCGATTCGTCTAAGCCGATTCTTTCGTTTGATGGCGAGCACGAGCTCGGTGCGAATGGCTGCACCGAGCTGTCAACGATTGGCAGAGCAGTAGCGCATCTGGTCTCACGCGATACGATTGCTCATCTGCAGATTCGCTTCGATAGCTTCGCGGGCATGGACGGGAAGAGCATCTTTACTCATGCTGACGATGTCGACTGGCCTCAGCCGTGCTCACAGCATCCAATCATGACAGAGCTGCCGCGAGTGTGGGCATGTATCGACGAGCCTACAGCGGGGTGCTTCAGTCTACACGCCGATCGACCCGTCAAGGCTGTGTGGTTAGGATGCGATTCGTCTCGGCCTATTGGCATGCTCGAGCGCAATGGGCTCGACATCATGCCCGGTCAAGGTACAGAAGTGGGATGCTGCTATGCGACGCTCTTTCCCGGTCTGACTGCTCGCTTCTATGGGTGCGACACGCCGTTCGAACTGGAATTGCGGCCCGGGCACGTGTACGCACAAGCGACGCGCTCATACGTCATCGAGACGCCACCCGGTTGACCCGCCGTCAGAGTCTAGACTGGCCTGGCAGTTCACCTCTCTCGCTATAAAAGTCGAAGAGGAGCGATCTTGACGTACAGCACATCGGTAGACATGTCTAACATCTTCAACAAGAGCAAGAAGCTGCGTGCCTCGACCGGTCAGTCTCGACCCGTAAAATCTATCTCGTCACAGTGGACTGATCCTCGGATCCGTCCGGAATTTGACAGGCCAGAGCAAGATCCCTCATCATGACACTAACAAAGGTCGTCACTCTGATGTCCTTATTGACCGGTGAGTCCACTGACAGATCATGATGGGAGCATGTGCTCAATATTGTGTCTCTGGTCAGATACGAAGAGTTCAAAGTCCGCTTCACCGCTTCTCTGTCATTGGGCTTTGGCTGACGTTGCGGATTTGCTTTGCAGCACATCGCCAAGAGCCTGAGCAGCTACTATGGCTCAATCGCCGCCACAGAGGTCCGTCGCATGAATTTCGGCGATCCTGCACCGCTTATCCGTCTTCTCACTGGACAGGAAGCGACTTCCAAGAGCCTCACAAAACATGCTGGCGACATGCAGCTGCCTCTCCAAGAGGGAGATCAGTTCTTATCCGACAACACCGGCTTCCAGTATGCTCTTTATGAGATGGTCAGTCAAAGTACTCCGCGTTTATCCGCAGCACGCGCTAACGTTTCACTTTGCGACTCACAGCGCGATAACACCAAGTCGCTGGCAGAAGCTCACGCAGAGTTTGCCAGTGCCATCCACGAGAATGTCGTCGGCCAGCTCGAGACTGTCCGTGCAGACCTCAAGGCCCACATTCACAGCATCTCGAGCGACACCGGATCGCTCGCAGACGATGTCGATCACCATCGTGAAGCGTCGACCAAGGCCATCGGGAACCACTCGCGTGCGCTTGGCATGACTGGTGAAGGCCTTTCAGCCGTCGGAGCCAAGGAAGATCCTTACATCACTCACGGCGCCGCCGAGAAGCAGCTACTTGCCCAGCTCCACAAGGAGAATTCATTGACCGCCTCGGTCATCAAGCACCAGAAAGATTCCGAGGGCATCGAACTCAAGGCCGTGCAAGGCATCAAGTCTGCCGCCAAGGCCTTCTCCGAGGCTCAAGAGATCTTCCTCGAGAAGCTCAAGGCCAAGAGCACCGTCATCACTCAAGCCCTCACGGCAGTCGATGACACTGCCGAATGGAAGTTCTTCGTCTCCGAAGAGTCTCGTCTCGTTCCCCACGACACCCCAAAGCGCGATCCCAAGGGTGAGATCTAGCCATTCTTTTCCACGACCGAGGCTGACGCTCCATTACAGCGCTCGCCTTCCCTGGTCAGAACGACCCGCGCACCAAGCCCCTCCGTACTGGCATCCTGGAGCGCAAGAAGCGCTTTACAAAGTCGTACGAGGAACGTGTCTTCTTGCTCACGCCTACTGGCTATCTCCACGAGGCCAAGAATATGGATCTCGATGCTCCCGTCATCGAGCCTGTTCTCTCCATCTACTTGCCAAATGCCATTCTTGGACCACCTGCAGACAAGTCTGCAAAGAAGCACAAGTTCTACATTGAAGGCTACAAGGCAGGCGACCACAAGGCTGAATCCAAGGGTCTTCGCTTCGGCAAGAAGGACTCCGCACCTGCATTCACGTTCAAGGCTCGCTCGCATGAGGAGATGATGTCTTGGTGGGAGTCGATCAAGGAACTCACCAAGGAGTCCATTGCCGTCGCACCGCGCGACGAGACCAAGTACAAGGCCACCTCGCTGCCTGACGCCGTTGCCAACGTCGGTCTCCCGAGTGCCGCGGCCGAGGTCGACGATGAAGAATCCTCTGCTGATGAGCTCGAAGATGCCGAGGAAGAAGTCGGTGCCACGACGACATCTGCCGAGAAGGCGCCTGAGGAATCTTCGACAGCTGCCGCACCCGTTGCATCAACGTCAAAGGCAGAGGAAGAAAACTTGCCAGGCTATCAGAGCAACGGCGTGGTTGCCCCTGCCGAAAAGAGAGACCTGCCTGTTGCCATTGACAGCTCGAACATCGCTGGCGGATCAGCGTCGCAGACTTTCGCTTCTACGCACATGCAGCCCACGTCTGACGTCACGACTTCTGACGCCTAAGCTTGAAGCTCGCTCACATACCCTCGCGATGCTGCCATCACCTGTCTTGCAAAGTCGTGCACTGTACTTTTCATTCAAGAGAGACTCAGATGGACCGCACTTTTTATAATGATATAACTGCAGATACCCGGCTTGGCTAGTCAAAGATCACAAGCTAATGCACTCGTTCTGTCTGGGCCATGCCGATGACTTTGCACTGCGCGAATGAGTGAAGCGCGTCCGTCACGAAGCAGCCAGACAGACTGGCGGACGCGTCAGAGGCCGTAGCGCATCTGTGGGCGGCGCTTTGGTGCACATTGAGCAAGCACGACTGTAGGTGCGCACATGCACTGGACGAGCTGATGATCGGGACGGGGAGTCAAATTGAGATCATCCAAGAGCGTCATCAAGCAAGGGGCTGCGGGCGTGCAACGGTCGCGTGGCCTCGAAAGCTTCGTTGCGAGGCGTGATGAGATCGCCAGACGTCTGCTGAGGCCAGGCCATCGAGCTGCCGTTCTGATCGCTTGTGAAAGGGGAGAAGCGCCCGAAGAGACTGGCAGACGAGACGGCAGCGGATCCACGAGGCGAGCCGTTCGGGCCACGAAGAGGTAATGCGGAAGTCGGCGCACCTGGTGCTGCATTGAAGCCCGAGGATGGCAGTGCACGGGTCATGCTGATTTTTGATGGGCTTGCTGGTGCTTGAGGAGCAAAGACAGCAGGTGCCGCACTCGGCACAGTCAGACCGCCTAAGACTTGGTCGAGGAGGTCGGCCGCAGTCTGGGGCTGCGTCGAGGCTCGACCTGTCACATCGATGGGATTTTCGAGGACGAAGCTGCTGCTGTTCGAAGCTTGCTGCTGCGGACGATAGCTCTGGACTTGCGAGGGCGGCGGGAACAGCACCTCATCTTCGTCATCGTCGTCAGCCATTGCGAGGTAGGTCTCAGAGCCGATGTCAGGAAAAGCACCGGTAGCTGCACGCATAGCCAGCTCTACAGGATCTTCTTCGATTTCCTCATCCTGAGCGAGATATCAGATCAGGAGGCTGCTCAGCTCAATGAGCATACCAGCTGATCGTGCAGAGGACGTGGCTGTATGGTTACGCCGACGAATTGCGTGCCCGAGACCTGCAGCGTACAGCGTACGAAGATGTTCAGCTTATGAAGGGGACCTGAGCTTGCAAGCGCACAGGTGATCGAGCAAGTAAGCGACTGTTGGTCAACAGGTCGGAAATGCGCATTAGCTGTTCTTCATTAGGATGCGGTCGCTGTCGAGGTTCGGCGAGCTTAAGGCCCGCGAGGTCGTGTGTCTCGAGCGCGACCGTCTTTTCCCGTGACCCACGTTTGAGAGGCAAGAAACCCATCATATCGAGATCTTCCTCGAGATGATAGGTCTGACTGGCTGGTAATGACTCGAGTGCGAAAGTAGCGTTGAGGGCATTGTAAAAGGAAGCATGAGCTTTCCAAAACTGCTGTAGACAGTCAAGTAAAGGGTCGCTTGCGCTGGGTGAATCTACAAACGAGCGCAGATAATCCACGTGACACATTGTCCACTTGTGCAGGATGCGAAGAGCAGGCAAGAGCCGCCGCGTGACGGCAGTGATTCTCTGTGCAAGGTCGGTCGCGCTGGCTGGATCAGCGGCGTTGCCATCAAGATCGCCCTCCATCGTTTCCCCTGTTGCAATCGACATGATGCTCACGGCGAGGCGCAAGATATGCTCCAATGCAGTCGTTTGGACAAGCTCAGAGGACGAGCCCACGTCAACTTTGGCAGTTTTTGAGGCGTCTGTTGACGCAGGTCAGTTTAGCTTGCATTGCACGTGATCAGACTGACCGGGCATGCGAGCATCCCACAGACTTGACATTGCGAGAACGACAACTTTGATGATGACCTCGGAAGGAAGCTCGCGGTCGAGCAGACTAGAGCACAGCAGGGTCTGCAGAGCTAGATCTGCTTCGCGCAGGGCGTCCACGCTGCACGAAAGGTCAGCGAGCTATGCAATCGCTATGAGTGACCCACTCCTTGGCGAAGAAAAGCCGAGCTTGAAAGGCGATCGCGTCGTGTTTGAATCGATCGCACTTCGTCGCTGCCTGCTTGCGATTTGCGGCACTGGACAAGACCTTGTTGAAGGTGACTTCGAGATTCTGTCGTGCGGTCGGAAATGGCTGTCCGACGCAGAGCGCTCGATAGTAGTAGTAGGCAGATGAGAACATATCAGAGCTATACGATGCAAGCACAGCCATCTGGTTGGACGAATTGCCTGCAATATTGTTTAAGTCGTAGCACGACGAGACGAAGTAGAAGGGCATTACCATTGTCGGGCAGGAGCAACCTCGCCTGTTCGTAGCACTCTGCGCCTCGGCTCCAGTTCTTCTCTCGCTTCGCTTCTCCATTGCTGCCCGAAGTTGCAGGCTTCTTGAGGCCGTCCGAATTGTACAGCTGGCTGTAACGAGCGAGATCGCCGTAGCAGATGAGGGCCTTGTAGCAAAGCTGAACGGCGTGAGCGTGCGCGAGGCGTGCACGTTCGCCCGTGGCATTCGCTGCAGCAGGGCGGGTGCCGAGGCCTGCTCCCACCGTTGAGCCGCGACCGAGAGACTCGAGAGGCTGCGCATGCCAGTCGCCGAGAGGAATATCGAGCGCGATCAGAGACGATCTAGCGTCTTTGAGGTCGTGACGAGAGACTATACGTGCGAGCAGCTCAGCCCAGAAGGTCTCCTCTGTCTTGAGGAACGCTCTGAAGGAGTGGATCAATCGTCGACGGGCGGCGCTCGAGTCTGCGGCAGGCTGGACGGGCTTTGGCTTCTTTGGGCTGTTGCCCGCAGTCTTGTTGGCCTCGGCGGACCTGTCGAGGGCGGTGATTCGGGAACGATAGAGGTGTATGATGGCATGGGAGGTGTCGGCCCAGAGCACATTGAGGGCGTCAACCCATCGAGAAGAGGAGTTGATGGGCTGACCGGCGGAAGTCGTGCCGAACAGAAGGATGAGGCATTGCTTGCGCAGACTGCCGGCGGCAGCTCGTCTCAGCTTGATCGGAAGCTGCGAGTGGACGTGCACTGACCTCTTTCTCAGGAATTCGACATCCTGATGCCACGGATCCTTCTTCTTGACGAGCCCCCTGAGCTCGCCAGAGAGTGACTTGACCTCCCTGTGTGCGATCGTGCAGGTCAGACTGACCAGCGGACAAGTGCGATAGGCGGGCAGGACTGACTTGGCCACTCGGCTGCGTTCAGACGAGGCGTTGGACTGAGCGAGGCCAGCTTGATGAGAGCTCTCCTGCTCAGTCGCTAGTCTGATGTCCATACCAAGCTAACCCAATCGAGCGCTACGAAGCGCGGCCGCTCGTCAGACAAGCGAGCAAAGGCCGCTCATCTGCTTTTGGCTACCTTGGCAAGCAGCGCGTCAAATCTGGCAGATCGCGCGCGAGCCACGTTGCAATCATCTATGTGCCAGACTCAGAGCGAGAGATAGTCAGGCGTGAGCGTACTCAGGTCGACCTTTGAACGAGACGATCGCCCCCAGCGCGTCTGCTGCGTCTCTATTCTGATTCTGCGCAGCCTTGCCTCTACCTCTTCCCCATCGACTTCTTTGACGAATGTCCAGCTCTTACCCCACATGCCTTCCTTGCCCCGAGTACCGTGCCGCTTTCGCTTGCTCATGTCTTCGCTGCTCAGTCGCGGTTTCTTGCTGTTCTGCTCGTCATCCCGAAGGCTGGGCACGACTGTGGGCGATGCCGGTCGCTTGTTCGTTCGCGAATAGTATTCCGCCATGGCTGCCTCGAAGTCGTCGCCTTGCACGGACTCGAACGTCGAGGGCTTTCCGATGACAGGCTGAAGCGGTTTCGGCGGTATCTGCGTCGCCTGGACAGATGCTGACGCCACTGGTATCCTTGACGCGCTCTTGCGCTTCGGACGTTTGTGTTTCTTGACAACAGCAAACATGGCATGCTTTCCTTTCGCAAATGCATCACCAAGTTGCTTGCCCTTGCCCTTGCTCTTCTGGGTCATGCGAGACAGTTCTTTCCTTTCTTGTTCTTGGAGCGCTGCTTCGCGTTTAGTCGCTGCCATCCGCTTTCTCATCTCGCGTTCTTCCTCCGCTACGCGTGCCGACCGTTCTTCTGCTTCTCTAGCGCGCTCCTTCGTGCGCTCGCCGGGCTTGATCCAGTCCTCGGGCACGGTATGCTGGGCGAAAGTATGGTAGGCTGCCCGGCGACCAGTCATACCAGGTTCCGGCGGTGGCTTGCTGAGACGGATGACCTCTCGACAAACTTTCAACTGAGCCTTCGCTTCTGCCGACAACTTTCGATACGCGCCTTTCTCGCCTCTGTACAGCTCATTAGTCCTGCACCAACGAGGGCCCGTGTGAGACTAACATTTCGCAATCCTGGCACAGACAGTCCTCGTTATTCGGGCCAAAGTACTCGTGGCCGTAGCTACCGGTGATCTCCTCGCCGTATGCGACAGCACGACGGAGACGGTAGCCGACGACACCATTCGGTAGTCGACAGAGCAGCGCATTGCTGTTGCAGTCGTGGTTGACAAAGCGCGACGGCCCAGTGAAGAGCGAGTTCTTCTTTGTCTTGGGATCGAAGAGCTGCGATACAGATGAGTCTGTTTCCAATGCCTTGAGGTTGTGAGCATACTATGGAGAAGTTCTTGACATGTTGGGGTAGGCTATCGACAGTGCCATCGCGAGCATTGGATTCTGACTCTTTGATTGCACTCAGCTTGCCTTGTAACGCAAAGACGAGCGTGCCAGCTGCTAGATCTTGCGTCGCGAAGACGCCTGTCTCGAGTGGCTCGGGATGAATATGTCTGTGATTGTCGAGGGAGAAGTGCGCGTCATCGGCCGGCTCAGGACTCGTTGGCTCGCTGAATTCTGCCAGTGTGATCTGCCGTTGTGGGCCTGATATTGGTATCGGCGCCGGGACCGGCATGTAGGGCAAAGCAGGCCCAGCTCGAATGAACTGGCTGCTGGGGTCTGATGGACCAGATCCTCGAGCAGCGAACGCTGCACTTGCCGAGCCTTGGCTGCTAGCGAGATGACCATTCGTCAGCTTCACCTTGCCTTTGCCTTTGCGAGCAGTTGCTTCTGCAGCAAATCGAGCATGATCAGCGTGAGGAATGAGACGGGGTGGGTCGATGCTTTCGCCTCGCTGCAGTGCAAGAGCTTTTGCGTATCGATCGGTCATGCCGATGACGAACTGGCTCTGGGATGTCCACGCTTCCAGATACGCCTTGACTTGCCTGTACCTGAATCAGTATGCGAGAGCGTCGGATCCACTTGGGCAGCATACTCTCGGAATGTGCGGCAGACTGAGGGGTAGTCCATCGTGCTGAATGGATACGACTGCAACAGTGGCGACAGCCTGCTCAACAGTGTCAGACTAGCGGACATCAAGTACAGAATAATCTCACTCCATGCACCGTGTGGTGGCCGCGTCGACATCAATGACGCCTTCCGAGAGCTATGCCTAGCATCTCAGCATACAAGACGGGCCAGTCGAGCTCACGTACCTCGTCCACAATGGATGCAACTTCGACATCCGACACGCTTGAGCGCTTGTAGCCAATTGTGAGCTTGCGTGTAGACTGTCTTGACTTGAAGTGATATCGATCCACGAGCAGGTCGCTATATTCAACGATCAATCAGATTAACATCCGCATCGCAGGGCGCACCTCAATACGTCATCTGTCGCTGCAATGTAGGCGGCTGCAGCTTCTTCGGCCAATGCACGCTGTTCAGGCGTGTCGAGAGGAGGTTCCACTCCGTGCCTCTCGACGAAGACGAAGGATCCGTTGACGATGCCCGCCGCGGCGTCGACCTCACTGACTTGCTGCTGCGTTGCAAGAGGCGCGACTCCGTTGTTTGCCGTATCAATATGTTCGTCATAGATGACTGAAGTCTTCAGATCGTCGATAGGTGTCATGTCCGACATCGGTGTCATGCTCTGCTGATGTTTTGAGGCTCGCATGGCTGAGGATGGCCTTTCGTGAGATAGGGAGTTTTGACTCGACGAGCCATTAGCCGCTTCGTCTGGCACGAGCGTCTCGCCCGTCGAAAGATCAGGACTGCTACTTTGATATGCAGCCTCGGAAACATCCCTAACCTGATCGACACGATGCACTTCTGAGCTCGCGCTGGTGTATGACGCTCCAGTGCCGTTAACAGGCTGCTTGACGAACGGGCCGCCCCCTTGCGCGACGTCGTGCCGAAGTTGGGCCTCGCTGGCTCGGTTGAAATCATTTACTGCATTCTGCTTGAGATTTTGAGCGTCGTGCAAGCCCAGACCGTTGGCAGTCTCGAGTTTGGCCATCGAGCTCTTTGCAGCTGATTTCTGACCTTTGCTGGAGCCTGAGCTCCCACAGTGTCGATCAGACTTCTGAGCATGCTGAGTAGTGCCGTACGCCGGACTCATGTCCGTAGGATAGCCGGCAATATGGAGCGGCTCGACCATGTCGGCCACCGCTATTGAGCGCGAGCTCGCGACGTCAAGCGCGTTTTTCGCGACAGCTAGTGGTGACACACAACAACAGCTGTTTGTGGCTTCAATCTATTGTCCATCGTCCGGGCGTGACCTGCCGTTCGTCATCCTGGGTAGTGCCGTTGGCTTTGCGCGAGACTCGTGGCTTGCTTGTCCAGTAGCGCGGTACTGCACATACGCAATATGAGCGCAAAGTAGGAGGCATGCAGGCTTGACCTACTTTGATCTTTGAGACCGATGCCAAAATTGAGGCAGCACTTGACGTTGATGGCACAGGTGACGGCCAGCAAGACGATGCAGACGACCGAGAATGCGGCTGAACGTATTCAGCTTCATTCGCGGTTTGAGCTAATAACGACCTACTGAGGGTGCGCTGACTGATGAGATATTTCCACTCTTCCGTCGGATCGTACAAACGGACTGCTTGTCCGTTAGCGTGGCGCTCGCATGAGCATACATCACATACATAGCTTGTAGATGAAGTACACCTGCACGAGACAATCAGCTTTCAACGCACCACGCGATGGTATGACTCACCATGCCGGCGAGCTCAAGCAAGAGTGCAAGGAACGCAAGCCAGTAGACTTCGAGACGAACAGCAACGGCTGCCGAGAAGATGGCGACCAAGATGATCGGCAATGCCGCAATCGTCACCGCGAACTCGGTCGTCTGCGCATTGTGTCAGCGCACGAGACCAGCATGGATGGCGCGGGCGCCCACGTTGGCATGATTGAGGACAAGAATGAGGTATTGTATCGCAAAGCCAACGAGGAAGTACAAGTCGAACTTGAGTATGCAGGCAAAGATCTGATAGTACGTGAAAGCAGACTTGATCCGCCTGTCCGCTCCGATCTGCTTGAAGACTTCCCAGCCGTATTCCGAGTAGAGCCTGAAGGTCAGGGCGCCTTGCAGTGCAGCTGTGATACCGAGGACGACCGCAGTGGCGACGATCAGCTTGTGTATGTAGAGATACGCAGGCGATTCGTAGTTGCCTAGGGCGTGTAAGAGCTGGACACACCGCTTATCAGTACGAAGCAAGCCGGTCTACGAATGCGGCTGACCTGAGTTGGCATCAAGGCGGCGTAGATCATCATGAGGAGACTGAAGAAGCACAAGCCAACGAGCTGTATCGTATTGCGCAGTCGTAGCGCGTCAAGAGAAGCGGCAAGAGCGAAAAGTCTATCTCGGCGTGGTCAGCAAAGGTACAGCGTATCCTTGTAGACATACTCTGCAAGAACAAATATGACAAGATAGACCTGAATGCTTCGCTGCCGTGGGCTCTGACCATTCTGTCCATACTGATAGTCTATCCTCCGCTGATAATTCACAAAGATACAGATCATCATTGCGATGATGCTGACAGCTTGCGCGATGACCAAGCCGAGATAGGCTAGCTGATTCGGTGTCGCCAGATTGCGTGCAGTGGTGCCCATCCATTCGGCAAAAGTCTCGTCCATAGCTTCACTCGAATGCGACTTGCGCGCCGAAGGCGTGACAGGCAAGTCTTCGGGCATCTCTTTGCGGGATCCATGGCTCGAATCGGTCGCCTGATGAGTCAGATCAGGACGAGGCGCGAATTTGAGCTCAGATGGCGATTCTTGCTGGGGTTGGCCGGCGTCAGGCATGTATACATGAGCGTATGCAGCGTCAGGCGCATAGACATGTGCATATGCCGGAGCGTATGGCATCTGCATCTGAGCTTGCCGCAGCGGCCCAGGCTGCTGATAAGGATCGACGTAACCATGGTCGAGCAAGCCTTGCGTCGAGCGTGTCGCAGGATGACTTCTGCCAGCAGCATAGGGCAGACCGATCTCTGCAGTGGGCGGATAGCCCATATAGTGCATCTGTGCATCTGCTACTTGCGGCTGACTGTAGCGGCGTTGATGATCATGTTGGCCGGGCGCTGGCGCGTAGTATTGTTGCGCTGGTTGGCTATGATGGTATACGGGCTCTTGCTCGATCTCATAGCCCTGAAACCCGGCATGTATTGATTGCCGTCGTTGCTCATACTGCCCGTGCGGTGGCAGGATAAAGTGCGCTGAATTACGAGCGGCTCTTTGCTGAGGTGCAACGGGTGTCGTCGGGCTTGCGGCGGTATCGTACGATGCAGGACTGACGGGACTCGTCACTGCTGATGAATCCGTACTGATCGGGCGATCGTTGCTGCTGGTCATGACCAGTGTGTGCTGCGTTGCATGGGCCTGTTGGCGCGGTTGCAATGGCAATCTGCTTGGCTGAGCTTGACTTGGCTCGACGAAATAGGCGGGATGCCTGGCAGCCTGACGTGATGCAGGCATGCGCGTGTCCTCTGACAGCATGATTGCGGTCGTGTCACGCGATCATGGGAGCATACTGATGGCAAGACTGGCCTTCGTCATGCGGTTGCGCGCGCGCCCGACACGCAAAATCTCGCACGGTCGCGACGGTCTGGCGCAATATCTGGATATAAAAGGGCGCGCGGTGAATTATCCCCCGTCCAACTGCAGCGCGACCTCACCACCGGCAAATCCGGCATCGTTTTCCTCGACAGACCGGAGAGTATACATTGAGGGATACGCGATCAGTCTGAGGATTTTCATGTCGAGATGAAGGCATCGCAAGCGTCAACATAGAATCCTCCCCCTAACGAAGCTGAAGCGACCCGTCACGACGCTGTGGTCATCGGAAGAGGCTCAGGCCTCGAAAGCTCGATCAGCCCAAGGACTGCTTGTCCATTGAATTGGGATTGCTAGCGCGTCGTGGGCATGCATCTGACGATCTGTGCGATCCCGACCACACCGGCAATGAGATCACAACTTACAGCAGCCAGCGTCTCCATCTCGTCATCGTAGTGCTTTGCGATTCCCAACATTCGCCTTTTCCTCAATCACTATTTGTAGCAGACCATCTTCAATAACAAGCCTATTGCAACCTGCCCATTTTTCGCCCTTCGAAGTGTCAGTCTGCCATGAATAATCAATCATTTGCCTCTGTGGAGAACACAATAGACGGCTGTCAAAGCTGCGGGCAAAGGAGCGTGACAGCCGTTTGCCAGCTCGAGTCAGACGACGCGACAAGCCAGAACGCGCTCACACAAGGGTACTCCTGTATGACCCAATGCATATACACCGGGCTATCTATCAGTGAGCGTGAATGGTGTCATGTGGAGAACTGCAGCGCGAAAGTCAGTATGGGCATAGAGACAGAGGTCGTACGTACGACGCCGTATATCTTGAAGCGAGCGACATCAACACTGATCTGCCCTTGTAACTCGCAAAACACGAAATGGCTTCCTGCGCCGACGCCTCGATCGATGATCGTCACCCTGTGAACAGCGACGTTAGCGCATAGTACCGGTTTCGGCTGCAGGCAACGCACTTTGGCTGCTTGATGCCCGAATCGCTGACGCCATTGAGCTCGACAGCTCCACCGTAGTTGTCATCGACGTTGCACTTGAGCTTACCCCAGCCGTCACTTTCCGGCCCTTGCAGGTAGTATACAGCGATTTCGCCGGCGCCGACCTTGATGGGTACCTTGAGCTTCGATCCGGGCGTCTCCGAATACCAGTAATGTCGCTCGTCCTCGTCAGAGGGTTTGGGCGTGACTGCAGTCCAGCCTGTGCCTGCAAAGACGGAAGCTGGCAGAGGATTGATGAGATCATTAGCAGAGGCGCAATTCGGCTTGATCTCGCGGAAGTTCTGAATCGTATGCGGCTTGTCTAGTATGCGGAATGCGGGTATTCTCGAGAAAGCTGCGCCTCGCAAAGCATCACGCGAGCCAGTCTGTGATGTCGCGCCGTCTTCCGCGTCCAAACCTGCATCGCTGCCCTTGCGAAGCCCTTTACCACCGAGCAAGCCAGATGGTGCATCTGCACCTCCACCGACGGCTACTGCACCGGCTGCCGCAAGACCTGATCCTGTGAATGGCATCGGAGCACCTCCCATTTCAGCTTCGATGGCGGCATGGTCCCAAACGGTGCAGATCTCGGCTTCGAGGTAGCCGATGACGGTATCGGCTAGCAGCTCATGTCCCTTTGCGTTTGCCAGCACAGGATCGAGAAAATATGACTGCCGGACTTTCTGCGGGTTAATGAGATATTCTTCGTAGAGCAAGCCCTTGACGCTGAGATGCACGACATCGTAAAACTGCGCAACTGCACTGTGCCACACTTCCGGTCCTGCGAAGCCGTGCTCGCCCCTAGCAGTATGTCTCGGTCAGTACGAATGCAAAAGCTATGAAATTTACGTACTGCAGCTGGGGGCTGAAGTGACCCAGCATGATCACAGCTGGCTGGTCGGGTCGCAAGAGTATTGACCGAATCAGCAGATCCATCGAAGTGAGGGTGATCTTATCGCTGAGGTTGCAAGCATGAGCTTACATTGCGCTCATCAGGACACCATGACTCACTGAGGATCCTCGGTGTCGAACTCGACAATGACGATATCGACGCGATCGGGCAGGTGCATCTGCGAGCAGTAGCCAAAGTAGGCCGAATTGGTGCGTCGTACTGTCGATGCTATCAGTCTTGCTCAAGTGACATACAGACTAGACATACGGGCACCATTTGTTAACTCGTTCGCGGGATGAGGAAAGACATCGTTGAGCCATGAGAAGAGTCGATGGGGATAGCAGTTGGGTCCGACTGGATTGCCGAGCGGATGTGCTTGAGTCGCGTCTAGGCCGTGACAGGCGGAGATGGAGCCTCCGAGTACGCCAATGGCTGCAAAGCGGGTCAGTCAGTCATCAACCTTGCTGAGCGTCACTCACTGATAGGCAGGCCTGCCATGGCACGTCGGATGACCTTGCGCACTCTGTCCGAGCTACCGACATGCGCACGTGTCTTCATGAGACTCTCTGAGCCATAGAGCTGGCCAATCTCGTCTGATTCGCCAAACGTCGGACAGAACGTGAAGGGAGGCGCCTCCGTGAAGTTGGCTGGCGTGACCGAGGAGACGGAGCCGCCGCCTAGGGCCGATCGTGTGCGTGTTTTGGCTCGCAAGTGAGCATCAAGTCGCCTCGAGCTGCCCGATCGGTAGCCGTAGCCTGGCAGATATGTGCCTTTCCTGCCTAGCAGACCAGTGCCGGACCAAAAGACGCCAAAGTGATCTGGCGCGACAATGTTGAGCAAGAGCAAGCTTGCGCTGATGGCGGCCAAGGCAAGCACGAGCTGCCTTCGGTGGGCAGAGAGGATACGCAGCGCGTTGGCGAACACGGGCGATAGACCGCTATTGGCTGAGCTCGCGCCTGGACCTGAGGTATACGTGCTTGTGCTCTGGTGTGCTGTCGATGGATTGGTGGAGCTGCTCGAGGCTGCAATGTGCCGCCTATGTAGATTGTCGTCGTGTGATGAAGTGCTACTGCTCAGTCCCATAGCAGCGCCATTGTTGCTCGCTCCGTTGAGCGCAGGTGCCATGCTGGACGCTAGCGAGACTGGCTTGAGCTCGTCTGATGCTGTGCGTGCGTGTGGTCTCAGTATTGGTCCGGATCCCGCGGCGCTGCTTGTTCGAGACTGCATCGGCTCAGAAGATCTTTGAAGATCCGCTACAGCGAGGAAGCGGGTGATCGCACCGAGGCAGATCGAGAAACGTACACCCTCGTCAGACTGAGACCTCTCTGGCTCTCTGAGGACCGCTATAGGCCCGGCAAGAGGCAGCCAAAGTCAGAGAAGCTAGCGGCGCGCGCTCGCGTCCGCCAGCCATTGCGATAGGCAGGCCGATAGCGAGCTCTTGAGGAGGCGTGGACGAGGTATGCTAGCTCATGCCAGCCTCACGTCGATCATCGCTGCTGCCGAGATCACTGAGCAAGTCGTCTGACCCTTCTAGCTCCGACGAGGACGAAAACGGACAGCAGTCCCAGCGAACTTCAGTCAGTCATACGGACAGCAAGCCAGGCAGGATGGCAGAAGGCTTGCGGAGCAGAGTGCAAGTCCAGCGCTTTGGCTATAGGCTACTCGCCGGTGTTGTCACGGCCATTGTGCTCAAGACTGTCGTTTTCCCTGCAAAGGTAGGCCAGCAGCACTTGCAGCTTGCATGGCTGACCCGTGTCGTGCAGTCTACCCTGCCGCCAGGCGAGATCGCTCATCCTGCACTGCTCGAGCGCATCACGATGGGCACGCCGCTCACAGGAGGCGTACTCGACGCATCACACTATGCATTCCTGCAGTCCAGACTTGGACGAGACGAGGAGCCTGACATCTTTGACAAGGACATCTCGGCTGGCAAGGAAGACTTTTGGAACCGGTTCCAGAAGCCATTCATGACGAGCCAAGACACCTATCATCTAGACGAGCAGGTCTGTCTGACTCTTCTATGTACGGCAGCTCTCGCTGACGCGGTCGCAGGTCATACGCGGCGTCGTGGACGAGCTGATGCAGTTCAACGGGTGGGCGGCAGCGGCATGTAGCTCCTTGTCGCGACCTTTCGGCGTCAATCGGCGCGAGGACGAATACAGCGATCTCACACGGCCAGGCGCGCTCTACTATTTTGGCCTGGTGATTCACACAGCAGATCACTTCGTCGTCGATCAGTTGGCGACTGTCATCCAGATGTCGCGTCGACTCGGTCCACAGAATGTCTTTGTGTCCATCATCGACTATGGCTCGACAGACTCGACCCCATTTCTGTGTGACCTCACAGAAGCCATCCTACTCTTGCTCAGCATCTCATTCAGAATCAGACACGTTCCGCCGATGACTCACGAATCGGCGGCAGCTTATTATCCTCACGAAGAAGCATACACACGCAATCTTGCGCTCGAGCCCTTACACGAACTACACGACAGACGACGGATTCGATTTGCGAGAGTCATCTGGCTCAAGGGCTTCACCTGCCCGACCGACTTGATGGAGACATTGCGCATCTCTGCAGTCAACCACGCTGCTATGACATGCTCGATGGACTGGAAGGAGCACAATGGCTTCTTCATCTTCAACGATCGATGGCGGACGCGAGACATGGAGGGCAACCTCTTCAGAGGCTCAAAATCTACGAGCAGTGTCGACGAAGCACCTCCTCGTGATACGATATCGGCAGAACGATACGGCCAGCATCTACCTTTCCAAGTCTTTTGCTGTGAATCGGGCACGCACGTCGTCGATCCAGCTCAGTCTTATTATGCCGGTCTGGCGTATCGCTCATCCGTCAACGACGGTGTTCACAATGCTAGTCGAGCGGATGGCGCTGAACGGCCGGCTTGGAAAGAGGGACCCTGCATGGACTCGGCTCAGATGCATTTCTGCCGAGATCTGTGGCTGTATTCTGCCAAAGAGGGCGTCAAAGTCCAAGCACGCCGCATCAAAGATCGCGAGCGTCGGGGCCTCGGTCGTAATGTGACTGAAGCCATGGAGGAGATCATTCAGGCCGTTGCACCAGAGTATGCGCTGCCCGGCCTAACGGTGTCGAGCCGCGAAAAGGTCGAAATCGACACTACGACCGACGACGCAAACGATCTTGCCGACCTCGTCAACCCGATAGAATCCGTCGCAACAGCGCTTACGGCGGCCGATGCCCTGCCGACAAGTGATCCAGTGCTCGAAAGTGTGGAGATCAAGCCTGTTGTGGCGGAGCCCGTCGCTATACAGAACCCAGAAGAGCTGCAAGCCCAGGAAGACGGGCAGCAGAAGGAGCTCGAAGAAGGCGTGCCTGCGCAGGATCCACTCGATGCAGCAATCCCCGCTGCAAAATTACGAAAGCGGCAAGCACCTGAAGCTGCTGCACCTGCCCCGGAGGTGCCGCCGGCTGCAGCAATACCTGACGCCGCACCAGCAGAGGCTGCAGATCCTGTCAAAGCTGCACCGGAAGCGCCTCACATGCGTCCCGAAGCAGCCATCAGTCATCAGGAAGACATTGATCCACCCGATATGGAGGACATACCTGAAAGCGAAGACGACATTGAAGACGACACTGATCTCGCAGTTCCTAACGATGACTTTGTGCCAGCTCGAATTCTTGTCAATCCTCGCTGTGTAACGACATACGCAGGCGTCTCACATATCCAGCTCGCGCTCGATCTTTTCGGTTCGGCCGATGAAGCCCATCTCGTGCTCTCAGACGAGCCCAAGAAGTCATCAGAGTATCTCATGGAAGCATGGAGAGGTGCACCGGAAAACTTTGTCTGTCAGGAGATGACGGAATGCGGCGGGAGGGCCTCACAAAAGCAGCAACGGAGGACGAGCTTCTATGTTGGCGCGTTGCTCAAGGCAGGCTGGCAAGTAGGTCATCATGTCTAGAGATGATTATGCATTTTCCATGCCTCCCAACTACATCGACGTTGCATGAGTTGCCCCCCCCTCTTATCGGCTCCCTGAGCATTTGAACCATCCTGCACAGAGCCTGATAAAGCGGAATGTATAGGCACCGATAAGGAAGTAGAGCAAGCCCAGAAAGCGGACCAAATTCACAGCAAAAGTAGCGAGGAGAAGGGCTTGGAAGTAATGCGTCTGATTGCGCTTCGAGAGCCGGCCGACAGCGACTGCGAGGACAACGTTGGTGAAGAGCCAGATTGCAACAAGACCTGAGCTAAATTGTTAGTAGCCATATCGACTCGGCTGATGTACATACGAGTTCTGAACTGCTTGTTGCAATCGTCTGGATCTCTCGCTGCGACCTCTTCCTCAACGATGTGCGGCGAGAGCGCGCGGGAGATCGTGAGTTTGAAGTCTGCATCTACGTCTGCCTGAAGGCGATCATAGACCTGAACGACTGCCGGCTCGTCTTCTTTATCCTTGTCTTTCTCTACCTTGGCCTTGGGAAGGCTTGCTGCAGAATCGGAGCCTTTCGTACCCCATGACACGTCGTGTAGATTGCAGAACGCAAAGACGTTCAGAACGTTTGTAAAGCTGCAGACGATTGAGGTGTCAGCTCAGAAAGCGCCGGAATTTTGGTAAATCTTGCCTTGGCGCTACGACGCAGTACTGTGGCATTGCGAACGGAATGTGCCAAGGATCGAGATAGAGAAGGCCGGATAAGATGTAGAGGCCGAATGTGCCTGCGAGACCTGCCATGATCGGACCGTAGTCATTGTTGAACTGCGAGAGGATTCTGAGAAAAGCTTCATCGAGGTTTTAAGAGACTTACGAGTACTGTCAAGACAGAGCCGCCAGCCTTCTGAATCTCGTCCGTGATTGGACAGAATGAGCGTATGGTGAGAACGATCGTGGCAGCCATGAGCCAGGCTGCAAGCAAGCCGAAGATGACGAATGCCGCCGTATAAGCTGCGGGCTCGCCCTTTGGACGATTACCGAGTGACAGCACCAGTACAGTCATGAGCGTGGCCAGGTAGATGTCCACAAGGAAGAAGTTGATTGTGCCGAGCATATTGTGCTTCTGCACAAAGGTTCCATTGGGATTATGCTCGAATGGACTGCCGGCCCAACATTTCCTGTCGATTTCATTGGAGAGCGACGAGGGATCAAACAGATTAGTCGCCACAATTTCGGTGATAAGCTTGAAGGTCTCAAGCCAGTTGGCGAGCGCGAACCAGCCGAGAAAGGTACCAAAGATGGTGTAGATGGCCTGGATATGCAGGAAGAACATGCGGATGATGCCATGATTGCTGCGATAGATTCGCCCGAAATGAGCGAGAGAGTATAACGATGCAGCAAAGGAGCCGTTGAGCCATCGACGACGTTGCCCGATCAGCTCGACGACACTTTCTGGAACATCCGTCTCTGCTTTCGAGGGCTTGACGTAGCCCAGCGTCCAGCGCGCGTTCGCTTTGGCTACCAATTCGAAGCACAGAATCCGATCTTCGGCGAGATACATGTTGGACTTGAAGATAGACATGCCCTGCACGCCGTCTTTGCCCAGCCTTGCCGCAAGGGAGTGATCACCGTGAAAGTACTGGCTCAGCGGGCGTCCTTGAATTGCTGTCCAGCGATAGGCAGAGAAAGCGCCTGGCAAGACGGACACATACCCGAAAGCAGACTCGGTCGGCTTATCGAGAATGTTGGCCACCCTGTGCTGCGGCTTTAGCTTCATAAGGCCCCGTAAGAAGGCGCGCATACTTGTATTCGAACATCTGAGCTGCAACAAGGGGATTGATGAGCTTCTTGCCGCCTTTGATCATCGCGTGGATCTCGCCACAAGCGCCGCCGAGGTTCTCCTCGTGGTAGAAAGCCTCCCAGAGGTAGTAGATGGAGCGAGCGCCTGGCTTTGTGCCTGCATCGATGAGCACGACGACTTCTGGGCTCAATTGGCGAGCGAGCCCATTGAACAGCCAGCGATGACTGTTAATCTTTTTCTCGTTCTTTGCTTTGAGGCAAAAGATGAATTGAACGGGCACCATGCTCGCAGGGTCATTGGGCGTAGGCGTGACGAGCTTGAGCTTGGGCGACATGGACAGGGCCGAGGTGAACTCAAAGATGTGCGCTACCGTGTCCTGTCCATCGACAGAGCCTTGGATGATGCCATCTTGATAGATTCCCATCGTGGCCAGCACGTCCAGCGCAGACTTGTCAGCAGGACCGACACCGTCAAAGATGAGCGAAACGACGATGCGCTTCCACGAAAGATCGCCAGAAGCTGTGCCGTTGTCTCCAGCAGCAGCTTGACGGAATTCTGACCACTTTGCTTTGACCATGTCGCGAACATTGAGCATTACGCTGTGCAGGGTTCGCGCCAACAGGATCTTGTCCTCGTCTATCGACGACGATCGCAATTAGCATGCACTGACCGCCAAACGTGATACGCACTGTAGTAAGTGATGGCAATGAGGAGGTCTGTCTGTCGGTTCATCTGGACAGGGCGTAGAATCCAGCCATTGTCGACTGTAAAGTCGTCTGGATCTACAGTAGCTGCAGTGTAGCGCAGGTTATCAAACTCATTGGGATCGCCAGCCGAGGGAAGAATAATGGGCTCGTTGGCGCGAGAAACGGGCGTGGGCACCTTGTGGTCGACGACGTAGTGACCCCGTGTCAGCTTGACTCGTCTTGTGCCTGCTCGCTTGAGACCTGCTCCCTTGCCGTCCGATGCGCCGGGAGCGCCTTCTTGCCAGTCCATTGGCCGGTTCTGACGCGCTTGCCAAGCAGCCATTGTGCTATCCCGCTTGATCAAGTGAGATTCTGAGGCCTGTGTATTGCCATCAGGCGCTGCAAAGCTACCCGGATATTGACCGACAGGATAGCCATAGTCGTTGAACTGATAGCCGGGTGAAGTCGATCGATGTGGGGAGGGTGGGTAGGCGCTATAGGGCTGCTGCTGCTGCTGCTGCTGCTGTTGGGCATGTGTGGCTGAGGAGGTAGACCTGCCGCTGGGCATGCGAGAGACTGTGGGAGAAACGAGCGTATGGGTGGATTGAGAGGCATTGTTGGTCTGCTGGTAGCCGTACTGACCTCCCTGCTGTGTCGGCTGACCATACTCTTCATCGTACTCTTGGGCGGCATGGTGTCCCGTCTGCTGTCTCGCGTCGTATTCGTCATGACGAGAGTAGCCTGACATGCTACCTTGGTGGACAGAGCTCGCGTAGGCTCAGCAGTCTAGCGAAGGGGAGAGATGTCCAAGCAGAATTTGACGGTTGCCACGAAGGGAGTGAAGCGTCGCAGGGAGGGCGTCTCTGACTCTCGAACAACTGACACAGCCTCGACCTCGGACCAAACTCTGCCAGGGAGTGCTACGATACGTGGCTGAGGAAGGAAACACATGGCAAAGACAGAGCATCGAAGCGTCGAGGGCAGGTCGACTTGGATCCGCGAGGGCGACTGATCGGTCGATCGCCCTTCCACTTTGCTGGGTTGGCAGGGGACAGTGGTCGTACAACGTCTAGCCTGCGCGCCTGACAACGCAGCGAGGGTTCGTCCGGGCATGGCAGAAGGCTCAACGAGGACTGCGGGTGAGTGAAAAGGGCATGAGCGAGTGAGGATCATTCGGCTGATTGTCCCCTTTGCCCGTCACGCGACAGAGACAGCCGGGGCACCCTCACCAGCAGTGCAGGCCACTCCCAGACGGCTCTATCCTCTCACGAGCTTCGAATCCACACCCGCCAATGTCTCTGCGTTCAGCTTCGTGCTCGGTCTGATCTTCACCTATGGCCTCGTCACGCTTTGCTCGACGCCCGCGATCGATTCCGACCATGTTTCTCGGTGGTCACAGGTTTTAGCGAGCAGACAGCTCGGTGCATACCTAGCAGCATGGAGTGCCTTTCATATGCTCGAGTTTCAGACGACAGCAATCTACAATAGCGGCCTGTGTAGCGTCTCCTGTGCGCACTGCTCCACGCGTCTCGATCATGAGCTCAAGTCATCATGACAGCGTTCTTGCTCAACAATGGAGCGGCGTACCACATCGCTCATCTGGCTGGGCTTGCCGAGCATGTACTAGAGACGCTCCTGCTTCCCCACGGCCTCTTGGAATGGAAGAGAAGCATGATCATCGTCATATTTGGTCAGTCGTGATGAGCTGCCGGGGTCATTGCTCACGCTCTGGTCTTCGCTGGCTCCGACAGGCGGAGCTGTCGTCCTGATCAGTCAGTTTGCCCGTAGCTGTGCGATGATTCAGGCAGCTAGCAATTTCAGTCACGCGGTGGCGAGATCGAAGCGCGACGGTCACGTCCTGGTCTCGCACGGTACATCTCTCACTCCATTTCGATCTCCCTCCAAGCAGCTCACTGTGAACATGACAGGCATCTATGCATACTCGCGACATCCGAGCTATGCTGCATTCTTCTACTGGGCTGTCGGGACCCAGATCCTGCTGGGCAATCCCATTGCAGCAGTCGCATTCGCCATCACGCTCTACCGATTTTTTGCGATGCGAATCATCGGTAAGTCGCTCTCCTCCTGTACTCGTCCGAAGCTGAGAAGCGTGTCGCAGGCGAAGAGAAGCATCTGGTCGAGTTCTTCGGACAGCAGTACGTCGACTATCGCGCTCGGGTGCCTACCCTGTTGCCGTTCCTGCCGTAGTAAATGTGTCCGTACCGCATTGCATAGCATCTAGAACAACCGTAGCTGTCCTATCTCTGCCTGAGCAGGCTGCTCCAGCGCTTTGCCGCCGTTCGTCTGACCCAGCAAGGAGGCAAAGAGCTCGTTCACTTGGTCGTCTTGCCACGTCCCTTGCGGTATCGGCACCTGGTAGCAGCATCAGCATCGACTGTACAGCACCAGAGCGAGCATACCATGAAATTGACGGCCTTGTCGTGCACATGAAAGCGCAATTTGCGCCCTTTGCTGGCCTTTGTATCGACTTGCTTTGTCTTCTTCTTCCGATACTCATCTAATCGACCGATACCGAGCGTTGGATCATCGAGATCGACAGAGCGACCTTCGACGACCTCTTTGAGAAGCGCCTGATAGAAATCTGTATCGTCGAAAATATCGTCGTCTATTGTGCTTTCGGCCGCCGACGTGCGCAGGCGTTTGCTGTCTGTTCGGTTGACGCGGGTTCGCTTGCTGAGCTTCTCGCGCTCCTGTGACATGGCTGAATCGACTTGGAGCATCGTGCTCTGGTTGATGGCCTTGACTGCGAATCGATTACCATTGAGTTGTGAGGCGCCGGTTGCCACAGTGACCTTCTCGTGCCATTTCGTCACCGTCGCGCGAACCTGAGTTTGTAGCCTTTTGTGCAATCAGTCATCGTGTGCGATCGCATTGCAAAAAGCTTGCTCACCTCTCCTCGAGCATAGACATGTTGTCTACGGAATCGGACAGAAAGCCAGCCAAGTCATCTTCGATGGAACGCTTTCGCTTGCCTGCAGAGATGTCGATGTTGCCATTTTTTCGAAGCAACGTGACGCGCAAGTCATAGAGCGCATCGCTAAGGTCGGCAGTGCTCTTCAGTGCGGTAGACAGCGCCTGACGAGACTCGGCATTGGCCTCGGCGAAGCTTTCATGATCTTGCGACTGCAGCCATCTTAGCACGAGACCAAATGGGCTTTCTGAGTTGCTCACGCTTGGCAGAGTGCAGGCGACGAGAACGAGCTTTTGCGCGCGTATCCTGAGTTCGAGCAAGCTGTCCCATAGTGACTGTCATGAAAGATCAGTCTGCTGGCGTGCATCCGGGCCGCGAACAGACTGACGAGTTGTTTCTTGACATGCTGTCCTTTGCGCACGTCTGCAGAGGCAGCCTGGCGCAGCTGAGACAAGATCTCTCGATCTGCGCCTTGGTCTACTGGCGACGGCCGTCGTTGCTCTGTCACTTGCGCTTGCATCGGCACATCATCATCTGAGCTGACAGGCTCGTGAGCTGTCTCTGACTGCTGCTCTGCTTCCTCGCTGTCTTGTGACTCGTCTGATGCCTCTGCGCTCGAAATTTCGTCGTCGCTATAATCCAAGGCAGCTTTGCGTGAGCTTTGCCGGCCAGCGTATCTTGGGTCGTCTGTGGCGTCTAGCTTGCGAAGTCTGCTCTTGGCCGGTGACTCTACTCGATCAAGCTGATCGTCGTCCTGCTCGACATCCTGCAGGAAGCCAGGTTTGTACGTCTCTGCATCTTCAGGATCAAAATCTGTACTTGTCAGCATCAGCATTGCCTTCCCTGACGGCTGATCTGAGCGTTGCACACCTCTGGCCAAGGGTTCATTGAGCTCGGCTAGCTGCTCGACCAGCGTCTTGCGAGCCATCGACTGGCAGCAGGAGCAGGAGCAGGAGCAGGACGACAACTGACAAGCTGGTCTCGTCGCGATTTGACATTGTCATTGTCGGCTTGTCGCAGCTGCTGATGCATGGCAGCCCCGCCCTCATTCAGCTCCTTTCCCTCGCTCCAAGAGAGTCCACGAGCCGGCTCAACCAGGCGTAGTGAACATCAGGATGACCCGAGCGGCTTCGACGCTCGGCGTAGCAAGCATCATCATCATCCTAAAGACGACTCGACATCGTCTCGCAGCAGGAAGCGAGCCAGACATGACGACTCGGCCAGTAGAAGCCACAAGAAGTCTGAAGATGCTACTGCTACATTCATCAAGGCTGCCCTGAAGAGCGCACCTCGGCCATTCGTACAGGAATCGCCCGCAACCTATTGGCATCACGTCCAGGGTGATCGTGATAATCTCGTCTATGGCAAGCCGAACAAGCCGCCGCAATACAGCAGACACAGATCTCGCTACGTACTCGGTCTACCGCGCCGCTACCGGATCTCTTACCAATGGAAATCGATCGGTCAAACGGTTTGCATCATCGAGCACAAGAAACCAAAGGCAGCGCGTTATACGAGCATAGAGCAGCAAGCCCGGCTGCGCAAGGTGCCCACTAAGCGTCTGACAGCATCGCATACTCGTCAGTCTGAGCAGGCTGACTTTGTCGCCCTGTCGAGCTCGAAACGATCGCAGGCCGAGCCAACGACACGCATCATTGAGCGAATAGACGCAGAGCCATCGGATAGCGAGTCTGAACCAGATGCTGCCTTTGATGACACACAAGAGGTCGCTCTTCAGGAAGACGAAGAAGCCATCTCTAGCTACTTTGCACGTCGATCGCGCGAGTTCAATGCAGCCCTGAGAGAGGATCCATCCAATGTCGAGCTTTGGCTGGAATATGCCTCCTACCAGACCGAGGTTGCCCTCCTCAATTCCGAGAGTAGTCTGCAGAGTGGCAGAAGTAGGCGTCTCACGGCCAAAGAGTCACTCGCCGTCGAAGAGATACGGCTCGCTATCCTCGACAAGGCTCACAGTCACCAGTCCAATCAGTCAGACGTGCGACTGCTCCTCGCTCGCCTCGAGTGCTTCTCTCGCGTCGTACCTGATACCGGCTCGGTCCTGAACGAATGGCAGAAAGCGCTGGACCTCAATGCCAATTCGATCGAGCTTTGGTCTGCTTACCTGCGCTACCGCACGGGCGAGTCAAAGTCGTTCGAGCTTGCTAAAGTACTCGATCTCTACCTCGAAGTACTGCAACTACTTAAGCGGCGTATACAGCTTTATTCCATCAATTCACCTGGTAAGCTGATTCTAACACCGGTTGACGGTAACTCATTAGCACCTGCAGAGCGAGAGGACCTTGAGGTCAGTGCGATCAGGATCCTTCTCAAGGCGTGTCTTGTCATGCGAGCGGCAGGCTTTGCAGAGAGAGCGTTTGCCATACTGCAAGCGCAGATCGAGCTCAACTTTTTCAGTCCGGACGACGCTGTCTCGGAAGACGAGCTGTTTGCCCGTTTCGAAACCTTCTGGGATAGCGAAGCACCTCGTATCGGCGAATCATCTGCTCAAGGGTGGTGCAAAAGTGACCTGTCCGCATCAGCTGAGCATGTCGCTCACAAGCAACTGCTTTCGTACCAGCATGATCTTATAGAGCGCTGGCAGCACGACGAACTCACCTCTGCTCAGAGCTCGATACTGCCCAGCCGTTCAGAGACCGAACTCCACGACGAGGCCAGCGATCCTTTCCGCGTAGTGCTCTTTGCCGATATAAGCAACTTTTTGTCGGTCTACGCTTGTGTCGATAGCAAGCTGCATCTGCGCTACGCCGTGCTCGATTTCATGGAACTCGCATACCCAGCGCCAGATACTTCTACGCTCTGGAACGAGCCAGATGAATTTGGATCAGCCCGGCATATGGCTCGATCTTTTTGGCCAGAGTACGCAGAGCCAACGACCGAACAGCTACTAGCGGGGACGAGAGCAAGTACCGTGAACAGTGCCTTCGATTGCAGGCTCAAGGCTCTGCCAGTAACGCCAGACACTGTCTTTTGCTCAAGTACATGGTTCTCAGTCACGGATGCACTTGACACAAGAACGCCATATGCTACAGTTGCTGTCAACATGCTCTGGGCACTTGCAGAGACCGGACGCGATCCATTCTTCAAGCTGCTCGCTTTGGCCTTTCAAAGTCAGCTGGACCACAAACGAGCAGTCAAGATGGCAAAGCACCTTCTTAAGAAGGAGAGCAGCGCGCTCATGCTGTGGGATGGCTATGCTCGAATGCAGCTAGGTCGAGGCAAGATCGATGAAGCGAGGCAGGTATTTGCTTCTGCCATACAAATCGGCGCAAACTTGTCAGAAGCTAGCAAGGTCGACTTGCCCTTGCTTTTTCGCTCGTGGGCAGAGATGGAATCAGAGTCTGGCAATGTTGACTTTGCTCTGTCCATCGCAGTCGCTTCTGTCACGCCAAACGCCGAGCTGCCAAATGTCAACCGACCTTGCTCTCCACCATCTGCCATCCATTTACTCAGGACACGACAGCAGCTCACCCGCATTCTATCCGAGTCATGTCTGTCCGGAGCAAGCGCGTCGCTACTGCGGCACCGTACAAGCATATACGCAACCCTTTGCTTGCTTGAATATCATGTCAAGGGCTACTCAAGCATGCTCAGAACCGTTCAGAAGCCACTCGAAGATCTGATCGAGCACAATTCGACTCGAGCCGAACACGAAGAGCTGCTGATGATCAACGCAAAGTTTGCATATCGCGCGAGCAAAGAAGCAGCCTTTCGCCCTCGTCAAGTTTCAGAGCAGCTGGAGTCTGGCCTTGCGCATTTCCCGAGCAATGCAGTCCTACTAGCACTATATCATCACATCGAAGCACGCAGCAAGCTACGGATGAACTTTGCTCGCACCATCGACAATGTCGTCCTCGCGAGCGGCAAGACGACGGTCTCTAGCTATCTCTTTGCGATTTGGGCGGAAATGCGCTTCAATGCTTTCACTTTCAACAAGGCCATCGTACGTGAGCTCTTCGAGCGCGCCGTGGACGATCCAAGGTCAGTCTAGCTTCCTGAAGGTCGGACTGTTGCGACTGACTGGATTGATGCCGCAGGACCAGCACTTCTGCAGATCTTTGGCGACTCTTTATCGACTTTGAGATCCGCTACGGATCCTTACCAATCGCGAAGCGTGTTTACTGGCGCGCTATAGCCGCGTGCCCGTGGTCGAAAGGTCGATCTGCCGAGGGACTTTCGAGCTTGTAGCTGACTCAGTCCGCAGAACTGCACCTCCAAGCTTTTGGACATCCTTTGCGAGGAGCAATGACAGCTCAGGAGCTCCTGGCCATCCACTCGAGTATGCTCGAGCGCGGAATACGCCTGACGCACGACTTCCCAGGGCTCGATGCGATTGAAGAAGAGCCTTCAGGTGACGAGCAAGACGAGCCGATCAGCGTGGGCGGAGGCAAACATCAGAGCCTGATGCCGTACTGAAGCATGAAATTGCTGCAAAGAGTTACAAGTAGTACATAGAACTGAAGAAAGGACGTGTATCTTGTTGTTCTCATTCTACAATTGTCTTCATGAGTGGTCGTGAGGAGGAAGCAGCGCATTATCGTTGCAGAGGCGGATCGAACGCTTCTGCGCTGGTCTGGCCCGGGTTGCCGCCAATGCCGGTCGCCTGCTCATCCTCGTCTTCGTCGCCTTCCATGGCGCTATCGAGGGTTTCTTTGCTCGCCGTAGCAGACTGCTGAGTCTTGTGCACCTTGAGGTGACGGCGCAAATTTGACTGGACGCTGAAGCCACGATGACAGAGTTCGCAAGTGTACGGCTTCTCGCCAGTGTGACTGTAAACATGAATGCGCAAGCTTGAAGGTCGAGAGAATTTCTTGGAGCAGAATGGACAAGTGTAGCGCGTCGCCGAATGGCCGGACCCAGAGGCAGAGGCCGCTGGCGAGTAAGGACTTTGGGTATCTGGACCTGATTCCTCGTAGTCTGACCGACTCGTCGACTGCGTCAGGGGTCCCTTGCCTTGAAATTGAGGAGTGAAGATAGGACTGGTAGATGACAAGCCAGTGCTGTAGCCCGATTGGGCTGGCGAGAACGCATTGTTCTCGTAGATCGAGCCGCCCAAGGATGACGAGGAATGGCTGGCACGGGGCGAGAAGAGCGACATTTTGCTCATCCGCGCAGCAGCCTCAGAGGACTCTGAGCCTTGTGAGCTTCCGAGGGCGTACATGTCAGCCGATCGAGCAAGATGAGGGTGTTGTTGCGAAGGGTGGTGGAACTGATGGTGACTCGGCTGATTTCGCGGTATCGCAAAGGACTCGTAAAAGTTGGCTGGCGACCCGCTCGGGATGACTCTCGCTCTGTGCGCGACCTGCCCAGCTGGCTGCCCGCCAGGATAGCCAGGACCAACGTTGAAGCCCGGCGGGACTCCATGAGTCTGGTAGAGGCCCGGTTCGGTCGAGAAGTGGTTCGGGACAGGCGAGCGATTAGCGTAGCGGACAGCGTTGGCGGAGGACGAGCTATGTCTTCGCTTGAGGTCGGCTTCGTCGCTGAAGTGGTTCGCCTCCTGCTCGTCCATAGCGTGATCGCCCTGAGTTTCTGTTCTCTGGGAAGAAGTGATGCTGCCGATGTTGCGTTTGCTGCCTACAGAATGAGCTCGCGCCAGACTGGTCTCATCTTGGTCCAAGACGCGACTGGTCGAGCCTGATGCCAGTGGCTGTGTCCCGTGTAGAGAGGGATGCAGCTGGTCATCGTATGACGCCCGGTAGGGCGAATTATGGGACTGAGACATGTATATTCCCGTCAAGGATTGTGTCCTCCGCCTTGCCGGTGAATTTGGTCCCTCGAGCGAGGGATCGACCGCTCTGATGGGTTCCAGCGCCGTCGCTACGGGACTGGACGAGATGGCGATACCAGAAGCTTTCGGGGTGAGGCCGCCCAGCAGATTAGGCGCGGTGAGCTGGGTAGGCGTCTTTGCTACCGGCTGCAGAGAGAAGGAGGCCGCCGTCAGACGGGTGTCTATCGCGGCAGGCCCAGAAGAGAGCCGGGAGATGAACGTCGACTCCGCGTCTGTCTCCTGAGGCGTCTCGAGCGAACTCGTCCTGGGTGGCAGGCTGGTATAGTAAGATCGGGGCGAGAGCGGGGATCGCGGTCGGTAGGGATCGTTGTGAGAGTCGTGTCGGCGATGTCTGCCCGACTTTGTGGACCGTCTGCTGACGCCTGCACTGGCGGAGCCTGCAGGTGGCGGTCCAGAGACGATAGAGACGCCGCCCAAGATTGAGGAAGCGGAGGAGTTCTGATGGTATCGTCTGAGCGAGTGAGACCCGCCTGACTCGTTGTCGGTAGAGCACCAAGAGCCAGCGTCAGAGACTCTGTCGCTCTCAAAGGACGCCCGCTGGTGGTAGCTGCCTGACCGGAAGAGCTCCGAGCCTGAGCTAGGCAAGGGAAGTACTCGTCTCCGGGTGGGCGAGTTGAGTGACTGTTGCTGCTCTTCGTTTGCAGTCGGTGGCTGTTGCTGCTTTGCTGAGTTTTCCCTGTCGAGTAAATCTGTCGTCAAACGAGGCTCAAAGTCAGTCCCTCTCCCCTCGCGGCACGGCATCCGGGTCAGACTTGCCTTCGGAGGTGACGCCAAAGAGTGATTTGATGGATGGCAGGCTAGGTCTTTCGCTCAAGTCCGACATGTTACACTCAAGAGGATCTGCCTACTCTCCATGTGCTCTTATGCCTCGTCTGATGTCCTGCCACCCGCTCGCCCGCTCGCTCGCTCGCTCGCCCACGACTCTCCTCGTGCCTGGAGACCTGACAAAGCGATGCTGGTCAGCGAGCGTTGCCCCAACAGGTACACGGAGACATGACTGACCACGCTCGACTGTGCTCCTCAAGTTACCTTCCGTCCTCTTGGTCTATCCGGGCTGTCTGTGCACGATGTACCGCCTCGTGCGACTCCGATACGCGTTCGGGCTTTCTCGCCTTGCAAGGAGCTTTGCTCGGCGCTGTTCGTTTGCCACAGACAGCGCTGTTCGCCAATCCGGTGCTCTGCCACTGCACTTGGCCTGTGCTGTCTGAGCTCGCGATTGTTGACAGGGTAGTTCGCTCAGATCGGATCTGCCAGATGAAAGCAGGCGTTATCAGGACTTAGTCGATATTGGATCCTCCTCGAGCAGATCCTTCAGGGTCGCAAGTGGACATGATCTCCATTCGCCCCTGCCGCTCAACTCCTGCCGTCTGTCTTTGCACCCGCGAGATCCACGTCTCCCAAGGGCTGCGCTGTCTGCATCCCGTCTGACTGTCTGCCACGTTTGTATTTCATTTCGAGGGTCAGGTTTCTGCACTATGCGCGATCGAAAATGATCCTCAGCAAATGGGGCGCGGAAGCCATTAGCGCTGCGCATCGGCGCGGGCGCACTCCGCGCAGAAACTCGTAAGCTCGCGTGCGTTCTGAGGAACAAAAAGTGTGCATTCCGTAGCGTGGGTGTATCGTCATCTTCTTCTAAAGACATATGCATCAGATGTAGAGCTTCAGCCTCTCCTTGTTTTCTGTAGAGACAGCAGAGGCTGCAGCCTCTGGCGTTGGCGTCAGCGTTAGCTTCACTGGGCTGAACGCTCCTGCTGGAATGACGTGTTTGAGAGTCTGTGGCGCTTCAATTGGCTTCGGCCTTGCGCCGATGTATGACACTGTATCGCGTGTCAGCATGTCCACAATTTCCTTCTCGATGATGGCGGCATCGATGGTGGCCGATCGAGCATTGTCCATTGTCCCAGTCTGCTGAAATGTGACCCGATTAGGCGCGGTCAGAGTGCGCTCTAGACGAGGCATCGTATTAGAGAGGCCGGTATTGGCTCGCAGCATACTCGGTCGCTTCATCGGCGGCAGAGCAGGCTCCTCCTCTATGACCGAGATTGTGCGAGGTCCCTGCACGTCGTTGGCAGTCTGAGCAGGGCGTGCAAGTGCTGCTTTGCGCAAATCGTCTGCAACCTTTTGTAGCGCTGCTTGAGGCGACGGACGCGCTGTGTTTGCTGGTTTCAGGAAGCTGAGTGTGTCGTCTGCGTTGTTGTAGTAAGCCGTCTCGAGAGGTGCGCGATCTATGCGTATGGTAGGTCTAGTGTCCGACATAGATGACGAGCCATAGTCGTCAACAGACATCTTGTCCAGTTTCTCCGGCTCCGCATTGCCAAAGGTCGCGATCGACCAACGTGGACTGGCCTGCATCTTTCTGATATTGCGCGCGGTGTGCTTCCGTATCGCGTATGAGGTCGTCTCAATGAGGAAGACGAAGCTCGCGAGGCTCGAGATGAATCTTCCTGTGGCACTTTCCGAAAAAGCCGGTATGCTGAAGTTGATGACCGCGACAAGGCTGTCCAGTGAGACGCCGAGGAAGATTGGCAGCATCTCGAGTATATCGCTGGCAAGATCACTTCCCCGGAAGATGCCGAATGCAAAGAGAGCAGATGCTAGCACCAGAAAGGCAATCATGACGAACGAGCTAGCGAAATAGAGTTGCAGCACGAGTCGAGGTGAGGCGACAAAGATGCCGAGTCGCCAGCCTGCTTCTACTATGCCAGTAGCAAGAGCAAGCAGGAAGAAGATCAAGCTCGCTAGTGCGCCGCTATAGCCCGTGTAAGGTCGTCTGCTGCGGCGGGGATCGCCCATCTCGCTCTTGAACGGTTGCGGCAGTCGCGTCCAGAGTGAGAGCGACTTTGCCAGCGTGCACAGGGACATCAATGCTTGCGCAAGTAGCACAGCCTCGAGCGCTGGCTGCCTCCCGGCGAGTGAGCGAATGCTCGTGGTCGCTTCTATTGCGCCAGAGAGGGCGCCGACGAGGGTCGAAAGGATCATAAAGATGACGGGCAGATCTGTACGCGTGACGATCAGGAAGCCGATGCCTGTCCCCAGGACGCCGAGAACAAGGAGGGGTACGTCGCTGGCCAAGCTCGTGAGAGTGGGCGCAAAGGTTCGCAAGACTGCGACGCTGAGCTCTGTGGTCGCGTCGGTTGCGATGACCATGACACGCAGGCCATGCAGGGCCGTATGCATGTTCGCACTGGCACTCTGCCCGGAAGTGGAAGTTGCATCGCCGTCATCATGAACCAGAGGCGGCGCATTGGTACCGTGCCGAGCCGGGTGGTGGGTGACAGCCAGCCTGTGGCTGAGTAGACGTTCGAGGTCAGTGCTCTCAACAGCGCTATGCCCGTGCACGTCAGCCCGATTCTGTCAGCAGACATCTCATGACAGGATCGCAGTGCTCGCGGAGAGTGTCATGTTTGAGTGCATTTGCCTGATCATGAGAAGCTGTTTGCTCCTCTGCCGATGTCCCCTATCAGACCAGCAAGGTTTGGAGGAAACCAAAAGGAGGCGCCAATAGAAGAAATTACCTGCTGCGGCTCCGACGGCGTTGCGCAAGAGGATCTGCTGCGAAGATGAGCCTACGCAACAGCAGGCGGACCGCACACTGACCGCAACCAAGGCTCGCGGGGCGGCCAGATGGGCGCATCGATCACGGGCAAACGACGGGACTCTTTGCTGAGCTTTCTCGATTTGCCCTCGCTGCTCAGCTTGATCTTCATCTGCAGTCCACTGCTGCTCGCCCTCGTACGCAGCAACTACTTTGGTTGGTCGCCAAGCTCGGCAGCAGACGCAATCTACGCCAATGCCGCCATTACCTCTGCTGCATTCGATGAAGCTGCGACGGGCATCTACATCTCAGCTGCAGACAGAGATGGACTGCCTGTACCGCATCCGGATCCGACCTCTATCACCCGCGTTGAGCTGCGGCCGTTCTTTTCTGCCCACATCAACGCTCAGCGGACCTGGTTTGCTTCGCCCGGCACACATTTTTATTCAAAGGCCCTCTCGTCCATGCTCGGAGTCGTCAAGACCCAGGCGGTGCCCACTCGCAAGGTAGCCAGAACCGTGGCACTCGCACATGCACACCGGCTTCCGCCACGCTCGAGCAACAAGCGCAAGGGCAGCAAGCTCTTCTTTCTCTTTGCCACTTCGCCAGAACGCGCGATGCAGCAGTCCGAGTATTGGCGTCACTATCTCTACTGGGGCCCGGGTAGCACGGCCTTTGCGAGGAACGACGATGATGCCCCCGAGGATGACAGGCGGGGACCTGGCTGCCTCGTTGTAGACAATACCGAGATGAGATCAAATCCTGGTGAACCCGTAAAGGGCGTGGATCCCGAGCGACCGGCCATGTACGAGGCCCAAAGCTACTTTCGCGGTCTCAATCTGTCTTGCACCATGTCGCCCGGCCTACAGGAATCATCTGTCTACGGCCATCGACAACGATATGGCGTCAACTATGGCGCAACGACATCGATAGAACGCGTTCTGAGTCTCGTCGTGCTCGGTTGGCAAGCAGCGCAATACGAGCAACGTGACACCGAATGGTTCTTGATCTTGCAAGTCCAGTTTCGACTTCATATTGATATATGGCTGACTCGTGCGTGCATCATGTAGAGACGACGATACGTTCTTCGTAGACCCTCATAACCTCATTGACGCGCTGGGCAAATACGATTCGGATCAGGATTGGTTCCTCGGCGGTCACAGTGAAGCCGAAATACAACAATACTACTGGGGCCGAATCGCATACGGTGGTGGAGGCATCATCATCTCACGGGGGCTCATGAAGAAGATGTACGACAGCTGTGAGTACTGATCTGATCTGATCCTAGTCGAACTTGAGCTGATCTTGCGCAGACGAGCAATGTCGATCGACACCTGTCGTCAACTTCGAAAGCCAGGGCGATGGCAAGCTGACTTACTGCGCCGCTGTTGCCACTGGACAAGTGCACGAATTCAATAAGCTGCTCGGCGTCAAGACCAGGCTCAATGAGCTTGCGACGCAATGGGGCACTAACAATCTTGTCACGCCTCTCGAGGGACTCAATCAGATGGACATTGGTGACGATTGTATGTTCCAAATCTTCCGCTTACATTACGTGTGCTTAAAAGTTATGTACAGCGAGCGGCTTCTTCCAGAGCGGGCTAGAAGTGCTCAGTGTGCATCACTACAATACCTGGACAATGATCTTCCCATATCGTCACATTGACAATCTACCATTCGCGCCAGATCACAAGCATGTCGATGTGAGAGTAGTCTCACTTCGACTACTGGCGGCTGCTGCTTGGGCGCTCGGAGGGAGCAACATGTTCAGACGGAGCGTCTTTGACGATGGCAGAGTCGTTCTCACGCTAGGATACAGCATCACGTTTCACGCACAGCCCTTGACCCCGGCAGACCTCGCAAAGACAGAATGGACATACCACCCCGACTTTGAGCCTACACGACCCCACAGACCGGGACTCATCGAAGGCTTCGATAAGCTCACATATTACCTCTCATATGTCGTCATCGAGGACGACGAAACACACGCCCGAGGACTCTTGCTATCTGAGCCTCAGAGACGCCATGTTCGCAAAGTGCGGATAGGATACAAGTGCACCTGGCGAGATCTCAAAGATTTCAGGACAAACTGGTACGAGAACCTGGCGCAACCAGTCACTGATATAGAGACGGTCATGTTCTTGCCTTTGGTTGATTAGGATATACCTGCGGACCTGTTGTTGTGACGCTGACTGTTGACATCCTTTTGCACATACACCTTGTAACAACAACAAGAGATGGATTGCGTGCGGGTATGCACTATGAGCTGCCGACATCATCGCCAGATATGCGGCGCATGTCGCGGCTCGAACTCGTCGTCGTCCTCGGAGAGAGTGGAGAGCCAGATGTGGTGGAAAAGCGGCTGGTTGATCGCCGCGCCTCCGCAGTAGAGCTTTGGATGAACGCCGTCTGCGCGGTCTTGATGGCCTTCCCAGACATGGGCAAGGTCGTAGTAAGGCACCTCGACGCTTCGTGCGACGGCCTCCATGATTCCAGCGAGCTGATGCACCCTTACATCCGTGAAGAAGTTGGTGAAATTGATACGATTATTGGTCTGCCAGTCAAAGTCACCTGTTGCCTGAGCATGTTGCTCGCCGACTCGATGAACGCCCCGTATCCTCATAGGTGTCTCTGGCCAGGCATCGAGGACGTGGGTGACCATTTCAGTATAGCGCCGCCTATGCCAGGCTCGCTGTTCTGTGGTCAGGGGTAATTCCGTAGACTTGTTGGTACTTTTGTCGATCCTGCCTTGCCTAGCCATATCCCAAGTTGCAGAATGAAACGAGACAAAGTCTGGACTCCGCTTCGAGGTCAGCATGTCCTCTATGAAGGGCTTGAAGAGCCGATCGAAGCGATCCTCGAATTTGCCAGGACGGTGCCAATCGCCTTGGACTTCGAATACGTCTGTATCGTCTGCACCATAGAAAAAGTGTGAGATGATCCACAGGTTCAGTCGCTGGTAGTGTATCCTATGTGGGAGTCCTCGCTCATCCCATCCGTCTGGATTGGTCTCGTTGTTCCACTGTTGATATGACGTGCGAGTGAATGTGTGGTCAGTCATTATGGCAAGCTGCTCCAGGGCGTTCCGATCCACCGAATCGCCAAGGATCAGGATAGTCTTGTTTTGTAGCCATGATAGCTTGGCGAAAGCTTCTTGACTCTCGCGTGTTTGCTCAATCTGCTGAACAGTCATGTCCCTAAAGCGTCGCTCAGGCTCGCCTGACAGGTTGTAGTGCCTGAACCTGAGCTGATCGGTCTTGAAGACTTCGCTGTCTCGCGTGCCGGTCTTGTCAGTCGGGCAAGCAAGCCGCAAGAGCTCCAGATAATCTGGTGGCGGGGGACAATCAGGCAGGAAGGGCTCCCATCTTGCCTGCAGAGGGTCGAGCTCGTCGTAGTTAAGGTAGCCGGATTCGTCGTAAGGATTCGCACATGTCACGGGGCGATCTCTGAATAGGCCAGCGATCAGAGCACGGTGCTCAGCTTCATACGAGCCCGGCTGATACCATCTGCGACGACGGGACGGCATGATTGAGCACGGTCACACGACTGCACGCCACAAGTGAGGGCTCACCCATGAGGAGGCCGTGCTGTCCAGAGAGTGACTGATGCGATCGTACAGACCATCACTGCCAGCACGACAGGCAGCTTGCGGCATTTCGGACCGAGCGACCTGAGCCAAGACTGGCTCTGCGTGTCGTCTGACGCAAGAGCCCTGTCGTGCATCAACGTCGCCTCTTCGTCGTCAGGCAGCGAATGGGAGCTCGAGATGCTCTCCTGCGATAGATTGGCAGGCCTGCTCGCCGCCTTCTCGAGATCTCGATCTCCTGCCATGATCACTCGGCGGCAAGATCAGGAGACCGGATGTAATTTTTGCGTTTGCACCTTGATCACTTTGACGGGCGAGACGGCCTGTGCGCTTGCACAGCTCTTACGTGCAGATTCATCTATATCAGACGATTCGGACGTAAACAGTATGGCCGGCGAAAAGTTTTTAAGAGCTCCTCTCGTGTGCGACACTAGCGAGGGATCGGCAGACAACCTGTCACAATGATCGCGTCCTCTATTTGATCGAAAACCGCAGTCGTCGCCAGCTCTCGGGTCAGTGCTCGGACGTGGCATGGTCGATGGCGGCATGCCCGCAAGCAAACGGCTCAGGCTGAGCAACGACACCGCCGAGCGCGCTGGAGCGAGCAAGGTAACTGCTTGGTCTAGCCAGAATGTCATCGTCGCGGCATGTCAAGCAACACGAAGCTCTCCGGAACATCTTCTCCTCACTGCCCTGCCCGTCGCGCGAGCATGCAAGCCCGTCCGAAGGCGTATAGATCTACCTCGACGAGATCATGGAGACTGCGGACGGTGCAGTGTAGACGAGCTTTCCTTTGCGCCTGATGGATCACATCTGCTCGTTCTTACCTCCCACACGTCAAGCGAGTCAGTCTTCAGATGCAACCTCACGATCCTATGCGAGAGCGAGCGCGGCTGCGCAGATGACTGGGCACTGCACTCGGACATTGAAATCGCTCCGCGCGCCGATGGCATGCCAGTTCTCGGCGTGCTAGCTCATGAATGGCTCGATGGCACGCGCAAGGTCTATCTCGAACATGATGGCGACAAGCCACTCATCGGACGAGCAAAGCCTCGCGGTCCACAGACCGTGCAAGGCCTCACGCTGATGCTGCTCCTCGATACGGATGAGGTCAGTCGAGCGTACAATCTCGCGATAAATAGACTGAAGCGACAGAGCAGCTGCTATACGTACAACTTGGTCCACCCGCATCCGCCCAGGTCGCCGCGGCTATGAAACCACGCGCATTGCCGTCTGTGACTCTGACTCGTGTCGATCTGTCTACAGCGTCAGAACAGATGCTCGGCGCCTCACCGCAGACCGTCAGCCACGGGAGCAAGCGCCTCACAGCGGGCGCATTCGGCCCGACTCTGTATGAGAGCGTGCTCATCGCACGACTGACAGACGAGCTTCGAGTGTCAGAGCTCACCATAGATGGCAAAAGCCGATTGACAATATCGCCAATGCCGGCAAGAGCACTTGCAGTCTGCCGAGATCCGTCTGGCTCACGTCTATGCTGGGCGAACGATGACCTTGGTACTCCGATCATGATTGCTACACAGCATCTCGGTGGTCGTGAACGCCTCAGATCCTTCACCTTTCACAAAGAAACAGAGGATCTCGTCACTACTTTCGACTCGCTCGAAGGCGGCCCAGCAACTTTGATACAGCCTGTAGCTCGCTGGCGCATAGCAAAGATCACGGCTATACGCGAGCTCGACGGCGACATGAGCGAAATACGACCGTCAACAACGGGCAATCATTCATGTCTGGAGATTGTCCTGTCAAAAGCCAACTCTTGTGAATTGCTTAGCCTACAATCCTCTACCTTGATCGAACTTTCTCGAACGTCACTACCGACGATGTCATTTGCAGCCCTTTCGCCTTCTCGCTTAGCCGTGGCTTCGCGAGAAGACACCGCATCTCGGATCCAGATTCATAGTCTCTTGAATGACTCGCAAGCAATCGCGCAAGCTACCGAAGCCCTGCAGCTTTCCATAGCGTCCCTGAGCGATCCCTCGGACGTGCTGCATGTACTTCTCGTCAGAGGTCTGCCTGCCGCAGAAGTCAAGCTGATCATGACGGCACTATGGTCAACACGGGAGCCGGCTAAGGCGGACTACTGTGCGCTCATCGAGACGCATCTAGCATTGCTCAGGCTTTGTGGTGATTCAGATCCAGCCGATGTTGCCATCCTCGCCAGCTTACTGAGCAACCGCCACTCATTGCTGCTCGTCGTCCGCGCGCGTACAGATCCCGCGCTCGTCTGGCCTGTCATCGGCCATGCCAAATTTGTCTGTGACGATGTGCTCCAAGCTCTTCATCAGGCCAAGGGAGATGCGGCACCCCCCAAAGCAGCCTCTTTCCGTCTAGGCCATCCTCTCGCTCGTAAAATGGTGATGCAAATCCTGCAGCAACTTCGTAGCTTCCGTCAAGAACTCGCAATGGCTGTCGACACTGCTCCGACGTCCTTCGAGATCGGTCGAGCAGTCTTGGCGGATCAGTCGCGATCTGGCGGGGCGGACATCTTTGAATTGCTCAGCAATGCTTTGCAGGCCATAGACGAAGCGCTAGGTACCGACGCCATTCTGTCGGCCGATCAAGCGCGTGCGAGTCTCTACACTTGCGACTTACCAGACGAGACGATCGCAGCGCTGCGACAATCCGTCGAGAAGCTCATTTTGCCGGAGTTGAGCATCTCAGCAGCGAAATCAAACAGACGGCTCGACGCAGTCACTCGGGCCATTTTGGGTAGTGATGATCGCGGCGCGCGAAGAGCGCAGCGGAGTGGGCAGCGAAGCCTAGCGGAGGCGCGTCTTAGCCGCAGACGAGCGCCCTGCGGCGGAAGATGGCTTCACGCATAGCGAGGGCACCTCGTACACAGTTGCAAGGATTCTACATACATGATACAGACAGTTTGAACACCGACTGACTGTCTAATCTGATTGCAACTGAGAGCAAGCGGCATGGTCAAGCATCATCACGTCTTTGGCGTCCTACGCCTCCCTCTTCGTCCATGCGAAGGCGTCGCTCTTTCTCATTTTCGAGTTGACCGTAAAGCAAGAATAGCGCGGTTTCCTGAACATAATGCCCTCGTCAGCGCGATGAGAAGGACAAGAGCAAGGTGACGCACATTATTCTGAGCCGTACCAGTGATGGTGAACATGCGCTCGCCCGTCTCATCGTGAGCAGTCTTTGCGATGCTGATCTTGCTTCCAGACGACTTGCGAATGTCGTTGATCTTCTGACCACCTTTGCCGATGATGCAACCACTGCACGAACAGCATGAGTCGACGGTCGACGCCAGGCTAAGCCAACGTACACCATGTCAGAGGGTATAGAGATGTTTTGTGTCCGTAGGTTTGGGTCAGGAGCATGAGCTGCAGACGCAATGGAAGCGTTTGCGCGGTAGCGATCTTGCGGCGTATTGCGCGGATCGTTTGCTCTGTAGCCTTGAGGCGGTACATAACGACGAGGCGGCGGAGCATGATCGTTCGTGTAGCCATACAGAGGCGCAGCGGCAGGTGCTGGCGCTGGCTGCGCATGTTGAGCGTAAGCGGCAGGATACATGTGCTGAGGCTGTTGATGCGGCTGCTGCATCGACATCATGCCAGGCGCACGGCCATCAGATGCTGCTGGCGCTCTTGAAGCTGTACCTGAACTACTTGATCGCATGATAGGCGGTATGGACTGCAGACCACTGAGCTCTGGATTGAGGTTCGCGGGATGGAAGGCTATCGTCCCGACCGCCTTTGCTTCGTCTTCGACCAACGCCTTTGCGATCTCAGCGACAGCCTTCTCGACTTGCTCAGGACGGCCAGAAATTTCGACGAGCCGTTCTGTGGATTGAGGCAGCAGTTCTTTAGAGGCGGCCATTCGCGTGCCCGACGTTTGCTGAATAGACTTGATCTTTGTTCCTGCCTTTCCGATGACACCGCCCATCTGAGCGCTTGAGATGAGCAGACGCAAGGTCAGCGTGGAGCCAGACAGTCCGGTGTAAGTCGAAGGGGAATCATTGGGTATACCACTAGAATTGTCCATGATGGTCTGGCAGATGAGCCCGAAAGCCTGCCGAAAGACGACGTCAGTACAGCGATCCGGCTCCCAATCCCGACGCGACGCACCCGAGCGACCCCACTGATCTGACCGGTCACAGTGAGAACGCGCTCGGACACGCCCGGCACGAGTTTGCTGACGCCAGCCTTGACTTGAGCTTTCTCTCTGATGTCTGCCACGTTCTTGCCTTGACGACCGATGACGATGCCAGCTTCGCGAGAGCTGACGAGTGCTCGCATGATCAGCGTGGGAGCTTCTGCTTGTCCTGGCGGACTGGCGGCTTGCGAACGTATGGGAGCTTGAGGAGGCGCATCTTCCTTGGGCTGCACTGCTGGCGAGTCTTTCTCAGTGGTCGACAGATTCGCAACGGCCTGCGCGACGCCGTCGACGTCGGGTACGGCTGCCGCGGGAGCAGCTTCAGGCATGATATCTAGCGGGCGAAGACGGTATCGGGTATGGCTGTCGCCAGGCTTGTAGATGCCCGCACGACGAACGAGAGGGTGGAGGTGGCAACAGACTACGAGTCAGAGAAGGAGAGTGGGCTGGTGCAGTCGTCTAGGGATCTACTGGCGCGCAGGCAGCGCAAGTCTATCTGCTGCCCCTCTCTAGGCTGAGTGGGCGCAACTCTGCGCGAAGGCAGAGTCTCCTGCCAGAGGCCTTGGAGACGCGAGCTTATATTGAGCTGGCAACATTTCAAAAGCAGTTCAGCTGTGGTGAGTCGACAGAGGCGAGAGAGCGATCTCACACCTTTGCAATCGAACACGACGAGCTACGCTAATGCAGAAAGTCCGAGAGCTGCGATTCTCGATTTCGGCTTGGCCCACATTGGCCATACTGATCGAGACTCGGTAAGTGTCGCATGACAGCGCGCCCGCCGTCAACAGATGTTCGACGTGGCTTTTTGCAATTGCAGGCGCCCATGGCGGGCAATCGCACGATTCATGTCGGCGGTTTCCCTCTGGAGACGGATGCGCAGACCTTGCTGACGACGTTCAGCACGTTTGGTGACATTGTCGATATACAGCTACCGCCAGACCCTTCCAAGCGTACGCTTGCCGCTCGCTGACTATTTGCCGCTCTTTCTGACTGGACGCGCGCGCAGCCGAGCAGCACCGTGGTTTTGGCTTTGTCGAGTTCAGAGAGGCGAACGATGCGCTCGATGCAATGGACAATATGCATCAGAATGAGATGCTAGGCAGGACCATCAAAGTCACGCTGGCCAAGCCGTCCAAGGGCCAACAGAATTTGGGATCCAACAGAGCCATCTGGGAAGACGAGGCCTGGCTCAAAGACAACGCAAAACCGCTCGCATAGACTGCCACCTGCGTATCTTGACAACAACAGTTAGTGTTGTACATGTCTTCATCACGTTCCGAAATAGCGGTCTCTGTGCAGGCCAGATCAGCAGGATCCGAATGGCAAGCATACCACTGACCCGATAGAGCCCATACCAGGCTGGATCGCAAAGATGCGCTTGCCCCTCGCCTTCTGTTCTGGATCAGAGTCGAGCAGCGTAGCTGCGCTCGGTGCAGCATCGCCCGTCAAGCTTGCGTCAGACTCATCTTCGTCTGCGTAGCTGATCCTCGACCGTCCTTGCTGACGCATTACGAAGAGCTCCTCCAGTCCTTCGTCGCAGGCGCTCGTGACAATGCGAACTTTTTGGAATGCGGCAGAGACGGCTTGAATACCGCCTCGTGCAGAGACGAGAAAGCAAACAAAGATGATGTTCTCTTGCAGAACGCCATGATCGAGCAGCACGCGGATAGCCATGAGACAAGCCGCACCTGTACCGATTTGTGAGTCAAAGAGGAGCACGCTCGCTTCTTTCGCAGTCTCAGGCGACGTGATCGATCTGGGCAGCTTGACGTAGTAGAGCAACGGCTCGCCCGTTGCATCGTCCGACTGGATCAGCATAGACCCGAGCAGTGCATCGTTGACGACTCGGCGCAAGCCTTTCTCGAGGATCTTGCCGCTGCGGAGGATCGAAATGCCGCAGAGGTGCTTAGCTGCCAGTCGCTGGCCGCAGTGCTCGATACCTGTAGGAGCTGTCACCGTCTCGGTCTCGTAGGGCAGCAGGCTGAGCGCATACTCGACCAGCAATGTCGCGAGACGGTCGCAATAGAACAGAAACTCGTCCATGCTCGTTGTCTGGTCACGCAAGTAGGTGTGCACGCCTCGCAGCTGTGGTGTCTGTGACATGACGATGACATTGCTGGGGAGATCTTCCAGGAAGCGCTTACGCTCTTTGGCCGGCGAGGGAAGCGTTCGCCCGAGTGTGGGCCTGAGCCGCATTGATCGCTCGTCTAGCTGTCGTCTGATGTGAGTTGTAATCAGGTCGATCGCCACAGAGTTGGACTGGCCGGGCACAATGATGTCAGCGTGTTTGGCAGTAGGCTGTATAAAGTTGTCGTAGCTCGGCTTTACGAATTGCAAGTACTGATCGAGCACGCCTTGGACATCTCTCCCACGCTCGATGAGATCCCTCCTGAGTCGCCTTGCCAGCATGAGATCAGAGTCACACTGCACGTAGACTTTGATGTCGAGGAGGTCCCTCGTGCGCGGATCATGCAAGACAAAGATGCCCTCTACGATGATGACCGCGGCGCCATAGAGATATTGTGTCTCGGGCATTCTCTGATGATGCACAAAGCTATAGACGGGTATCTGCACGGACTTGCATGCCTTGAGGGCGGCCAGAGAGACCCTGAGCTGGTCATAGTCGAACGCATCAGGACTGTCAAAGTCGTACTGGTTGGCGAACGCTCGCTCTGACTGCTCGGGAGAGAGTGACTTGTAGAAAGAATCCTGGCTGAGCACGACGACCCATGGGACGTTGAGCTGCTGGATGATCTTCTGCGCAACTGACGTCTTTCCAGAGCCAGATCCGCCCGAAATACCGACGACAAACGCATCTATCGCCTGGCCATCTTCTCGGTACCATGGTGCTTTCCCCGCACCCGTCAGGATCGTATTCTTGGGCGGATCAGATTCATGCTTGCCGGGCGCTGCTCGCAGCATTCTCGCCGAGGCAGCGCAACTGCCGAGCAACTCGAGCTCCGGCAGGCGGCTTCAGCGCGAGAGAGATCTGATAAGCCATTATCAAATCTCGAACCAGAATGCAATCCCATTCCGTCTGGCAGCTGTATGCGTCATAATCTCAACCCTTCTGATTCCCTCTTCGCAGCATGCAGACTACCCTCGAGCTGCGCGACTGTATCCTTGCGATCGCGACACAGTCTTGGCACGCAGCTAGCGAAAGCTCAGCCACCCGAGCGCGCGAGAAAAGTGGCCTCATCTGTGACCCTTTTTCTTCCTCGAACTTTTGCTGGATCCCTGCACAAAGCAGCTGCAGACGAACTGAAGAGGTAGAGAATGTCAAACGACACTGACACAGCAGCTGAAGACGCCCTCTACGCGCTCTACGATAACGCAGAGCACACTCGCGATCGTCTGTGTCCATTCTCCGCCCTTTCGGGCTGCAAACGCTGACGCGCGACATCTTAGATCGGGATGCTTATTACTACTACACCTTTGCGGGCATCATGGGTCTCCTGGCTCTGCGTTACGTGTTCCAGCTCGTCGCGCATCGCAAAGCGCGTACATTCACCTCCCTCGCCACACTATCGGCTGTGCAAGTCTCCGTTTTTGACCGGCCACTCGGTTGGGGCTTCAACTTGCAGAGGCTCCTCTTTCTCGCGCTCGTCCTCGTCCTCAACGTCGTCTTTGCAGCTGTCACATTCGTGATACCGCACGATATGGACGATACGACATGTAAAGACCATGCTCTCTTGCATCGGTGTAGCTGACATGCCATTGCCGCCCTTAGCTCTCATCTCGCTGGCCTTCGGACGGATGGTCTTTGTCAATCTACCGTTCGTCTATGCGCTCGCAGGACGCAATAGCATCTTTGGTCTCGTCACCGGCTTGAGCTACCAGACCCTACGGTGGTTCCACATTGCCCTTTCCTACGTATGTCTTTGTCTCGACTTTAGCTATGGGGCTGACCGATCCGTAGATCATGGTCATTTTCTCGATCATCCATGCGGCGCTCTTCACAACAGCCATCCTGATCGAGGGTCGCTCGGTCTACGTCGAGCAGCTAGGCGAGACCTACTTCCGCTGGGGAATCGTTGCGATGGTCGTCATGTCCATCATGTCATTCCTCGCCTTCTTCAGAGCTCGCGCCTACGAATTCCACCTGATTGCGCACGTTTCGGGCTCTGCAATAACATTGGCCGCGCTCTGGTATCACTGGTCTTATCTTGACCAATTCATCTACGCCAGCATTGCCGTATGGGGCTTCGACAGAGCCTTGCGCATCTTACGCGTGGCATATATCCACTTCGTCTCGCCTCTCTTATCGAGCGGCAAGATCGGCTTCATCCAAGCAAGAGTGATGCCACACCAAGATGCTTTGCTCGTCAGCGTGCCCGCTCGGGCTATGAGCTGGTCTTTGGGCTCGCACGCTTATCTGCAATTTTACACGAACGATAATCTCCGACGGCCGTGGCATCTCTTTCAGTGGTATGCAAACGTACGATTTGTCTTACTCCTATTCACAAAATAGACAGGCATCCTTTCTCTATCTCGAGCATTCCGGAGGAGCCTTGCGACCAGCGCCGGATTCTCTTCATTGTCAAAGTGCGTTCGGCTCAAACACGTCGACTTTGGAAGGCTGCGCGGTACAGTCAAGATAATCAGGGTGTCAATGTACCTGTCTTGCTCGAAGGTCCCTATCGTTCGAATGCGCAGGCGCCGTGCGAGACGCTTGTCCTCCTCGCCGGAGGATCTGGTATCGCACATATCATGCCATATCTCGTGGACGCACTCACATCGTCAAAGCATCGACCAGCCCGCACCATCCTGAACTGGGCGGTGCGCAATGCAGACCACGTATCTTGGATCTCTGAGCAGCTGGCACCGCTGTTGCAATCGCTCAAGGAGGAGAACAGGCAGGAGACGCTACAACTGACGATGGCCCTCACCCAGCGCGCAGGCCTGTACGATTCTCCATCGCATGAAAAGGCGGGCAAGGACAATACGGATGTCGACAGCATCTCGTCGTACAAAGACAGCGTTCTGGCAGCTTTCACGATCGTCGAGGGACGTCCGAGCTATACAACGATCCTCAAGGACGCACTTGCGTCAACCTCCGATAAGGGACAGATCTGCGTGCAAGTTTGCGGTCCTCGAGCGATGATGGACGACGCCAAACTGGCTGCTGCTAGCGTCTCTGATGTTCGCAGGACATTGCGAGGATCGATCAAGCACTCGATCCACGTGCAGTCAGCGGCTTTCGACTGATTGGTCAGCAGTCCGTCGCACATGGCGCACCAAGTAGTCAGTCTCTACAAGTGGTAGGATGTCGTCCTGGCATGATCTGCGCTATGCATGGCGCGTCGCGTCTCTATCGAAGCTCTTTTTTGAAATTGTAAAATCCTCCAGAGAAGCCTGCAGCCTGCATGCTAGTGTCTCTCCATTCGCACTCGGGAGAGTTCTGTAGACATGCATCCGGATCATTGGAAGAGGTCGTAGAGTCTGCCATAGCCAAAGGGTTCAAGGTCTACGGCCTATCGGAACATGTGCATCGATTTGACATGCGCGATCTCTATCCGGAGGAGGTCGGTCTAGCGCAGCATGTCGAGCCCATCTGATGACGGTAGCAGGCCGGTATCACGCTCGAAGACCTCTCAGCAACTTTCGAGCGCTTTACGATGATGTCAAATCATCTCAAAGCCAAATATGCAGACAAGATTGAACTCCTCGTGGGAATGGAAACCGAGAACATTCGACAAGGCGACATGCAGCGAACGCTTGACGTGTTGAAGCACCATTCAGATCGCATAGACTATCTCGTCGGCAGTGTACACCACGTCAACGGCATTCCCATAGATTTTGATAGGCCGACTTACGAGCGCTGTCTGGTCAGCTTAGCCGGTGATGACATCGCAGCTCGGCAGCGAAGCCTCTTTGAACAGTACTTTGATGCTCAACATGAAGTCATACAACAGCTTCAGCCAGAAGTCATCGGCCACTTTGACCTTTGCCGCCTATGGGACCCTCAGATCAGCTTTCGCGACTCACCCACGGTCTGGCACCGTATCGAACGCAATGTCAAGGCAGCAGTAAGCTATGGCGCCCTTTTCGAGGTCAATGCGGCTGCCTTTCGAAAGGGCTGGACAACCGCCTACCCCGGACCAGATATCCTGCAGCTCATCATGTCGCTCGGCGGTCGACTGACGCTTTCCGACGACTCGCACGGCCCACACGCTGTCGGACTGCATTACGAAGATGCAATTCGTTACCTGAGATCGTACAGAGTTGACAATCTATGGTATCTGAGCAGTGATACGAACAAGCGTGCTGTGCAAGAGTTGAATCTACATGGCGACAGTGTTGGCACAGTCGCGCAGCCTAGGCGATCAAAGACAGTCGCTTGCCGTATACAAGGAGATTACTGGGAGCATGACTGTTGATCGAAGTCGTCGGGAGCGTGAAGCAAGTGGCAATTTGCAGGGTAAAGCAATGGTTGAGCATCGCATGCAAGGCCTGATCATTCCAGTCCTTCGGCGGCGGACTCCTCCACACTCGGACATTCGCAGATGAGCTGTCGGTCCATCAGCCACGATCAAGCGCTTCTATAAGTAACGCACATTGAGATCGCCGTATGCCTCATCGAGACGACCGACAGAGGGCCAGAATTTGCGGGCGTATAGACGCTCGTCAGGGAAAGCGGCTTGTTGTCGCGTGTAGGGTCTGCAGCAAAGCGTCAGCTGCTAGACTCTGCAGCTTGCGAGTGCATACCTGTTCCACTTATCGTCACCCAAAGCGATGACAGACACAGGATGTGGCGCATTGCGAATCATATTATTGTCCCGAGGGTACTGGCCGTCTGCAATCGCGTTGGCTTCATCCTTGATCTTGATCATCGCCTCACAAAATCGGTCGAGCTCTTCCTTCGATTCGGACTCGGTCGGCTCGATAAGCATCGCAGTGGTGAGCGGCCACGAGCACGTCGGGGGATGGAAGCCATAATCTTGTAATCGCTTTGCAAAGTCCGCGACCTTAAGGCCAGCCTTCTTGTCGAACTCGGCAAGATCGATGATGAACTCATGAGCGCAGAGTCCCTTGCTGTTGGAATACTTCACGCGATAGTGGTCTTTTAGTCGGTGGGCCATGTAATTGGCATTGAGCAGAGCGAGCTGTGCAGAGTATTTGAGACCTGCACCGCCGAGCATGCGAATAAAGGCCCAAGAGATCGTCAAGATTGATGCACTGCCGTATGGAGCGCCTGTGACTGGCTCGATCGCATTGGCACCGCCCGTTCTGATGACTGGATGGCCCGGCAAGAACGGCGCGAGATGACTTGCAACGCCGATAGGTCCGACGCCTGGTCCACCGCCGCCGTGGGGTATCGCGAAAGTCTTGTGCAGGTTCATGTGGCAAACGTCTGCGCCGCATGTCGCAGGATTTGTTAGGCCGAGCTGTGCATTCAGATTCGCGCCTGCGCTACGGATCAGACCAGTCCAGGCAAGGTGATCGATGAGACACATACCATCGAGATAGACTTGACCACCATGCGAATGGATGATCTCGCACGCTTCTTTGACGCCATCTTCGAAAACGCCGAACGTGCTGGGGTAGGTCACCATGAAGGCTGCAAGGTTGTTCGAGTGCTTTTCTGCCTTTGCTTTCAAGTCATCCATGTCCAGTGCGCCGTCGACGAGCGTCTTGACAGGGACAACTTTCATTCCGGCCATGATAGCGGAAGCAGGATTGGTGCCGTGAGCAGATAGCGGAATGAGGCAGATGTCGCGCTTCTCATCGCCCCTCGAGTGATGGTACGCTCGAATACAGCTCAGACCAGTGTACTCTCCCTGCGCGCCAGAGTTGGGTTGGAGCGATACTGCCGGGAAACCAGTGACTGCGCAGAGATCGCGCGAAAGTTCATCCATCATCTTCGTGTAACCTTTGGTTTGGCTTGTGGGAGCGAAAGGATGGATGCCGCCCCATTCTGGCCAGGTAAGCGGCGTCATGGCAGCTGTCGGATTCAGCTTCATTGTACCTGTGACAAAGGCATCAGCTTGAGGGTTTTGCATGCTGGGCACGGGCGCGACGTACAAGATCCCAAGAAAATGCTGGCATGTACGAGCGAGAGATCCTTCTCCTGCAGGTGGTGCATATACCGCAAGAGTTCGGTCTCCGAGTGGTAGGAGTTGAACGTTGGCGAGGTCAGATAATCTGATGTGCGGACGAGATGGCTGGGAAGCGCAAGCGAGCGCGAGTCTTTGCTGGGCGCAGATTGCCCCTTAGCTGCCAGAAGCTCAGGTGTAACGACAGGCAGAGCAGTCACACCGACAGAATTAGCTAATTCGATCACAGACTCGGCATCCCACGACTTTCGGTGTGACGTCCGCGGTCCTGCGCCCGTGGCAGTCGCAAAGACGTTGAGGATCTCGACAATATCTTCGATCTGGGTGGATTCGTCAAGGGTGATCCTGATCATCGCACCGTTGACGCGCCCCAGATTGATTCCTCGCTTATTGGCTTCGGTATGGACGATATCTGCCGCAACGCCGGAAGCGCGGATAGTGAGCGTATCGAAGTGCGAGCTGTTGATGGCCATCTGGCTCATGCTTGCAAGTCCGGCTTTGACAACCGAGGTGAGACCGTGCACTTTGAGTGCAATTCGCTTGAGACCCTCTGGTCCGTGGTAGACAGCATACATGGCGGCCATGTTAGCTAGCAAGGCTTGGGCAGTACAAATGTTGCTCGTTGCCTTTTCTCGTCTGATGTGTTGCTCGCGCGTTTGGAGCGCCATTCGGTATGCAGGCTTAGCATTAGCATCTCGAGACAAGCCGATGAGTCGACCGGGCATCTTCCGCTTGAGGGCGTCGGTGCAAGAGAAAAATGCGGCATGGGGCCCGCCGAAGCCGACAGGAACACCGAATCGAGCGGTGTTGCCAATTGCCATATCTGCGCCCCATTCTCCAGGTGGCTTGATCAATGTGAGAGCGAGGAGATCGGTCGCGACGGTCACGAGAGCGCCTAGCTCGTGAGCAGCTTGAGCGGTCGCAGACCAGTCGACGACCTGCCCTCTGCGATCAGGATACTGGATGAGGACACCCATCAGGTCCTTCTTGATCGCTTCGTCTTCAGGCTGTGGATCCTCGCCTGAGAGCAGACGAGCGACGTTGCCGACTTTGATTTGGATACCGACAGGTGCGGCACGGGATTTGAGGACTGCCAGTGTCTGGGGATAGACGAACCGATCGACGAGGAAGGTTGTCTTCTTCGTCTTGACCTGCTGATATGAGATGATCATGGCCTCGGCGGCGGCAGTCGCTTCATCAAGCAGAGAGGCATTGGAGATGTCGAGTCCTGTGAGAGAGGTGGCCAGCGTTTGGAAGTTGATGAGGGACTCTAAGCGGCCCTGAGAGATCTCTGGTTGGTAGGGCGAGTACTGGCTGAACCAAGCGTGATTCTCGGTCATGTTGCGCAAGATGACAGGCGGAACGACCGCGTTGTGATAGCCGCCGCCGGACCAGTCCCTGTTCCTGATGTTCTCACTCGCGAGCTCCTTGGCACGCCTGAGCATCTCTGTCTCGCTCAGCGGCTGCATGTCCGGGTTCTCAGCCAGTTCGTGGTCATCGATTCTGATCGAGCTGGGCACGGCATCGTTGACGAAGCTGTCGAGTGAGTCGTAGCCGAGCACTGAGAGCATCTTCTGCACGTCTGCGGGCTCTGGGCCGACATGACGACGGCTGAAGGTGTCGAGAGGAGCGAAGATGGAAGTGTTGACGAGCTGACTGCCTAACTTTGTGCTGGCTGTAGCCGTAGAAGCAGCTCGAGCAGGAACGGACTGCTTAGGAGCTGCAGTGACGCCAGTAGCGCGTGAGGGCGCAACAGTGGTCAGGCATCGTGTGCTCCTACATACACTGCTCGATCTGACGACCGGCCTGAGCTGCAGGGGCGCAGATCGAGCGAGTCGTGAGCCGATCATGCTTGCTCTTGGACTGGATCGCGCGTCTTTTTCACGGCGGGCGATCTGCTGGGCCTTGCAACGTCTCAAGTCTGCTGTACCACGAACCTGTCTGACTGACAGATCTGCGCGGTGTGCTGACGACAGCCACGCGCCCCTTTGGTGAGACTAGGCCGGCTCAGCTAGCTCTTCAAGGGTGTGAATTCGATTTCTTCTTCGACACGAGGCCGAGCGCCGATCGCGCGTTCCTTGGAAATTTCATTGGCGCAAAGTCAGCTGGCCGCCGTGCTTTTGCAGGCCGATATGAGCACCAACGTCCGTCCATTCCGCCGCAGCAGGCCGTCGTCGTGCTGATGAGGGGTCAAGCAGACGTCCTTGATCGCTCACAATGCGTCCTTCGAAGCGCTTCTGTCGCTCATTCCTGCTAAATTATACTTGCGAGAGGAGCATGCTACAGAGGTGAGCACTATTGTCGCGGCCTTTTGCCTCGCCGCCGCTGAAAGCGTGGAAATAAGATGGAAGATCTCTCTGGGCTGAGCAAGAAGCAGCGTAAGAAGCGTCAGGCAGAGCTGGCAGAGGAGAGCAAACAGGTCAAAAGAGCAGCAAAGATGAGCAGGGTCAGTCTGGCCACTCACCGGGCGAGAGCAGTGCTCATCGATCGGATCAGTTCGATCCTGAAGCGCCAAGGACGGTACTCGAGATCAAGGCGGCTCGAGCGGCGGAAGCAGCGCAAAATGAGCCGACAGGATCCGGCAAGGGCAAGGAACGAGAACTTGCAGACGCGGACGCGGACGAGCTAGCCGAGCAGCCCTCACATGCCGATCTCAAAGCTAAGCTCGCCAGAAAGGTCGCCTCACTACAACAACAAGCAAAATCCAATGGGCACGCGCAAGCTGACAATGACGACGACGACGATGATGACGAAGCTGGCTCAGCCAAGTCTTCTGCTTCCGACGTTGACGAGGATGACGATGAAGCGACGGCGCTGAGTGAGGCTACGTCTCGTGAAGCTCTGCTTGCCGAACGCAGAAGGCGTGGCGAGATGCGCGATCGCCGACGGCGCGAACGAAAGGAGCAGAGACGCGCAGAGGCCGCCGCAAAGGAAGCTGCTCAATCCCGCAAGGGATTCCGTACACAGGCCGTCAACGGCAAGCAATCTATCGCTTCAATGGGCAATCGGTCAAAGCCGAACGCTCAGAAAGCCATACGTACTGCAGAAGCGCAAGCGGATGAGCCTGTACCGAAAAAGCAACGCATCGACCTCACGCCGTCCTCGCAGACCATCGTACCCGCGCCAGTGGTCAAGGCAGACACGGGACTATCGTTCTCCCATCTCGACTTTACTCCTTCTACCTCAGTCAAGCCGGTAGACATCATCCAGAAGCATGGCAATAGCAAATCCAAGCAGAACGCCAGCAAACATACGCGGCGCGAGACGAAAGATCCCGCGCAGGCCTTGGAAGCCCTCGAAGCGCGATCACATTTCTTGTCCAAGTTGACCCCGCAAGCTCGAGAGCGAGCAGAGGAGAAGGACAAGTGGGAAGCGATACAGCGCAAGGCAGAGGGTGGTAAGGTACTCGATGAGGAAGCCAGGCTGCGCAAGATGGTCAAGCGCAAGGATAAGGAGAAGCAGAAGAGCCGCAAGGCCTGGTCAGTCCACTCTGGCTCTCAGGACCCACGCGAGCTGATTCCCGTCTACTCTCCAGGGCCGATCGCGAAGAGCAGCTCGCTACTAGCCAGGCTGGTCGCGCCAAAGCAAGGTCGGACAATATTGCTCAGCGCGCGCAGAGTATCAAGGACAAGAAGATGGGCATCAAGAAGAGCAGCTTGCCCAAGAAACCGCGGAAAGCAGGTCGACCCGGTTTTGAGGGCCAGGGCAGCAGTCGCAAGTCTGGTCCTGCGAGCAAACCAGAGGGAAAGGTTCGCAGCTCGAAGCATAAGCGGGGCTAGTACAGACGTGTATCGCTCTCTCCATTCGTGTTCCCTTCTACCGATAAATACAACGAGCCAGCGTGTGATCTAGCCCTGCGTCTTGAAGGCCACCAGGCCTGCCAAAGCAACAAAGTACCCAAATATCTGAGTGATCGTGATAGTGCTGCCCAAGACGAGCCAAGAGCCGACGACAAGTAGGATGTCCTTGCTGTAGAGGGGCTCGCGTGTCAGCTGTAGCATATACGAGCCTGCGGATGGAGACTTGCATGACTCCACTGAGTGTCAAGACGAGTCCGGATGCTTTGCCGATGAGCCAGACGCTGGCGAGATTGAGTGCAAAGGTGAGCGAGGCGTTCAGGAAGAGCAGGCCATAGCCGATCGAATAGAGCTTGTAGAATGGCGTGAGGCCCTCGAAGATGACAAGCAAGACTGAGTTGGATGCGAGCACGACCGGTGCTGTATAGTACCTGTTTGCCAGCCGTGATCAGGCTAGATTCTGTCATTTCGAAGTGCTGACGCACAGAGATACGAGAGGGCTCATGCCGAGGCCTTGCAAGAGGATCTGGATGAGCACCAAACGACAGCTTTCGACCAAGATGGCGATGATCTACGAAAGCTGGATGAGCGCTGGCATAGTTCATAGTCTCGGACGGTCACGCACCTGTACGGTAAAGCCGAGAAGATCAAAGTCGATCTCGCCGTACGACGCAATGATGACCCCTGTGACATCTCAGCACTGTGCAGAAGCGGTGCAAGACGCCAGGACGAACCGAGTGAGATGATTCCGACGATACCGTATAGCTTTGCACTAGCTGTCTTGACCTTGAAGAGGACAGAAACGGCTAGAACGGAGACGGGCGTGATGGCCTTGATCATCTGCTCGCCGCACGACCTCAGTGACGAGACAGTCGCCTCGAGAGTTGTCTGATTTACCTGAATAAAGCTGACAGACAGGCGGAGGTAGACCCAGTTGCTGAGAATGAGACTGACGCTGAAGAGTACGCCGATAGGCACGACTTTGTGCAGGAATACCTCACGGTTCATCTTGCCCGACGCCTCAAGTTCTCGTGCGCCATCGACGTAGGGCGTGAAGCGGTGCAATGCGCGTGAAGCGATGACCTGGAAAGCGACATGCAGTGTCGTGAGGAAGCTGCCTCGATGCGATTGAGCGGTGTCGACCGGGTACGTCGTGCGTGTATGCTTACATGGGATGCGAGAAGCCGAGGTCGTAGAGAATGTACTTGTTCATCAAGACTGTCGGTAGCGCAGTATATCAGTACGGGAGTCCTCGGCACATCTTGGCCGCGACCGGTAGTGTAAGGCCGACCCTGACTTACTGACAGCGGAAGAGAGCGAGATCCAGGAGACGATGGGGATCCAAGCAGGGACGTTGTTCCACCAAGCATCTTGGACGCCCTTTGCGGTCGACACGGGGTGCGAGTCGTTCTGCTCCTTGTCCTTGAGCGTGCCCGTAGGGGCTGCCGAGTATTGAGGCAAGAGCGGTGCAGGCGATGCGCCCCGGGAGGCCGCTCGGGAATGGCTCGCGGCAGGACTCGGAGAGCCCTTGCGCTCGCTCTGGGGATCATTCATTGCGATGGCGGGACACGACGGCTCTGACGACGGCTATCACGCTTAGCGCGAGTCGCGACGAGACAGCGACAGTGCTTGCTTGCCAGCGTGTCGGAGTCACAGGCGATCGGGCCAAGCACCGGTCATCATGCTGTCCTTCATGGACAAGAGTCGCTTGACGATCCAGCATGAGCCAGAGATTCACTTCATTCGGCCACTGACGGCATCAGAGATTGGCTCTTCTGCACCGAGGCAGGACTCTGTCTGCTCTGGTTCGCTCATCTTGACGCTGTCCAAGGACAAGGAGTTGCCCGTGCCGACAGCGATCAGCAGCAAAGGCAAGGAGCCCGGCAAGATCACGGTCTCCATCGTCGGACAGGCAGACGTCGCCTTTGGAGAGTTGCCGTACGAGAGTGCGACGATCTATGACAACAGTGTGACCTTGTCTGCCATCGATGCTACACAGGCCAACGCGCGCGGTGCCGTCGTGCTCAGGCAGGGCGATCACACCTTTGACTGGTCTTTTATCATTCAAAGCAGTATCGCGCCTTACGAAAGGAGCCGGTACGGCAGGATCACCTATTGGATCAAAGCAGTCGCATGCGGCATGGGCCCGCTGGGCTCAGACTTGACCGCCACCAGACGACTCGCCTTCATAGCCAGTCCAGGGGGAAGTCTGGCACAAGACGCCGAGCAAGGCCTGTCCAGCTCTGCCATGCAACTCTCGGATCTCGCGCTCTTTGTCGATATCAGAGAGCCAAACTGTGAGATCGGCTCCCTGCACTTCAACTTGCTCTCCAAGCAGTTCACCGTCAGCGGCCTGGCTCTCTTCAACCTTGCCGTCAGTATGCCGCCTCAAGAGATCGATGTCGCTTCAGTGACGCTCAGCATGACTCAGCGGTACGAGCTGACAAGCCCAAGAAGATTCGCTGTCAAGGATCCCGTACCGGCCAGTAAGGCGACCGTCAAGGTACCGCCACCCCACAGACGTACCGTCGTCAAGCTGGACGGTCATTCAGAATATGCAGCCGGCAGCAATCTGCTAGAGGCGCACGAGCTTTTGCCAGATACGACGTTGAGCGAAGAAGATGCCCAAGCAGAGCTCGAGGAGCAGGTAAGCCTTTGTTGGGCTCCCCCGCACTGTCTTGCTCACGACGAACAATAGCATCGAGGTAGACATGCATCGACCCACGGTCACCATTCGTCTGGCATGCCCGCTGCGACCATCACCCGGTCAGGTCCCCTCAGCGCATCGCCCTCGCCGTCGACGACACCTCGGGGCCAATCGCCCTCGCGAGGCGGCTTCCGGTCCACAAGTCGCAAGCCGAGCAAAGCAGCGAGCGGGTCTGACAAGCCGCTCAAGTCGTTCAAGAGGCTCAGGGTAGGCGAGCGGCTCACAACGTCCTGGCTTGCTCGGGTGCCCAACGACGATGTCTTGCGGCCGAGCACTCATCCGGGATCGATCACGCCCATCAGAGTGTCGCACGAGCTAGCTCTCGAGATCAGGTACTCGCTACCCGACGATCCCAAGACACGGATCCTGACGATCAAGAAGCCGGTCTTACTGGCTTCTTGCTGCTGCTCGGACGAGAACCTGAAGCTGCCTTCGTACGAAGAAGTGGCAGGTCCGGCGAGCGAATACACATCACCCGACACGCATCCTATGGCAGACACGAGGCACGATTGCCAATGCAGGCTCACGTTTGAACAGCTTTTACAGGAGCAGAAGACCTGGCTGACCAGCGAGCTCGTCAGTCGTCGGTACGGTGCGCAAGCGCCAACTTCTGCCGCTCTGGAAGCGGCCTGGCAAGCAAAGTCCCGTCAGTAGTCCGTTCGCTATGTTGTTGTACAGCAAGAATTCACCTAGATGCACCGCCTTGGCAGAATTTGCCACATGGCGCGCGCGACAGTGTGGTGACTTCCCGTCAAGAGTTTTCATGTCTGTCCGACGGGCAAAGCGCAGTACAATCGACGGTCATCGTCCATCAGAGTCGACTGTGCGGTCCTTGGCAGGGAGATCAGTAGTGGGCAGGTAGCAGAGGATCCCAGATAGTCCGAGCGAGACGCTGAGGACAGATCTACGCACAGACAGTCCACCTAGACCAACGCCAGCTTCTTTTTCCCGGGAATCAGCAGCGTGTGCGCAGAGTTCCGCCAGTCAAACGTCTCCGCGGAAGTCGAGGAGGTCGCTGCCGACATACTTGACTCGACGGCGTAGAGCAGACACGTTTCGAACGAGTCTATCGTCCGCTCTGCCTCGCGCGAGCCGAGTCTCGGCCACTGACAATCTACCCAACACTCTTGAGCGGACTAAGCACACAGGGACAGGTCAGTCTATCCACGCTGCTCGCACCCTTTTGGCAGCGAGCTCAACCAGCTTGAGCAGTCGGTAGTCACCTCATCCCGTGATTGACGATCATGTCAATATAGGCATATCATACCGCATACCGCCGGACAGAAGCATCCACCACCGCAGACCCGCCCTATTCCCACGACAGCTAGGCAATAGTCCACAGGCAGCTTGATCCGATCTACACTGCCACCACACAACCGCATAAAGATAGCGCCCTCTTTCGCACAGCATGTCACATTCACCGCCTGACGAGCCCAGATCGAGCGAGTCTTCCGCCTCGTTCACCTCGATCCCCCAAGCAGATTCACCAGGAGATGTAGACACACAGTATCTCCAGAGCGCGCAGGCTCGCTACGCCCGGTGGACACAAGAAGAGCAAGCGAGCGCATCTGCTGGCCTACCGCCGGGCGCAGCACTGCCGGCCTCCACCTCGCAGGCTTTTACCGCTGCCGCCATCGCTCGGTCAAAAGAGCCAGCGAGCAAGACGCAAAGTCTAGCCAGCAATAGCACCGAGGAATCTGACGGTACAGCTTCACACGAATATCCTCCCTCGAGCTCGTCCGGATCAGGTTCAGGATCCTCAAACAGCGGCCCGACCACACGGCCGCAGCGTACGAGCAGGCTGTCCGGCCAGGCTGATCCGTCACAACTCAGCGGTTCTCCTTCGTCCAGAAGCAGCCTGTCAGATGCGCGAACGGGTAATGGCAGACCCGGCGCAAGACCTCGTCCCGCATCAGGAGCTGCCGGCTCGAGCTACAACAGGCCCATGTCGACAGGCAATACGCGACCTGAACACAACAAGCGCAGCAGTCTCGCTGGCTTCTTGCCAGCCTTTCAGCACAATCCTCAGCGCAGCTCGGTAGCCTCGGCCACATCGTCACGGGCCGGAGTCGCTCCTGCCAACGCCCTTGCACAGCTCTCATCCGGTCAGCTAGGCGGAGATTACTCGCGCTACAGCTTCGGTGCTGGCTCGTATGTTCCCAGTGCGAATCGCATGCCCAATTCGACGAGCTCGCCCATGCTGAGCCCGCCACCGGGCTCAAACACGCAAGGCTCACTTTCGCCCTCGTCTTCGTCCTTCGCTGCTCAGAGCAATGTCGAGACCTCGTCAATCGAGCGCGCTGCTTCGCCTGGTCCTTCTGTCAGTGGCAGCACAAGCCCGCTCATCACGACTTCGCATGGTGGTACTCAGGCTGCTCAAGCAGCGGCTGCAGCTGCCGCAATCTCAGCCTCGCCGCACTTCCTGCGCCAGTACCATCATCGTAACGAGTCTTCGTCAGCAACGATTCCGATAGATGATCAAGACTTTATGCTGCCCGCTTTGCCCTATGCTGAAGGTCGAAGTCGCATGGCAAGCTTCGCAGGAGACTCTGTACATTCCAGCGAGGGCTATGGAAGCAAGCATTGGGGCGCCATGAGCAGCCACAGCCGACCGCAAAGCATGGATTCGACAACCATGCGCAGCGTCATCGGTGGCATGCCATCCAGGTCAGTCTTCTCGAGGACAGACGTTACTTGAGCTGACAGGCAGCGCAGACAAAGTATGGCGGATGTGCTCGCCCAAACTGCGACCACTGATCGTCTTTTGTGGGATCCTGCCAACGAAGAGGAGGATGACTATCTACATCATCCCACAAAAGAAGATTACGCTATTAGGTCAAAGAAGCTAGGCTCGCTGTACTCTGATGGCGGCGCGAGCGGCTACTCGTCTACCAAGCTCCTACTCAGCTTACCGCCGGGTACGATGGCCGAGAAAGAGGCCGATGACGGTAAACATTATCATGGTTTCTGGGGCACCATCAGTCGTCGTGGTCTCATCAACCTCATCAGCATTGTCTGCCTCATCGGTGGGCTTCTTGCGCTCTTTTTGGGTTGGCCGCTTGCAGTCTATGCCAACGGTGTCCCACTTGACTATCTCGGTGGTTTCAATGTCGGAGGCACGAACGCGACTGGCCAGGTGGCTTCTATACCGCAGCTGCCTTCACTCATCGATCGCGACACTCCGAAATCGGCGTACACCCGTACGGGTATAGATGGCGCAGACTATAGTCTTGTCTTCAGCGACGAATTTGAGCAAGACGGTCGCACTTTCTGGCCAGGCGATGATCCATTCTGGGAAGCGATGGACTTTAACTATTATGCTACATACAATCTCGAATGGGATGATCCAGATGCGATAATCACCAAGGACGGCAGTCTCCAGATCACCATGTCGCAGCAAGACCTGCACAACTTAGCGTATCGCTCCGGCTTCCTTTCTTCCTGGAACAAATTTTGCTTCACTGGTGGCTATGTCGAAGTTTCCGTCTCTTTGCCTGGCAACTCGCACGTCTATGGCTTCTGGCCCGCCGTCTGGATGATGGGGAACCTTGGTCGCGCTGGCTACGGAGCCACTAATGACGGCGTCTGGCCATACTCGTACAACGACTGTGGCGACACGACGTATTACGGCACTCTGGCCCGACAACATGATGCCTCCGGTGTGCCTGCTGCTGCTCTGACGTCGGGCTCGCAAGACTACGGCGGCGTGCTATCGTACCTGCCCGGGCAGAAATTGTCTGCTTGCACGTGCTCGACAGCAAATATTCCCGACGATCACCCAGGGCCGGCGGTCAACGTCGGCAGAGGAGCGCCTGAGATTGATATCCTAGAAGCTCAGGTCGATCCCTCCGGCGTTGGTTCTGCGTCTCAGTCGATGTCTGTTGCGCCCTTCGATGCTGCCTACAATTGGAACAATGTCACTGATCTGCTGATTGTCAACACGACCGGTACGGAACTCAACAAGTACAAGGGCTCAATCACGCAAGAGTCTGCTTCGGCCGTCACGCTCCTCGATGCGGTCTCTTACAATGGCGTCAAATATCAATCCTTTGGCGTCGAGTATCAGCCAGGCTCGACAGCAGACTCTGGCATCTCCTGGACGGTGGGAGGAGCGCAGACTTGGCGACTCGAAGCATCTGCGATGGGTCCGAATGCAGAGACCATGATCGCCACTCGGCCGATCTCACAAGAGCCCATGTACATCATGATCAACTTTGGCATCTCGACCAAATTCCAGGGTATACCAGAGTACACTAAGCTCACATTCCCGTCGACGATGTATATCGATTAGTACGATCCTGCTCATTGATTACGAGAAAATCGAACTGACGCTCCGGACGCAGTGTGCGAGTATATCAACGGACAGACAGCTATAATGTCGGTTGCGATCCACCCGACTATCCCACGACAGCATACATCAACAGCCATCTTGAAGCCTACGACAACGTCAACAGGACGACCTGGGCACAGGCAGGCTATACCAAGCCCGTCAATAGCAGGAATGGCGTAAGTCATCGATCTCACTCCGTACTCTCGCTCATGTGTCTGACCTGCAGACCTGCTGAGACATGCGCGAGCTACACGCGATGGACATTGATACGGCACCTGTATATTCCGTTATTGGCACTAATGCATGACCTCAAACTACATTGAAGTGAAGACTAAGCCCGCCAAGATGAACGCCAGACTGATGCGTGACCTCGACGAAGATCCGAACATCACGGCCTCGTTAAAAGTTGCGAGCTTGACAGATACCGATCGATCTCGCTGGCGGATGCCGCCGATGGTCTGCGTTGTCTCTGCCCAGCCGACTCGTCTGTTGGTACTGTCAAAGACGGTATAGTATTGCTGAAGAACCTTGAGGCCGAGCACAAATTCGAAACCAGCGTCTTTGAGCGGACCGAGAGACGAGACGATGCCGAGGGACGCGTTCGATGCGCTTTCAAGACCAAGCGCCGCCATTTCCTCGCGACTGAACACTTGCTCCTTGGGCGCAAGGACGAGTGTAGCTGAGCCCAAATCGATCTGAAGATCCGGCATGTCGTTGAGCTTTGCAAAGTTGATCAGGCCAGTGCCTGGATCGAGTCGAGCACCGCTAGCCTCTATGGTCTCTAGATATCTCGCCATGAACTGATCGCTGCCCATAAAGAGCGTGGACCCAGTATCAATCAAGCAGGGGCCAGAGCCGAGCACTTTGCCATTCGCGCGAACGGTGGCTTCAACAGCAAAATGACGGGCGGCTTTGCCTTCACTGACCAGATTCGTGTATGTGATCTCGCTCTGGTCTCTTATAGAGGCGTGATCAATACTGCCGAACGTAATTTTGCCGCCGGTCCTTGCGAGAGAGATGCCGACGACCATATCCTTTGTAGCGCCCGAGTCAAAAAGCCGTTCCGTTACCGTTGGCAGGGTCTGGGTGACATTCGGAAAGAGACTGCCTTGCATCAGACTGCGGCCTCCTAGCCCGAGGATGCCTTCTACGCCGTCTGGGAGGCCGTTGAAAGTCGTACCGATTCCCAGGGGTGTATCTTCCGCGACCAGTGGGCCAAGGGTCAATTTATCCTCATAGACAGGTCCGGAAGCGAAGGCTGAGCCGTACTGCGTTGCGAAAGACTCTGGTCTGTGTCTCGAGCTATTTGTTCGAAAGTCTCGGCGCTGGGGATCGAGGACCGTCATCGCACTGCCAGTATCGAGCACGAGCCGGTGTAGTGTGCCGGGCGTGCCGATGACGACGTCGAGCCTACGATTTGACTTCAGATCAAGCTGGGATCCAAGGACTCGAAGCTTACGCGTAGCTTGAGATCAAATTAACGGCGGGCGATGTTGCAGCCGCGCGTGAGGTGTGATTCATAACATCGCGCTGGTTCAGCAGCTGAGGCATGGCGGGCAGGCTCTGCGGCTGTAGCTGACCGGGCTGAGCAGGCATCTGCAATTTTGGCTGGGGCGGTAGCTGTAGCTTGGGCTGAGGCGGAAGCTGAAGAGTCGGGGGTATAGGCAGCTGGTTCGCGGACAGCGAGGCGTTTGCGGGCCGTGTGATCGTGGTCGTTGTGGTCTTGCTGATGCCGTTGAATGTTGTCGTCTTTGTGCTCGTGGACATATAGTAAGGTAGCTGCTGCTGCATGCTCGGCGGCGGGGGCGGCGATGTCTGCTGCTGAGACGAGGGTGGCGAGGACTGCTGGGTCGCGTTTTGAGTGGTTTGCTTCTGAGGTGCAGAGGGTGGCGGCCTAGGCTGCTCGAGCTGCATCTGTGCCATACCTGCTGGCATTGGAAGCTGCTCAACTTGGGCATATAAGCCGATCTGTGAGAGGCTGAGCGCTCTGAGTCTGTCGCGGATAACGAGAGCGTTCGGCTCGAGCGCAGATCGAGGCTTTGGCGGGTCCAGTTGGGCCAATCTGAAGGTGACAGCGCATTGTGCTAGGCCTACTAGTCCTGCCGAGGCGCACAACAATAAGAGCCTCATTGTCTTGATGGTGTCGCTCCTTGTTGTTATTGTTTGTGAGCATGGCCGGGTGATCATACAAGGGCAAGCATGGGAAGACCGTGGTCGGACCTCCTGGCGACGTAGACCATGCGTCTTGAACCTGGCATATGCAGTTGGTGAGGACCATAGACAGCGAAGAGGGGGTGTCGATGCCTGGGCATATTGACCGGCGATAGCAAATCAAGTTGCCGCCTTTGGCCGGCGCGTGGTCGCGTGGACGCAGATCCACATCATCACCACAAAAAGAGAGAGAGAGAGACCATTGGCGGCACAGTGGGCTGACAAGGATGGCAGATTGTCAGACGTTCTACTCGACAGAGTACTACACTGCCACCGTCAACAGCCAGCGGGTCATCACGAGCACCTACACCGATCCTGGCTTGCCCATCACCATCAACAGCACCCTCGGCAATCTACTCACCTCGCTCTTTCCTGTGGGCGAACATGAAGCTACTGACATGTCCGTATGGCTCATCTCGTGCTGTTCTGTCAGGGCCAGGTACACACGACCATCATCACGAGCAATGTCCAGTCCACCTCCGTGGGATCATCCGTCATCGCAGTCTCGTCAAGCTGCTCGACCTCCCCCACCACAACAAGCCCTTCCACAAGCCCGACCAGCACACCCATCACAAGCGCTGCTCCGACGACCAGTCCGATCCCAATAGTAGTGGCCACCACGACCTCGAGCAGTGTCATCGTCGTCGCTTCACCCAGTTCGAGCAGTACTTTGCCAGATGCCACGAGCTCCGCGGCTGCAGTGACGACAACGCCTGCGGTGATCCTCACGCCGGGTACAAGCAGTGGCGGCCAATTGACAAGCACGAGGATAGCCTCAACCAGCTTCTCCACCACTATCGTTATTGTGACTGCGGGCGATGGCAGTATGAGCACGAGCACTTCAATCATTGGCTCACTCGTGCCCGTCTCCGACACATCCTCTGGTGGTTCTACCTCCACAGGCACGATCGTTGGTGCCGTCATAGGCTCACTCGTCGGTCTCATCGTTCTGGCCGGCTTGATCTTCTTTGCCTGCGCAAGGCGGCGGCGTCAAAGAGCCGGCCCTAACAACGGAGATGTGTTTACCGATCAGATGTGGGAGCCAGGAGCCCACAAGGAGGTTGGCACTGCAGACGACGACGAAGAAGAGTTTGCAGACGGCACAGCGATTGGCACTGTCGACGGCAGCCACGCCCGTCACGCGTCAATGTCGAGTTCGGGTCTGATGCACACACCCATCGGTCAGTACTCCGCCGGTGACTACTACAGTGCAGACACGCACTACAATGCCGGCCAGCAATATTCCCAAGTCTCTCACGGGCGCAACATGTCAGAGAGCTCTGCCTCTGGCAATCTGCAAGATCCCCGCGCCTCGATGCGAGCATCAGTCATGTCACAACAGCCGCAATACTACTCGAGCTACGATGCACCACTTCCCACACATGCCCACAGGCAGTCCATGCATGGCATCATCGAAGACTCACCCCGGCGCACCCTCTCGACGCGCAGTGTGGATTATGCTCGTTCGTCATTCGATAGACCGGAGCGCGAGCTCCCTCCGGCCATTGTCACGACATCTGACAGTGGTCACGGGCAATCGAGACCGGTCAATCCTCGTCGCATGAGCTCAAAGACATCTCTACGGCGATACGGCCACATCAACACTCTGGCCGAGGAAGACGAAGCCGCTTCCCTAACGCGAGCGCGAGAAGAGCTCGAGGTTCCCCTGGCGACGCCACATCTCGAAACGGATTCGCTCCATGACGGCTCATCGGCCAACACGAGCTCGGCACCTGCGACGCCCTACGATGCTCAAGCGCAAGCAAACGATCCTCGCTTCTGGCGAAACAGTGCTCTTATTGCAGCGCCGGGCCAGCAAAACGGCGGCAAGCCTGGCGATCCAGCATTGGCCGGTATCGTCTCCCAATGGGAGCAAGCCGGCTTCATCTCCTGATGACGACCTCTCATGATGGACATTACGGTCGGACACGCATCCACTTGTTTATGTATTCAGCACGTCTGTGAGAAATATCGGATTGCAAGCTTGTTATGTCAGAGTGCGAGGCAGGTACAACTTAGAGCAAGAATGCTAGGGCGGTGGTACCGAGCAGAAGGGCTGCAGCCTGAACGCTCTGAGCAGCCTCTCCCGTATTGCGTGGGGCTGAGCTCTTGAAGATAGATCCAAACGCATTGGCGATAGAAGAGGCTACATCGGTCTGCGCGCCTTGCGTCGAGGCCGTGCCGGACGGGGGTGCTTGCATGGGCGCTTGTTGACCGGTCACCTGTGCAGTAGCACCCACGCTTGCGTTCGCACCGGTCTGATCGGGCTGACTGACACCTGCGCTAGCTTGTAAAGGACTCGTGCCCGGAACGGCGTTGCTGGATGCGCCACTCGTAATGGCCGAGGATTGCTGAAGAGCCGATGTCTGTGCGGACTGCTGAGGTAAAGTCAAAGCAACGTCATTGTTCGTGCCGCCTTGCGTGAGCCGAGTGTTTGCAAATCCCACTCTCGGAGGCATGCCGCTGTCAAAGACGACAAAGAGGCGCTGCAGGACTGATTGGCCGATGATACCGTCTAGCCCGCTTCCCGAAGGCGTGCCGAGAGAGCCCATGATGCCCCATGCATCAAATCCGGTAGGCAAGACGCCCAGCATCGAGTTGAGCTCGGATGGAAAGACTTGAGCTTCTGCCGACAAGGTATACGTTGATTTGCCGAACGTGAGAGCCAGCGATTGGAGAGCAGAGCGCTTGACAGCGAGCAGACCAGATCGGGCATCCACTTTGCCTCCGACGGCTTTCTGATAGACAGAGAAGTAATCTGAGGCAAGGAGGGCAATGGAGGTGCCCGTATCGATCTGTGCCTCGCCAAGTCAGTGCAGCCCGCCTCAATACCGCTCCGGGCTTACGATAACAGGCGCATTGTTGCACACGCGAGCAGTGCCGACTGCTACACTGAGGTCCACACCCCAAAATCGACCAGCTTGCGGGGCTTTGGTGATAGGCACGAAATTGAGCTCGCCCACGAAAGAGTCGTTGTCGATAGCTCCAAAGGTGACGCGAGTGTTTTGGGCATCGACCTTGTTGCCAGGCTGCATGGCCACACTGAGGTAAGGCTGCGAGATGATGCCTTGTGATAGCAGATTGTCCATGAGGGTAGGAATCGTTTCCTGTGGTGCGCCTACGATGGTGCGTGAGGTGAGAGCGACACCGCCGATGCCGGCTATACCGTCGGCATCTTGAAAGTCTCTTGTCTGCGTGGCGATCGTGATACCCTGGTTTTTGATCACCATCGGGCCTATCGTGATCTGATCATTGACGAGGTCTCCTTGCATGGCACCGGTGCCATAGCTGAGCGAGACCTTCTTGCCCGTCGAGACTGTCGTCGATGATTTGTTGACGGGCTGTAGTGAGCCAGCCCAGGTGTTGCTCGATCCCGAGTCGAGGATGAGCAGCTTCACATCGCCATCTGCTCCGATACCCACCGGAATGAGGACCTCGTTGATTTTGTTGGTTCCGATGACCTGACCGGCAGCAAAGGAATGAACAAAGTTGTCTTGCCCTTGGTTCATCTGCATGCGAGCACGCAAACGGGCAGAATCACCGAAATTGAGTCCAGTCTCATTCTGCGCCGAAGCTGCTCTTTCGGGGGTCGTGTACCTGACGACGCCATTGAGTTGGATGCTCGATCCTGCTGCTCCTTGTGATGGCGAAGGAGCCGCGAGTGAAGCAGAGACAAGCAAGGCGCCGGCCAGGAGACTCTTTGAGATTGACATGACCAGGGATCGCCGTGCTGGGGCGAGACTGGTCTATATAGAGGTACACTGGCGACAGAGACAGGCGGATGGGATAGCTTGAGAGCATCGCTTCGTTTGCAAGCCATGACATGGGAAGACAAGCCACTGTGGGATCTGCGCTCGAGTCGGGGCCCGGGTGACGTGGGTGACGTGGAAGGACAGACGACACGTGGCAGCCGTGGCAGAGCGAACTCGCCGGAGACTCAATTGCAAGGCTCTCTCTGGCAGCATGGACATTGGTGAGCAGCGGCATGTTCACGTGTCGCAGGAAAGCCTCTCACACCGACAGAGCGGCAGATCAACCGGCAGTAACGAGAAAGGGGCGAGGCTTCAAATCAGGCGAGTCTTCAGAGGCAGGCGCAGTCACTGAGCTTACCCTCGAGAGACGCACGCAGGCGACAGGCCAGAGGATGCGACGGCACAGTACGAGTCGCTCAAGCAAGACGAGCTCGAGACGGCAGGCGCGCTCGGCAATGCAGCAAGATGTGAGCTCGAGCAAGTCTTTGAACGACGAGCGAGGCGTTGAAGAGTGCCATCCTTCACAGCTATCGAGGGATGGATCGTCATCGTGACCGGCCTGCACGAGGAGTGCTCTGAAGAAGATCTGCAAGACAAGTTTGGCGACTTTGGGGAGATCAAGAACTTGCATCTCAACTTGGACAGACGAACGGGCTACGTCAAGGTGATCATCTCTTCACTTCAGCCCGACATGGTGCTCATCGTTTGTGCAGGGCTATGCTCTTGTCGAGTACGAGACGCGCGCAGAAGCGGAGGCTGCCATCAGTGGTGCATCAGGTACCGAGCTACTCGAACAGACCCTTCAATGCGACTTTGCTTTCGTGCGACCGCCACCGTGCGTCGAGTCATAGCATGCTTGCTTCTCGACGTTGACGCGCCTACGTTTACAGATCTAGTGAGAAAGCCAGCAAGCCGCGACGGGCGAGAAGCAGGAGTCCGATCAGGAGGAACATCGACTAAAACAAACGCGGCACTCGCAGTAGCTAGCTATACCTTGTACCTCATTGTACTCTGCGATCATAGACTCGATGCGACTCGGTCTCAGCATGAGGACGTCTGCATCACTACAGCCTTGGTCTTAGTTGCGTCAACAGGTTGCAGACTCGATTTGACTACCCCGCGCTTGCTGCGTGTGGTCGTCGACTTTTTGAGAGGAAAAGGCAGAGATCAGGCATATCTCGAGATGCGCTGGATGAGCAGTGTCATCGACTGCGTGCGGTCACACGAGCGGCTGTATGCCGGACAGCTCAGCCAGACTTGAACAGTAACTGCGTTATCATGTCAGTGCCCCTGGCAGGGCTAGACAGACCGGTTCATGCGCTCACGACTGCAACTTGTCCAAGATAGAAGTCTGCGCATGTCTCAGATCAGCATGACGATACTATTGCGCACAAGCCACTCGAGCGTACAGACGAAATTGCCAGACTCGTGGGTGACATAGCTGCCAAAGTTCTTGCCGACGACGGCGTGCCATGTAGAACCGTGCTTCTTGTCGAACTCCTGGAGATCAGACAAAGGTCAGTCGGGCCATCCAGTGAGTCCATCGGGACCGTGAAGCAGACGTACTCGCTTGACAAAGGCTGCAATGTCCTTTTCGAGATTGAACTTTTCGAAGGCGGCCTTTGTCACATCTACAGCGTCCTGCTGTAGCTCTTCTGACATGTCTGCTGCTTTCACAATGGCCTATGTGATCGCAGAAGTCGTAGCGAGCCAATCGGCATGAATGTGGTGGATGGAGAGACGGAGAGGGACAGCAGCTGTTCAGCATCTCTTCATGGCAAGCCAACACGGTGCATGCCTACCTTGAGATCAGACTTGGCCGGCGCATCAGCCTTGTCTAGTCCCGACTTGGTCTCGTGCGTGGCCATCTTGCGCTTTCGCCGCGGTCGAGCTGTCGAAGTTCTGCGATGATGGAAATTCCGCAAAGTCGCGCGTCACGAGATGCTAGGCGTGCAACAGAACAGACAACATGTTTGCAACAGCTTGCGGCAGGCAATCTAGTCAAACCTCGTACGCTGACGAGGTGGCTGATAGTACAGGTCTGGCTCTGGCGTGCCATCGTCGTAGCTTGCATTGCGCTTCCGCGAAGTTGCGCCAGAGGGATAAGATGGTGCCCGAGTGTAGAGCGTCGTGTCGTCTGCTCGCAACGGACGGACGGGTGCATGGGCATCATCACCGGAAGCAGATCGCATCCTTGTGAGATCGGGCCCGAGCTGCTGACCGTTTGACCGGTATTCATCTAGCATTCATCTTCAGCCAAGCACGCGATGCAGCAGATATGCCTTACCTGGCATCCATTGTGGCACACTGGACGATGTTTTGCGCGTCATCTGGGCGAGCGGATATTCATCTCGATCGGACGGTTCGCCTTCATCAGAGCTGAGTGTGAGATCGATGACAGCCGCCAACTTGGTCGGTGCAGGTTTCGCTGGCGAGTGTCCGTTGAGGCCCGAGCTCGCAGCGTCATAGACCGATTCGGTGTCATCAGAGTCATCCTCGAGCGAGATGACTTCAGCGACTGCTTTCAGGGGCGCACGAGCTGCCGCTGCTGCCAGTTCGGCTTGCTTCGCTAGCACTTCGACTGTGGTGCCATATTTGAGATCCTCGGACTCCCACTTTGCGTCAGGGTAAACCACCACAGTTTCAACCTTTTCCGGTACGGCATGCATCACCTCGTCAAAGTACCTGCTGTGGCCATGAGCTTGCTCTGAGAGTAGCACAGCGACAATGCCCACTCGTCGACAAACATGTCATCCACGTCCGTCACTTTGTTGCAGACCGGGCATTGAAATGTCGGCGTTTGCTCCATGATTGTCAAGAAAGTCTCGGCGTCAAAGCATTGCAAGTGAGTACACCGTCGACCACGACAGGGCGTCTTGATCCGCATGAAGCTCAACTGCAGCTCTATGTCAGCCTCTTGTAGCGAAGAAACGACTTGTACGCACCGGATCTTTCATAGACAGTGTCGACTTCATCACCACGTCTGGGTTCTCCTCCGTATCTTTTAAAACTGGGCGCGGGCAAAGCGGTGATCAGCGAGGTAGGTAGGCAGCTCGTAAAGAGCCCAACGAACTTTCTTGCACGACCATTGCCGCAGTCCTGCGGTTTCCCTTGCGTATCCTGTCGAGAACGACGGGTACAGAGTAGTATTGCACCAGACATACGACGACCCAGTATTTCTGCCATACACGTGATCAGCGCAATCTGCTCACTACTGCAGCGAGCTTGCCTTCTCAGTGTTGACGTAGATGAATTCGACGCGATTGGCGTAGGTTACTGCTGGATTTGCTTGGCCTCTGACAGAGCCGAGATGAGCAGGTGGCGCGCTGCCCGGTCGCTTCTTTAGGCCGCGCGTATTTGCATCGCAGAGGAAGGAGTTCATCTTTATCTCGCACGTCGTCGGGAAGTCAATGGGACATGGCTCGGTCACTCTGGACGGGTGAGGGTATGAAGTGCCGGCGTAGAAATCCTCGGATGTGGCGAATAGTCGCATTTGATATTGCGGGTTCGCTGGGTTGGCCCTGCTCGCGCTCGAGTCTGAGCGTGAAATGTGAAGCTGAATGGGCAGGACTTGCCTGCCGTCAAGGATGAGCTGACGATGCGACTCTTGTAGGTTGAAGGGCATCGTGACCGTCTTGCGTTCTTGGACCGCAGCGCCTGATGAGTGACAGTCAGATGCTTGCAGTGCAGTCATACGACGATCTCACGCGGACAGCCGTGCAGGCTAGTCAAGTGGCGTTCTATGCGGTAAAATGGACTGGCTCTGAATTCGATATTGGGAGCCGGTAGGACCGCTGCTGGTCGTGCGGCAATCTGGGCAGGAACCGCAGGTCGCGGTCCTTGCGGAACGGGAGCACTGGGTGTGAAGCTGGGCTGACTGGGGGGAAGGATGATGCGTGTCGCGCCATTCTGTGGGTGCGGTTGGGTGATTCCCGGCCTTGCAGGAGAGTTGGTCGGGCTGTGTGACATACGTACAAGCGCGTCAGCTCAGGAATGAGTCAAGGCAGCGCATTGACTGACATGCGGTTGTAAAAGACATCGAGCACGACCGTCCTGAGGCGCTGGAAGACCGTCAAATCGTTGACGACAGTGCTCTGTAGCAGTTCTCGTATTCGAGCTGGAAAAGATCAAGGCTTCAATGCCGGGCTTGTGGGCTGAGAGCAGCTCGAAGCTTGCCTGCAATCTCAGCCTTGCGCCCGCTGACGGCCAAGTTCATAAAGTTGAAATCTCGATTGATCGTTCGAATGACGAGCTGAAGATGAGCGACGGTGAGACTGGGCAAGACTGCCATGACCTCCTAGGGTGCGCACTTGGCGAGTCAGTCACGCTGTGGGTTGTCCGTCGCTCGGGCTCACGTCGAAGACTGCTGTGTGGCTATTCGGGATATTATGTGGCCTGTGAAAGGCATAGGCTGCTGTGTAGGACATCTTGCTTGCTCTTTCCGCGCGTCAGGCGAGCAGACCTTGCTCTCGCGGCTCTATCGCCTGTGACGGATCCAAGGCCTCGCTGCTCAAGCCTGGACAAGCCGCTGTTCTGCCGTGCCGTGACCGGCCCTCAGAAAAAGATCGCGATCGGTCGAGAGAGCGCGACAGGACGAGACGAACTGTGATGGATGGCAGATTCATGCGCGAAGCCTACAACAACCTGTAAATTCCCCGTACAGACGGCCTATGAGATGACTGCTGTGCTTTGTGATTGCTGCGCTTCGATAGTGTCCAATTTGAAGACTTGCATACCCTCAATGATGGGGATGTCGGGTGTGCGTGGCGTGTCAACAAGCGTGGTGACAGTCTCGGTAGAGATATTGAAGTAGAGCTGCAGCATCGGACTCTTGATGCGAGACGTCTCATTGGACTCCCAAAGCTGCGAGTGCCGTCGATCCGATTCTGGACGAAATTCCCAGACTTCGGGATCATTGCCGCCAACGAGACAGAACTGGGTCGGCTGGAGCCGGTACAGGCTGCTATACAGAGCTGCGCCCTCCTCGCGCGCGATTGGGGAGATTGCGCTGAAGCTCATCGGATCACGCGTCGAGCGGGTGAGATAGACTCTGTCACCAGTGATCTCGACCATCTTGTGCAGGGCGGCGGCAAATTCGCAGCCTGGCGCCTTGGCGACAGCCGCCGTAGTGTTCCAACGCTGGACATACTCTAGCATGATCGGGTTGATCTCTTTCGCGTGGGTCCAGGTGAGTAAGAAGGGAGCGCCTTGGATGTAATGAAGTTCTGCGCCATCACGGGCGCCAGTCAGCTGGTCTCGGAGCAGGATTGATGCCGCATCGTCATATGCCCTGTCTTCCGTGCCCTGTGTGTTGCGGTCAGCGAGAGTGCTCTGGGCAAGGATGACAGAGCGCACATGATAGATCCTGATCGGCATGGCGAGCTTGGCGAGGCATTCGGCAGGTATATCGGTCCTCGCGCCGTAGTAGCGAAAGACTTCAGAGATCATCGCCGCTCTGGCGGGCGACCATCGTCGGATGAAGATGCCAAAGAAGCGCTCGTATTCGGCGGGCGTGAGCTGTTCGTTGAAGAAGTAGTCGAGCACCGAGTCGACGGCTTCTCGCCATTCGTCTGGATCTGCCGGCGTGACCCATGCTGTCACAATCTCCCTGAAGACCTTCATCTTACTGTCCTTCTCGACCATGTCAGGGACAGAGATCATCTGTAGGCTCTGTACTCGGTGCGGGAAGAGCAGCGCAAGTCGGAGTGCTGCCATGCTGCCAGTGGTGTGTACGCCGACGACGTGCGCGCAGGGAACATCGAGCTCTGCCATAAAGTGGGCAAGGTCGGCTGCGGTGACGAAGAGATCGTGTCGCGCGTCGACTTCTGACCTCGTCCTTCCGTGCAGTCTCAGATCGAGCAGGACGATGTTGAGGTTGTCGCGCATCTGACGATCTCGAAAGACAGACTCGAAGAAGTTGAGGCCGAGGAAAGTCGGGTGGACGAAGAGGACTGTTGGCTTGAGGGGATCGATGGCAGCATCTGCAGCGAGCTATGAGCGTGAGTCGTCGGTCAGACAAGCAGCACTGACCCTTGTCAGCGAGCGTGTCACTCTGTCCATACAGACGGTACCAGAAGCTGACGCCCTGCTCTGGCAGATCGAGGTACGGCATCTCGTCAGTCTGTGCGCTTGCAAGCGTGTGCCTTGCTGCAGTCCGTCTTTATGGCGACAGGCACAAAGCGTGCAGCAAGCATCTAGGCCCAGCATGGCCACACAGTATCTTCAGCCGATGTGCTGGGCGAATCTTCGTCAGGCTTCCTTGTCCGGTGACGCGCCATCAAACGCTAAAGTTAAAATGTGCGGCGTTACGACGCGCGATGGCTAATCATCGTGTCATGTCATGGGAGCCAACCCTGCGCATAGACGGAAGCCTGCCTCGTCACATGACTCGCATGTCAATGGCTGGCTCATCAGGATAGCAACAGCGGGCGTTCGTGGCAAAAAGCAATCGAATTGGAAAAGTTACATCTGCATTGTAGACGAGGGCTAGGAGGTTGATGGAGAATGCGATCATTTCTTCTTGAGCGCCTTCTCTGCTGCCTTTGTCACCTTGCCAGACTTGCCATCGGTCTTCTCGACCTGGAGAACGCATGCAGTGTCAGTACGGGAATCCCAGCGCGGACGAGAGGGTGAGAGATCAATGGGGAAGCCAGATGCTCGAATAGTGTCAAGCAGATGGTCTCTTGTCATCCATCTCCGCGCAGTGCGCACGGACGCGCAGCAGCGAGACCGAGAAGGAGAGCAAAGATGAGGATCGATGAAAAGACTCACGCTCTTGATGACACCGACAGCGACGGTTTGACGCATGTCACGGACAGCGAAACGGCCGAGAGGTGGGTAGGCAGAGAATGGCTCGACACAGAGAGGCTTGCTTGGGACCATGTTGACAAGTGCGGCATCGCCGCTCTTGACAAACTTGGGCGATGACTCGATCGACTTGCCTGTTCGGCGGTCAATCTTCTCGTTCAGCGCTTCGAACTTGCAGGCGATGTGGGCGGTGTGGCAATCGAGGACGGGCTGGTATCCCGCACCGATCTGACCGGGGTGGTTGAGCACGATGACCTGGGCGATGAAAGAGGCGGCCTCCTTGGGGGGGTCGTTCTTGGTGTCGCCGGCAACGTTGCCACGACGGATGTCCTTGACGGAGACGTTCTTCACGTTGAATCCGACGTTGTCACCTGGCTGACCTGCCTCGAGCTGTTCGTGGTGCATCTCGACCGACTTGACTTCAGTCGTGACGTTGGTGGGCGCAAAGACGACGACCATGCCGGCCTTGATGGTGCCAGTCTCGACACGACCAACGGGCACTGTTCCGATACCGCCAATCTTGTAGACATCCTGGAGAGGCAGACGGAGGGGCTTGTCTGATGGTCGTACGGGAGGCTCGATGGCGTCAATGGCCTGGAGCAAAGTCTTGCCCTTGACCTCGCCGGCCTTGGTCTCCTTGACCCATCCCTTGAACCAGGTCATGTTGACGGATTCCTCGAGCATGTTGTCACCGTGCCAGCCGGAGATGGGCACAAAGGCGACGCCCTTGGGATTGAAGCCGACCTTCTTGATGAAGTTGGAGGTCTCCTTGACGATTTCCTCGTATCGGGACTCGGACCACTTTGTCGTGTCCATCTTGTTGATGGCGACGATGAGCTGACGGACACCTAGCGTGAAGGCGAGCAACGCGTGCTCGCGCGTCTGGCCATCCTTTGAGATGCCGGCCTCGAATTCGCCCGTGCCGGCGGCGATGATGAGAATGGCGCAATCGGCCTGGGATGTGCCGGTGATCATGTTCTTGATGAAGTCACGATGGCCGGGAGCGTCGATGACGGTGACAAAGTACTTTGGCGTCTCGACTGTGGGGACAAAATCAGCGCGTTCCTCGGCAGCGACGTGTAGGAGTCACTCACACTTCCATAGGGCAATGTCGATCGTGATACCACGCTCACGCTCGGCTTTTAGCTTGTCGAGCACCCATGCATACTTGAAGGAGCCCTTGCCGAGTTCGGCAGCTTCCTTCTCGAACTTTTCGATAGTTCGCTTATCGATCTGTCGAGGCGAGGCATGAGCGTCAAATGGCGACGGTCAGATGAGGGAGCACTTACACCACCGCATTTGTAGATCAAGTGACCAGTGGTCGTCGATTTACCGGAATCGACGTGACCGATGACGACGACCTGTGAGCGCAGAAAAAAAGTGATGAGTCACTGTTCAGCTGGCTCGCGTGGCAAGAGCTGACGTTAACGTGACCTGTGAGCGATGGACGGGTCAGCCATGAGTACTGTCGGAGTCAGAGAGTCTGCACCAACCCTTTTCCTTTCCCATTTTGCTAATCTATTGCACTGCAAAACGACAAAGGCACCGTGTCAGAGAATGGTCCCCTAGGATTGGTAGGGGGATGTGGCAACGGTTGAGAGCTGGACGGTAGAGACCGAGAGATGTAGTGCTCGTGCGGGATGCACACTTCGGGGACGGCCAGCGGCCATGAGCAAATCTGCGGTCGATGCAAAATTTTGCATGCGAGGGACCGATCGCGTCCCCTGACCGCTGGTCGGTGGCACGAGCTCCATGAGGGCGAAATGGAGTCAGGCTACTGAGAGAGGGTCGATACGAACGATGAGATGCTCGAGTGACCTACAATTTGAAGACTTTTTTGTCAGGACAGAATCACGGATGGGCGTGAGGAAGCGTACCTCTTTTCACCGAGTTTCTCTTGTGATTTGCAACCGCGTCACCCCCCCCTCGTTTGTGACATGGTGCTATTCGCCTCAGCAGATGCATCAGCTCCATCCAGTCGATACAACAGCTCTTGTCTATCTCAGACAGGCACTGCTCGCACATAGGCACTCTGATCTTGTCAGCACAAACGAGATGTTTGGCACAGGCGCGTGATCAGCGCTCCAGCTTGCACAGGTACGTCGTCATGGTCTCCCAGAGATCCTTGCTGCTAGCGGACGGAGGCGCAGCGTTTGCCAGATGCAATCCGCACAATCCTTCTTCAGCGTCAAGCTCATGAGACCTGCAAATATATGCGTGCACGCGCTGGCCCCTCATCATTCGCACTTTGCACAGGTTCCGGGCAGTTCGCGCTCTACCCAAGTCAGCCTTTGCTCGAGGCCTCTCTGCCTAGACCTGCAAGGGAGCCCCGAGCGGTGTTCGCTGACATCTGTCCGTGGACTCGACGAATGTTTGCAATCCTGTCTAGATCTACGACGTTGCGTGCATTGCAGGCCATACTGTCCATCATATGCTTCGCGTACGACTGATTCCCTGGGAGCTTTGGTCTGGCTTGGCTTGTGGTCAGTCGATAGAGAACGTCACAACACGCCTTGAAAGAGTCTGCCTAGCAGCTCAGCTCTGTGAAAGCACGGGCGGCGGCGGCGGCGGCGCTTGAGCTCGATCGAGCAAATCATTTAACACGTGCACGCCCACTCGTCATCGATTGAGACTGCAGGCAGACACTTTTACACGGGATTGAAACGTTCAACATTTCCACTGGCGGGCTGACATCTGCCCATGGGCGATGGCGCCGCATTCGCCCACACAGTCTGAAGGCGGCGATTCATCGCAGACATCGCCGAGCTCGGACACGAGCGCTCGTCAGGCACGCAGAGAATCGGATCCCGCGCGAGAAGCAAGCGCTTCGCAGGAGAGGTCATGGCTGCCTCAGCTCTCTTCTCTCTCGCTCAGGCGTCAGTCGAGCTCCAGTCCGACCCTGCGAGAGAGCACTCTCAATCATGACTCGTCTGCCGCTACCACACCATCCGAGAGATCATCGGGTCAGCACAAGATCCGCTCGAGACTCAACAGTCTCGCCGTTTCGACTGCCATGTCGGACAACACTGCACCCAGGCGGGCAGAGCAGACGATCCAGGAGCATCAGTCAGCAGAGCAGCCCGCCCGACACGTTCGTACCGGCGGCCTCTTCGACCAATACTTCTCTACGCCCGTCTCGCCATCAGAAGAGACCCCGGACCCCGTCAGCGCGTTTGGCCTGATACCAGAGCTCAACATTGCATCGCGCCGCCTCGCGGCAGACGAGCAGGTGCCCGTAGCAGATCCGATGCAAAGTACAGAGCAGCAGCAACAGCTTGGCACCAAGAGATATCCCTCGCTTTCTAGCTTGTCCCTCAGTGCCGTCGGTCGAGCGTCGTCAGACGAGACTCGTAGACTCGCACTCGAAGCCAGCTCTGTCGGATCCGATGGGCGCAGAAGCCCCGGTCGGCCTGCTTTGACGCAGCAGGACGAAGAAGCGGACGGTCTCATGCCACTTAGGCGAGTCTCGCCGGGCTACGACAGCAGCCCTTCCCCGGCTGCTCATACGCCGCCACAGACTGGTTCGCCTGTCAGTCCGAGTCAGCTTGGCCAGAATGCATTCGTCTGGCAAAGTGGCAGACAGCATCCACGCAGATCGAGCTCAGGCATAGGCTCCAATGACTCGTCGGATCGCATCGCCCCCAGTCAAGGCTCGGGCGATGCAGTAAGCTCCAGATCCCGACAGGCCAGTCATTCGCCTCAGCCCCAGCCAAGGTCACGCTTGCCGAGTGGCACAAGCAGGACGTTCATCTGCCCGCCTATGCTCGTACGACCACGTTCGCAGGCGCGGTCCGTTTCAACTTCGGAGCTTTCATCGCATGGTCATTCCCCAGATGATCGCGAACCTGCCATAGACTCGCAGCGAGACCGGACGCTCGACGTCAGCCCTGGCAGTAGTCCGCTGCCCGACCGATCCCTGCCTTCGATCGTTCTGAGTCAGCGCGCGTCAGTGTCTTCCCAAGGCTCTGTATCGCCTGGCTCGACTGCGCACAGCGCAATCGGCACCTTGATTCAACGCAAACGTCGACAAGCTTCTTTGCCGTATTACAATGCGGTCAGTGCGCCGCACTCTAGACTACCGTCTAGGCCAGCATCTCCCAACCAAATACGGCTCGCCTCCGCGGCCAACTCGCCTTCGCTCAGCAGGCGGACATCGGGTACCGGTGCGGATGGGGATCCTGCCGGACCGAGACCCATCTTGCCAAAAAGGATGCGTAGCCGACATGGTACCAGAGCGGGCGAACTCTTGTCGGCCAATCCGGCGCTCTCGCAAGTCTCGCCATTGCTTGGCCCGGCCTATACCTTCGAAGACGAGTTCGCAGATTCAAGTCCTTGGAGTCGAGAAGGCGCTCGCTCTTTCGATGGTCGAGGAGAAGTCATCATGACACCAACAACCGAAGTGAGTACTTGTTGCACAGCGCGCCAGCCACTTGCTGATGCCGTTCTTCCAGGAATGGGCAGGCTTGGGAGGCATGTTTGGCAATGGCAGGATCGCACATTACGAGGGTGATCAGCATTTGTCAGCGAGTGACTCATCGAGCGAGGAGGAGTACGCAGATGTAGAAGAGGGTCCACGAACGCCAAGCTCCCAGAAAAGCTCGCAACCGCTGTCTGACTCGACCGCAACACCTCGAGCTCTGATCCACAAGAGCTCCTCATCCAGTATAGGCCTGGTCAGTAACAAGGTTCGCAAAACGACATCCATGCGCGAACTGCACGTCGCGGCGAACCGAAGCCCGGTACAGCGGCTGACAAGTCGGCCGTCCCTCAGCAAACTCAGACTGGGCACGTTGCCTAGACCACCTAGCCCGTTACCACTCAGCGCACTCGGGCCTGCCGATCCGCACGAATACAGCGCATGCACCAAGGCCAGGAATATCACGAGCTTTGCCGTGCAAGGTGAGACGGGCAAGGGCGCATACGGCCTCGTCACGCGTGGTCGCGAGAGGGGCACGGACGGTCGGCCAACAGGACCGGACGTGGTCATCAAGTACATCATCAAGCAGCGTATCCTCGCAGATTGCTGGAAGAATCACCGTGTGCTTGGGCCTATACCCGTCGAGATCCATGTGCTGGATCACCTGAGACGCTTGCCTTACCAGCCCTCGCCTCTGGCCGAACGAAGAGCAGCAGTCGCCCGTCGCAAGTCTATCCGATCAGGCCAGCCCGTCGAACACGAAGCTCGCACAACCGGGCATCCCAACATTTGCAGCATGCTCGACTTCTTCGAGGATGCAGAGCATTACTATCTCGTCATGCCGCGCTATGGCGATGGGCAGGATCTATTCGACTATGTTGATGCCAGGCCGGAAGGTCTGCCGTTGCGGGAGATCCGTACTATTCTAAGTCAGATTGCCGATGCGCTCGCGTATCTGCACGAGCGTATGATCGTACATCGTGACATCAAGGACGAAAACGTTATTCTCGACTCAGCTGGCAATGTTCAGCTCATCGACTTTGGCAGCGCTGCATATATACGCGAGGGTAAAAAGTTTGATACCTTTTCGGGCACATTGGAGTAAGCACTTGCGCCGTTGAGGTTACCACGCCTGCTGATTTTATGCACTAGCTTTGCGGCTCCCGAAGTTCTGCGTGGAGAGCGATACAGCGGCAAGGAGACCGATATCTGGGCGCTCGGCGTGCTCGGCTTTGTCCTTGTCTGCGGAGAATGTCCTTTCTGGAATAGCGAAGAAGCTGCGCAAGGTAGCTTCATTCGCTCTGTCACCTGGCTCAGCTCACTATCTCTTACAGGACTTCTGGACGGTACGAGAGCAAGTGAAGCACTCAACCTGCGGCTCGCACGACGGCACTCGGGCATGCCAGGAGCTGCACCGCTGGCAGTTGATATGTTCGACGCGCTGGATCCATTCCTACCGCCCACGCGGACGCCGTCCTCGCAAGGTCACAGCGTGCCAGAGCTCGATTTTGACGAAGATGGAGACGAAGACACACAAGAAGATGAGCCGACAGACGACGATCCTTCGAAATGGCAGACGCTCGCCGGTAGCGGCTTACTTGCCGACGCGATCGACGTCGTCCGTCGCTGCCTCGAGATTGATCCGGCAGCTAGACCGACTGCTACGCAGCTCTGCAGACATCGATTCTTTATCGGTTCGCGAGACGGCTGGCGTGGTTCAAGGGGCTGGCAGGACGAAAGCTTCAGTACTAAGCAACCTATGTGACACTTGTGCAACAGCGCGCAAATGAGCACAACTTGTAGAACAACATTATTGTCGGTCGTATCTAGAATGTATGGTCTATTGTGCTATCTATACGCCTGCAACCTTGCCGATGAAATCGGCCACAGGAGGAATCGAAACGCAGATCAGTATGACTGTGCCGTAAATGACGAAAGTGAGCGAGGCGAGTGCGAATTGGCGCGGGCTGCCTTTGCTTAAGAGCGCAGAGGCGCCGATTGCTCCGGCTAGACAGCCCGTGCTGCTGCCAATGAGCAGATGCTCGTGCTTCTTGACGCCCATGAGCGGTAATGCGAGTGGGGAGAGCAACACGACGACGATGCCCACTACCACGATGATGACACTGTCGTCGGGTTAGCCAGGCACAGACAGCAGGTCAGCCCGGCTTACACTTCGATTCCCTGGTCCGCGCCAAGTGCAGCAGCAATCTCGATGCCCAATGGAGTGCTAGTAAATTTGCCGGCGAAAGCGGCTGCTATTGCTAGCGGCAAGCCAATCGCACGAGCAAGCAAGGGCCAGAGGAAGAGCGCAAGGGCGCAGTTTGGTAGTATGAGGACGATGAACTTAACGCTGTACTTCTTGAGATCGCGACGATAGCGGTACAGTGGCATCATAAGTGCGATGATACCTGCCTCGAGCAGGATGACCAGGAGATCACCCATGCCGGGAACTCGGCTTATATCTGGCGTATCCCGCCACTCTGTCGGAGAGAATAGGTCGGCTACTGTCGTCCGGCGCTGATAGCGCGAGAGGGTCGTCTGCAAGCCTTCGCTACGTATCGCACCTAGAGCCCATATCGAGACAAAGGTCAAGGCTGCGCTGACGAGTATCGGATGGAAGATTCTCGTCATCTTGGGCGGTATCAGGCGAATGGCCAGGAGGTATGAGCCGGCGTTCAGTCCGATAAAGAGAGGTAGCTCGTTGCCTCGGAAGTTCGCTGCGTAGTAGAGGGGCAGGCCAATCACGATGAGACTGGCGAAGACAAGTGGATCTACCAAGTCGCCGAAGAGCTGAGCTACGCGTCGGATCTGAATGCCATCTGCGTCCTCTGCATCGATGATCTTATCGTTGGAGATCGGCTGTGCGCCTGCGCGTTGGTTGAGCAGAGACTGTACATCAGAACGGCGGCGTTCAGACAAGCCGGCGAGTTTCGTTTCTTGCTCATTTGATTCGATACGTTTGAGAGCTAGAACTTCATTGCCGATCGTCAGATAAGTCGTCGGGCTTGCGGACGGCGACGCTTGACTGCTGCTCAGCCTCTTGTCGAGCTCCGGTATAGCCAGCGTGACTTGGGAGGGCCTTCTGGTCGAATTATTGCCCTGGGTGTCTGGCGTGCCAGCAGCCGTGCTCGAGTTCGCAGCAGCGCGCATGTTGGGTTCGCTCGCCGAACGACTGAGAGTGGGATCGCTGGGTGATCCTGGAGGCATCGCCTGCTTGCTTTCATCGATAGGATCAGATGGCAATGCGAAAGGGTTTCTCAGCCAGCTCGGGCTCCAGATCATGCTAGGTCGCTCGGTCTTTGCTCGGTGGAGGCGAGGTGGGGGCTGTACGTGGCCCGCCGGTTGGGGCAGGTCGACCGACTTAGCGTGGTAGAGCTCGCCTCGAAAGACGATAATGTCGCGATGGAGGCGACCCTGGGGTGCATCGGCAGAGAGCTGACCGAATTCGCGATCAATCTCTTCCTGCTCTCGTTCGTCATCGTCGTCGTCTTCGTCCGATGTCTGCGTCGAGAGGCCCTTTTCCGGGTCGCCATCCTGACCCGTCTGCCTCTGCCTGCGAGGCGGATCTTGTAGACAGCCGATGGGCACTCGCGATACAATGCGGTACCAGAGGACTGTGAAGGGCCAAGCGAGCACGAGCGTCAAGAGGAAGCCTGCTGTGAGCAGGCCGATCTGCTCCAAAGGCAGCTGGTCACGCTTGGGTATACTGATGAAGCTCCCAGTGAAGAAGAGTGACATGTTTCGCAGGAGACAATCACAAGGCGGTGCTAGCAAGTACAGTGGGTAATCGACGAGCGGTTTGGCGAAGCGAGGACGTTCGAGCTTGCCATCATTGTTCTTTACCATCGCTCGGCGTGGCGATAGGTAATCGAGCAGGAGCAGCAGCGCGAAGAAGAGAGCCGCCAGTATGACAGGTGCGGGAAACGAGATGACGATGGCCTGTTCGAGTGCCCATGCGCAGATGACGAGGAAGAGCACGCCGATGGGCACATGTACGAACTGCTGAAACAGATGGAAGCGCTGCTCGTGCCAGAAAAGCGCAAAGCCTTGCATGAGCTCGCTTCGTGTCACCATATTGCCAGCACCGGTCCTGTCTGAGGCCCGGTACAGGAGGGCAGAGTTGTGCACAGGACTGGCTCGCCGGCTAGCGCGCTAAGCGGCGGCGGCCGAGCTATCGAAGTTGCGCCAAGGCCGATTGCATTCTCGGTAGCGAAGTGATGCGTAGCTGATCGTAGCGCAGCGTCGATCACAATGGCCAGTCTCGAGCGAGGCTAGTCTCATGATGACGAAGTTGTCACCGATAAGCCTTTGCCAAGAAGTCCCATGGCTTGGCAGTGCCCCGGCCTGTCGTCGTTCGTCCCTGCGCTCGTTCTCTGCCGGCCGACGAGTCGTTGCACAGCTCATGGTCATTTGTACAGAGCAAGTACGATGCAACAAACCGTGTGTCTGCCAAGTGTGTTGCTCTCTGTCGCCGAGGCAGGAGAGCTTAGCACGTCACCGGTGGGCGTGAATGTGGCTACAGTGCTTGCGCGGACTCGCACAGCTGCTCGATGATGGTCTCCGAGCAGAGCCGGACAGGACGGACGCACGACAGAGCTGGAGCATGACTTGGCTCGAGAATGGCCTCGAATGCGGACTGCCGAAGCGCTGACGGTGCACGCTCGCGTAAATCTTTGCCGTCGCTCACAGGTGGAGCGCTTGCGTGTAGCCGCCATAGCCTTGCTGTACAGTGCAGAGACGAGCGTCAGTAGCATCCCCTAGACTCGCTGGTGCCGACAGTGCTGGACATTGCACGAATCCATTCGTTCTGCTTTCCCTCGCGCTCTCGCTGTCGAGCTTCGAGGCATGCGCTGTACCCGACGAGGATGCAATCAAGACTTTGACGACACGGACAACAAGGATGACACTTGTAGCTTCCATCCTGGTCATCCCGGTAAGCTTGACAGTGACCGCCGCCGTCGTCGGTGGATCGCTGACATTCAGATTTCGCCACAAAAGTCTTTCATGAGGGTCTCAAGTCATACGCCTGCTGCAAAGACATCAACAAGCGTCCGTCCCAGAGCTGGCCTCTCTGTGTGCTTGCTCATCTCTTTGCACTGTCCAGCTGTACTCGACTTCGATGACTTTATGAAGATACCGCCATGCGCGACAGGCAGTCATTCCAGTGAACCCTTGGAAGTGCCAGCAGCGCCAGCGCCAAAGGACCCTGCTAGTCCAGATCTGGCCAGCAAGCTAGCAGCAGCAGTCGTCGCTGACGAATCATCTGCTCCACAGCCCGTCCTCCTCCAAAGACCGGCGCGTTCAGCAGCAGCGGATGAGTCACCACGAAGTCCTGAACCTGCCGCGGAGCTGGAGCAGGATCCCATAGACGCGTCCGTACAGGCCGGCATGAGATGCAAACGCAAAGGGTGTCCCATTTCAGCCGACGACAGTCTCGACAGAAACGCAGACGAATGTCGCTTCCATCCGGGCGATCCCGTCTTCCACGAAGGCAGCAAGGGCTACAGCTGCTGCAAGAAGCGTGTGCTCGACTTTGGCGATTTTCTCGCGCTGCCCGGCTGTTCCACCTCGCGACATCTCTTCGTAGGCAGGCCGAAGCCAAAGACAATCGAGCCTCTTCGGCTGCGTCATGACTTTTATCAGACACCCAAGACTGTCATCGCGTCTGTCTTTGGCAAGAAAGCTAGCAAAGAAGACTCGCGAGTCATCTTCGAGCAGTGGCAGGTATGTCGCTCTCCTTCATAGGGTTGTCGCAGAGCTGAAAGTATTCGTTCTCAGATGCATGTCGATTTGCGACTGCCGGACGAGCAGCATTATCAGAAGACCTTTTCGCTCTACGGGCCGATCGACCCTATCGCGTCGACCTATGTCGTCCTCGGCACAAAGATAGAGATCAATCTTGTCAAGGCCGATTCCCGAAGCTGGCCTGAACTTGAGGAAGCAGAGGGCAGCAAGACCAAAGCTCAGATCACATTCGGTGTTGCGAACAAGGGTCTCTCGGTCGGGCAGAAACAGATGATTCTGGACGAGACGAATGCACTGTCGCATGCTTAGCTGATAGCGTTTCGTGGTTGCTTATGCCGAGAATGACGCAGCAGTAGTCTGCGTGTCGTCGCCATTTGAGTTGGCTAATCTGAGAGCCCTACGCTGCCATACATCGGCGGCTGCAGCGACGCGGTCTGAGATAGTTCTTACACACGTGTGCTGGCAGTCTGTCGACAAGTTCGTATGCGCCACTTGAGACGCCGGCGATGATGCTGTACGTCCGCGCTGACGAGGCACGAGCACGCGGCGTCGTTGTTGGTACTGATGTGACCCAGACGCGCGCCAGCGAGCACTCGTGAGGACGCTACATCGCGCTGCCTTTCTCGGCCTCATGCGCACCTGTCTCTCGGGCTTCCTTGTCCGGTAGATCAGCCTGCGTCCCTTATCAGACTGGAGTAGCACGGAGATGTCCTTACTGACCAGACAAGGCGCTTGGAAGACCTGAGTGCCGCGGACGAAGCCTATGGCCGTCGGGATCGCTACGAGTAGCCAGAGAGCGAGGACAGCACCGGTCATGATTGTCGCGACGACTTTGAAGAACAAAGAGTCAAAGGCTGACGCGAGCGAAAGCGTCAGGAGCGTCATACTGCCGAGGGGAAAGGTGAAGCTCCACCATCCCATTGAGAAAGTAGTCTCTTTGGGATTCATGAAGCTTTGGCCGACGCTGACGATTGCAAGCAGAGCCCACCACATGCCAAGTCCCCATAGCATCAGGCCGAGCACCAGCCCGCAGCCGTACATTGCAGGGCCGACGGGCGAGAGGTCTTTTCGGCCCGGACGATCTGGGTTTCGAGCGGCTAAAGCGGGAAAGAGCGTCATACAGACTTTGCCGAGTTCGATGAGTGCATAACCTGCCTGGCCGCATGGACCGAGAGGTAGGAAAGTGGAGACGATGACCTCGCGAGCCGGCATATGGTGCATGGTCAGCCTTTCGAAATACAAGGTCAAGATCATAAAGGCCAGGAGGAAGCCTATGCCGAGCATGACGTAGCTTGTCAGTAAGATTGTGAGTGCGTATGACGGGTCATCATCTACGAGATCTGCCGCGATCGAACTGCCAACCGCTGCGACGGTGATGGGAGGGACGACGGGCAAGAGCCAGAGCGCTGTGAGACCTTGCTGGGATTGCTTCTGAAGCGTCATCATGGCGTAAGGTACCGCGGTGGCGGTGAGCATGCTCATGACGAGCGCGAGCCACCAAAGCCCGCTGGCGGCATATACGACATGCGGCAGATTGAACGCGTAACCTTCGACGACGATGCCTGACACGATGGTGACAAATCCCATAGGGATAGTACCAAGAAAGAGCGAATGAGACTCGTGCCTGATCATGACGCCGAAGATGCCCCTGAAGATGATGTAGCGAGACACGTGAGCGATGGAGAAGCAGATGAAGAGCAGCATCGTCGCCACGAGGAAGACGAGGCCGATGTCGCGAAAGACCGCGTGTGTGGAAGGCCAGGGGAGCAAGAAGAGCAGCGTGTGGACGATGCCCGTGCCCATCGTGACAGAGAACCAGCTCGGGGACATCCTGTCATGGATTTCACGGTCAGACGACACCCAAGCAGCGAGAGCGAGCTCACCTGCGGACTCGCTCTCTCGTACCCTTTGCCCGAGCAGTGACGGCAGCTTCGAGCTTGAGGCGCCGCGTGATGGCGGCATCATCTTCGGGTTCGACTTGAGTGACGCAGCTGCTGCTCTGCGCGCCAGACCGGGCCGGCGACGGTGAGGATGCTCTAGCCGGCATGGCAGGCAAATTCGAGCAGAGGCACGCCCGGGGGCGACTGATCGCGTGATGATAATGATCGATTGACCTTCCACGTGTTCGTGCGAGCCGATTGTCTTGCGTTTCGGCGTGTGACAGCGAGAAATGAATTGATCATCACTTTGACTTGAGTCGGTCAACTCATCTCAGCAAAATCAGGCTTACTTGACCCGCAAAGTCAGTCGACATCCTAGAGGAGGCAGTTCGCCGTCACAGAGGAGCCAGTATACGCTCCCCCGGCTCGTCGCCCGCGCTCAGACCGCAACGGGAAAAGAGCCTCGACGACCGAACTCGACGCTGGAACGGCGGCCGTCCTTCGCATGACACCCGCGAGCGATATTCCATAGCTACTTGCTGACGTATTCAAGCGGCAAGTGACCGTGTGAGCGTACAGCCAAGCGGGAAAGATGAGCATGTCGGTCCCGCTTGCGAGCGCTTATGCGACGCCAGAGACTTGTTACCTGCCAGCCTTTGCTTCGCCTCTTCATGAGACAGCGACGGCCACCTCTACCGGTGCACTACTGTCGCCGCGCCAGCCGTCTGGCTCGGCAAAGGGCAAAGCAAAGGACTTGATAGATTATGCGCAGCTAGAAAGATCTCTTCGTCTGGCCACGCTCGATGATGACGCCGAGGTGGCACCGGAGTTCCTCGAGGTCGGTAGCACGACGGCGCGACCATCTGAATGGCTGCAGTCTGTCATCCTGGCAGCTCAAGCAGCCTCCGAGAAGTCTATACCGGTGGCGAGCAGAGCAGCAACACCCGCCTCGACGGCTACGACCAGTTCGAGCGCAGACTATGGAGCTTCACCGGCACAGAAGCTGCCCAGCTATCTACGTCCCAGTGCCTCCGTCGTATCCACCACCTCTTCTTCGTCTCAGGACAGTCAGGCCGCGTCGAATGTGCTCTCGCCGCTCAGCTTACTAGGCGCGCCGTTATTCCCCGATCAACCCCCCGCCAAGCCCGCCATAACTTCTGGCTCAGACACGAACGATCAGATTGCCTCAAAGATGTGGCGCTACTTCACGCGTGCGAAAGACGACGTACCCCAAGGATCTCGCTTAGAAAATCTTTCCTGGCGGATGATGCACATGCAGCTCGGTAAGGACAAGCGAGCGAGCGCCACGCCTGTCAACAGGCGAGCGGCTAGTGCAAGCAAGATTGTGAAGTCGTCGCAACTTGTCATGTCACCGCTGCCAGTTCATTCGCGAAGCCCATCCGCCGGACATTCGCCCCGGCCACTTGTTGACGAAGAAGAGCTCAGAGGCCGGCGCGGTCGATCTGCAGGCACGGGCAGTAGTCCGCGAAGTAGATTGCCCAGCCCAAGGGCGCACGACTATGCCGCGACAGAGCCATCGCCGTAAGTCGTTCATGCAATCTCAGTTATGCATACAGCTGATGCCGCTGTACAGACTTGGCGAAGAAGCAGCGGATAATGTAGGCGCCATGATGGACTGGCGTGCACCCTCGCTCTCTCGATCGCGATCTCGCGCAGGCAATGCAAACCTGAACAATCGGAGAGACGTCTCCATGCAGCGTCTTCCAGAACACAGTCCGGTAGGCACTCGCGGAATCGACGATATCATGGAATGGCGCGCCAAGTCTCGCTCACGCTCTCGTTCTACTATGCGAGCCTATGAATCGCCACAGCTGCGCGCCTACGACATTCAAACATCAATCAGACATGCCCAGGATCAATACAGCCCTGATTTTCTCACTGCTGCCGGCCAAATCCCACTACCACCTGTCATCGATCAGCCAGAGACCGATCTTCACAGAATACTCAATGCGGCCATGGCCATGCCGGACAATATCACGCTCCCGTCGGTTGGCGACGAAACCCCGCTGTCCACTCTGGTGCGTTCAGATGACGACCGGCTAGCAACGCAAGCTCCTGACACGCTCAGTCAGCCCTTATCAGCCGATTTCGCAACGCCGAGCTCATCTGACCCAACGCTCTCGATGCCCTACTCTGAACATCTCAGTCATTCGACTCCCCAGTTGCTCAGCCTGCCCAAGCCTCGTCGAAAGTACGAAGCCTCGCCTTCTCGCAAGAGCGGCAGTATACCCGGACTTGCAGACGAAGCCTCTCTGAAGGAGAACTTTGACGCCGAATACGGTTTCTTGCCCCGTTTGGTTCGCAAGACGTCCTTCGACGAGACTTACGTAAGCTCGGGCCTTCTGCATGCTTACAAAGACCTGACTGGCCTCTCAGACTGCTTCGCTCGCCCATCTCGCGGCTCGGCAGGGCCACCCCGATCTCTTGACACAAGGTCGCGAGGCGACTGCTCCTGTCGAGTCGCCTACGTCACTCCGTGCCCGGCACAACCGTGGCCAGACAGTCGATTCCTCAAGGATGACATCTGTCATGCCTGCCTCCCACGGGTGGACACATGCGCCCGATGTCCACAGACAGCAAGCGAGACTGAACACCTATTCTCTCCCACCGACGCCTGTACGCGAGATGTCAGGCTTCATCTCCGAAGTTCCCTTCATTCAGCATCATCAGCCTTCGGCCTTCGGACCGTCGTCAAATCAGTGGCGCTACCCGGGCACGCCAGGCACTGATATTTACGGCCTTCCTGACGCTACGCAAATGGGACCCAGCTCAGGCCTACACGCACAGCTGCCCGCGAGCAACCTAGGCTCGTATCAGGCGCCAGTCTACGCCACAAGCATGTTCTCGTCATTGTCGATGCCCAGCATGCCTTTGTATGGTTCCTTCAGTGCTGTACAGGCGGGCGAACAATCTGGTGGGCCTGTCTCGCCGAATCACTTTCATCCACTGCTAGGGATGAATGCGCCGAACGTAGAGCAACACCTCGATCTTCCGCATGACCAGCAGCGATCGCTCATGTCTCCGGCTGTGATAGAGGAGGATGATCTGTTGGCTATTGCTGGCTCAACGCACGTCGACCCCTCAGTCATCCATCGTGATCACATCGCTGGCATTCGAATGAATGACAGATCCCGTCCAAGGAGTATGACGCAGCCGAGTATGGCTCAGAATAGCGATACCTCTTACTTCAGTGGCTCTAATAATGACACGACATCGCCTTGGCTGCAAAGCCCAGCGAGCTCTCTTGCGGACTCGATTACCTCGGGAGACTCGACCAGCTTTGCTCACCGGACCACGCGTCTCGACTCGCCTAAGATGACCTCGACAGAATCTGACATCGGCCTCGCGGTGCGCGCTCAAGCAGCTCGAGCAGCTGCTCAAGATTCGCGGAACGCGCCTCGTAAGCTTGGCGCTAGTCTTACCAAGCCAAAGGAAGTCGACGTGCGTGGCCCGCGAACTGCAGAAGCAGTCAAGAAGGCTGTGACTCCCGCCATTGACGACAAGTCGACGGTTTGCATGAATTGCAAGACCTCAGTGAGTTGCCCGTTCTCACGCATGTTTTTGCTGACGTTGCTCCGCAGAACACGCCTCTGTGGCGCAGAGATGAGCTCGGTCAACCTCTTTGCAATTCTTGCGGTCTCTTCAAGAAATTGCACGGCGTCAACCGCCCCCTCGCTTTGGCGACAGGCGTAATAAAGAAACGCAATCGTCGCTCAACCAAAGATCTGGTAGTCAACGGCAAGAAGGCAATTCAATCCGCGCAATCTCTTAGCAGTCTCAAGGCGAGTAGACGACAGTCAACGATGCCTTATCCTCTCTCTGGAGTCAGTCCCGGCAGCACGGCTGCATCGCATCGTCGCGCTGTATGAAAGCTGTCAAGATCAGGTCTCGTGCATGTAGACTTTTGTAGGCATACCCAGCAGTAGAGTGTAGATATGCATAGTGCTTACTGTGACAGCGAGAGCAAGTAGGCTACGCAAGTAGATTGCATTGTGACTCGAATGCTACAACGTAAAATGCAGAAAATTTTTCAACATCAATCAGCGTCAGTGTCCATCAAGCAAGCGGAGCGAGTCACTCCAGAACATCAAAGGTCGCGAAGTCGTCAAAGCTGGGTTCGAGGTTGAGGTTGTGAGTGTAGTGCAAGAGAGGATCGGCGTTGATGTCCAGATCCGCAAGACTCGCAGTGAATGTGCTGGTATCTGTGTAACTGTCAGGTGCATAGAGGTCATGTGTGGGTAGTGAGGGATCGGCCTGGCTAAGCGACAAGGCACTCATGCCGAGCGCGGGCGAATAAGGCGCGAACCGCTTTGCGTTGGCGCTGCTTTGCCTCGGTCGCGCATAAGCAGCGGTGCCTGCCATCGCTGGATCGTATAGAGACTGTAGAGATCCGACAGAGCCGTGACTCTGCAAAGAGATGAGTGAGGGTGTCGACGTCATGCCAGGCGTTTCGCCGTACGAGTCGTGTGATGACGAGGCAGATATCGACCTATTGCTCAATTGATGTGGTAAGATGTATGGCCTTCCGGTAACTGACTCAGACATGCTCGAGTCAGTCGCCGATGGGGGGATCTCGTCGAGGCTCAGATCACCCGTGAGCGCTTCTCGTGTGAGTAACTGCGGCGAAGTGCCCGCAAATGATGGCGACAGCGTCGTAGCGGGCGATGTCGATGCCATCTGGGGCGGCGAGACGGAGTCCGATTCTGATTTGTTGGGCGAGCTTCCAGAAGCCTCGGGCTGTGCTTGACGAAGGGCCTTATTGCAGCTACGCACGAGTAGGTGTCGCTTTAGAGCATCTCGACGGCTGAAGGACTTGTCGCAGTATGCGCAGGGAAACGGCTTGACGGCAAGATGTATGCGCTTGTGACGCTTCAAGTCATGGTTACGATTGAATGACTGAGCGCATTCGTCGCATTTGAAGGGACGATCCTGTTGCGGTCTACGTTTGCGATAAGTGGGTAAACCACGTGCTGAGCAAGGAAAAACATACTCGGGCGCTACCTCCACGTCTGGCTGCTTACTATCGTAGCTGAAGTACGTACTCGCAGGCTGCGTGATAGGTGGCAGTGCAAGGTCGGACACGCCGGCAGCTATCTCGCTGCTGGGTGCCGTTGGGGGCAGGTCGAAGTAGCTCGGCGTCGCTCCTGGGTGCATATGGCTGTCCGCGGGGGGTGAGAGCATGCCATCATTCTCGAGGGGCGGTGAGAGTATCGGGTACATGGGCCATGACGTTCGAGACTGGGTGAAGCGCGATTGCTGATAGATCGAGGATGTCATCTTATCCTGAGGATGCTGATAAGGCGAGCCGCTGTTGTGACCATGGTAGGGCGAGCTGCTGCCACTGTAGGGTGAGTTGGCGCCACTACGGCCGATGGCGGTCAGGTCGCTCAGACTGGTCGATCGGCCGTGCAAGGACTGTCTGGCTGGCGTGGGGGAGGCAGAGACTGTGTGACCCAATTGTATAGAATTTGGCTGCGTTCTGGATCGAAAGTGATTTCGGACTGGCAAGCTCGAAGTGGGATCCGGGCCAGGGTAATTGTTCCACTTGAGCTGTAGCGAGGTGGGTCCAAAGGCGCCCACGGCGTGCGATGCCATTGGTATAGTGGGATCTGCAGTCGTGCCGGCATACGATGTGGCTCCTAGATTGTGCTGACATGCCATCGCTGGGGGACCTCTCAGTCCGTGGACATCTACTGGACATGGTCACTCACAGCCAAAGGAGCCCGGCAGTGACGCTCGTCGATCGAACGTGGGAGGCAAACTCTGAGCTGGCCTTGCACAGACATCAGACCCATCGCTGTCCTGGAAAGACGCATAGTGTCGTAGCATCCTTGCAGATCGGTCGGGCTACACAGTACGGCTGCAGGATGATGTCGACGGTGGTGCTCTCGATAGACACGGCCTCTTTCGCTTTTTCTGCAGAGCCTTTCCTTCGCGCGGAGTCCGAAGATAAGGTAAGCGGCCTTGCTGAGCCTTGGCCTTGGCTTGGCGGTCCGTACTTGCTCCACGGGCTGAGGTCCGAGCTTGGCAGACACTGCGCTCGTCGTCGCGCCGGACAGGTCCCAATCGTCTTCTCCGACCGCTCTGCCTCTGGACGACAGCTTCGGACTGGTGCGATAGTCTTGGAGGGACCCACTCTTCGAGTGCCCGTTCTAATATGGGCACAGGTGGAGCCACATTGATGACATGCTTGCTCTGCGCCCACCGACCCCGTCTGTCTTGGGCTCGTGAGGTCTCCCAGTTCCTGAACGCAAGGATCGCCAATGGATAATACAGATCGAGTGTCCGGCAGATCGTCGTTACTGACGATCCTTTGAAATCATCAGCGGAAAGTTGGGAACTCCGAAGCGCGACTCTCACGCGAAAATACTCATGCATGTCTTTCGCGGGCGATCGCGCGCTTGACTTCTATGTCGCCCGTCCCGTTGAGAGCAACGCTGAGCGAAAGTTCTCTCTATCGGTTCATCGCGTGCCTTTGATGCTCTAAATCGAACCTTGACGGCAAGACTTGCTCGTAACACAGATCTTCATAGGATCTGCACGCATGCTCGGGCACCTCCGTTCGTGGCTGGCGCCGGGCTCCGTTCCCGTGGAAGAGGCGCACTTTTCTCACGACTTTCACGCGCTCCTTGGCATAACGTCATCGCCCGTCTATCAGGAGAAGTAGCTGAACCAGTCAAACATACACGCGCAAGCAGACACCTCCGCACGCACACCTACATAGTCAGTAACCCACAATGGCAGACCCAGCAGCTCAGCAAGGCGCTACGGGCGGTGGCATGGACAAACGTCTGTGCAAACCGCTGTGTTGATGGAATGTCTACTGACTCCTCGCACAGTCGACAGTGCCGTCGACGGCGCCATGAAGAAGACTGGTCATGGCGGCTCACGGGCCACGACGGAGAAGATCTCCGACGGAATCCGTACTATGTTCAAGAAGATCACGGGCAAGCAGGTGCCGATAGAAGACAGTAAGCATACAGGCCATCGAGTTTGTCCAGGCTGAGCGCTGCATCACAATGACAGAGAACTAGGGTTTACCTGTGCTACTAGTCGCTATTACGGATGTTGTCACGGACATCGAGCATTCTGTCCATAATCTATCAATTCATCTAGGGGGCGCTCGTTGAGATATCTCGGAGTTCGTTATCTCGAGATCTGAAAAGGCGAACCAGTCTGCACTCGGCGATCAAACGACAAGAGCAATATCAGAATGTCCGCACAAGCAACACAAGGAATGAGTCAGGGCGCCACGCAAGGTGCTGCCCAAGGCGCTGCCCAAGGTGGTCAGATGGACAAGCGTAAGCCTGAATTTATGAAATTGTTGGGTCGTGTGACTGATGCAAGCGGTCTGTCAGTTGATTCGGCTGTGGACACGATCATGAAGAAGACGGGTCACACGGGCAATCGACAGACGGTCGAGAAGATCAGCGACGGCATTCGCTCCATTTACAAGAAGATAACAGGCAAGAACATTCCGATAGCGGATCAAAATTAGACTCATCGGCGTCACCCTATACACCACATGTAATCGAGCCTATACTTGTCTGTTGTGCTGCACGGCCTCATCACTCTCGTCAGATGACAACAACATTGCAATGACATATGCGATGCGGTCTATGATGCCACTCTATCGTTCTTTCTTCTCATCCTTTGCTTGCTCGCTCTTCTCCGAGTCTTCGCGTTGACCATCGACGAATGACCAATATTGCTTGCTTTCGCGTCGATAGACTGCACAGAGCCAGACACTGCCTGCGCATGCCGGACTGAGATAGAGTAGCGCCGGTTGAGCAGCCTTGAAGACGTTCATGACGCCAATGGTGACGACCAAGCCGACGATGTACGCTACAAAGCAGGTCACAAAGTAGGGACGTGGATAGCGAGCAGCGAAACCGTCGGAAGGTGTGACCGGCAGATTTGCTGCTCTGATGCTCGGCTCGCCGATTTGCTTCTGAGTCGCCGTTGCGACCGGGCCAAGGGCTTTCGCGACAGCTTGCTCAAAGTCGAAACGCTGAGCGAGAGCTACAAAGATGCCGGGAATCACGATATCGCCTGTCGATCGCAAGGAGAGATTAGCATATGTGTGCTTAGCCCGTGGTTGCTCTAACCTAGGCCGAGCATAGTAAATCCGGAATCAGCGGTTAATGACTTTGGCCAGACGATCTTGATAGGCGCTTCAAAGTTCGTGGCAACAGACACCATGACATCTGTGCCAAAGACCCACCAGACTATCCGAGACGTCAGCTCATGGCCACTTCATGGCTGGGCCTGACTTGCTGTCGTATAGGAACAGCCCGGCAAGCAGAAGTGTGCCCGTCTTGAAGGAGTCGAGGCGCATGAGCGAGATAGCATTGTACGAGAAACTGAGAGCGAGCAAGTTTGACAAGATCCAGTGTCTTGTGTAAAGCTGTGCCGCGGTAAAGATGATCGAGAACGCAAGACAGCCGAGATGAAGGTATGAGAACACAAAGCTGAACTCCTCTGCACGGCAAATGTCAGACAGCTCGGCAGATGACAGCAACGTTGCAGACCCTGGCTGCCCTTGGTGAGACGAAGCTTATAGCGGTTCTCTTTCTTGGCCTCTCCGATTGCGGCCTTGCCAAAGTAGACGAGCATCTGGTGGTGCGATGTGTCAGCTCTGCGTGCTGCAGAGGGAGGAGGTGCGGCAGCCCACTCTCGCAAATCCTAGGACTCCAAAGACGGCAAAGTAGGCACTGATGAGCTTGTTGATCATATCTTTGTCCAAGTACTGTCAACGTCGCCATGACGGTCAAGCTGGCCACGTCTCCGTCAAACAGTCACAGGTCAGCTCACCTTGAGCGCGAGATACATGGTGAGCAGCACAGCACTACCGAGGATAGGGAAGAGCAGGGCGTCAGACGATGTCAGACGGTCAATGTCACCTTCATCTTCGTCGTCATCATCATCATCATCAGCCTGAGCATCTGCGTCAGATGAGGCGCCGGCTGATACTGCCTTTGCAGCTTTGATAGCCTTCTTGACACTCTTGGGAATCTGTTCGTACGAGCGCGAATCGTCGTCAGTCGTCGCTAGACTGCTCGGCCAAACTGGGCAACGCACGCGGATGGACGCCTGAGCGCCAAAGTAGATTGGCAGCAAGGCGGACAAGAGTATGGCTGCGTGCGCTTGGAGTAGCGAGGCGTCGAAGCTGAGCGTCATGCCAGTCTGTCGTGTAGGACGAAGACAGGCTCGGTGATCAAGCCTTGGACTGGTGCACGGTGGGGGAAGGGCCAAGTAGAAAGCTTATGACACGTCGCGTGTCGCGAATCGACATGACGCTTGATCGACAGACGTTGACTCAGCGGGACAGATGACGATCAGCGAGCATCAAGTCCGCTCTCTTCTTCATCTCTGTCCTTGTCTGATCAGATTGTGAGTCAGGGCGACATCAGACTCTCGTCTGAGCGTCATAATGCCAGCGTGACCGTCAACACCTTTGGAGCTAGTTTACACTCCTGGAAGACCTCTGTCGACGCCAATGACGGCACCGAGCATCTCTTCGTGAGCTCAAAGAGCAAGCCAGGGGGTCCCAAACCGATCCGCGGAGGCGTACCCGTCGTCTGGCCCTGCTTTGGACCGCCAGACCCCGCAGAGGAGCAATTCAGTCGGTTGAAGCAGCATGGTTTCGCTCGCAACTCGGTCTGGAAGCATCTCGCTAGCGTCAGCGAGGGCTCTTCTGACGAGCTCGCATTCGAACTGACTTCGACAGACGAGATTCGAGCAATCTACGCGCTGCCCTTCAGGCTCGTCTACGTCGTCAGGATCATCTCGCCCGCATCCATCTCGACATCTCTGACCGTACAACACCTAGAAAGCGGCAGCGAAGATATGAATTTCCAGGCTCTGCTGCACAGCTACTGGTCAGTGGACAATATCCAAGAGACCAGCATCAATGGCTTGCACAATCTAGACTATAGCGACAAGACCAGAGACCAAGCACATTTCACCGAAGCGCGCGAGGTTGTCGCCGCGGAAGGCGAAACAGATAGAGTGTACTTTGATGCTCCGTCGAGCAGCGTCGAGCTGCGCACGGGCAAAGGCAAGCTCGCCTTTACGTTTGACAAGCTACAAGATGTCGTTGTTTGGAATCCGGCAGCAAAAGTGAGCGATGGCATGGCAGATATGGAACCAAATGGCTGGCAGCGCTTCATCTGTGTAGAACCGGGGTGCATTGCCAGCAAAGTCATGCTGAAGCCCGGCGAATCCTGGACTGGCTCCCAGACGATCACTTATACTGCAACGTAGAGTCACCGCATAGATGCAAGCCTTTACACGATTCATTCATATAATTCATATAACAACAAGTAATGATTTGCCCCCGAAGATCCTCTACCACCAAGCTTGATCGCCTGCTGCAGGCCGAGCGGGCCCCGCTGTGTCTGCACCTGAGAAGTCAACAGCGCGCTCCATTGTGGGCTGGCCGGTGGCTACGCTCTCGTCTTCTATGCTATCCATCGGAGGGCTGTGACTGCCCATTGTGGATATCATCGGAAACGAGCTCGTCGCACTCATCCCGTCTGCCTCGCCAGGTGAGCGATCCGAAAATGGATCCTGCGCGAAGAAAGGATAGCCCGTTGCTGTCTCTCTTCCAGACGTCTGCGACATGGCGCCATATGCGCCGAGTGCTGCAGGAGCAGCGGTGGCCCCACCGAACGAGGCATCTGAGATACGCTGTTGTTTCTTCCGTCGCCGAGCGCCGAGCAGGAGAAAGGCTAGCACGCCGAGCGCGACGACGAGTGCCGAGCCCACTAAAGCAGGCACGAGTGCTTTGACAAGCGTGTGGCTATCTCGCATGTCAGCAGCTGCTGCTACTTTGCAGGGGAGCAGGACGTACTCTTGCACGCCAGTGTCGGCAGGAGCTAGGATGCTCGGACGGCTTGTGCTGCCTGGTGCGTTTGACGCGAACGCGCCTGTTGCAGCGACGCTGATGGCGCTGGCGATGCTTTGACTCGCGGCCGCTGCAGAGTTTGTCACCGTTGAAGTGCTCGTATTGCCAGTCGCACCGCTTGCATTCGCTGTGGCAGAAGCCTGTGCGGAAGCGTTGCCCGCATTGCCTGAGCCAGATGCGCCAGTGCTTGCGGCACCGGGCGCCGCTCCGACGTTCGAAGGGTTGGTGCTACTCGAAAGCTCGCTCGCAGCCATGCTCGCACTGCTACCACCAGAGTCCGAACTTTGGCCACCAGAGCCGTTGACATTGCCACTACCGCCAGTGCCGGTGCCGGCGCCAGAATTGCGGCCGGAGCTATCGCCACCTGCGTCTGCAGTGGTCGCGCTAGAGCTCGCATCGGCGGATCCGCTGGAATTTCCGTTGCTTGCTGAGCCAGACTCGCTCGTCATAGCTGAGCCATCTCTTCCTGCCGATGAGCCGGCCGAGCCTGTCGCCGGACTGTTTGATCCGGACTGTGAGCCAGAGCGATCCGGGTGACTCTGTCCGGATGCTGACCCACTCGAGGCCGTCGCGCTTGGTCTGGCGATGCTGGAGTTGGATACATGACCGCCATTGCGATGGCCATTGCTGCCGTTGTTCTTTGTACTGCCTTTGCTGTGCTTATGTGATGGCCTGCTGCTTCCCGCAGAATGCGAAATGTGCGGACGGGCAGGATGGTGTGGCGCGACAGCATGCTTGTGACTACCTGTTGTGACGTTCCGGTGAGGCTGAGGCCTGAATATGCATGTGCAGTGTCCCAATTCTGTCCTCGTCAGTCTGTGTTGCTTTTGATGCCTTGAGGGTCGGACTGAACCAGGACAGTCGGGGAGCTTTCGTCGCTTCGTGCTTCGGGGCAGGATGATGTCGTCAAGTAGTAGGTGCGTGGCGTCTCTCTTGACGTGCCCATCACGGCTGTGCATCAATTGAGACTCGAAGCAACCTTTTTGCTCGTCTTGGTGGCGATGGTGAGAGGCTTGTGAAGAGCTGCCAAGCCCGTGCGCTCGCGTGTGCTTGTGTGACATGTCGGCTGAGTTCTGACTGCTCCCAGCGGGTGTATGTTGCCTTCAGGGCCTCGAGGTGGCCGGCATGGTCGTCTGCGCCCGTTGGCAGGCCTTGTAGAGTGGCAGGGAAGGCATCGACTGCGCCGTAGAAAGAAGTCAACAAGGGACGCGTTTGTTCTTCTTCCCGCGTCGGCCAATCACGCGCAGGCAGAGCGCATCAGCGCATGCTGGCTGGTCGAGCACTGGCACTGGCTCCTGTCGGCCATCATGCAGCGTCGGTCCAGCACGGCCGGAGATGGCTTAGCAAGGCATCGGCGACGACGAGCGAGACGCTGCGTCAGCTGATGACCCGGCTTGCCCAACCTGTCGTCATCCTCACGTGTGCGCTCGATGATGGCTCCCAGCGAGCAACTGTGTCTGGCAGACATGATCATGGCGCAACAGTCTCGAGCTTCACGTCTGTCGCTCTCGCACCCGTGCCTCTGGTCTCGTTCAGCATGAGACTGCCGTCTCGCTTGGCGCAACAACTGGGCGCAGCGCCTACTGCCGACTTCAGGGTGACCCTGCTCTCCGATGCGCAGGCTGATCTGGCGAACCGCTTCGCGCAAGGCACTTTCCGATCAGATGACTTTGAAGCGTTGCAGCAGCGAGCTCTTGGGCAGCTCGAATGCTCCATCATCAGTCAGATCGATCTGGCTGCGCTGGCAGAGGACGAACAGCCCGTGTCGACACTCTTCGTCGCTCGAGTGAACCAGGTCAGCCTGGGACAGCGCAATGGCAAGCCGCTGCTCTACTACAGACGGACTTACTCCAGCGTCAATGCCTGATCGCGGTCTCGCCAAGGGCGCTGCAGGTCACAAGCCGCGCATGGTCTCAGCTGGAGGAGCCGGTTCGAGCAGTATATAGCTGAGCCTCGAGGCAAGAGGCGTGAGAGCAGATACGATCACTGCGAGCGGGCAAGAGTCCTAAAAGCACAAATGCACTTGACATGATCTGGCTAGCACGTCATCTAGTCGATAGATCATATCGTCGACGGGTAGAGCATCTGCAGAATGCTCGTGTGAGCAAGTGCAAGCAACATGCAGAGCGAGAGCATGACGGACCACTCGTACGCTCGCGCCGAACGTGTGAGGCGGCAGATTCTTCCTGAACTTGGCCTTGACAATGCCAGAGTTGCCATGTTCTCGTGTGACCTTGCCCCAGATGACCCGAACGCGAGAGCCGTTGGGCGATGGCTTCTGCGCCTTGTAGACGTACGCAACTCGCTAGACCAAGCCCTTGCGCTGTCAGCTCTCTGGCCTAGCTGGTCTCGAGCGGATAGACTGACCTTGCCGCAGTACCAGCGTGCCTCTTGGTTGTTGGCGACACCCTCGATTTGGATGAGCGAGGTGTTCTCCCTCTGATTGCGCTTGGCACGCTTGAAGCCTTGAACGCGGCCCTTGGCGTACAGTCTGCAGAGGACGGCGAGTCAGCGCCTGCTCTGGTGTTCTCAGGATCCAGTCGGGGACATGAACACAGGGGACCGTGCGAGCGTCGACGTTGTGAGCGGCGCTGCAAGTCGGCGTGCGGCTGCACAGTACGGACTGCCACGCCTTGCTCGGCGCTGTCTGCGAGTGCCAAACGGTTGCAGGTGCGGAAGTTGACCTCGTCGGCAGAGCATCGGAGACTAGACGAGACATTGTGAAGCGAAGGAGCGATCGATCTCACCTTGGTCCTGCTGCCATCTCTGAAGCTGTTCACTCGGCAGACGTTCGTCGCCTGACTTGAGCCACGCGAACGACGTTTACTGTCTCTCAACCCTTGACGCGCGCGTGAGAGATAGAAAGGGTGAGCCACTTGTTGCGCCGACGACGTGAGCAGCTCACGAACATGTCTGCGAGCAACAAGATCTTGCGAACGGCCAATGCGCCCCGCGTGAGCCCTACCGAGCTCGAGCTCGAGATCGGACAGGCTCTGTTGGACCTGCAGAACAGCGTCGCTGATCTCAAGTCAGTCTGATCGTCGGAAAGGCTGTCTCGCTCGTCACTGACGCCCGGCTTGGCAGGGTCGAGCTCGCACCTCTGCAATTCTCTGCGGCCAGAGAGATTGAGGTCAAGGGAGGCAAGAAGGCCATCGTCATCTTCGTGCCCGTCAACCAGCTCAAGGCGTTCCACACGATCCAGTCTCGCTTGACCCGCGAGCTCGAGAAGAAGTTCTCTGACCGTGCAGTCCACTTCATCGGCCAGCGCAAGATGATCAGAAAGCCGACCCGCAAGTCTCGCTCGAAGCAGCAAAGACCGCGATCGCGCACGCTCAAGGACGTTCACGAAAAGATCCTCGAGGATCTAGTCTACCCTACCGAGATCACGGGCAAGAGGACACGCCAAGCTACCGACGGCTCGAAGCTCATCCGAGTGTCAGTCCCTCTCTGGACTGAACGAGACGGGGTCACTGACAGGCTGGCTACGGTTTGACAGTTTCCTCGACGCCAAGGATGCCACCTCGCTCGAGTACAAGCTCGACTCGTTCTCGTCTGTCTACAACCGTCTGACGGGCAAGAACGTCGCCTTTGAGTTCCCTGCCGGTGAGGCATAGACCTTGTTGGCGAAGAGAGATGCATTGTATCAACCGTCTTGCAACTCATGGCTGCCTGCCAAACGACGACGCTCTGCGGTCCAACGAGCGTGTGCATCATGACTATCCTTTACAGCTTGAGGTCAGACGCGGGAGTCTATTGACCCTTGCGATCGGTGACGTTCTTCTTGGCTTGCTCTCTTCGAAGCATGGCCATCTGTTTCTTCTTGGCTTGCGCGTTGAAGAAGCAGCCGAGCACGAAGCTGACTGCGTTGAAGAAGGGCACTGTTGTCAAGTCAGCTAGGCGCGCTACTGAAGCTTGGTCACCTGACCCCAGGTTTCGGGCGGCAAGAAGCGTTGAGCGATGACGAGGCAGAGCGGAGACACAACCCAGCTGATCTGATCACGCGAGCACGTCAGCTGTAGCTGACTTGGAGCAGCGCAGAGACTGACCCGCATGAGAGGCAAGAAGGCAACTTTGACAAAGCGCAAGACAGCGTCAGGCGAGCTCGCGCCGTTGATGACAGCCATGGCCGCAAGATAGACTGCTCTCTCGCGTAAGCATGGCACTGACAGCAGTTCGTTGCGACCGACCTGAGTTCTGAATCGGCGAGACGACGATGTTGCTCGCGAGGATCATCCCGATCTTGCCCTTGGCGCCTTCGACGCCTGCAAAGGCCTTTTGAAGTGCATTGAGGAGTGCATGACCAAGCGGTGCGGAGATCAAGAAACCTGTCACGCGGCAGTGAGCCCGGCCGGGCAGACAAGCGACTGTCCAACGTACCGTAGATAGCGAGCTTGACAGCACGTTCGTTGGCCTGTCCTTGCACGTCAGCTCGCCATGCGATATAGCCCAGCTGGAGACGGCACTCTGAGGATGTCAAGAGGGGGCAGGCCTGTGCGTTTGACTTTCTGCTCGTCGCACGATCAGCAGCGGCTTCAGCAGGCACCGCGAAACGCACTACGGGGGGGACTCCGGCGAGTCGTCCGGCGATGATCTCTTGGAAGAAGCTGTACCGAGCAAGTTGGGTCAATCCGGGGAAGCGCACACTTTGGCGGGCAGGGATCCTCACGAGAGCGTGCCGGCGGTGCAGGCTTTGGTGAACAGTGGCCGGGCTGCAAGGTGTCCGAGGTACCAAGCGAGGGCGGGGTTGAGCTTTGCGGGTGTCTGTGTGGCCATCTCGGCTACTCCTCGCTGACTTGAGCCGAGTCAGCTCGTCGACGCGCCGGGCACCTCCACTGTCGTCACACGGCGAGCAACGATGGGACGGCCGGCAGGTGCGGGTCAGGAGCAGGTAGGCCAGCGTTGGGACAGCTCGACTGCTTGCTGATGGCGCTTGTGCAGAGCTTGACGGTCGTCGACAACCGGACAGGCAAGAAGTATGAAGTCCCGATCAAGAACAATGCGATTCAGGCGACCGCTTTCAAACAGATGAAGGCTCCCTTTCTGACCGGCGAGCGCAAGGAGAACGAGACCGACACTGCCGGTCTCCGAGTCTTCGATCCCGGCTTCATGAACACGGCCGTCCTGGAAAGCAAGATCACGTTTATCGACGGAGGCAAGGGCATCCTGCGCTATCGAGGCTATCCCATAGAGGAACTCGTCGTCAAGTCATCTGGCTTCCTTGAGACGAGCTATCTGCTCATCTGGGGCGAGCTGCCGACCAAGCAACAGCTGAACAACTTTGAGCGCGAGGTCTTGCACCACACTTTCGTCCATCAGGATCTGGAGCGACTCTTTGCTGCCTTTAGGTACGACTCTCATCCGATGTCCATCATGGTCTCTGCCTTTTCCTCGCTCGGCGCCTTCTCGCCCGAAGCCAATCCCGCCCTGGCCGGTCAGAGGGTCTACACGGATGCAGCAAAGGGCAACCTCAAAGCTTTGGCAGTCATGGACAAGCAGATTTTCAGATTGCTCGGCAAGAGCATCACAATCGCTGCCATGGCCTATCGCATCCGTCAAGGTCGACCTTTCAATAGACCCCCAGCGGGTCTGAGCTTCGTCGGCTCTTTCCTCTGGATGCTGGACTACCTCAACGGCGACCAGAAGGATTACACGCCTCATCCGGTTCTGGAGAAAGCCCTCGATGTCCTGTTCCAGCTGCACGCAGATCACGAGCTCAATGCCAGCACGGCGACCATGCTGCAAGTCGGTTCGACGCTCGCCGATCCCTATTCCGCTGTCGCAGCAGCGACAGCCGCACTCTACGGGCCGTCTCACGGCGGTGCGAACCAGGCAGTCATCGAGATGCTCATCAAGATTGGCTCTGTCGACAAGGTGCCCGAATTCCTCGAGCGCGTCAAGCGCAAGGACGCAATCCTGTCCGGCTTTGGTCATCGAGTCTACAAGACGAGCGATCCTCGGTCTCACATTGTACGCAAGATTGCGGAAGAAGTCTTTGAGGTCACTGGCAGGGATCCTTTGATCGATATTGCGCTCGCACTGCAGGAAGCTGCTAGCAAAGACGAATATTTCACCTCTCGCAACCTTGCTGCCAACGTCGACTTTTTTACAGGCCTCATCTATCGCGCAATCGGAATCCCATCGGACTACATGACTGTCTTGTTTGCGATTCCCAGAGTGTAGGTCTGCCTCTGATCAGGCGTATGCGTCGATTGACACTGCGCACAGAACGGGCTGGCTTGCGCATTGGCGTCAGATGATGTTAAGCAGTGGCGGCTCCGTCAAGATCTGGCGTCCACGACAGGTCTATACCGGTGAGACTCAGCGCGATTGGGTCGATATTAAGGATCGACAATTTGACGACAAGAGCCCTGCGGCTCAGCCGACCGCAGTCTCCCACCTGACATCCATCCGTCAATCGCTTGCGCAACAGGCCAAGTCAAAACTCTGATCACGACAAGCGTTCTGTTGGTGGTGTACATGTAAGCTACAGATTATATACAGGTAGCAAACGTGAGAGCGTGACTGATTGACGGCAAAGCGGGCACTCGGGCTTCTCCCGCGCCCAGCCGACGATACATTCCCAGCAGACTGCAGGGAAGATCAGCGTCGGTAGACACAGTGGAACGATACACATACACGTATGACCACATTCTGTGCTCGCTGGATCTCTGCGAGGACCAAGACAGAGTGTACATCTTCGGGCGTGACTGTCCTCCGGCTCGGCATCTGCGTCCTCCTCCGTCTGAGCTTCCTCTGCTTTCTCTGCTTGGTTGTCTGCGTCTGGATCAAAGGTCATGATGCTAGCCGGCCTGCCGTCCACTGTGGATGGTTCGCGCTTCGCTTTTCTGGCTTCCAATGCCTTCTCCTTTGTTGCTGCCTGGAGCGCTGCCTGCGTCTCGCTTTCGGCCGGCGCTCTCATTCTGCGCAAAGTCATCATGCCGAGCCGGATGCTGATCTGCAGTGCCATGAGGACGCCTAGTACCTCGTATGACGGTGGTGAGCCGCCGGATAGTGGCTGCCTTGATTGGGTCGACAGATAGCGAACTCGGGTCAATCGCTTCGCGAGATGATAGTAGCGGCCGAAGAGGTAGAAGAATGTTAGATGGACCGCCCGGATGTGCTTGCCTGTCAAGTCCTCAAAAGTCGGTAGCTCGTTCTTGAGCAGCCAGGATGGCCACCTCGTTCGGACGGGTACATTCTGGGGTCTCGAAGTAGATGCAAAGAGTGTGGCCGTTTGCTCTTGCGTGCGAGCGCCGTCTGATGCTGCACGTTGTGCCAAGGCTTCGCGCGTCGCGTTGAGCTGTCTGCGTAGACTGGTGTAGAGCTTCGCGACGAGATAGGGCGCGAGGACGTGCAACATGACGAGGGTAGCCCGCCGCTGCTCGGAGGAGCATAAGCTGGTTGTACTGCCCTTACAAGCAGATGACACACCCTCGTGCTCGGGAAACGGTGGTCGTCTGCGCCATACTGCATTATGTCGCAGTACTCCTCGCCGAGCGTTTGGCTCCCTGAAGAGTCCTGTATCAGCTCGGCTGGCACATCGTGTTCTAGTGAGTCACCGAGCAAGGTCGTGAGTGAAAAGTATGACAGCTTGGAAGCGACGGTGACCTCGCCGGCAAAGCTCTGGAGCCATCGCGTGCCTGTCGCGATTAATTGAGCGCGTCCAGGGCTGCAGGCCAGATCTGACCGACCCATGACGGTGCGCACGACATTGTCAACTTGCTCCTTCAGTTCGGCGAGGTAGTAGAGATCCTTCTGGTTCGCTCGTACTGCGCGAAAGATGAATCTGACATCTCGCTGGCTCGACAAAGCAGCCTACTGATTTCCGGTTGAGCACCGCGGGGGAAGAAGAGCGATGAGCCCGTCCCTGGCAAGCGATAGACTCGCTCGCGCTCTCTAGCATCGTCCTCAAGGGTCGGCGCAACCTCTGAATTGCCGAGATTGCCGCGAGTGTTTGACGGATCCGAGAGAGGCCGCTCTGCCGTTGAGTCTTCCTGCACCGTGTCCGTTGTCACACTGACGCCGGGGCTGATGGAAGCTGGCTTCGAGTCTGCCATGCTCAAGCGGTCAAGCGCCGGCAAGACCCCGTGGGTGATCGACGACAGCAGGATGACACGTCAGCAGATTCTCGAATAGTTTGTTGGCCCAGAGAGATTCGAAGCACGCCGACGAGTCTCTGATCGAGCGAATGAGGCCGCCGTGCTCATGCGCAAGCATCATAGCGCGAGTAGAGCGCTCCCGACACGCAGGCCTGCGGACGAGGGAGCCGCAAGCAGCTTCGCCGACGCTGAAGCGGCAATTTTCAGCAAGCCGTTCCTCATCGATCTCTCGACCTGCCAGCAGGCCAACATGGCAGGGCTCTGCCGTCGGACTGCGCGGGAGTAGACATAGACTTGTACAACGTCAGCCGGGCTGCGGAAGCACGATCGAAGCCAGGGTAGGACAGTTTCAGCGTGCACTTACGAAGCAAGCCTCACCCTTTGCGTTTGCAGCGATCATTCCACTCGTCGCAGCCGGCAAGAGCCAAGAACCCCTACGACGTGCTCGGAGTAGACGCCAAAGCATCTACGTCAGACATCAAGAAGGCATACTACGGCGTCAGTACCCTCTCGCTGCCTTGGGCGCGAAAGCTGATCTGACTCGTGGCACTGACAGCTCGCAAAGAAGTTTCATCCGGACACGAACAAGGATGCGACGGCGAAGACTCGCTTTGTCGAGATACAGGATGCCTACGATGCAGGTCCCTTCCTTCCGATGGAGTCGTTGACGCTGACGTGGAGATGCAGACACTATCCGACGATAGCAAGCGATCCGCGTTTGACAAATACGGAGCAGCATCACAACAGCAAGGCTTCGATGCCGATGCCTACGCAAGAGCGTCTTCCTCTTTCGGAGGTGGGAGCTCACCCTTTGGAGACTTCTTCGCCGGCGGTGGTGCTGGCAATGCGAGCGGCGCCTCCTCAGATCTCTTCGAGAGCCTCTTCGGCGCATTCGGCGGCGGCTCCCGCGGTAGACCGGGTCAAGCAGGACGGAGGAGTCAGCGCGTCGATATGACGGGCAGTGACGTCGAGACAGAGATCACGATTCCCTTCTTAGATGCTTGCAAGGGTACTTCGCGCAAAGTCACCATCCAGCCCGTCGTCAATTGTCACGTCTGCACGGGCTCTGGAACGAAAAAGGGTGCCAAGAAGACGACCTGTAGTGCCTGTCAGGGCTCAGGATCAATGTCCTTTGTCGTTCAGGGCGGCTTCACCATGTCGACGACCTGTCAGCAGTGCGGCGGCGCGGGCGAGTCTGTCAAGCCACAAGACATGTGCGGTACTTGTGGCGGCGTCGGGAAAGTCAGAGAGCGAAAGACAGTCGATGTCGAAGTACCTGCCGGTGTGGACGACGGCCAGATGGTCAGGCTGGATGGCCAGGGCGACGCCCCGCTTGAGGGCTCCGGCAAGCCAGGCCATCTTCTCGTTCGCATCAACGTGATCCCCAGCAAGACCTTCAGACGACAAGGCGCCAACATCTATCGCGACACGACGCTGCCATTCCACACCGCAGTTCTCGGCGGCCGCGCAAGGGTGCCAACGCTCGAGGAAGAGGTGGAAGTCAGAATACCGCCTGGGACGCAGCCAGACGAGGAGATGCTCCTTCGAGGACGAGGCATCAAGAAACTGTACAAGCAGCAAAGAGGCGATCTCCTTCTCAAGTTCAAGATCTCCGTGCCTAGGTGAATACACTGCGAATTGGAAAATTTCTAGAGCTGAAGCCGGTATGCAGATCCTTGACGGCCAGCCAGCGCGCAATACTAGAAGACTATGCTGCCGATATCGAAGGCAGGCCGAAGCCATCTGACACGAAACCGGCAGAGCCTGAGGCCACTGTTGTTGATGGTAAGCCTTGAAGCGTCGTTGCTTGCGTGCGAGATTGCTCTTCAGGTTGAGTCTGATCGCGTGCTTCCAGAGCTCGCTTTCCAAGACGTATGGCAAGCTGCTCTGAAGCAGGCCAGAGCGGAAGTGAATGCGAGTGCGAGCGCACCATCCTCTGCTTCGGCCGCCAAGCCAGAGCAGACAGCTGACCAGCCAAACACTGATGCGTCAAGCACGTCCGACCCGCCCCATCCACCTAGCGGCACAGCACCTAGCGACAAAGTGCATGGGCAGGACGGCCTGATGAGTCGTGCAGGCCGATTCTTGGGCAATATGTTCTGAGCGGCTGAGCGTTAGATTTTGCTGTCTTGTTGAACACCACTCATATTGCAATTATCTGCGACTCCGGCCGTGTCGAGTACATTGCACGGCATCGCGCGATTTGCTCGGCAACGAAAGAGTCAGCTGGTCGCAAGGACGGAGAGACCGGATCCTGCTGAACGTCTATCGATGAATTGTGGTCGACCATTTGCCAGAACGTTGTCCAACTCCAACCGCTATCTTGCTCGACGAGTCTCTGTACGACCTCGTGCCATTGTAGCTGCCAGTTTGGGTCGCCCGAGCGCGTCTCGAGGAGATCCTTGACATCTGCAAGCGCGAGCTGGACTTCTTCGACCTTGTCAATGATCGCTCTGCATACATTCGTGAGGCAATACGAGTTGAGCCAATTGTGATTGATGGACAGGCAAAGATCGAGATTCTCGACTTGGTGGTACCAGCCTGAGGGTACAAAGATGGTCTCGCCCGGAGCTTGCTCGATGATGTACGGGCAGAGACGATGTGCATTCGGAAAAGCTGTCGGGTCGATAGCTCTGTAGTCAAAGATGGTCTGAGAGCCTTGCCGGAGCCATTGCGCTTGGGCAGGTGGAAAGAGCCACCAACGCTTTCGGCCAACGATATTGGTGGACCAGCTGTATGAACAGTAGACGTCGCGGTGGACAGGTGTCAGCGTTCCTGCCTGGCCGAGATAGACGAATCTGAAATCGTCCTTTGTGGTCGACAGATAGTAACGATTGAGCCAATCATCTTCGACGAGATCCAGGACCTCGTAGAAGCTGGACGACAAGCGTGAGTGCTTTTGAGCGGGCGCGACACTGTCTTCAGCCTGGGCGAGGTGCCAGTCCTTGATGTAGAGTGACTGGCCTGCCCCTTCACGCCAGAGAGTGAGCACTTCTGACAGTGTGCGCTCAAGTCGTACGTGATCGCTGAAATCACGCCGGCTGCAGTCTGCCACAGTGACCGAGTGATGTCCGCAGTCTTGCTCGAGCGTGTCCGAGTTCAGCGTGCCATCTTTGCACCGCCAACGTCGAGTGGCAGGCCATCGAGAGACCAAGTGGTGCGATTTAACGATTGCAGGACGATTGCGAGCAAGGCAGTCGAGCGCGAACTCGGCGTAGCCCGGCTTTGCGCCATAGATCAAGGGACAGTCATCCTCGGGAGGCATTCGTTGCTTTCATTGACTGCAAACGGACGAGAACGGGCGGTCGAACGGTCGGGAGGGTCGCTTCAGCGCGCAGAGCAGAGCGAGCAGCGTCGACGACAAAAAGCGAGAGCGAGCCGAGTCGACAGTCAAGCGGGATGGCCATCGGGCTTCAGGGCAGTGGATCGACGGCCAAGGTCTACGTGGTCAATGGCAACCAGTCGAGCGTCTCGCTGCCCGACTGGCTCGCCAATAGCAAAGAGCGCAAGCGCCGCAAAATATCGACTCAGGATGCCGCTGCGTCGATCAGCCTGATCCAGGTCCGCTTGTGGCATCACGATAGCTCCTCCAGGTAGAGCTCATGCTCGGCCGACCAGGATTTTGACTTTCCGCAAGCGTCGAATAAGATCAAGACGAGCCCAGATGGACGATTCATTCTCGCAACGGGCACTTACAAGCCTCGCATGAAAGTCTTTGAGCTCTCAGAGCTGACCTGCAAGTTTGAGCGCACGACTGACGCCGAGAATGTCGATTTCTGCGTCCTTTCCAGCGACTGGACAAAGACACTCCATTTGCAGGCCGACCGCTCCATTGAGCTTCACAACCAAGCGGCTGCTTACTATCGCACCCGAATACCCCGGCAGGGAAGATGCCTTGCCTATCATTTTCCTTCCTGTGACGCTCTGATAGGTGGCGCGGGTAATGAAGTCTATCGATTCAATCTGGAGCAAGGCAGGATGCTCGCGCCTTATGTGCTTCCTGGGTCGAGAACAGATAGCCTCATCACGGGCGTCAATGCACTCGACATCAATCCGGCTCATCAGTTGCTTGCCTTTGGCACCGACACAGCCGAGGGACGGGGCGCTGTCGAATTTGTAGATCCACGCGCCAGGGAAAGGATACGCTCGCTTGCGCTGCCCTATGCGAGCCTTGCATCGACATCATCTGTCGGTACTGCTGCAGCCGTTCTACCGCTTCTTGGCGATGACGAGGTCTCTCAGGCCGAAAGGCCTACCCCGGGCGGGCTGACTGTCACTGCATTGGCTTCCGCGAGCGACGGTCTCAATCTAGCTGTGGGCACTTCGACCGGTCACACATTGCTGTACGATCTCAGATCTGCTTCTCCGTATCTTGTCAAAGATCAAGGATACGGACTGCCGATCAAGAAACTGCTCTGGCTCGAAACGAGACAAACAGGCGATCACGCTCATGTCGGTTCTGCGGACGCCAAGATTGTGAAGATCTGGGACTCAAAGACGAGCAAGAATCTCGTCTCGATCAATCCGCCAGCATCGATCAACGACATGCACGTCTACCCTGACTCGGGCCTGATCATGCTTGCCAACGAAGCTTCGCCGATGACAGCCTGCTACGTTCCTGCGCTCGGTCCGGCACCACGATGGGCTCGCTTCCTGGACAATATGACAGAGGAGATGGAGACAGATCAGGTGCAGACCATCTACGACGATTACAAGTTTGTCGATCGTCAAGAGCTTGCTGCGCTCGGCCTGGATCACCTCATCGGTACATCGAGCTTGAAGGCCTACATGCACGGCTTCTTTGTCGATTTGCGGCTTTACACCAAAGCTCGTGCGATCGCCAATCCGTTCCAATATGCAGAGCATCGCGAGAAGCTCGTCAGGCAGAAGCTCGAGAAGGAGCAAGAATCTCGCATCAGGGCGAGTACGAGGAGACCTGCTGCGATCGCGCCCAGCAAAGTCAAAGTCAATCGCGAGCTCGCGCAGAAGCTCCTCGAACGTGAGCAAAAGGCAGCAGAACAGAAAGGTCGACGTAGCAAGCAGATCGACGGCGCAGGAACGGTTGTCACAGAGCCCGCCTTGCTGTCAGACGACCGATTCAAGAGTCTTTTCGCTGATGATGATTTTGCGATCGATCCCGAATCTCGCGAATATGCTATGCTCAATCCGTCTTCAGCTGCACAGGCAAAGAAAGCAGCAGATGTCGAAGAGGATGCCGAAGAAGAAGCGCTGGCGGAGCAGTCGGACAAAGACGAGTCAGAAGATAGCTCGAAGGACGATGACCTGCTGGGCGGCTTTTACAATCCTCGCGCAGGCCGCGGTCAGGAGACCAATTCGAGGCCGAGAGATCGCCAAAGCGTGCCTGCCATTGACGCGAGAATGCCAAGGATGGCACCTCGCATGGTCAACACTTCGCGAAGGGCAGAAGCTTCGGCAAATAAGACATTTGGAGAGCGATTGCAAAAGACAGGGAAGTCTCGCGACGGACGAAGCATCGCCCGAGGCACGTCAGACGAAGTGCTTGGCGTCCAGCGCCATTCCGCCGATGCAGGCGGTGGTGTGGAATTCTCATTCATTCCTGGCGAAGGCGACTCGCTAGAAAAGGAGAAAAGGAAGAAGAAGGTACCCGCCAAAGCGAATGGCTTCGGCTCAGGCTTGGAGAAGCGCAAGAACGCCGACGTTCAGGACGAATCACTCGAGCTTGGCCAGGCCGAGGCGTCGGGCAGGACTGCGAGGCGAAAACCCATGCGAAGCGCATCAAAGAATGTTGTCAGACAGCTCTAGGAGCTAACGCAGCATGTTGTTGGAACAATGTGACAACATATACAGAAATCTACTTCTTGCCTTTAGTGATCTGCTTCTGCTTCGCCTGGACAGTTGCTCGCCATGTCGGCCTCATCGTCGTATTTTGCACCGCACCAGAAGCAGTAATGGTGCGTTTCGCGGAGGTAGTCTAGCGTCATACTCAGCCGTGTACGCGCATCGAGCGCAGAGAAGCTGTCACGAGTCGCGCTCGTGATCTTGGGGCCATCTTCGTCGTCGCTCAGAGGTACCTCTTCGTCATTGAGGGGCGCGTGCCGCTTCGTTCCAGCACGCTCGTCGTCACTGTCGTCGTACTCGACGGTCATGCCCAGGCGAGCGTTTCGAATCCTGCGTTCCTCTCTGACGGCATCGTCCTCGGGCGAGATCCAGAGAACGTTGTCCTGCGTGCCTGCGCGTCTGTCGAGCTCTTCAAGCGTACGCCGTGCTTTGCGGAGGATACCCTCGGACTTGCGCTCGTCGAAGCCGTCCCTATGGCGAGCAAGGTAAGAGCTGCTGTGACGGATCTCGTCGAGCGGCGGGATCTTTCTGGGATCTAGCTTGAGACGTTTGGCGGCGGCCGTCTGGGTGCCAATGCCGGATCTCCCCAGCCTGACTTGTACCTCGATAGGTTCCACGCGATGAGCAGAGTCGGAAGGTGTCTGCGTCTGACCAGCCGGCGGAGGAGACTTTCGTTTGCCAAGCCCTTGTCCGGGCTTGAAGCCCATCTTGAGCATCATCGCGAGTGCCTTGCTGTCCTCGCCATATTCTGCTCGTGCTGTGATGAGATTGCGAGCCAGACCATCCTCTCTGGCCTCTGCTTCTCGCTCACGCTTTGACTTTACCCTGCCGGCATCGAGACCCTTTCTCAGGGCTTTTGCACGCTTCTCGGCGTACGTCTCGGTGGCTTTGACTGTATCTGGCGCGGAAGCTGCCTTGAGGAACTTGTCCGACATGAAGTCATCCTCGTCAGCGGACATCGTGTGACAGGGAAGCCAGTCGAGTGCAAGGCTGTCTGGCGCTGCTGGCACGGGGGCAGCGGCGCGTTGTGCCCTTCAACTTTTTTGCGTGACGCCGGTCGACGAGAGACGGTGCTCTCCTTTCATCATGCCACCACTGGCTCCGCATGTCCTTGCAAACCTCTCACTCAAGGCCCAAGGCAAGCGCAAAGCTGGCGAGGAGCGCCTGGGCGGCAGCAATTTCAGGGCCAATCTGTCTTTTGATAGCGCTTCGGACGCGAGCGAGGACGCAGCGGAGCTAGACGACCTCACAGACGAAGCAGAAGCCTTTCCAGAGATAGATGCGCGTAGTTCGGGTTCGAGTATCAGCGATAGCGAGGCAGATCTCGCGCTGGGCGAAGAACGCGAGGAGGATGAGGATGAGGATGATGAGGAGGAGGAGACCGACGAAGCAAGAATACTGCGCGAGCTAGCAGAAGAGGCAGAGATCGAAGCTGATCTAGCAGAAGAAGCAGAGGCCAGCTCGAGCGACAGTGACGACGAGACTCTGGCCGTCGACGAGCGATTGTCGCGACATATCGCACGCTCCACGATCAAGCCAAACGAGGAAGACGCTAGTGCGGCCTCGACGCCTGCTGCATTCGATCATGCTCTCAATCGTAGAACCCTTACGCCTCAGCAGAAAGATGATCTCCTTGGCTACGAAGCACGAGACTACAAAGACCGTAGCAAGCTCGTCAAGAGTAGTATCACTGGCGAGGATAAAAGAGTGTGGCGACCTGTAGACCTAGACGATGATGAAGACGATAGAGAGCCAACCAATCGTATTGGCAACATACCCGCGCATTTCTATGATGGATTCCCGCACATCGGCTACGACATCGACGGCAAGCGCGTCCTCCGCCCGGCCAAGGGCGACGAGCTCGACAAGTTCCTGGCCAATGAGGAAGAGGCGGCTTGGACGAGCGTGCAAGACAAGATATCTCAAGAGAACGTGCAGCTCACAGAGGACGAGCTCGATCTCATCCATCGTCTCGCTCGGTCCGAAAATCCAGATGGCGAATATGATCGTGCGTAGCTCTGCACTGCGTCCTTGCTATAGCTCACTCCCACCGTAGCATACACGCCGCAAATCGAGATATTCACTGCACGCGGGCTGGAGATGACTATGCCTCTTTCTGGTAGGCCGGAGCCCAAGAGTCGCTTCATTCCTTCCAAATGGGAGCACAAAAAGGTTCGTCTTGTGCTGTTGCTGTCTCATGCAATGGCTTGACAAGCAAGCTTTGCACAGGTCATGAAGATCGTAAGAGCAATCCGAGCAGGCAGGATTGTGCCCAACAAGGCATCTGCTGCGCCGAAGCCCGAGGTCTATAACATCTGGTCAGACAGTGACCTCGCGCGGCCCGACCACCCTATGAACATGCCCATGCCAAAGCTCAGACTGCCTACCCATGTAGAATCATACAATCCGCCAGCTGAATATCTATTCACGCAAGAAGAGCTGAAGGAATGGGAAGAAGCCGAGCCAGCCGATCGCAAGCTAGACTTTGTGCCCGCCAAGTACGACTCCTTGCGCAAGGTGCCTGCGTTCAAGGACTTTGTCAAGCAGCGTTTCGAGCGCTGCTTGGATCTCTACTTGGCCCCGCGAATGCGTCGTCGAAAGCCGAGATTGCAGGTCGATGGACCAGAAGATCTGCTGCCAAAGTTGCCGAGTCCTAACGAATTGCGTCCTTTCCCAACGAGCCTGTCGATTCTGTATCCCCATCCCGACGGCGTTCGGACAAGGAGCATCAGCATTGATCCCACGGGAATGTGGGTTGCGACGGGCGCAGAGGATGGATCCGTCCGGCTGTGGGAATGTCGCGTCGGGAGATGCGCCATGACTTGGCAAGTCGCTGACGATGGACCGATCTACAATGTCGAGTGGTGTCCTGATCCGTCTCGTTCGATACTTGCAGTCGCAAGGTGTGTCGCCTGCTCTGACTTGCTGATACGCACTGACTCTTGGCGCAGCGAGGATCGTGTGACTCTTTTGTCACCGACTGGATACATTGACGTCGAGCTCTCGAGAGCGACGACCACGTTCGTCTCCGCCGTGTTTGCTGCGCCGTTACCCGCCAATGCAACAAGCAAGCTGTCCGACGTCAAGTGGGTCAGGCCGTCGGCCGAAGATCGCGAGAAAGGTTATCTGCTGCATGTCGCCGTTCCGGGCACGCCCAAGCAAGTCACCTGGCATCGACGTGGCGACTACTTTGCCAGCGTGTCTACGAACGGTAAGACGGGTTCATGAAGTCACTCGTGTGGTCGCTGAACTGTTTGGTCAGCTGGGCCACGTTCCGTGCTGATTCATCAGATCTCAAAGCACCAGACCCAGGCGCCTTTCACCAAGAGCAAGGGAGCGATGCAGAAGGTTGCTTTCCATCCTCTGCGCCCTCACTTCTTCGTCGCGACTCAGCGATACGTTCGGATTTATGACTTGATGGCGCAAAAGCTCGTAAAGACACTCCAGCCAGGTGTCAAGTGGATCTCGAGCTTGGACGTTCATCCTCAAGGTGAGCACGGAGTGGCCTCCGTCGTATCACAGGCTGACGCTGTGCCCTCAGGCGAGAACGTGTTGATCGGTAGTTACGACAAAAAGCTGGCCTGGCACGATCTCGAATTGAGCGATCGCCCGTACAAGACCCTGCGCTATCATTCTCGGGCAATACGATCTGTATCCTTCTCAAATCGCTACCCGCTCTTCCTCTCGACTTCCGATGATGGCACCATCCAGGTCTTCCATTCGACAGTCTACTCTGATCTCGTGACCAATCCGCTCATCGTTCCACTCAAGGTCCTCCGAGGACACGGCATCAAGGACGGCTTGGGTGTTCTCGAGGCCAAGTGGCACCCGAAAGAGCCTTGGATTGCCTCTGTCGGCGCTGATGGAGTGGGCAGACTCTGGACGACATAGGCTCTAGCTTCTTGGGCGCCCTGTTGTAGCCATCGAGTGGATGCCTTCAATCCTTGCGCGTGGGAGCGTCCAAGGCGTCACCGTCTGCTCGCAATTCGGCAGCTCGCTCCTGGACGACGTCGATGCCGGCCTTGCCGCCGTCCGAGGTGCCATGGAGAGCGTCAAAGATCTTCCTGAGCCGGTCACTCTCGAGCGCTGAAGTTCCCTTGATGCTCTCGACGTCGAGCCCGTCGAGGAGCTCAGTGATGGGTCGGTTGGAGCGTAGCTGAGCTGTCCGCCTCCGTCCCTCGTGAGACTCTGACTGGAACTGTCGGTTGGCGGTATCACTAGAGAGGAGATCGACGAGTGCCTCTGGCTTCTGATAGGCTGTCGTGAGAAAGGCATCGTCGACTTTGCTCGACAGATCCTTGTCGTTGGCAAACGTGCTAGATTCGTGGTAGAAGCTCACGAGCCTCTCCAAGCGCTGTCTGCTCGACTGGCATCCACTTGTGTACGCCCTCCGGCCAAGCAAGCAGCGTTGCAGCGGTCGCATGTCGATGACAGTCGGCTGTCGCCTTGGACGATCGACAGGGCGCGACTGCCGCGAGTGGCTGCCACCAGCGACGCTCTGTGACCCACTCTGTCTGCCCCCAAACGACCCGATGAGTCTCGTGCGCGGCAGGGACAGCTTTGTCAAGCTCTTGTGTGTCTGTCAGTGCCAGCTCGGTGTCCCTCGAACGACCATCATACGCACCTCCAAACGTCGGCTCCTCGCACGCCAGCATGCCTCCTTTCAGACACCTGCCCTTGCTATCCGAGCGAGTCTGACCACGTCTGCACAAGCGCTCAAGTCCAAGGGCAAGGGAAAGAGCAAGGGCAAGACGGCCGCCAACATCGACACCGCAGAGATGGGCGACACCTCCCTGCCGTCAGAGAGCTTTCACATGGATGAGCACGAAAAGGCAATGCGCAATGCGATCGACAGGCTCCGGGTAGCACTCAAGTCAACGGTCGATAGGGTAGGAAGAGTCAACCCGAGCATCCTGTCCAGTGTCAAGGTCGAGCTGCCTATCGACATCGACGGGCGCGTCGAGAAGCGGCAACAGCCTCTGCTCGACCTCGCGCTCGTCAAAGTCAAGGACGCCGTCACGCTCCTCGTGTCAGCTTTTGATCCTGATGTGCGTCAGTGATGCGAAAGTGCAGAGTCGAGGCAGCTGAAGCTTTGTCAAGGCAGAACCTCAAAGAGATTGAGCGCGCTATTGGCATCGCGAATCTGGGCTTGACGCCCAACCGGATTGACAAGCAGACGCTGTCGATATCAGTGCCAAAGTAGGTCGCTTGCTGTCCGACTCGGGAGAGCGTGCTCACATCCTGCGCCACAGGCCGACAGTCGAGTCCCGTCAGGTGCTTTCACGGCAGGCCCAAACGCTCTGTGAGCATGCGCGGACGAGCATACGTACCAGTCGCAACCTCGGTATGAAAGAGATCAGATCTGATCAGGACCGCAAAGTCATTGGAGAAGACGAATCTCGCAAGCAAGGCAAAAAAGTAGGCTCGGTCTTGCTCATCAAATGAGCGTCATACTCACACTCCGCTTGGCCAGCTCGACGAACTCAGCCGTAGGCACACGAAGGAGGTCGATGACATCTTTGATGCCGCTAGCAAGATCATATTAGACAAATAGTCCATTGCATACCATCCTGTCTATGCTACGCGCTGCAGTCACCGCTGTCACCTTGCGTAGCCTGTCACGGCCTCGACTGCCCTCTCCGATCGCAAGGATGTCCAGTACTGCGCTCCCTAGCCTCGAGGCGCCGGGAGACAAGACTCCGGCTGCGTCCCCGGCTGTCAAAGCCAAACGAAAGGCCAACGATTCTGCCTCCGCCAGTGAACCTGTCGAGTCAAGCATCTCCAAGACCAAGCCCAAGAAATCGAAGAAAGTCGAAGCTGAGGATGAGCTGGAAGATGCCACCTCGAAGCCAAAGAAGGATAAAAAGGTCAAAGAGCCAGTCAGACCACTCGACCCGTCCCTGCCTACGAACAAGACGATACCCGCAGGTCTCAGCTTTGAGACCCCCGCACGCCAGCCAGACGCTGTCCGTCTGACTGCAGTCAATCTCAGTGGCATGGCAGCGTCGCTCAAGAAGGGCATGTGGACATATCTCGAAGCGGAGGATGCCGACGTTGTGATCATGACCGAGACCAAGATCGCCTCTGAGCCAGCTCATGAAGGCATACAGGCCAAATACAAGCATCGCTACTTCTCCGCTGGTGCAGAGAAGGGTCAGGCAGGCACTGCCGTCCTGTCAAAGATTGAGCCGCTGTCTGTCGCCTACGATTTGCCCACCTTAGCCGAGCCCGGCAAACTCGCTGGCAGGCTCGTCCGCCTCGAATTCCCCTCGCTGTATGTACTGGGCACTTACACGCCCAATGCTGGCCAAGGCTTGAAGAGCATGCCCCGCAAGCAAGACTGGAACGAGGCCTTTGAGCGATACCTGCGCGAGCTAGATTCGGTCAAGCCTGTCGTTTGGATGGGCGATCTCAATGTCGCGCCCACCTCGATAGATGTCAGGAATAGCAAGAAGAATTGGGACAAAGAGCCCGGGCATACTGCTATTGAGCGAGACGCATTTGTACAACAGCTCCAGCCGACTGAAAGCGAACACAAGCCTCTCATCGACGTCTGGCGCCATCGCAACCCTGATGTGGAACAATATACCTATTACTCCTACCGTTTCGATTGTCGCACCAAGGGCATCGGCTGGAGGCTTGACTACGCTATAGTATCAGAGCGTATGCTTGCTCGAGTGCAGGCATGCGAAATTCGCCAGATCGCTTATGGCTTTAGTGATCATGTTTGTCCCATCTCTGTGCCGTAGCTCCACCGACAGGCTTATGTTCGTCCAGGTTCCAATCATGCTCGACTTGCAAGGTCCGCTATAGGTCCAGGAGTAGCAGTAGCCGCCATCACAGTGATGCGTTGCCTGCCTGAGGGCGGTGCTGGCGAGATACCTGTTCGTGTCAAACGCGCCGAAAGATCTCATCACCCGCGGTACGGAGAGGCGAGAGGCTCGCAGGGTCGAGGAGAAACGCCTGCTAGCGATCGAGCTCGCGCGAATCGACAGCGAGCAGTTGCTCATAGAGAAGAAAGAGCTGTAGCCTGCATTGCATACGCAGATAGAGTCTGACAATTTGGAGATGCGTCTGATTGCCGGTGCGGACAAGAGGAAGGTGCGATTAGGATCGAATCGAGTGCACAGTCACATCGTGGCCACAGCTCTGCCAGTGGTCCACATCCACGCTTGAGCTAGCTGCAAGGATATACCGACCATGGTCCCCACAGGGCCAGACGATGGTCGGTAGACAACTTTACAAATTTCTCGAGACAAGCCACGGCTATGGGAGTAGGGAACGCATGCATTGACAAGCCGGGGTGCGCGATTCGTCATCAGCGAGAGCAATGGCGAGAGAGATGCCGCGCAGGATTGTATCGACACTGATCTGCCGANTCGAATCTCCCGGGGTACGTATCATCCAGGTTTCCGTTAGCTTGCTCTGTCTGATGCAGACGATGCGAGGAAGATCGGTGATGTCAATGAGGGTGAGAATGTATATTCAAGGTAGGCGATTGTCGATATGCAAGCGAGTCGGTGTCCAAGTCATGACGGGTCGAGAGATGGCCAGAGCAATGCATATGACCAGTAGTCTGACAATGAAGCTGATGAGTTAGCAAAGCGAGCGTGCTGTTGCGTCGGCGAAGACAGGAAGACAGATGATGATACTGAGCGAGTGCGCGCTAGTGCGCGCTAGGTCGTGTGTACAAATCGACGCGAATGAAGGTGATCTCAACTAAATCTGCGAGCAGAGCGAGATGTCGAAGAAAAGTCACGACAGAATATCTGGTGTAATCTGACTGACCAAAAATATTGGACAACTCATGAAGAGACGAGAGAGATGCAAATCGAATCGTCTGATCAGACTCACGAGAGGGACCGAAGGAATCGAATGCTTGGATTGAGGAGCGTCTGTGGCCGAGTAGGGTCGCGGCTAGTCAATCGAGCTGAATTCTTCCAGCGTGTGTTGCGATTTCGCAACAAGCTGAAGGCCTAGTTTACGTTTGCGAAAGCGTGACGGGGATGTAGAGGTGGATTGGATTGCCTATGGCCAGACTATAAGTGCAAGAAACCACCGAACGGGAGAACCGACTGTGAACGGCGCTGATCGATGATCAGCAAGCCTGCTCACAGGTTTGTCTTCACCGACGATGGCTCGGTCTGGTATTCCTTGGAATCCAGGCTGGGTCGTTGGAGATGCTAGGACGGAGACCAACTGAGCTGACGGATGCNAANGCAAACGTCAAGCGAGATAAGGTGAATCACGCCCGCGAGTACGATNGGGTACTGGCGGCACTCGTGCTTGCACGAGGTGGAGTGATAGATACCTGGTTGATCCTGCCAGTAGTCATATGCTTGTCTCAAAGATTAAGCCATGCATGTCTAAGTGTAAACAAATTTATACAGTGAAACTGCGAATGGCTCATTAAATCAGTTATAGTTTATTTGATGGTTCCTTGCTACATGGATAACTGTGGTAATTCTAGAGCTAATACATGCTGAAAAGCCCCGACTGGCAACGGAAGGGGTGTATTTATTAGATACAAAATCAACGCTTCTTTTAGCAGCGCTTGGTGAATCATGATAACTT